CTTGGTTGAGACTGGTGAAAGTCATTTCACCTTCGAAACCCAAACCAACCACCTCCACTCCATTCCACCTGTCATTCCAAATTGTCCAAATTGAGTGGATAGTTAGTCGCGACAAACAGTGCCCAGAATTTCACTCCACTTGTGTACGAGTGTCCCCAACACTTGTGAAAGTTGTAATTGATTGGTGAAAGTCCAGCAATATGTACTGAGGTCACCTCACTGGTCATACCATCTTATTTTCTATTATGAGGAGGAAATGTATGGCGGATGAATAAGTTATTATTGTGCTGAGAACATTAATATTCACGGTTTGTTGTGGTGTGTGCCAGAGGAACCGGGATGAGGCAGCGTGTTTAGAGTGGTTTTTTCATGTCTGAATTTTCGACAAACGGGCAATTAAGCTGTTTTTATCAAGTCTTTTATATCGTATAAAAAGTAATATTAAAATGAAATTGGGTTTTGGAAGGTGGTGGTCGTAGAATATTCCACTGGGCTTTTATTGTGTATTAGCTCTTTTAAAGGCAATAATTTAATAATTCATGGATATCCAGTTGCTTTTTGTTGTTACAGAGTGATGGGTTTGCACAACCAACTTTACAATGTCATTTGTTGTAGTGTCACGTTCCTTTGTGCTCTAAATTACGTTCACGAAGCAGGAGAGCAAATACTTATTATTCGAATTGGACAATTGCCATCCATGTCATGGATGACAAAAGGAAAATACTGTCATCATTAAAGAAATGAAAATCGATAAGAGTCACTCGTTCTTTGTTGTTTCCCACCAACACCAACAAATAAATTCCCATATGTACCCCACTTGCCCTGCTAAATAACAATGCAACACATTGCATCCTTCACGATGTGTGACGGCGATGCCAAGAAATCGCCAACATAATCTGATTTGCAACACTACAGGAGTGTGGATGGAGCGATTAAGCGCCTTTCTTTGGATGAGGTAGAAAGCAACAGAATGGAGAAAGCGACAAATGTCCAACTTATGAATGACTCAAAAACATTCACCGATCGAGTTACAGGTGGTCTTTCCCCGTGTATTTAGAATCCCACTCAGTTATCACCGTGAGTGTGGGAATGTATGCAAGCTAGCTTCACCTCTCCTCACCCTCTCCTACATACATAAACTCCCATGTTTTTACCTCCACGAATAAATCCATTGACACTATTTCGGCACTCCTAAATTATTAGCTATCAAGCAAACTTGCAAAGAAATGCATCAACTTGCTTTAGTTTTTTTTGTTATTTTTTCAAAAAGCAAAAAAGAGGAGAAAAACATTGAATGAAACCAATCTGTGGTCTGTAACGACCTATGCATAAGAAGTGCTCGACCCTGTGTGCAATTGCGTTTCATGAGTTTGGCTTTATGCGGTCACGGATGCTTGACTTTTGACTAGCCCCCTTTTGCGAATGACTGAGTCGGAACTGAAGCTATTTGGCAAGCAATGTATGGTGTTAGAACTGGGAAGTACAAAGTGGCATAAATGGCTTACCCGTCGCATGACCCTCAGGGAGAAGGACGACGTCTTCATCTTCGCTGGTTGGACTTTTGCTGTGGAATCGAAGACGAATAAGTGTGTACTGTCAATCTACTTTCGACCACCTAATAATGGGCGGCGGGTAAGGGTGGCTAGATGAGGTATGGATGATACGACAACAAAAAATGATGTACAGTTGATGTAAGATTCGATTTCGACTGAATATGGTATCCAGCTGGAGTACAGCCAGTGATGAAGATTGAGATGAAAGTCTACCTGTTCAGATGCGACTGGTTGAAATAGAAGTGATGGAGTGAGTTTTACCTCCTTGTAGTCGTAGCAGTGTGAAAAAAAGGAGGAAGGAAGCAGCCCATGTAAAGGTTTGAGATGAATTTGTTCTGGCAGGTAACACGGAGTGTGTAGTTCTCTGCTGCTGGTTGATTGTGTTTGGTGGGTGGGAAGGAACGGATGGATGATGGAACTCAATTCTCAATTCTTCTTCTTCTTCTCCTCCTCCTTCTCAGTAGCAAAGTCGAACAAGTTTTTCTGTTCAATTCAATCTCCTCATAGATCTTTTGGGCCGCCTTGGTCTAGTCGTGGTTTGGGTTTGGGAGACGAATTTATTGGAGATGAAAGGGGGAGGGTGACTTGGTTTTGGGTCTCGGTGTTTTCGGTGTTTGATTTTCTCTGGATAGAGGCGCTTATCCGACTCTGTATTTCCCACGAGATGAAGTGGGATAGAAAAGCGAGATCTGGTCGTAGCAGTGGCAGCAGGTAGTAGGAGAGGAGCAGAGAGTACCGAGTGGGTATTATTGTTATGGAGATGGACGACGAATCGAATGACACAAAGACGGACACGGATTTTGATGGAATGTGAGAGAGATCTTTATGAACACGCCAGGATGCATGTGAGGTTGTGGCAGTAAATAAAGAGCCAAGCAGGCCAGGAGAAGAGACGAGGAGAAAGTGGATGGGAAATATCCGGACTTTCATTTACGCAAGTCCCGGCACACGGCTGCTACACATACCCGCTTCACTGGCATGCAGTGAGAACGGAAAGCTGTACTGGGAAAGTAGTAAGAACGGGAATTTTGCTTGCTTTTGCGATCCAAGCAAGTGGCCAAAACTAAGTCGTCTGGCTGTGTGATATGGGATGTATGTGTGGCATGCAACACCATACATTCCTACGTACGTACACTCGCATAAGCAGGACCAGCTTCAGCCAGCCAGCCAACCAACTAACTCCACAGGCGAAACCAAACGAGCATCTCGTTACTTTCTCCTCTGCCCCACAGATTCCATCATTCAGGAAAAGACGAGGAGGGCCCGGCTGGGGACATTGTGAATTCTGAATGGGGCTCTTCATCCAAAGGCAACATTCCCTTCGCCGTCGTCGTCCTTGTCGTCGTCACGCTGCTGGTGGTATCTCCCAAAGTCAATAGTGCTCCCCCTGCTCATCCCACGACTACTTCCCGATGGGACTCATGCACTGCTCAGAGAATTCATTCCAGAGCAACACTTTGAACGAGAGCCAACAAAGTCAATTTGACCTCGACCTACAGTTGGCATCGCATGAGATTTGTGTATTGTTTCATCATCAATTTCATTCATGTTCGCATTTACTTAAATAAGAGACTGCATAACAAAGGACAAAGATAAACTGTGACGTAACAGCAACGCCTCCTCTCTTACTTCCACTATAAGATTTCTTGAGTTTCCTTATCATCATGCAGTTTCAACTTGAATAATAACAAGCCGAGCATGGTCACGTCTCTTATCTTTCTCGGGAAATAAATAGTTTCCCAAATTCCGCCCATTGCAATATTGTAATAACATGACCGAAACTTCTTTATCATCTCCTTGTATGTACAAAAGAGAGTCAGATGAAACCATTTTTTGTCCACTGTTCCAACTTTTCCACTATTCGAACGACATAAAGATATAAATATATTCCATATTCAGAGATTTCCATGTTTTATTCACTTTTCCAATGTTTTCCAAGTCTTGGGATATTTTTGGGTAGATTCATGGGAAACAGGAAAAGGTTATGGCGATACTGTGCGCCTTTGTTGTTGGCTTTACATAGAACACGTCTTCTCATTACTTTGTCTGGCAATGGGTCAGATAGAAAGCCATAAAATGTGTTGCTGCTGAGTAGTGGCGGAAGTGGACTTGAGTTGAGAGATATGAGTGTCCAATTTTGTTAAGTAGTGAGTAGTGGTTTGAGAAAGTGAATGACTATTATCTCGGCTTCTCAGAGGGTCGCCATAAGGCTTGCAGCACTACGTAGGTAACCTCCCACCCCCACCAAAAGCTACAATTTCACAAATAAATACTTAACGATAATTACATGGCCTTTGAATTGCGTAATTCGCCACACTCATTCTTACATAGAGAATTTCAATAGGGTTTCCTAATAAATTTCAAAACCTCTGACACCATTGGATTGGAGTGAAAATTAAAGTCGAACTACGTATTCACTGAAGGTTATATTTAGCTGTAACGTAATGAGCCTAGAAAGAGAAAGCTTCATTCATTACATATGTATGTACATGCACGAAGTATGTATCCATAAGGGGCCAATGAGACTTGGACCAAATAAATATGAAAAAATACACATTTTTTAAAAGAATGTCCAGTCGAAATTAAAGTCTTTCGGCTTCGTTTTCTGAACTCTGGAGGAGAGTGAGGAGGAGATTAATTTATGTAAATAAATAAATATATGACATCCACACTACTTTTGTGATGATCACGTCAATCCCACGAGCATTTGTCTGGCATCTCAATGATGAAAAGGTAATCTTTCGACCTTCTTCCTCAAAGCTAATAAGCGAGTGAATATGTTTACGTAGCTAAGCGAGCTCCAGAGTTGTGGTCTCATGGGCAACTTTAAATTAGAAAGCGAGCAGTGGAGAAAGGGAGAAATAAGAAAATAAGGTTTCACTACTCTTACATAACTGTGAATATGGCATAAAATTCCTATTTTGCAGACCTGCGTCCTACTTTTATCTAAAAACTCACCACAAGATGTGACCAGAGTACATATCCAGATGACAAATTAGGTATATGCACGTGTACACTTACTTTGTACGATGAAATTGAAGGCATGTTGTGAAAGTATGACTTTAAGTATGCCATCAATAAACTCATTATTATATTTAATGCATGGTCTACATATTTATTGTTGAGTTGAATGCGGAGTCTGGCAACATATGTAGTTCAGCATACCTACTTAATAACATGGCGCATTGGTCATAACTAGTTATGAAGACAACTAATAAATAGTAAAAGAGTTATTTCCTTTTTGGTGTACTATGTATGAAGGTTCCCAAGATCAATATTCAATTTCAGAATTTATTGCTCGTCCAAACGATTGGATGGACTGGATCAAGATTTGGACAATGGGTAATATGTATGTACATATGGAGCAGTCGAGCATTAATAAATAAATTTGGGCAAAAGTTCATGTATTGAAATGCCAAATCAATTACTTCAAACAGAAACAACATAAACTTGGGCAGCAGAGAAAATATATATTCAAACCGTTCAATACAGATAAAACTCTCATAATAAAGAGGCAGTACAAATATTTGTTTTCAATAATACAAGCTCAATGGGATTTTATGAATAGATAATGCATAACCACTGTAAGTGCTGACAGCACGTGCAATTTATTGAACTCTATATAATTCGAAGTACAATTCCGGTCTCTGTTTTTTGAAATTTCATCACACAATTGATTTAAAATCTGGCTGGACTAACACTAGCAGCAAAAAGATATGTATGCATATACGTACATAAATAAGTGGGTGGCTCATTAACTTTGGCTCGGACTAAAACACTCACAATTTTTAACAACCATGGACTAACTGATACATAATAATTTAATTTCTACATATGATCTTTAAAATAATGCAACCTAACCTTATGTTGTACAGAATTATGACTAGAATATTTTTACCTGAACCGAAACATTTATTTATTTAGGATTTAAATAATCTGTAGAAACAGAAATGACCATGTTAGCATAATTGTTGGCCAATTCTACTCTAGTGCAAATCCCATGAAATTTGTGACTTTCTTCCGTTTCCTTATCTAAGACTTGCTCCAGTTGCTGCGGAGTCATCGAGTTGGCCAAGTGAAGATATACACCTACAATTAAAATTGGTTATTTTAAAGAAATGGGTAGACGGGTGGGTTATTACTCTTAAAAAAAGTTAGGTTAGGTTAGTATTTTACTTTCTAAAATTGTGGCAAATATTTCCGTTTCGGTGGCATTTGAATTTTGTACCCGTTTTTTCAGGTTTGTCACTAGACACTTCCACTTTGAAGGGACTTTTTCAAAAGTTTCCTGTTTGATTGTAATAAAAATGTAATGTTATCTTTCATCACCATCATTCAGTTAGTCACGAGTTTGGGTACCTTTGCAAATATCATTATTGTTGTGGGCTGTTTGGTTAGTAGCATATTTACTGCTTTTTCCGGAGTTTCAGCAAAAATTTGCAGAATGAAGTACAATGTTGAATTGACACTGGGTTTCACTTGTGTTGCATTTTTGTAAAGATATGTCACAATAATATCCTTAACTCCTTCCGTATCCGATAAGACTGGATTCGAAACCAAACTCTACACCAATCAATATACAACATGATATGAATATATACAAATAATAATAAATATGTAGATAGGCAATATGTAGCATGGATTACCAAAAGTTTTATATAATTTTCCCGACTATCCTCATTCACAAACAGTTGCACAGTGGCCAAGTTTTGACTTTGAGGGGTTAACATACCTCCAGGGGTGTTCACACTCAATAAAAAATTTACGCATGTGCAAACATTCCCAAATATTTGATTACGTTTCATAATATCAGTTGGCCCTGAAGTGTTGACACTTTTAGATTTTTCGTTTGCAGTGGAATCTTGATCAGCTATAGCTACTGTTTTTGGTGTTGAGGCTGGAATATTGCTGGAGAAGTTAATGTTTGATAAGTACGTCCTGACAAGAAACTGAATACCACGTTTTTCGTCCTCAGCAAATTCAATATGAGAGAGATCTACTGCGTTACTGAATTTGTCCCAAGTGTATTTTTCCACAATTCCCGTAAGACATTTAGTTATGCAATGTTGAAGAGTGGTATCTGTGTTCACATTTAAAGCTTGGGCAAATGCGAACATAACGATGGACATGTTAATGCTATTAGCTTTTAAGTACTGAAATAGTTTCTGTAATTAGAAATGAACATTTCAGTCAAATATAAAATTACCTGTGTATTAATCAGAAATGAGTATAACCTTACTGACCTCTGAAATTATATATTGATTATCCGATGCAATAATACATACCGCTAGATCTGTTAAAAATGTCTGTTGCCCTCTAGTTTCAATCAATATTTCTTTTTTAAGGTATGTTTCGAGATCGCTTAAATTGGTTTTATGAAGTAATTCATTAATTTGAGATCGAGTATTGAGATCAACTCCAATTGTAACAAGCGTCAAAATCACAGCCAACGTCTCTTTGGCAGGAAAATTCTTCGCTTCAGCTAATTGCTGCAAAATCTGAAAAGCAACGATAACGATTTGTATTTGAAGCTAATAGGTTGTAAATAGACCAATTGTGAATATACAACAAATATGATAAAACATACATGTAGTAACCTACGACTGTTGCACTCCCGTATGAATGGAGCGTGAATCACTAAATCGACCAAAGTTTGTGGACCACTATTCGCTGGAAATATTTTTAAAAACACTGTTTGATTTTGAACAACAATAACTATGAAAACAGCATGGGTTAACTCACCTAAAAACTCAACAACAACTGGGGCCAATGTAGGAGATAATTTTTGATTATCAGGATGAATTTCGAACTCATTACATTTTATAAAGGTAACCTCAATCATTCTTATAAACCCTGGGATATTACAGCTTTCACGAATCCACGACCAATTTTCGGGGGAAAACACTTCACCAATTCCACACCGTCCAATCAATAAATATGTCACTCCCATATCCACCAAATCATTGATCACATCTGCAGACATGATAGCAGAAGTATCAGGTATCAGTTCAGACACACTTGAAGAATTTGAATCTAGTGTTGACGGAGTAGTCGTGGACGGAACAGTTGTATTTAGTGTTTCTTCGACCAGGTTCGTAGATCCAGACTGCGAAATAGGCTGAAGATTTACTGTAGAGACGGACGACTTTAGATAGGCGAGTCCAAGTAATTTGCATATGTTGCTGTGACAGGCTGCAATTTCTACATGCATCTCTGATCCAGGGTGAGCATTCATGAAAAGTTTCAATGCAGTATAGGCCTCGCACAATAATGTAATATAGATGTCTGACGTTCTATTATTCTGCAAATTGGCCGTTTTCACCATATCGTCACAAGTCGTCCCGATATCTGGCAAATCCAGTGTATAAATTGTCCAAGATAATTCTCTGTATTTGCAAGAGAAATAGTCCCACGTAGTTAATAATAATGCTTTTCCTTTTGTGCAACGTATGTTGTATACATATATAGACAACTTACTCTTGGCCTGAATTCTTATTATTTGAGGTATTGTTGCATGCTAACATTGACAATATTGAACTATTACAAGTCATTTTTCGAACGTTGAGAAAAGGTCGGATTCCTACGAGGGTCGGAGGTTCTTCATGAAATGGACAATCCTGTATAAGAGTAAATAAAGTACAAGGTCGAGTAACCCGTGGTAAAATATTATTGTTAAAAGTAATTGTATTTATATGTACGAAAGCCTACACTTAGAAACGGTTTGATTCCCTCGTGGTCTTTGGTTGCATAATATAGGCTCCTACAAGTATAGCTTTCTAATCCACTTTCAGTCAGGGCGTGAAAAATTATGGAGTCAAATGCAAAAGTAATTAGTGGCGCAGTGAATGGATAGCTGGCAACACGTACAACAGAACAGTTTTGCTTCGTAGGGAGGTGGTACAAGTAACCTTCCTTTTTAGTGCATACCATCAATGCAACTGCTCCAAGCAAGTCTGCAAATACATTTTACTCATATTGGTTAAAGATATACAAGTTAAATCAACCGAGTATATCATTTACTTATTTGTAATCACCATTAATCCGAATTGGGTAAATCCCAATTTCAGTAAATTTTGGATGATTCCCACCGCCACTAGAACTCAGTCGTAGTATATCTTCTACGACGATTCCTGGATTCCCTGCGCTGAAGACTACTTTGGTATGGTTTGAAATAATTTCATCTTGAAAATCTTCAATGATATTTATATTCGTGTACTTCCTCTTGCGGTTAGCTCTCGCAATACTCGGTAAGTACACTTTGATTGATTCATTTTTCGGATTAAAAATAACCTTATCCGTATGATTTACATGTTTGTTCGAAGGTCGCCCAACTTCATGAATGACTGCTGCTGCTGATGAGCATGAACTAAAGTGAGGAGATCCCTGTTGTAATTCTTCCTTCCTTATATTAAAAACGTGCACACTGTCTGAGTTCATACAAGCCAAATAATTACACACGAAGTATATTTTATCCGGGACGAATCCTGGCATGTCGATAGCATATGTCCTATTTTGGAATAAAAAATGTCAGTTTTTATGTTATCTATGTATCTATACAGTAGTGTAGGTTAAGTAAAGAAAAAGGTAAGTTTCTCAGGCCACGTTATTAAACCAACCATTAAACCAACCAACCAACCTGTCGAAATCATAGTAGTGAACTCGAACTCGTCCATGCACTTCTTTGGCTCGAAATAGGAATAAATTTATAATGGACTCGGCAGAAAGACAGGCTATATGACCAGTTAAATTGCACGATGCTACGGCCGTAGCTGGAGATGTCAACGGGATTTCAACCATCATCAACGAATCTTCCTCAGGTTCTGCCCCCGTGGGTGAAACAAGGCCAGCAATTCTCGCGCGCATGGGTTTCGTTCCATGGTCCATTTCCCAGTGAAAGTAAGACCGTACATTCGTAATGGAACTGGTTGACGACTCTCTTTTTTCCAAACACAAAATATATTTGCCTGCAATAGATTTTAAAAATTGAGTAAATACAAATATAACATATGTACATATTCTAGCTCAGGACCTTTTTCATTGTACGAAATCTTATGAATTAAGTCGATCGTTGCAAAACTGTGGGACAGGCGAAGCTCAGAATCTGACTCTATGGACTCGATTCGTTTCTTGGGAGGCGATGATGAATCCAATTTGGTTTTTGGAGAGTTTGAAGATATTCCTTTCAAGAATACAAATGATGTTCCCAAGTCGTGATTGCAAAGATGAGGCAATGTTGGCAATGGAGACGGTGGTTTTGACGTCGACGCTGCAGCCGCAGACATCAGTTTTGCAGTTGGTGTGGCAGGTGCTGGCCCTGGCAGCACTGGGGGCGGACTACCATCATGTCTGTCAGAGTCCAAACTTAGGAAAACTGGACTATGACAGTCGTCTGTCTTCCCATAAATGTTAATCTGATGTTCCAAAGCGACAATGACGGTGTGCCCAGAAACGGCGACATCAACAGCCTCATCACAGCGTCCCACCCGTTGTCCACGAAAGTGGTGACATGAAATTATCCTCGACATTTATGTAGTACTAGATACCTAGAAGATATGACAGTAAAATATAGTGATACTAAATATCAGTAATGATAAGGAAGGGCAAATCAAATCTACATGGAAAACGAGGAAATATTACAATTCATCAGCAACAAAATATAATTGTGTGTACATACCAAAAATGAAAACCCAAGCACTCGAGGAGTATTGCGAATAGTGAGGCAACCAAGTAAAATGGAGCTAGTAGGTTAATTATTCCGAGTGGTCGGGGGGTGGTGGAAAAAGGGCAAGAAAGTTATGAGGGAAACTACACACTTTCACCACCACATAGTTACTTGCAACTTGGGCTGGTTGAGCTCTGTCCCGGTTGACGAGTGGGGAAGTTGACACGCTGCTTTCCCTTTCCAACAGTAGCAGCATACGCCGTCTTTCTCCTTGCAGTATCTCGTCGTGCAAAAATCCATCCTACATGTAGCCACCAGTTCGCGAAATAAGAAAACCCACAACATATCTAATAATGAAATGCAGAGTAGGCTTTATTAGGTCAAAATGAATGCCGGTATGTGCATACATATGTATTTGTAAAGCATACACTATGCATGAAGCATATTGCTTATCGTTCATTACGTGTGCATCATTTTGATCTACATATTCCATTGCAGTCCCATTCCGAAATTATGCCAGAGAGAGAGAGAGCCAGAACGTTATGATTTTGTATGCAGCGACATGAAACATGAATTTACGTGATCCATGAGAGGATCACATTTTTTGCCTTCACGTGAAGCCTTCTTGCTAAAAGTTGTCTCAACACTGGCAAAAGTTCTTGTCTGTGAAAATATATAATAAAATCATGCAACTGGTGGAGAGATCGTGCAGTGGAATGTCGCTGTCATACAATTTCTCGATAATTTAATGGGAGGAATGAAAGAGATTGCGTGGATTAAAATCTTTTCCCGGCATGTTTTTGCATGTCTTTTGACAATTTTTGTGGATATATAAATTCACTACAAACTTTTCATGAATTTGTCGATTGCCTCCTTTTCAGTCGTGGATCTGGCCAATATGTTGCTTCTGATGGTGGTTGTATTGTAGGTGAAATGGTTGGTTGGGTAAAATTGATCATGGAGATTGAAGGAGATTTCTCGGCCTTTCTTCCATTTGTCATGTTATCTCTACATGTGGGTGGAATGTCTTTGACGGAATGTAGCTCACTCGAGTCGTCGTCATTCATCGTCTTCATCAAAGAGGAATTATTGTGAAAAATGGTTGAATTCATTTGTACGTGGGTTTGGATTTTTCCAGTGGGCTTATCCTCCAAACCATCCTCCGATTTCCGCGAGTAATGATGATGATGATGATAGTTTCCTTCTCCTTTGTAATAATTTTCCGGGTAAACATTGACTCGTCGTACTTTCCCTTCGTAGTATCCAGTACAAGTTGGAGATGATGTGGGACAACGCTTTCTTTGAGATCCATGGCCAATAATACTGCCGCCACGACCAGCAGAAGCAGAAACAGCATTACTCAAGGCTTCTCCCTTCGGCTGCTTCCTTGAAGTTGTTGGTTCAAGTGTTTTACTAATTTCTCCTCGTGTACGATCGATCCTTTCCTTATTTGTACAGGTTGCTGATCTCATATTACAAATATTGTTAGGACAGAAATTCCTCTTTGAGTGCATGAACCGCTGCGAATCTTTGTACTGCATGGGAATTGAACGTAGAGAATTGCTCGGTCTTGTTCTTTCAATGTTTGCTATTGTACTTTGTGAAATAATTTGGGGGTAGAAGCGATGATCACTTCTTTCCGAAAGTTCCGGCCTACTTTCTTTGCTTTCTCTGCGAGTTGTACTAAGCTCGACAAGAGGCTGTAAGTGGGACTTTGGATTCCAACTATTTTTGAAGAACCCTATCCCTGTTTTAATTTGCGAATGTGAACCGTTCTGTTTGTTCCTCAGCAATGGCGTTGTAGTGCAGGAGGGCTGAGGGAAAGATGTTTTCTTTTCTGGGGAAAATTTATTCCAGTTTCCGGATTGCACACCCACTTTTCCACTATTTTTACTTGTTATTGATACTTCATGCGACTCTGAGTCAAGTCTTCCATGAATTATTTTCTGTCCATACGATTCCTTGTTGTCGTTTGTGACTTCTCCATCTGTCTGGTTCCAACGGGTTACATTTTTACGCTGCCCTTTATCAATATGCTTTTTATGCTCCATTGCATATTCAGGGTCGTGTCCGGCTGTTATTCTTTTGATGTCATTTTCAGATCCATATGTGCCTGCACTTTTGGAGGATTTTGTGTTTGAAGGTTGGTTTTGAGAATTTTCGGGTGATGATGCAACGTGCTCTGTTTTGATGGTGAGATAATTTGTTGTTTCTGCACATACTGTTTTCACTTTCTGGATGGCTGAGCTGGAAATAAAATTGGTTGTTGTTGAATACCTTTATAATTTCCCCATCAAAAGAAAGTCCGCTCATTATTTTTTATGGGGTGCAATCAGGCTCTTGGTGAACGCAGAAGGTGAGATGAGTTACCTTTCGGTTTTGTCTCCTTTGTCACCTTTGTCCTCAGTAATTGCATCATTTTGTTCTATTGCCTCCAAAGGCTTTGCTAACAAGGAGTATCCGTGTATAAATAGCTTTGCTTTTAGTATAATCCGATTTATTTTTTCCAAGACCCTCCTTTGCGAAACCAGTGAAAGATTATTGTGACAGTTTTTTCGCCTAGGGCGGACTATGAAAGCATTATTATTGAGTCCACTTATGAATTCGGTGGATATTTGGGATTTGACGATTTTTTGAATACTCCTCAAACCCAATTTATACACGTCACAATGGTATCTCAACTCTGTCACAAGCGCTTGTTGCTCCGCATTTCTTTTCAACAGGTTTGTGTGCCAATGATTGATTGAATTTGATTCAATTTCAGAATTCATTTTCGGTGAATGAGTTTGTATACAGTATTTATTTTTATAAATCTTGGTGTCTTCTTTGACGTCTTAAATATAAAGGCATGGTCTTTTTAAATACAATCTTATTCTACATAATGTGACAGAGTTGTATAGGCCGACTAAACGTTAGTAAATATCTACATACATATTTATATATGGAAGAAATAAGCACACGTCAGCTACAGTTGCGTGTTTAAAACGCAATCAAAATAAACTAATTTGTTCTAAAAACGCAGATGGGCAAAATATTTTCACTTTTAGTAATGAGCATTCTATCCTTGGTAGGATAAAATGTTGATGATGGTACTAATCGTGTACAAAGTTGAAAAACCGATCAATATGCTTAATCCCGTTTGAAGTTGCTCCTGAAATTGTCACCTAAAAAACTTTCCAATCTGACAATAAGTGAACCCTTCAGACTTTGTTCCAACATTTACATTCCTTTTTTGTGTGGTATGTATACGAAATGTACGTAAATATGTAAGTATCCACTCTTCTACAATACATTGAAAAGTCTCAATAGTTTCCGCTCTGTCTAGATACATTTCACACAAACATTTTGCTAGAATAAATTGCATTTATAAAATTACATTCACAAAGTGTCGAATTAGCGTATGTAAGTAATCGTCCTTGTTGTACAAAAACAACTCAAACTGTAAATATTATGCACTAGAAAACAACATGCTCCATACATAAGTACTTGATGACCATGATAGTTTTGCGCTAAGCGATGTAAAATTGCTCATTAGTTATTCAGAATATCAAATTATCAGCAACAAATGCCTTTCTCACATTCCCCCGAATATAACAGTTTCTCATTTGTATTAGAGTATTTACTACGTGCATTTATTTTAGCTTATTATCATGAAACACAAAATGAAGATACGAAAAACTGTGAAATGAGGAAATTTAGGCTAAACTTTCGTACACAAACATAAAGTCTTTCAAATCTTTCAAGGAGAGAGAAAGTCCTTGATCTGCTTCACTTGGCTGCATTAAAAATTAAGGAGACTTGCAAAGTAAGTTCCGGTAAACCTTGGATTAACTTTCATCAACAGGAATAAGGCTGCCGAAAACTGTTTTTCCTCAACGTTAAATATGCTCTAGCACACTTTTACGGAACATATGCTGTACGTGTATCTACGCTAAACGTTGTATAACTTTTGACCAGATTCCAAATTCACGTTAGGTTCAGCACCCATCGAGCCTAGCAGAAAAAAAACTCTTGTGAACTCTAATGCACAGAATGTAATTATATTCGTAATCTTCCAAGCCTTTCACCAACATCTAAAATCACGATGTCCGGAGCCTGGGTGAGAGATTCGGCTGCAGCACTATGTTATTTTGCCCCTTATTATGAGAGACAAGAGGCTTGAGCTGGGCTACGTGGCGATCTCGTAAAACCGAAACAAATTTCAATTTCGTTTCACCTGACAAATATATAATCACGTTTTATGGTGACGCAAATCTGTTTTCGTTGACACGAGATTTTCTCTTGATTTGATTTGTCCTCCTGGAACCTTGTGCATGTGGGATGTGCCTCCGATTTCATCTTGTTTTCTTCGTGTAGTGCAAATGGTGTGTTTTCTCACGACCAAAACACCTGGGAAACTTTTAAGCATTACGATTTTCAGGGAATTCAAATGACGCTAGTTTTTGACGTAACGACCGTAATTTCCAGTGTATTGCGGTTAATCGGATTAGCGCTCTGTCCTGTCTGACTGAAAATGTTAAACCGGCAAATGCCTTGTATTCATGGGAAGTAGTGATGAGCAGGAACTGACGGCAATACGTCAGCAGCAACTTAGACGGGCATGTATCCAGAATCTTACTCTTGATTTAGATTTGGTGTTTGACATTTCATTCTTTATTATATACACAGATCTAAAACGAGACATGCGATGTATTTACATATTAACGTGAAGCATGTATGTACGTATTAGAAACGGGTCTTGGCTTTGAAATCTGTTTGGTCGGCCAGAGTTAATCCAATATCATCTAATCTGTCAGAGGAAATTTTATTGGGGACAAGAATTATTTTAAAAAATCATGAAACCTAATTTTACTGCACATCTGATTTGATGGATATAATATTTCCTCCATTTTCCTAACATGCATAAAGTCATCCATCAAATCCGTTCGTGGTCAGGATAAAACTTGATGTATGTGCTACTGCCTAGTGGATGTCACTCAACCTTGTTTGCAGAGCTAGATATAGAAACGTGGCGTGTAGGCAAACGATAATAGTGAAAGCTGCAAGATTGTGACTGCCCAAAAGCCCAAATTAAAGGAGGACACAATATAACCATCACCACATCAAAGGAGCGATGCAAGACCTGTGGAGAAATCAAAGGACAGCAATTAAAAGGATCCATCATTATACTTATGTGATGATGATTGCATAACATTCGTATAATTAGTCATTCATTTTATGCGCAATCCTGGCGATTATTGGCTCGTTTAAGAGAGATGAAAGAGAGGCAATCAATGTCAAATTATCCATCTCACAATTATCGTTCGTCCAAATGAACATGGCTTTCTGTAACGAACCTGGTTCCATTAATTTCCTATGACAGCAATGACAAATTTCAGTCCTCTGCTACTGTGCCCACATATTATATATTAGCAGCAGAGTGTCATTAATCTCTGCGGGGAGGAGGGATCACGGGTCCGTGTCTAATAAACGTCCATAATAAATACCAATAGAGGCAGAATTGACCACCATTCTCGACGTACGGCTTTGTTTATTTTTACGAAAGGCAGATCTAACAGATACTGTCTCATCCACGTAAGATTGCGATGTGCAATATGGTCTCCTCCGACCACAGATTCTCTGGGATAGCTCTCGCTGTTCGCTTTCCCCGTCAAAGTCTCACAAGGCAGCGAGAAGTAGTCGTCGCAGAGTTTGTGTGGAAAACACGAGCCAATTGCAGCTTCCTGCCTCTCATTTCCCAGCTTTCATTACCGGTTTTCTTCTGAGTGATTCCAGACCAGGGGACGCGAGCAGATCGGATCCCCAGGCAGCCAAATTCATCCTTAAATTCATCCAAACGTTGAAAAAGAGACTGAAAATGTGTAGTACCTGCTTTCCAGCCAATGGAAATAGAGTTCGTGTTATTGTATTTACAGATCTTGTAAGTTTGTGACCTTGTAACAAATTATCTTCTAAAAATTATTACATCCTTATTCGGCAGAGGATTTGCAGGCCTACAGGTGCTTCGCAATGCAACACCTCATAAGGCATTATAAGGAAAAGCATGTTTCGCTAACTGAGAGTGAAAGCTTGTCTCATCTTTTTTTACATCTGTGATATTATTTTGTTTTAAGGTTATTGCGTTGTTCCATACGATTTACCGGGTAGCCGCATTAGGATCTATTCTAAAACGCGTGTTTGACATGGAACGAGGGCAACAAATAAATAAAAACAATGAGGACTTATCCCTGGAGCAGCTTACCATAATGAGTAAGTGTAAATACCTGTGATGTCTAGCAGTTCCACTTTTCATATAAATACGATCGAGCCCACATTACAAATGCAAAATTGTAAAGTTTCAAACTTTTTTTAGAATTTTCGACAGTCTTCCTCATCACTGCTGCGGTTGTGGGTAGGTAACGTTTGGTTTCCTTAAATTTTGCATTTTTAGTTGATTTATTAAAGTCATACAAAAAGGAAAAATTGCTATTTCCCTGTTAACTAGGTCTTGCTCTAGAAATGTTTCTATTTTTTCTACTGAACAATGGATACAGATCGGTAAACATTTTTAACTTTAGACTGTTCATATCTGTTCAATGTTGTCACCCAGCTTTGACGTTTATCCTCATTTTATCTAGAAAAATTATCGACATTGTCGACATTGGTTCATTGCTCGAATACTTATCCTAATTTTGAGTGTGCTGGGTTCTGTGATTGAGCACGTGCGGAATGAGTATACACTAATTGACGGGATTCTGGAAATTGAGAAGCTCTATCGGGTAGTCACGCTCATTCTGGTGCGAAACTTCATGGTGGAAATTTGTAAAGGACTGAGCGATAACCATTATGAGTACAACAGCAGCGGTGTGGGGGATGGATATCCCAACGGAATTCCTAGCATGAATAATATGCGTTCTCATAGTCATAGTCATGCCACATTTTAAACTTTGTCTCATGTCTCAATTTCTGTACCACAATGTTACAAACTCAAAATGTACCTCAAAATGTTGAACGAACAATAATAAATTTAAATTAATTTCTTTCATGTGACGAGCGTTCCTAGCACATAATTGGTGGATCTTTGGTATAAACCTATATGCAATACATCATAACTTCGTATTGCCCGAGAACCCTTTAATTTACTTCTTATGTACATACCTGTCTCGCCAAAATCTCAGGTATTGTAATACTGTGACTGATGTATAAGATGATATGAATTTTCGTATGGAAAATCTGGAAAAATTTTGAAATCTGAAAATACTACTTCTGTAGACGTACAAACAGACAAACAGAGTAATGATTTTGTCAGTCCCGACCTAAAGGGAACAAATTGTGATCAGTATCAACTTCAACCATTTGTTTAGCGCAGTCTCAACTTTATTTCTCATAAATCATTTCAAGTATGAGGTTGAAGCAGGGAGAAATAAGTGAAATGCTCCACACACTGTTAAACATGCTGTATCTGCTACTTTTTGATGATCTTTTAACCACCTAATCCTGTCGTAATTCATAATTTCCTACGCAAGTTCCTCTCAAGATCTGAGGTGTGTTTAGTGGCTGGCAGCAGTTGGCTGTTTCACAGTAGTTTTAACACCAAGATCAAGTTGCTCGCTTAGTTTCCTTCAGGAATTCATCTCTTTGATTTCCACATTTAATATTCTTAGAAGAGATACTGGCTTTACTGGTATCGATTTTCTGCCTTTGTTGCTCATGTATTTATGACAATGCGAAAGCAAATCAATGCATGCATACCATATTAATAGTAATTTAACTTCCACCCTGATAATTCTCTGTAATGCAGAGCAGCAAATATTTCAATAAATAAATACATAATGGGACATATTTTATGTCTTTGTCATTCGCTTCCTATCTTTTCGGAGCATGACGTTCCATCTACTTTAACATTATCAGCGATTGAATGAAAGTTTTATTCATTAAATTCTAACAATGCACAAGGTTTTCAGATTTGTCCCTTGGCTATATTATGCTATTTGTGGCTCTCGTAATAATTTTAATGACTCCGAGTATGTTCATATTAATGAAGGTAAAAACATTCTTCGTCGCATATGGCACTTCCTTCCACATTCGAGAAACTGTCACTCATTCTGCTTGATCTTATTTGGATAATGTTCCTACACTCGCGATAAACAATCTCCTTCTCGCTACCACAATCGCTCTCCGTCTCGTCGCCACAATGATTGAACGCTATTTTATGGGGTTCAGTAATTTATTAATAACCCCTTCATTTCCCATTTATCTCATTGAAAATCGTATTCTGGCGTGGTTACACTGTCAAATGTCACTCGATGAAAGATACATCACTCTAAATGACATTTTATAAATGGTGAGATATGTATTATGCATGATGACGGTTGCTCTTACTCATTTATGTTATAATTAGACCGTAATTATCTAATGGTGTTTAATGAGTCAACCGGAATTAACTGTTCCCGAATAATTTCTCTCAAAGAAAGTTAAACATAGTTAGTTCATAGTTGGTCATTTAAATATAATTTTTGTGGTTAAATTGTTTAATTTGTTTATCAGTCAATCAATCCTATGGGAAAGTTGGGATGTTTGTAAATCTCGGGTTACGCAGTCAAATCAATTGTCAATTTAATAATGCTGATTTTATAGTTTGATAACGCTTGCACTTCTGCAGAACTATTTTTGTACTCCAATACTTTCAGTTGCTTGGAATATTTGCAGGACAATAATTTTCGGCATTTATATACATTGTGAGGTTTGAAAATAAAGTTATAACGATGCATAACCGACGGTCTTCAAAATACGTAATCTTGTTTTCTAGCATGACGACGATGGAAATTTTCTGAGTGATCCAATCAGAAGTTATTTATTTATTCACTTAATATAATTAGTCGCAACTATACAACTACTTCTATTCCGAGAACAATCAAGTCGGAGTAAAAGTTTTTGAGCAAGTTTTTTGCAACGTTATCTCGATTTGCTGGGATCAGTCGATGGTCGATTACTAAACTCATCCGGATAAAGTCTGCATAGCTCAGAAATGTTATGGTGAACCCTGAAAATAAAACAGAGTTTTCCAGATACACGCATAGTGCAAGGCCTTAATGGATACATATGTACATGTTAGGTTTCAATTGAATTTTGACTTACCATTTTCCTTCGTTGAAGCTACAATAACATCTTCGACTGGACTCGAAAACATGCTAAAGTATTCAGTTGTGCAAGGCAAATTAAGTAATGTTCCACTACATTTGAGTTTCCGTTGAATTGGTTTGATCCACGTAATGGGAAAGAAGCCAAGAAAGTGGCGAATCATTCCATGGCACGTGGCTTCTCTGGACTGCTTCGATTTGCTATAGAATTCCTGACACAGTCTCAGCCTTTCTTTGGATGAAGCAACCCCAATTGGCAGTCGTATACTGATGGGAGATCTGCATATGAAAACATGATGTGTGTTGCATATTAAATATATGCATTTAAAGATCACAATTACATTTTGTATTAAATTGTTATGCCCTTATTGAAAATATGTGTGTATGTACCTATAAGTGCATATATTATCCCTAATGTCACACTGACATGCTTTCGTCATAGTAGGCAACTCAACCAGGATACTTTTGGGGACTTGTCCCAAAGTGAGTAAAGTGGTTCGAATTGCTGATGCAGTTGCTGCTAAAATGACGCTAGTGAAATTCACTCCAAGCAATAATTTAATATCTTTAATGTGTTGAACTGAGAATTTATCAATAATTTTAAAGTGATCTCGCTTGACAAGTTCTTTCTCTTCCACTCTCCAACAATGGTTATCTTCTTCACTTGGTTGTAGTAAAGCTCGTGCAAAATACAAGGGAAGTACGAGTGTAGTTCTGAATCTCTCATAAATGCATCTCCACATTATTCCAGTTGTATTAATGTATGTGCCCCGTACTTTCTCCTCAGACTTATGTGGCGTAGATGACGACGGTGATGATGAGTGATGATGATTTGATAAAGAGTGGCCTTCCTCATTGTCACAAAGACTGGTAAGAAATAACCGGAACCATGAAGCTATGTCCCCAAGAGACTCGTGAAAACGGATCAGCATAACCGTCTTGAGCTGCCTTGTGGAGGATGTCCTAGCTGAAGTGCTGTAATTGGGAACGAGCTCTAGCTCCCAAAGGCTCTTATTTCTCATCCATTGTTTTCTCAACAAGTTGGCCTGCAGTTTTAGGATGTCAGTCTCATTCCACACTTTATTTTCATCAGTATCGCTCACAACTCTGTGCAGGCGAACATGAGCTTCAATATTGAAGTCTTCATCCCACACCCAAAACATAAATTTGCAACAGCGAACAGGAAACTGTTGCAGTTGTGGGTACAGCAATTTGCCAGCGGCATTTTGTTTGCTTATAATATTTTCATACATCAGGCGACGGAGATTGTCAACTGTAACTTGTCCATTCAGCACGAACAAGGCAACGGTGTTACTCGGAATTCCATAAAGATCGTCATCTGCAACGAGCGCACTTTCCGGAGACATAATCGTGTCCACTTGTTTGATTCGAATTTTTGCCCAAATTTCGACGCACTTTCTAATTAGCTGAAGCACTAAAATTCCCAAAATGAAAAGGGGGAAAAACAAGTAAAGTAGTAGCACGAGAATTAAAATTCTTATTTTATATATATTTGCGACAAACCACACTTTTGATAATTTCGACATTTTGAGATTTTCTGAAATACTGATAATATGTCCAAATTTAAATTTAATGCTATTTTTCAAATCAGACAGCTATATTATATATGTTTAGTTCGTGACTGTTTCATTAGCACTATTCGTCCATGCACAGATTCGAATGCATTATATATTCATGTAGCAATAATGGTTTTTTATCACAAGAAACTCTCAGGGACACCCTCCCTCTTTACTTATTAATTTGTATGTAAGTATGTACATACAAACATAGCTGCGCATAATGAGAATGGGGCAAAATTTTATAAAGTCTCGTGTTTCTCACACGCGTAGCAATGCCTAGCCAGCTAATCTCAACGTGCATCAATTCACTGTCAGTTAGTATGGGAATTAAATTTCTAAACTCGTTCATTAATCGTGCAGTTAATGGAAATGTATATGTGGTGATAACATTAACATATTATTGCGGTGAACTCAACCACACCATTATTTTTAAAGATAGATATTTCAAATGAGCAATCAATTAGTGTTAATGTGTAAAACAACAATTTCAAAAATTTCAGATGACAACTGCGACAAGATTTTATTACTATTTCACTTATGTACATAGATGCTGACTTAGGATTTAACTTTCTCAAAGGAATTTTACGATAGACTTGATCTTGACAAGGAATTGCATGGACTGACTTAGAAGCGGTGAAACTGCGTGAAAAGTCCTATTGTTTGCTAATAATAAATTGATCATAGTAAATTAGGTCGTGGACGTGGAGGAGCTGTTCATTTATTTGTCGCTTGCCAGATGCTACACCGTTTTTTCTTATTTTACGGGAAAACTCACTAAACGTAACCAACTAGCATTACTGATCCAAATAATCCATGCATTTACACGTTTAGTTGGATGAGGCTGCTTCATATGTGTCCTAAGCGTTAAACTGTTATTACCATGAGCTTCTCATAAACTGTTTTTAAACACTGGCCACGAAAATCCAATTTAGCTTGGTACATATCTACAAAATACGGTCTGACCGGTGGGTTGCGTGCTTGCAAAACAAAACGCACGTCCGCCTTTCTAACAATATGCAACACCGCGAAAGGAGTTTGTGGTCATAAATGTTAAGACTTGAGTAGCATTGTTTTGCTCTTTGTTAGGATCATTCGATGACGCACTCGGAAAATAAATCCTTCCACAACAGGCTAACTTGCATCAAAACTGAACAATTGTGTAAATGACAGCATGCACTAATCCATAACTGTTGCGCGACATATTAATATTATAGCAAATGAAATATTAAAATGATGCATACACTATACATTACTACTAATTTTAAAAGCATACATAAGTAAAGTTCAAATGTTTGTCCCGTAGATGCATATATTATCAACTTCCTATATTTATGGAAGACCAAGTACTTTCGTAATCCATAGCTTTCGGCTACTGCCTCTGTCGACATTTCTTTCTGATGTACTCAAGTACAATCATTGGTTAACTGATAAACCATACTTACTTACAGCAGCACAACAACTTAGCATAACGTCTTACTGTGAGTGCACGCAATGCCTAACTTATTAAAAGATAAGATGTATGTAATACTGTTAAATAATAATTGTTATGTATAAAATATGAGTGACATTTCATTTCCCGTTTTAGCTCACCTTGACTTTCAGACATGTACATCCACACGATTAGCAGAATATTGCAGACATTAATTAACATTAGCTGCAATTAAATTAATTAACAATTTATTAGCAGGTCATACATATATTATGTGCAAGTATTTGTCATAATTCAGATACATATGTCTTTTTACAATCACATTTATGGCTGAAAATCATAAAATACAATCATAAAACATAACCATAAAATAATTGTCATGTTTTAAAAGCATAATAATCATGCGGTAATTTTAATGAGAAACAATTGTAAACTTTCGTCATTCTGTTACGTCCCAAGTAATCATATACACATGTAGATATTAGTATTTAAATACAAAATTTAGACTACATACATACATAAACAATAATACAAATGAGTGCATATCAGTAATGCCAGGATGAAGATAAAGCAGGATAAGCATCATATGACCTGGATTGAGGAAACATCAAAGATCTCTTAAATGCATTTTATTATTCGTCACTAATCAATTGGCACTTACGCAATAATAACTGCTCATCTGATTCAAACAATTAAATAGCATCATGTCTTTTCGCCAATTTGAAGAACCAAGTCATGCCTCATTGTACAGAAAGTACAGGGAGAAACCACCAGAGCACTTAATCGAAAGGATAATCCAGTTCTTGAAGGAAAAGGTAAGGATTATATTCATAAAACAACTTAAATTATGCGTACAATTGTAAAATCCGCGTACCCACACCAATTTTAATTGAGAAAAATCTACTTAAAACCTAACCTAAAGGGAAAGGTATGAGCATTTATAACACATATTACACCGAAAGTAAGCACATTACACACATTATCTATTTAGATCTGATCTGCGATATTAAACTATGCAACACATAATATATGTATGAGTGAGAAATTTTGTATGTTCAGTACTCTGGGCCTTTGAATCTGGTTGTGGACTTGGGATGCGGCTCCGGCCAATGCACGTTTTTCCTTGCGAAATATTTCAACAAAGTTCTTGGTACCGACATAAGCGAGGCACAAATTAATGAAGCCCTGGAGGAAAGCAGCGTGAGAAAATGTGACAACATTGAATTCCGGTTTGTATAATTATAGGCTTGCACTTTATGTTGCTATTATAAAATAACAATAATTGAATATTATTTCGTTTCAAATTTTTTAGAGTTTCAAGGGCTGAGGAAATAGCACTGGCAGATAAAAGCGTTCAACTAATCACGGCGTGCGTATCCGCTCATTGGTTTGATTTGGAAAAGGTGTATGAAGAAGGGCGTAGGGTTTTGTGTCCTGGAGGTGTGATGGCTTTCCTCTGCATGGATGGCCTCATTGCTGAGCAGGGGAATGACCTACAACGGAACCTAGAGTTTGCAAATATTATGGAATATGTAATTCAGACAACATTTCCATTCCCTAAATAATTTTAGCTAAAAATTTATTCGCATTCAGGCCAATAGTAAAATAGAGCCATATTATGCACCTCCCGTTGCACACGCATTCAACAAATATCGAGACATCACAATCCCTTACGACGATCTCACACGGTAACAAGTTTTTTAAGAGAAATTATTTCGGAACTTATGGATTTAAAAAAAATTATTCGAAATATTCTAAATATATATATGAAAAAATATATATGCAAATTTATGTATTGTCCCGACAGCGAGTATGGATATGAAATGAGTTCAACTGCAAATCTGTCAATGATTTTGGGAGCAATCAGAAGCTTTTCAGCGTTTCAAACACTCTGCAAAGTGAAAGGTTTAGAGGAGGGAGAGTCGTTTATACAACAAGTAAAAACCAGGTGAGCAAATGCATGCAAAAGGAATGAAATTGTTGATTTACATATTTCTAATAGTGCGTATTTATAGGTTTCTTGATGTCGCAAATGTCCCAAATGACAATATTAACGAGAATGTGTTCACAATCAAGCGTCGATATTTTGTGGTTATGGCACGAGTCTAACCAAGCGGTATCTGACCAAGAAATTGTAAACATGTGCTATGAACAGTTGCATCAAAAACCTTTGTAATGTAATCATGTAAAATTGAGCGGATAGTGAGGAAATAAAGATTAAATTAGTAAACTATTGTTTTGAAAGAGGAGCCTCTGGCATTATGAAGTATCAGAGGAAACATTTGTAATATTAAATAAAAATGGTTGATACATCTTTGAGATAAAAATTCAAGAATGAGATTATAAAATGAATAATAATTTGTTCATAGTTGTTAACTTGATGTCTTCTGTTTCAATGCACAAGAAACGCATGTGTGGAATTCTATGAAAATTTGTAGCATTTCCAACTAAACGTAGCCTACAAGTACAAGTCGTTAATTTTAATACATTGATAAACTCGTTGATGTTGTACATCTACCGCAATTAGTATCAAGTAATTAGCAGCAAAAATCTCACAATTAAATAAATGTTTGTAAAAGTTGAATCATACCTTTTTACATGAATCCATCAATTGCCCAAGTTTTCAAATAATTGTATGTATGTCTAATTTTATGTGTGAGATTCACAACTAAATCGGTCAGCATAATTAAATTCACTAATCATTAACGATATTTGTATCATTTGTAATTTTTTATGCTAATATTACACAACAACCGCCGTTTTGATGATAACATTTATGACTTGGTTAACCTAATTATTCCAACCAAGTGCAAGTCTAGATCACACCCATCAATGCAAATAAATTGGTATCTACATTTATGTACAGCCATCCGTACATATGTAAAATGAGAATCCACTACCACATATTCCTAAGAACTGTTGAATCACAGGCTTCACTGGAATGGTCACAACATAGGTCAGAGTCCGAGGTGCATTTCTTATTCGCGTGTCCGTTCATAGTAAATTAATATTTTTCTTGAACTTGATTTCCATCCAATAAATTACCCAATGATTTTTCTATGCCGCATATTACTCCTCGTTTTAACGGTACATCCAGTACAATATTAAGTGTCGTTGCAACGTTAATCCTAAGTAAATTAATGCTTAGATGTTTGAATGCATTAACTTTTACACATCTATTGCTAATAATTCCTCCAGACAAATAATAATCAATAGGGTCTGAATATATGCCAATCTGACACTGCTCAGTATCTATTACGACACCATCGAGCTGGACTTGGCTGAAATTATTGATGAGATGAAAGTACATAAGTATATATATTTTTAATATTTGATAAGTGCAAATTATGTATCTCAATTAAAAATGGATTGAGATACTACTTCTTTAAAGTCGATGTGTTCTCAGTGATATTTCTCCTTTCTTGCTCTGGTCTTCGTCCAAACTCCATATTTCGGAACTCTTGGGCAAATAAATTATCAGCAAATATGGATAATCGGGCGGTTGAGGAGGGGGTTTCCCTCGAAGAAAGTCCTTGGTACACTTCGGTGACCTTCATTGCCACCGTATCCATACTTTCCTTGACCCTACTCTTGCTTATAATTTATCGGAAAATGGTAGTGATCCTCGTGAAGACATTTCCCCGTGACTGCAGGTAATTTTACGAGCTATGTGGCTAAACTATATAAATTAAAAGAGGAAGCTGAAATCAAAGTATGTATAAAAACTGGTTATATCATATTTTATCACAGGGCGGTAGTGAGATTCGCAAGAGTTATAAAAACGCTAAAAATTTTTGGCCTAAAAAATATGTCAGTCGGAAAAATGTTTGACGAAATAGTAAAGAAACATCCAAACAAGGTTTGCTTCTATTTCGAAGACCAAGAATGGACTTTTGCCCAGGTTCGTCTTTAATTGTGTAACAAGTACTGATCATATAGCAATATTCTATAATCTGATCTAAATGTAATGTTTTCAAGGTTTCTGATTATGCAAACCGCGTGGCCAATTATTTCCAGTCTCAAGGGTTTAGAAAAGGCGATTCTATTGCTCTCTTCATGAATAATCGGTAAATTTCTTACCAAACTGCATTAAAAGAATCCTCATTTTATCATAATTGGATGATCAATGAATAGGATCACGTAAAGCCAAAAATAAAACATGAGAATGAGATACAGAGTTAGCAGCGTACTCACGTCATGTTTAGGCTTCCTTTACTGAGTTTTCTAAATTTTAGCCAAAAATAAAGCCCTTTTGAAATAATTCGTAATCAAAATATAGAAAGAGTGTTCCTCCACGCATGAATGAATGGCTCTGTTCTGAATTTCTTGTCAAGGTTTAGATTGATAATGGACAAGTCTTGTTTGTTGAAGGGGTGAGACGTGAGATATTGAATGACCCCATAAAAGTTGAGGCTTTCACACCCACTAATCTTTACTCCCCAAGCTATTAATTAATCCCAATGTTAATAATACAGCCTTGACGTAGGATTTTACTTTTGCGTTAGCGAAAACTTATAGCTACTCACTTTTTGTGACCCTTTGTACTGCTCATTCCATCATGACTTATTTATTTGCTTTGAGTAACCGAGTTTACTATCGTTTGTGTTAAATAGACCGGAATTTGTGGCTGTGTGGCTTGGACTTTCTAAAGTAAGTGGAGAAGTTTCGAAATAAAGTTTTGTCATTTTCTCCAAAATTCATTGCATTGTGCACATTATAATTCCAGATCGGAGTAATGAGTTCATTAATAAACTTTAATTTGCGTCTCAAACCTTTGCTCCATTCAATTGAAGTGGTCAACTCGAAGGCCATAATCTATGGGCATGAACTTTCTGAAGGTAACAGATTATCTCTTGTGCAGTAATGTGGATGGTGGTGCAAAGAAAATCCTTATCTTACGTACTTCGTCTCCCATTTACACTTGCAGCCATCCAAGAACTGAAAGACGAAGGATTGCTTAATCTGCCAATATACTGCTCTGGACATTCTGGCAAATCCATCACAGTGGACAACTCAATTGACATGGATGAAGCCATAAAGAGGAATTTAGGAACCAATCCTGTGGTGAAAGAAGTTGTTGGCTTTCATGATAATCTTGTCTACAGTGAGACTCGCACACTTTGTTTCATACGCACGATATTTGATCATATTTGTTCATTTACCTTAATTATGCTATTATGAAATTAAATTTAGTTTACACTTCGGGGACCACTGGGCTTCCGAAGGCCGCCCCTATAAAACATTCTAGGTGATTAATTTAATGGCATATGGAATTTTAAACTAATTTTAACCATCTTGGACGGAATAATCAATGTTTGTGTACATGAAACAAAAAGGTTTTTCTTTATGGGCGTCGGCGGACACAACTTGTAAGGTTATGGAATTATTATGTTATAACTGTGTTATGCATTATAATTATTATATTATAACTCCACATGCATGACCTGACCGAGTCTGATATCCAATACACGGCGTTGCCTCTCTATCACTCGGCTGGTGGTAATTTTGCAAAGCTTAAACTAAATTAGACTAATTATTGCATTAAGGTTTCTGTGTAGGACAAGGAAGATAATTCCGAGTGCGAGTATTTTCCCAGTCTCATCTTTCCCTCTCGTTTTGCATAACATTGTTTCGCCTATCTCGAAACTTTGCATCGAAATTGTGGGGGGGGGGAGTTGACACCAGGGTTCAGTCCAATGTTTTTTATTTGTTTTTCTTCGTCTGATGGTAGTTTTCATCAGACACAGAAAACCAAATTCTAAACACCGGAGAATGCATTTCCCTGAGGTCGACTCCCCCCCCCACAATGTCGATGCGAAGTTTCGAGATAGGCGAAACAATGTTATGCTAAACGAGAGGGAAAGATGAGACTGGGAAAATATTTGTACTCGCACTCGGAATTATTTTCCTTGTCCTACACAGGAACCCTAAATTAGAAACTAAAGGACATGAGCATCAGAGTATAATGGTTACAATATTTTGTACAATAGGAATTCTTGGCATTGGCCAAGCCCTGATTTATGGTACATCAATCGTCATCAAAAAGAAATTTTCTGCCTCCAGTTGGTGGAAGGACTGCATTCGCTATAAGGTGACGGTCTGCCAATACATCGGAGAAATCTGTAGGTATTTGTATTCACAACCTCCATCTCCAGAAGATAAGCAGCATCGAGTGCGTATCATGTAAGTGGAATTTGTGATGGTGAAAGTAAAGTTACCTTAAATTACTCATCCTTCTCTTACATATGTACATAATTTGCATGAAAATGAGTAAATATTTAACTTTTTCGTGATTTAAGTCCAAATGTCAGAAATAGACCAAGCAGTGAATTGAATTTGAATGATTATATATTTATTCACTAGGTATGGGAATGGACTCAGGTCCGAGATATGGGCCAGCTTCGTCCAACGATTCGGAGTCAAGCGTATTGGAGAGTTGTACGGCTCGACGGTAACTTTTTCTTGCACTGGCGCATACTTTTTTGCTGAATTGTTAATTGTAATTTCAAGCTTGATTATTTCGTATGTTCCCCTCATAGGAAGGAAACTGCAATGTTGGTATGTTTACAATAATTCCATGCATTTCATAATATAATTTCCAATTGCATACATGCATGTGACTATTGTTGTCTCTTCTTTTTGCAGTGAATATCGACAGTAAAGTTGGAGCGGTTGGATTTTTCCCACGCTTCGCCTACCCTCTTCTGCCCACCTCTTTGGTAAACCATTGAACAAAATTGAAATCGAATTAACATAGCTGATTGAATTAATGCTGAGGGCCGCACAATAACTTAGCTACCAATGATAATATATACACTAGGTCAAAGTGAATGAGGAAACTGGAGAAATACTCAGGCATCCTAAAACAAATCGGGTTATTGCATGCAAACCAAATGAAGCTGGTGAACTGATAGGAAAAATTATCGCTGGGAATCCTTTAAGAGACTTTCAAGGGTATAAAATATCCACAACTGAAATTACGAGTCTTCAAAAAATTATACTGTTTAAAATGTAGCTTGTAATTTGTGTACAAATTCAGGTATGCTGATCCTGCAGCAAGGGAAAATAAAATTATTCGTGACGCTTACCGAAAAGGAGGTATTATTCCTAACTATTAATTTGTTGAATATAAGTGTTCTTCAATTTAAAGTTAATCTTTATTGACCAAAATGTGGAATGAATGGGGTTGCTAATGCATAATGCCTCCTTGATTTGTCCATTTTTTAGACGCCTGGTTCAGAAGTGGCGATATTTTAGTCATGGACGAATTCGGTTACTTCTACTTCCGGGACCGTACTGGAGACACTTTCAGGTGGAAAGGCGAAAACTGTTCCACCGCCGAGGTCGAATCCGTGGTTAGCAATGTCTGTGGATTGAGGGACGCTGTGGTGTACGGGGTCGAAATTCCGGGAAATGAAGGAAGATGCGGCATGGTTTCGATAGCAGATCCGAACAGTGACTTGGACATGGATGCTTTGGCCAGTAAGGTGACAAAAAGTCTCCCAGTTTATGCAAGGCCTCTTTTCGTAAGAACTATGCATGAAGTAGAACTAACAGGTACTACATATTTGCATATTTAGTATGTCCATTAATCATGAAAATATATGCATATGAAAATATATGATTATGTTTTAATTTATTGATTTTATTAATTTCTCAGGAACGTACAAACTTCGAAAAGTCGATTTGCAGAAGGAAGGATTTGATATCAACAAAATTAAAGACAATATTTATTTCCTCTCAAATCACAAATACGTAAATCTAGAGCATGACTTATTCAATAAGCTCGTATCTGGTCAAGTAAGACTTTAACTAATAGAATTTGTTATTGAAGTGATAATACTAACAAAAAAATCTGAAAAATAAAGACGAATTGATTTTATCTACAGACAAAGCCACTCGGTCACTCCTCTGTAAACTCTCATTTTAACCCTCGATTTTTCCAGGGTTGAAAATTGAGATCTTGAAGTAATGAAAATGTGCATGCTCAGACAGTTGTTAAAATTTTTGTTTACAATAATTTGTTACGGTTCCTTAAGAATTCTGTCGCCAGCAAACTACGATGGTGCGCACATTATTATCGCAGTCAAAAGTCACAAAATAATGATTAAGCACGTTCATCCGTTCATCATTCTTGAACAACTACGTACGATAACAAAATCTTATCCAGCCGAGAAATTACTAGAAACTTTGGCAGTAAATTATTTCTTGATCCAGTTGTTCATCATGGTTAAATTATTATATGTTCATGTGGCAGTTGGAACCATAAAAGAAAGTCGCTTTATTTTTTTATCAGTCCATGCATGTACAAAGTTTTGTAAACAGTGTCGGCATCACAAGTCTAACTCTACTCCTGATTACGCTTGAAACAATATGCATGGAATTTGATCTAAACTCTCGCTCGATCTCCTACTCCCCACAACTGGTCATGTCAATTTACTATACAATAATAAAGGAAAGAATACAGGGAATACTTTCAAGAATGATAGGCTCTCCGGAGTTAGTTTTGTCAACTTCCAGTCACTCATCGTCATTTTCATAAACCCACGACGCAGTGTAAGTACCCCAGTCAGACAAGATCAGTGTTGCAAACTTTGTCTCTTTGCATATACATACATATGCACTAACATAGAAAATAATACGTATGAAAAGTGAGACGACGTGTTGAAATAAACGCACATTATTATTGATAAGTATATAAACCTGGCCTCGAGACGGCTTCTTCTCCGCCTTCCTCATTACTTATTTTGAATTCTTTAGCGAATAAACAGTGACAAGTGTATGTCGAAAGCCTTGTTGAGCAAAGCATAATACATGCTCATGTGCACTCTTCTATATGATAATCTGCTGGTAATAATCATAATGAAACCTAAGTGAATTAGTTGTCAATTGCCAAACTAAGCCAGGAAGAATTTCATAGTCGTATGCAGTAAAGGGAGATTTAAACTTGTGTGGTGTTGCTCAAGGTGAGCGGAAGGATCGGCTAGTTAGTAATTGGATCGTGTTAATTAAACATTTTTTGATCATTTCACATAAAATAATAGTGTACTTTGATTGATTGTTGATCAGGTTGATCAGTGAAGTGCAGTGCCATAATGTCTTAAAATTTGGTCACAAATCTTATTCTAATTTAAATACCATATATGAAATTAAAAGTAAAGGTGAATGTGTGCATGCTAATAAATATCAAGGATTACATACACCGGATCTGATCATCTTTTCAAAATGTTTGAAATACTGCTGCCGATTTTGATGTGCCTGATAAGTCGGTCCCACGCTGGATATGTTGCTCATGGATCAGACTACTACGAAACTCCATTACTTGTAACCCCAAAATATCCGAATTCCGTCAGTGCCAACGTGAGTCAATTTCGTCCAACTCGATGGAGAATCTCCCCCGATTTCATTTTCGGCTTCAACAGCTCGGTATGCATATGTATTGACTGACTTATTTAATAGCAATTTTCCATTTGTAGGTACACGAATATATGTATTTGTTCTTTACTAAAATTATTGCAGACCACGATGCTAAGATTTGAGCTTAAAGTAGATGAGGACACCCCGTCCATGTTTCCGGTTTTCATTTCCTTAATACAACGATATTCTACTACACAAGTCGAGCTGCCTCTAAGTGTTCACTCCAAAACGGCAAACCCGTAAGTGGAACGATAACGAACCTTGTCGTATGATTGTTCATCATATAAATTAGTGATTGTGCATGCTTCGTTGATAAAAAATATGTATTTATGAATAGAATACGATACACGACTGCCAGCAGGACTCTCTGCCTGATGGACATAAACGAAGCTGAGAAAGACGCGGTATTGGTCGCCGTTGCAACAGGAAGCTCTCAATTAATCGGATTTCATATGATGGTGAAAGTAATTCAGGAGGATTCTCAACTAATGTGAATTTTTTTCCTATGTGTACCAAATGGCTTTATCTCTGATTGAATAATATACTGAAGTCCACAAAACTTTTAAAAATTTAGCCTCGATAAATCAAGAAAACTATCCACGTCCCCTACGACACCAATCCTTATCCGGGTCCCTTTTCATGCTAATGGTTCACAAAATGTGGCTCTCCACATATCTGCGAGCAACGAAAATTGTCTTGCAGTTGGGATTCAAGAACCCAAGGTAAATTTCATATTTAGGATTGCAATATGTAAATCCGTACAGTATTTAATTTGTTGCAAGTGATTTATTGAAACATGTAATTGTATTTATATCTTATCTACTTATTTTAGTGCCCAGCTTCATTTCTTCCATCCGAAGACAATTTTCGAGGGGGAAATGAGTGGAAAATCATGTCTAAAAATGGACTGATCAGAGTTGACGTAAGTATTTATTAATTAATTAGACGACAACCGCGTAATCCATGTAATAATAAGCAAATGTAGAACGTATTTTTATTATTGTATTTTTTTGTACACATAGATGACAGATTACCTCCGAGGGTTCTTTGTGAAAGTGGTTGTACTCTCTGATGACACTTTGTGTGGAAAAATGTACTCAAAGTCCACAGGACATAGATACACTGACCTTAATATCAGTTTGAAGAACGACCTTCCCATATCGGTCACAAATGGCCATTTTTTGCTACAAATTGCAATCCCACCCCTACTCAGTTTGATTGTGGGGGTGATTGTTGTATCGGTGTACTTGATCACATATACTTGTTCTAGGAGAAGGTAAAACAGTCCACAGAACGTCATTCCTTTTTTACCTAAAATTGGCATTAATCACTAATTTACTACTGTTTTGATAGAATGTTGGCATGCAGAACGTACAATGTCAATAAGTCTGAAACCAAAGCTGTTTGCGTGAAACAATTTTCTCAATCTCAAACTATCAAGCCCAACAAGTACGGCAAGTGGACCATTATGGTTTCCCTTTTATACGCTCTTCCTATCTTAGAGCAGACCGTCTACAACGGATTGGTATTAATCAACTTCTTTTTCGATCCAAAATTACATATTTAGTGACACACATAACAATATTTACGTTCTTTACAGATTTCAATGAATAATAACTCGGGCCTTTACGGGATTTGTTCCTACAATTCATTGTGCTCTCACAAGTTCTGGATTTTTCAGGATGCCAATCACTTGTGGTCGAATGTGTCATATCTGGTTTTGGGGGTCTGTTTCATTTTTGTATCATTTATGAAGCAATTCTTGCAAAAGAAATCAGAAGGTGCCAATCATATGTACTAAATTGTAAAGCGTAGATTTTGATTGGAAATTAAAACGTGTATATTTTTAGAACAAGAGGGCGTACAGTATTTCGTAGGGTTATATTACGCCATGGGACTGGGCTTGATTGCAAAGGGACTAATGAGTTTCACTTATCACTTCTGTCCATCCAAATCCAATTTCCAATATGGTATGTTGAATGTTTTGTTACTATATGCATGCTCTACCTTAATCTACCTTATGCATAAACCACACTTGGGAAAGTTTAAACTGAAGGTGTGCATTACATAATTTTAGACATGATTTATTTGGCTGTGTTGATTGGCATTTGTCAAGTAAAACTCTTTGAGGCTCGTCGTCCCAACACCGTTAGCATGTGAGATTTAAATATATCAAATTGTCACTACATGTAAATTTACATAAATATGCAAATAATAGTGGCTTTTCATGTGCGGCATTAATCATAATCTTGACCATCTCAACCCTTGGAATCGCGTTCGAACGCTACTTTCGAGATTTTGAAGACACCTTTTTTGGATTTCGAATAGCAGCCGCTGTTATGCAAGGGATTTTCATTTTCTATGCCTCTGTTTATTCGCTTTACTGCGGCTACCCCATAAAAAGTATGTAAATGTCATACATATACTGAAAATTAGTTGTTTTTGAAATATCGAAATTGGCATACAAATAATATTCAATATTATCCGATTAGGAGTTTCACGGACAATGGACAAGCAGGAAGTTGTTCCACTTCAAAGAATTAGTGGAACTGCCGGTGAAGCCAGAGTTGATTCAGTAACCGTACAGGCGTTCACAAAGACCTTGGGGAACATTCCTAGGTTTTTGTGGATTTTCCCCAAACTCTGGCAGTGGAAACTGCCAAAATTCCGTTGGGAAAGGTTTCTTTACGCTTTGTTGCTACTGAGCTTAAACAGCTTCCTCATATACTTTTCACTGACGGCAAATTATTTCCAATATGTGTTCTTTTTCCTTGGAGCAAATTTTGGCCTGAATATCGTCTACTACATTCTGATGAAAGTGAGAGGGGTACAATTTTACTATGCAATCAAGTGTTACCCACAAGAAATATCAGCAATATTTTATTTTCAGATTGTGTTTGGTGAATTCACCTGCAAATGGAAATCGGTACAAGTTTTTGTGTATTTGACAGTAGCTCTTTCGGTGGGCGTGGTCACTGGCTTCCTTTTTCTGCAAAATGAGTGGAGTGAACCGTCAACCCAGCACAAAGACAATGATGAGGCCTGTATGTGGGTGCTGCCTTATCCGTTCTATGATAAGCATGACATCTTTCATATGCTCTCGGCTCATGTGCTTTTCTTCACATTTATGGTACATAAATACGTAAATAAATGAGAACTTGCTCTATATGATGTTTTAGTAACATTTACGCAACTAGCAACCCTTGGATCTCTGGCGCATTGATTGACCCTATTTCTTTGATAATTTCAATAGGTCTTGTTGTCCATTGATGATGGGATTGAAGGCGTGAATCAAGAATATCTCCTTGTCTTTTGAAACATACGATGTGCCGGAGGAAAAATAATTTATCCTGAAACTGCCTTAGGATAATGCTTTTTTTGTTATATATAGTTAGATACGTGCATGATTACGTCTTGTGCATACAGGCCAAAGGGTCAAGTAATCAATGCACTTGGAACGAGATTACCGAATCAAATACACTCTTATTTAAGCCCATATTATTTGTAAGCTGCTGATCAGTTTTTATACAAGCTTTTAGTACTGCGGGTACAACTTTTGTATTTCTTAATAAGATATGAGCAATATTAAGACTTATGAATTATTAATGTTTTTCTGCGGAATTTATTATGTTTTAGTGGACATTGGAATTTGACCTCATAATCTTGTGCCAAACATCCATGTCAATAAATACTTATGGAAAGATTTTTAATCTGTCATCGCTTATCGTAGTATTGAGCGTTTATAATCAAATATTGATGAATGACTGCTTATATATACATATATATGCAAGAAAACTGTAGCTCCCATACAAAATATGATGCTGGTTATCTTCAGTGTTGGCTGATTAACTTGAACAGACCCATGTTCATGACCCATGTTATGTATGCATATGTACATATATTTATAGATGAAGGCGTAATTGTTGTTCGTAAATAAAGTTATTACTAAATAGTCACATTGGTCTCACAAAACATAGTTGACCCAGTAAGTGGTCCAGTTATTTCTGTACATATATTGACATAATGAATAAAAAATTTTAAAAATAAAATAAAATAATGGCAGTAATAGTAAAGCAATAGAGTTAACAGTGTACAAAGCATCGCAAAAACTGTCAAAATGTCGTCGTTATTGTCCTCTTTAATAACCGCGAGCCCTAGCTTTTCCCCAGCACGGGCGTTGGGGGTATGTCTTGGAGTTATCGGGATCATCTGGATAATTTCATATCGTAAGTTCGTTTCTGCAGTCATAAGAACCTTTCCGAGAGACGTGACGTAAGTTGTATAAAAAAAGTTATTTTTAATACTTGATGCTTCTGAGTTTCATGTTGCTAATCATATTTCAGGGCTTTGTTCCGTTTGCTGCATGTCGTTCGTGATTTATGGGTTTTACAAAATTACAATTGCACCGTGTCCCAGGCTTTTGACGATGTTGTAAGGCGAAATCCAAAGAAAATCTTGCTTCGCTTCGAGGAACAGAAATGGACAGCAGAACAGGTTGAATAGTTATGCATATGTAAATATGTGTATTCATACATATGATGATAAAACAAAGTTAAATTCGTAGATTCAAGAACTTGCAAACAAAGTTGCAAATTATTTTCAAGCCGAAGGTTACAGAAAAGGGGACACTGTGGCAATCTTTATGGAAAATTGTTCAGAGTATACAATCCTTTGGTTAGGATTGAGCAAGGTAGGAAAATTTTTATTCAAGGTCTAAAAAATGAGACGCTATACTATTGAAATTTCAGATTGGAGTTGTCTCATCCCTTGTAAACTATAACCTAAGGCTTCAGTCCCTCAAGCATTGTTTCGAAGCTGTTAGTTGCAAAGCAATAATTTATAGTCCTGGTTTATCAACTGGTATATAAGCGAAAAACAATTTCATATTTAAGAAGTCTATTAACAAAGAATCATTTATTTAGCTTTGGAAGAACTTGATCTTGGCACAAAACCTTTGTTCTGCATCGGAAAAGAAACCTCTGCAAAACTGAGCAATGTGTCCAAGGATTTGATGACACAGTTAAGGGATGTTAAAGGGACGCAACCTGTGGTGAAGGAGACTATTGGTTTTCTCGACAATCTAATGTATATCTATACATCAGGAACAACAGGTTTGCCGATTTTGAATGGAATCTTATAAATGACGCTTCACGTATTTCAAACCAAATTTCTCGGCTGTCAATAATCCAGACATTCCTTAATTTCAGTACATGAATGCGCAAAATTAGTTTCTACAATTATTTTCTACAGGTTTGCCGAAAGCATCCACAATCAAGAATTCCAGGTTTATTTTCTTTAGTTTTAGGTGTTAGATGTTTCGCATGAGCGTATTAGAATATTTTCAAAACTTAGGATAAGTTTTATATTAGATTTTTAATGGCGGCTGTTGGAGTGTTTTATATGCACGGTCTCAAAAAGACGGACACGTTATACACCTCGTTGCCTCTGTACCATGGAGCGGGGACGTTTTTGGGAGCTGGGACGATGCTAACGTATGGTGTCACCCAGGTAGGCAACTGGACGATGCTTAGGATGAATGGTTACAATATGCAAACGCGTATTCAAAATTATAAAATATTTCTCGATCCAATAGGTCGTCCGAAAGAAATTTTCGGCTTCAAATTTTTGGAAAGACTGTATCGCCTACGACGTTACTGTAAGAAATGGCTATTGCTGCTTTTGCATATTTGTAGTACCACGGTCGCTAATGGTCCGCTAATGGTATTTAGGTAGCGCAATATATTGGTGAAATCTGTAGATACCTTGTCACTCAGCCACCATCTTCTTTGGACAAAGGTCACAAAGTACGTGTAATGTTCGGGAACGGGCTAAAATTGGAAATATGGAAAGAATTTGTGGAAAGGTTTCTTTAAGCAAAGCTTTAATCGTTCAGACATTCATTGAGACATTCACTAACGGTTATTACTACAGATCTATTATTTGTATATAGATTTGGCATTAAGCACATTGGAGAAATATACGGTGCAACAGAAGGAAATTGCAATATAGGTACATAAAAAATCTCGTCAGCAAACGCGTCAGCTTTCCTTAACCTTTAGGATCCCAGTCCACGAATGTCATGGAATTTATTAATTTTCCACTTAAATCCCATGTACACAAGTGTCATGGAATTGTAAAAAATCCCCCAAATCCCAACTCCATGAATGTCATGGAATTTTGAAATTTGGTCGTGTGTCCCAGATACACGAATGTCATGGACACACGACAAAATCCGTTGAATCCCAGATACACAAATACGTGTATTTTCAAAAAAAAAATATTTTGCGACTACGAAAAGTGATTTTGCAGGTCAATTTTGCCAATTCCAAGATGTCAGACGGTAATTTTGAACAAATTCATATATATTTAAATATCATATATGTATGTGCATATACATATATTGTATACGGTGCAGAAAGCGATTCAGAAGAGCATTTTCATGATTCGGGGTCTGAGGAGGAGGATAGCGAGTGCAACAGAAAGCGATTCCGAGGACGATTCAGATTCGTTGGATGGCACTGCGAATCGCGACCCCACCGTAAGTCCTAATATTCCAATTTTATGATATATATCCTCATACTTACATTGTATGATCTAGTTCAGGGAAAATGAGCTGTTCGCCCCTGTGGTTGAAGATTTTGACGAGTCCGAAGACAAAATCCGCCCGGAATTTGGCGTTTCAAGAAGGACGTCCCCTCTACAAATGCTGCAGAAATTCCTCACTGACGGAATCATTGGGGATGTGGTGCGAGAGACGAACCGGTACGCAGAACAGGATTGATTGGACAAGGCACCCTGCTTCATACACGGATTGGAAACCGGTCGATTTGGCGCAGATTTGGCAATTCTTAGCGATTACTTTCATGATGGGGCTGGTGAAGAAGCCGTCCATTCGAGAATATTGGAGTACCGATGAGTTGATTCAAACTCCGTTCTTTGCAACCGTTATGTCTCGAAATCGGTATGATAGGGTAGCATGAGATAAATAATGGTACATATGTACATACATAAAATGCATGCATAAATTCAACTTTACAGATTTCAAGGCATCCTGAGAGCTTTACATTTTTCAAACAATGAGAATTACACAGGAAGAGATCGTTTTTGCAAATTGGGCAGCTTCATGCACGATATTTTGGGCAATTTCTCCAGTGCAATATTACCAGGCAAAAATATTTGCATTGATGAGACTCTTCTTGCCTACAAAGGACGATTGTCATTCCGCCAGTATAATCCTAAGAAGCGAGGTCGGTTCGGGATCAAAATGTTCGTCTTGTGCGATTGTGCCCTCAAGTTCGTCCTGAATATCTTGCCATACCAAGGGAAATCTACTCCTCTAGCTGATCGGACCTGGGTGAAGGATCTCGGATTTGGTGGCGCAACAGTACTCACTCTACTGCAAGGTTATCTAAACAAGGCTCATCGTGTCGTTTTGGACAATTGGTTTCTGGGACCGAAATTAGCCAAAATAATGCTCGCCGAAAAGACTTATGTGCTGGGCACAGTACAGCGACGTCGGAAAGGGATGCCGAAGATGAGGGGGAAACTGGCCAAAGGACGTGTTGAAACCTATTGTGATGATGAAATTTTGATTGAACGGTACGCTACAAGTTTATGCATTACCTAAGAATAATAATACCCCAATTATAAGAATAACTATGTAAATAGCTGGAGTGACAGGAGGGAGGTATGCATGTTGAACACTTTTGTCCCCCATTCCATGCGCATTGCAGAGTCGTCCAATCCGAGGAACACCAGGGAGAAACCAGCAACGGTGCTACTTTACAACTCAATCATGGGAGCTGTCGACAATGTTGACAAGAGTATCAAGCCCTATCAGTCCGTTCGGAAATTGTACAAATGGTATAAGAAAGTGGTGTTTAATATGATCGATGTAGCTACCTACAACAGTATGATACTGTACAACCACTTGCATGCTGACCAGAGAGCTGTACCCTACAAAGATTTTGTCATGAAGATAGTCAGAGAAATTCAAGAAAAATATCCAACCCTCAAGAAACCAATTGGAAGACCTCCAACAGTACCACGAACTGAAAATCCAGCCTTTCCAGTTCGATTGAAACCTTGTCACCATATTGCTGTCAAACACTTAGATAAAAATGGAACGCCATCGTACTCTGACTGCATTTATTGCAAGCACCACGCTGAATACTCTCCGAAACGCAAGACGACCCCTTTCAGCTGTGAGATTTGCAAGGTTCGGCTTTGTATTCAAGGAGGTGACTCTTGTTTCAAGCGGTATCACACTGATAAAAAGCTGAAGGTAATTTCCATAATTGTATAATGGTAATGACGATAATACCAATAATAATTTTTGCTACATTGTAGAAAATCTCAACCACTCCACAAAATACGCAGAGTCAGCCCCACACTCAAATATCGCAACCACGACTTCCCGAAGACATTGATACTCTGGGCCCAAATGCAGTTCAATTTATTTTAAGTCCTAATCATGAAATCGTAGTATTTGGTGAAGATGCAAATCTGCTCACTGGTGCTCAATTTTCGGACGAATCATCTTTGCCACCCATTTAAATTAATTTTCATAATTATGTTTACTCATGAATCGTAGTAGTTTTTCTTAAATATCGTTGCATGTGATAATACGAACATATTCTGTTGGTTTTTTCTTGAAAATAAAATTCGGGTCCGTGTGGTCGGAAAAGATTCATCAGCTTGGGTGCGTGAAGACAATTTACTGACAATTATTCGGGCCTGAAGGATATTTAATTGGAAATTAATTAGGGACTTAGTGATACGATTTTTCTTGACAACATTTTATAAATGGGATTCTAAAGGTTAATTAATTTTACCCAATGATAACTCGGTATTGAAGAATAATTTCTTTTATGTAGTCAACATTGATAGCAGAATTGGAGCTGTTGGATTTCTTCCTGTCTTGTTTTCATATGTACATCCCTTGAAGATCATAAAGGTGGATGAAGTCACTGGAGAACCACTTCGAGATAAGGACACTGGTTTTGCAATAGAATGCAAACCCAATGAGCCTGGAGAGCTGATTGGAAAAATTCGAAGAAGTCACCCACTTTTGGATTTTGAAGGGTTTAGCCAGAAACATTATATATAATTGGTATGTATTTGATGGATTATTAAATTTCCTTATGCATTTTAATTTCAGGTATGCCGACAAAAGCTCATCGAAAGATAAGGTATTGTCAAACGTGTGGCGCAAAGGAGGTAATATTTCTACCGATTAATTTGTTGTATATATGTATAATATAGTTAAGTTAAAATTCACATTTTTTAGATGCCTGGTTTAGAAGTGGAGATATTTTACTGAAAGATGAACTCGGTTACATATTTTTTAAAGATAGGAAAGGCGACACATTTCGATGGAAAGGTCCGTGCGAATTAAACATGAATAAGGTTTTCTCCAACAATTAAGCACTTTTGTAAAAATGTCCAAATAGGCGAAAATTGTTCAACCTTGGAGATTGAGGCTGTCATAAGTACCATCACGAAGGAAGATGCTGTCGTGTTTGGCGTGGAAGTTCCTGGGGCGGAAGGACGAGCAGGAATGGTTGTGATAGGAAATCCGGACAATAATTTAGATTTGAACAACTTGGCCCTTTGTGTAAATAAGGCCTTGCCAAGTTATGCTCGCCCCGTATTTGTTAGAATCTCACCAAAACTTGAAATGACTGGTGAGGATAATACTATTCATAACTTGAAAAATTGTAATTTAATGTTACATAATTTAATAAGTTTCTTGTCATCGCAGGTACATACAAGTTAAAGAAAGTAGATTACCAAAAGGTTGGATTTGACATTCACAAAACAAGTGATAAAATATATTTTTACAATGGAAATAAATACGTAGAATTAAGTGCAGAGCTGTATGATGACATTGTGGCCAGCAAATTGCGTTTTTAATATATACAAAAATACATATTATTACTACATACATATTGCATGCAGTAATAGAAAATTTAAAATGTAGCAATATATTTGGTTCGTTCGCTAATAGTTCGTTGACATTTTTGTACGAATTAAGTAAATTAATTATCATTAGTTCATTTGTTTATTTTATTTTTATATGGACAAATAAATGACAAATAGTTACTGGTCTACTTGGTGGTTTGGGAATTATAATGACAATTAATTCAACAACACCTTCCTTGTCGTGGTCTTGGCCCATGAAATTGCTTATGTATGTGTCAATATGGGAAAACTCCCAACTTTTGCATAATTTTATTGCAAATTAATTAGCAACTGTCGCATATACAAATAATATTAGGCTGCTAGTATTATGATTAATCGATTTGTACTCGTTCAGTGTGACATAAATATGTACCTAAAACCATACCAAAACATACCTATATGTAAATATATAAGACTTTGAAGTTCAGAAAATTTGCTTAGTCGAATTTGAGAAACCAATTCATCTGTGATCTCACAAAACTGTATAATGATGAACGGCGTAAGTTGGCAGGTTATTATTTTGGCGTTAACGGTGGCCACCGTGCTGTCGTCAAAAGGTCGAAGGTTTCATGAGGAATCCTGCGAAGAGGTAATAAAGAGAAGACATAATTTCAAAAACAAAGTTTTTTCAAATATAATTTGAGGCGTATGTGGAAATTTTTATAGATGATTCCTCAATTTATTGACCACATAACATCAGAGAATGCCGATGATGGAGGAGAATGTGGCGAAGTGGGGCAATTCCCAAAGCCTGGAGATTGCACGGCATTTTTTAAATGTGTTCGAGGAAGGGGACGAATTCTTGGAATATTGGAATATTGTGCTATTGGGTACAATTTTGATGGAAATAGTTGCATTAGAAGCAATAACGTGACCGATTGTCCACAATTTATTTGTAAGCCAACAAATAATACTATTGTTGGCGGTGAGAGGTATGAAGAATAAGAATTTTTTACAAGTTATTATTTCTAAAAGTATATCATTAACCCGATTTCGTTATATTTTCTCCTCCACAAAGTTCCGATTTGCCAGTAGAAATTGCATCAAGTGCCGCACAGAAAGGGCAGGAAATTGAAGAATTAAAAAACAAAGCTGGAAAACTAGCAAAAATCAATTCTTTTGTTTTATTTTTATACGGTTGTACTTTGCTTTATTAGTTATCTATAGTAGTATTGATAAGTATGCAAAATCATTAATTGATCATTAACCATTTGTAAAGCAATATAATATTAAATGAGAAAATAAATACTTTCATGAAAAGAGTAGATATATCTTGTACAGCAGTATGTAAACAACTATTTGTAATTTAGCTTTAGATAACCACTGTCATGATGTCGTTGAATCTTGAGTTGGTAAATTACGACAAAGCATTTGTTCCAATAAACCGGCAGTTAAAGGGGTAAGAGACGTCAATTTGAAATAGTCCTCGTCATCTTTCAACTTCATCAACTCTTCACGTATTCTCAACATCTGGAAATTTGTCAATTGAAATAAACATCGCCCAAAAAATCAAATAATCAACAACTATAATTCAGTAGACTTACATCACGATTTGAAAATTTATTTTTCACAAAGTTCATAACCTGAGACTTCAGGTTTGGTAGAACCAGATTTGTGTGCGTGTTGAGTGTATCTACACTTTGAGGAATGTCCTAGATAGAGAACAGAATTTAAAATAAATAAGTATATTTACATCATCAAATTTAATGCTCGACTGACTGGACGGACCATCTTCGGAGTCAATAAGTATTCCACCAAAGTGCGTGTCAAATACATAAGTGACGTCTACTACTTACCAAGGGTTCGTTGCTGCGGTCAATATGTTTGTTATTCAATTTATTCCCTGTTTTCGTACGACCCATATTGTCCTCTTCTGCGTGTCTTATGTCAGTCTCAAGCTGAATTTTACGACGTTTCGGTTTTGGTTTTCGACGTGGGGATTTCCGCTTGAATTTCCGTCGTACGTTTTTAGGACCTTCAAATTGTGATGAGGGTTGAGATTGGTGAGCACGTTTCGCGTGAATAAAGACTGGGTAGCAGCTGACCACTGGTGAAATGTCAATGTAATCCCCAATCTAAGAAAAACTTGTGTTTAGCTCACATTTTATTTCTTTTAGCCCATTATTTATATTGTCTCAGTCTCATATATGTATGTACCTTTGATTTCAAGTCTAATATACATCCATTGTCACCTTTAAGTATATAGTCGTCCGGTTTGGGCTGTGTATTACATACAAATTGTCCATATGAAATTACCACTAATATTCCTTTGACAATCCTGTATATATTACCCTATATATTTGTATAAATTCGAACCAACTGAGACTTCTTTCAGCCAAAATTTCATTATCCATCAGATGTTGAAGTTCAGATAGGTCTGTGTTAATCAGGATTGGAATCTATGTGATGCCAAACCAAATGGATTAAATTTCTTCGGCATGATCATTCGCTAAAATTGAAAGAATACCATTTCCTCAGGATTAAACTCGATATCTTGAAAAACGGGGGGTACTTCATTCTGTTTACATTCACTGGTAGTAGAGTTGTCATCTTCAACATCTAGTCTCCTAATTCTCCTTTCTGTCTCAAAATTCTGTTAAAAAAATTATAAACAAATTATAAGTTAGTTTTATTTCAAGCATATAATATTATTTCCTATACTTCCATTTGGAACAACTTACGACAGTTTCATCCCTCCCTTTATAATTACAAAAGCATCCAGAATAATTGAAAGTTTCAATTTGAAACTCACCGTCGAACAGAGTACAGGCGAAAAGTCTCCTTCCTGTTCAAGTTCCTCATTGCACCTAGATTCACCAGTGGTACTTGTAGTGGTTCCATAGGGAAATGCATCCGTATCAATAGTATTTATCATGGGACAATCTCTGGTGGTTGTCGTTGATGATGAAGCGTCCAATTGGCGTCCAATGACTTCAGTGAGATTGCCGTTCGGCCACTCCGAGTCTGCCATAGTTGTTGCGACACGACTAAATTTAGTCATTGTCGATACCATTTTTCGCCTCGCGAAAATTAATAATTTCTAATTATGAAAATGAAAAATTATGATTGAGTGATGTGGTGAGCGTACTGAGCAGAGAGGAGAAAGAAACAAGTGAAATTATTATGTAGGTAGGTGAGAAGAAGAGACTATGATGTAACCGCTCCGTGTTTTAGTCCCACTACTGTAAAAAACAAAACTTCACGGTGAAGGTGCAACACTTATGATAATTTGCTCAGATTCTGGAAATATTTTTTAAAATTATGACAAGGAAATGTAAGAAATAGACTGGCCTGACAGGTGACAGGAGGACATAACGCATAAGCAGGCTCTTTATTTTTGATTCGCAATTTGCATCCCATTTCCAGTTCTTTTCATGGACAAGTTGTCAGTCAGACAGAATAAAAATGAGATGAAGTTATTCTGATTTTTATTCTGATTTTTAGTTTAATTTTTAGGTATTTTAAGTATGAAGTAATTTTAAGCATTTTCAGATTGTTAAATCTTCATTTTCTGCAGTATTAAGTGCAATAAAAATACATATTACCCAATTTGAAATTGAAATTTGGAAGGGCTTGCTTTCATTATATCAATTTTGTTTTTATTAATTCTGGTTATTCAGACTGATTTAGTGTTTTTGTGGTATATAAAAAACGTTAAAAAACTTAAATTAATAATGGCACAATATGGTTCAGTTCAAGGTCATTATAAAAGGTCCTTAAATAATGGTTTAATCACAATTCAGCAGAGTAATTTGAGGGAAACCACCCCATCTGGCCCCCAATGACTTTTGTTCCGTAGTACCAACCTAAAATTTATTAATAAAACCATTAACCAGATTTGTATATGTGTTTCATTCAGTTTAACTAAATAAATAAAATAAGACTTCATTTAGTACTAAAAAATAAGCTAATAATTTTTATATTGGATACTACTACTCATGTATATTCTGAGATTTTTCTATTCATTACCGTCCGGCTGCATTTGCCCCACTTCAATCACATCTCCAACGCCAAAAGATAGCTCGTCGGCCCTGCGCGCGTCGTACGGAAATATGGACTCCACACGCAGCTTCTTGACCGCTTTCTTCGACGAGTCTAGCTTCGCCTTCCAACGCTCAATCTCAGAGTTTGTACGGGCAGCGAGGAACTAGAAAAATGTCAGCAGCAGGCCGTGATAAATACCGTAAAATAATTTTGAAAAGGGCAACTCACATAAACAGTTTCCTTGTTATCAAAGTGCAACATGAAAAAATTTTGAAAGTCGTTTGCAACTCCTAATTCTCCCAAGTTTGGGAGAGGCTTCAGATTAGATTCCTCTGGTGTAAATGAGTCCAACACTTCGAATTTTCCATTTCTAAATTCATTAATAATAAATAAATATTAAAGCAAACTATCTATTTTTGGAAAACTTTGAAAAATGATTTATGAAATCCTACGTCTTCTTTTTTGTTACCAGCAACTGATTGGTAAACAATAGAAGCCAGTACATGGTTCGCTTATTCTTCCTGAAAGTCCAATTGATCTGATTTCCACCTCGACCTTGGTCGAATGGGTTTTTCTGGAAATCGCCCTTCATGACAAATTGCCCAAAAGATGTCAAGGGTTTGGTGGGTGCTACACGGCTGAAATCTGAAATTATGTTGATATGTAATAATACAGTTTGCTCAATGTATACATATTATATTATATGTATATTATACCCAATTTGTCCAATATTGCGGAAGTTTCCTCTGCGTCTTGACTTTCTCTTGCAGCTTCGTTGCAGTCCAGAACCAACTACGTACATAATATTCATAAATCAGTGAGTCAATTAAAGGTAACAGATATTAACATATATTCGTGCAATAATTTGGTGTGTTTATGAAAGAAACATGTAGTGCGACGTGGGTACACACATTAGTCAGACTCTTGAGGGCTTTTTCGCAATTGGTTTTCTCCTTGACGGAAGTGGTCCTTTGTATCACGGCATTGACCAACAATGGGAGTCTTGTGATTCTCTATATAAAGAAATAAAATATATACAAATCCGAATCAGTTCATTTTTTACAGTGTATGTAATATAGACCTGCATAGGAAGCATCAGGAATGAATCCATTCTCAGCATTTGACATCGGGTGTCTTCTTCCAGGGTTTTTATGACGTTCACGAATTCGTCTCTAGAGTGTCTGCAGAGCAAATTAATTTTGGAATATGTTATATAATAGTTTGGAATTTTTTACTGGATATTGAAGTACCTCAACCGTTGCATTGTCTTGTCCTGGTGTGGTTTATTTCTGTAATATTCGTAATCAAAGTAATTTTGCGTGTAATTGTATGTGCCTGATATTGTAATATCAGGCATTAATAAATAAATTTAGTGTAATATATTTAATGAACCTGCAATATTCTTTGTATACACTAAAACGAGAATTTGTATTTCGATCGATGATCTCTCCAATTTCTTGAATGTACCAACTCTCGTCCCATTTTGCTAAAAGTTCAGCAAGGAAACTGTGCGCACATTCGCGAACTATATAAATAAAAAATTTTATTAGTATTTAAAGTTTCGAGATGGTAAAGGAGTTAGAAATTCGTATGCATAATATTCTAAATACACTAGATTTCGTACCTTGCTCAATGTTACCGAAGAGGTAACTCCTCTCTTCCTCATTCAGAACACCGATAAGCTCTTCATTTTGATAAAATACGGCTATGAGAACATCCAAAGATTTTAAATATGACACTTCGGATGTCAATATTTCAAAAACAGCTTCTTGGAGCTATGAATAATTCAAACCAGGTTAAAGCTTGAATTCGTAGTACGAATTTAGTACTACGAGAATTCATGAATGTGTATTTCGCACTGGCTTACCTGCTTCTGCTTGTCTGAAAGAATGGAAAGGATTCCTGAAGCAATTACTTCAGACAATTCACACCATAAAGTCCTTTGACCGACTCTGGAACACAGATAAGCATACTTTTGTCAGTTTTGACTATTTTTTTTTAAATCGATCCATTGAATTAAGGTACCAGCATACCTCGGTACCAGCATATCCAAAGTTAAGCCTAGGTTCTTTGGAATCACAGGTTGATAGTCATCATCCGGCTGTGAGTTAATAATACAAAAACAACGAATTACAATATGGATTCAACCAGATAAGCTTAAGGCTTTATGTACTTGAAACTGTACGCTACCTTTATAGAAATTCCATACGCGTAGTATTGGTATAACGGCTCCTCCTCCATGGAATAAATTGGCTGCACTTGTGACACAAAATTTCTGATTAGTTCAGAGTCAGAGTCATAAAAATCAGAGTCATCAAAGTCATCATCATCCTCCGTCCGTCTATTCACTCCATCAGACTTGTCATAAATACTGTAATTTTGAGTGCCATTGCTACTGCCATTGCTGCTGCCACCGTAGATGCTCTTTGGTGGCTCAGGAGGAGGAATACTCGGCCTAGAAATGGGTCGTCGCAGAGGGTTGGGCTGTCCTCCTCCACTGGGCGACTTATCATTTGATGATGGGGTCTGAACCATCCGAGGTGCACTGCTCCCATAAACTTGAACTGGTTTGGCAGTAACTTCACTATTGATTGGGCCATACGTGGGCGTCAACTGTCCCCCAAGGGCCGAACCAGCATTAGAAGAGCAAGACGAAGACGATTGTTCGAAGTGTTCCATACTGCATTTTGACGTTTTTCGGATGCCCATGAATTTTTTGGCGAGCTTCTTTCCCGCAGATTTAGCCATCGTCGACAGTTTGCTAGGAGGGATTGGAGGTAACTTATCATTAGGTTGGAAAACATCTTCCTTATCTGCTCGAAGTAAAATTTGCGTTGCTGTTGGGCTAGAGTCAGCATAAATCAACGAGTTCTCTCCAACACTGGGGAGTTTATTATGGAATGCTGGTTGTGGGGTTATTGATGGCTCATTTCTAATTACATTGTTGCAGCTAATTACATTTTGATGAGAAGGATTAGGGACCAATGACGGTCGCCTCAGTGTGTCAGGGACTGGGGGTCCTGGGTTTTTTGTACCACTGGTAAAATGAGTAATCTGATTTGTTATCCCGTAAATTGGTTCAGAATAAAAAGAATCAGAAGAGTTGGGCGAGGCATATGTTGAAGACGGTGGATGTGGCAAGGGCTTGTCGAGATCATCCTCATCTGTAATTTCAAGAAAAATTTACTGCACTAATTATACCAATTATACTGACAATGAACGAACTTATTTACGAATGTAAATCATACATCTTCACTTTTCACAAGTGTTGCAATATCTTCAAATTGTGAAAAGTTCATACAATATTAAAGCATATTCATTCATTCATGCATAATTTTATCTTGTATTTGTTTATTGAGATTTTCCAAACGAATGGATAAAATATTGTTCAGAAGGCTTCTTAGGTTAATCTAAAAATTCAGTTTTAAACACAAACGTGGTTTGTCAATGCACCATTCAGTAAGTTCCTACTGCAAGATGCAGTAGTTGCATTACTCCTTCATGTTTCAGTCAATGCATTATTTCAAGGCCGAAAACCCAATTCCTTGCAAATTCTTATGGGTGACTGCGAGGATTTGATTATCCAAGAGCTCCTGCTGAAGGACATTTAGCCAACACATACTTATGTCATATCATCCTTATTATGGATTTAGGTTAACTTTGCTATGCACCTTATGCAATTCTTCATACGTTTGTCCTTCTCTTATTCAAATCTTCCTTTCAAGTAGTGATTAGGCAGGCATTATATAATTCTAAGAATACATGATGGCACCAAAGAACTTATATTGTCAGTGACCACTTCAATCAATTTAATTTATCTTAACTTGCTTCTCCATTTGTGTTTTGTATAAGAAGAATCTGGCGTGGTTTACAATTTCCCACTGCACCTGCTAAATTTTTAATGACTTCCCTTCGTAATCGTAATCATCTCATATAAATTAACCTCGCTCTTGTGTAAGATGAAATGCCTTTGATTGCGTCTCGAGAAAAGTTCGTTACCTCAATTTATTCCAGCTAAATATGGGCAACAAGCAAACAGCCTCTTTAAACATAGCACGTATACATATGTATAATCTGCATAGGCGAAGGAGCAAGTATTTTTGTAGAACATTTTACGTGTTAATTAAATAATGTGCATTACGTATTTGGTTGAACTAGAACGCCGATATGATTATACATTTTGTATTACTACAAAAATCTAGGGTTAGATCGATACATTTTGGAGAAGAATAGTATAGCAGAGTTTGTAGCCATCAGTATTCAATTATGCAATTGATACTAGAGATCCGCGTGGGCTGTATCATATTATTTATGGTTGTTGAGTAACATAATAGTGCACCTTGTTGTAGATTGAAAGGAAAGGTTGACAGATCAAATACTGTTGTCAATCGCTTTGTATGTAGGTCCTCATGAACAGGGCCAAGATCTGAGATAGAGACACATGAAATTGAAAGTTGACACAGGATCTCCATTTTATACTGGGCTGAACATTTGTGAAATGCTCAGTGGTTTCATTTTGTGTATGGAATTATGATGATGACTGTGCAACAATTACAGGAACGGAATATACACTATTCCGAAGACCAAAGTCTCAAGCTTTCAAGTTCACATTGGATCCCATTCATGTCAGAATGCCATAATGTGTGCCATAGTTTGATAAGTAAGTCTTTATGAGAAACTCGTATAATGTAAAAACATACACATGCTTAAATTTAATTTACGAATTAATTATATTAAAAGTAAATTATCGCAATTGTTGAGCACATTGTTTAGTTTCACGCCAGGAAGCATGCATGCTTAAAGTGAAAATATTTACATTCTGCAAAAATTAACTAATGAAACTCTTTCCGGTTTATAAACAATGAAAATTTGACACCACAAAATGGCAAATTTGAAGCGGAAAATGATGTCAATTTAAAGTTTGTGGACTACATAGGACACAAGAAAAGTGTAAACTAGACACATGTACGAACTTATGTATTAAGTTGGTTTATATATATAATTTTACTTACAAGTATACAAGGTCAAATTACAATAATTAATAAGGATCATAAATAAACTCATAACCAGATAACTCAAGCAAGCTACCAATCATGTTCGTACATAGCGTTTCCTATGTAATAACGCAAATTCTGATCATATCACAATTTTAGCACCTTACAAATGTTACTCCCACGTTTTAACATGGACTTGGCAACAACCGAGCAGCAGTGCCAGCCCGTGCTAATACATAAGCAGTTTAATGATAGTTCAATGTTCTCTCTTTGTCTTGTCGCCTTATATGAATAATCGTCAAGGGAGGGTTTAATCGAGTCCAACGGCAAAATTCTGCACAAACCGTACCGGTTTAAGTTACGCAAATAAATTAACATCAAAATTTGGAGTTTCCCTTATTTTCAAAATTTACAAAACAACACGTAACACTCATTGTATTTGGATATCATGTCAGTGCGTCTGTATCTCATTTGACACGCTTTGGAGGATAATGACATTTCCTAATTTCATACCGTAGTGTGAATTTCAATATCCAAATTTTACGTTACAAGGCATTCCTTTGAGTTTTTCAATTTTTCACGTAGCTTTGAGTATCTGTATTTATTATTCCACAACAATGAAACAACATCGACATTGTCTACGTCAAAATTTGTCAGTCGTGACAAATTATTGTACAAAATTATTGTAGTTTTAGGAGCATCTTAGGTACTTGGAAATTTCAAGTTTCAACAAATTATTGAATGAGCTATTGCGATTTCTTACAATTAAAATCACCAGCAGGTGTTTTATTTGAGCGTCTATTTGAAGGTCAAGTGCAGACTTCAGGTCTTACTTATTTACTTCTTTTCAACCTTTTCTAGGATGACAAAAGAAGTTTCGTGTTCTTGCAGTTTCCTTAAATTCTTAATATATCGAAGCTTTACAATAGTATTTACGTACATGAATGATAAATAAAATTCAATGCTTTCTTATATATGCGATAACTCTGCGCAATTTTATACAAATTGCTGACTAGGCCATCGTAAAGATTAACGTTTTCCCATGGCTAGAATTTCTGTAAGGACAAAATGTAGGAATCAGACCGTGTCCGATCGGTGGGATAGAATTTGCAATTTAGTTTATCAGGTTAGCTCTGGTCTGAGGAAAAGGTAGAAATAAAGTAGATTGCGGAAGACTCGCATCACAAATCCAACCAACCAAACCATTGTTACATAAGGATTATACTCCATCAAAGTACTGACTTTATATGACGAAATATTTAACTTACATCCGAATTCTTTCACAAACACTGAAATTTCCTGCTCTTCTTCAGGTTTCCATTTGCCATCCACAATGTTACTGCAAATGAAGCGAAATCTGAGGTACAAATTCTTAATGGAGGCGTCCCCTCCTTCCGTTGAATCACTCTTTCCACCACCCACATCACTGTAATATGAGTGCTTCCCATCGTCAAAGCACTCAAAATTGTGACGACGACGATAACCTCCCTGCTCCAAAAATTCTAGTGGATCGTCGCAAACTTGAATGAGGGTGGATCCTGACGCCAAGATATCCACCATTGTTCATGGCTCTCCGAAACAGATGGTCACAACGAGAATAACAACGTAGTCTCATTGGAACTTTTAACTCCTAAAAACCAAGTCCTGCATACACTGGCACTCTACAGCAGCTCGAATTAATTAATGGCTCGGTATCGTTGATCAATTGGAAATGTGACGAACAATGAACATGAGTATGCATGCTAAATTACCACGAAACTGGAGAACACCAATAAAACTAGGGTATGTATGTATGTATGTATGAATGTTTAACTGCAAAGTAGCCGTGTTTGCTTGTCTACTTGCCTTTCATTATTGCAATGTTCAGCTCAGTTGACGATTGTTATTGAGCAACAAAGAAATAGGAATATTCGTTCTACAACTATCCGCTCTTCAGCGCTATTGGGCAAGACACACGATAGCACGACAACATCAGTGCGATGCGATCAAGGAAGGGTATTCGAAGCTAGTGACTGGGAATTTCTGCATGCTCACATAATGGCACCACGTAATAGCACGACGCCAACACCTAAGACTAACTACGACCACTACAGCTAGGTCTCATATATATTTATTGCATTTAACTACGTGTGGCGAGAGACAACAATATAAATGCCTCTAACATCTTTGGTTCTGCTGTGAGAGAATGCAGTGCAACAATGCCATCCGTATTCCTACGGCCGCTATTATTGGATTGAGAGGATTGGGTTAGCAAGAATATTAGCATTCATAAGTATGTCCTTATTCTTCCTAAGTACGCAGGGTAGTGCTGTTCCCTCAGGATGAGAATATATGTAAGGAGAGTGAGTGGCCAAAGGGCTATTTAATCATTAATCCATTCGCTCAGTCGCTACCACCTCTCTCGTTATAAAATCAGGCTCTACGATGAACTCATTCCTATTTGCAGCAGCAGCCATTATACGTTCTCGTGTATGTGTACCGTTAGTCCTCCAAATGGTTGTGACGATGACCACGAAATAGTCATAAACTAACAATGGCAACCAATGTAGGCTGATGAGCGAGGAATCTAAATTGGTTGGAATCCACATCACTTCTAGCACAGATTTTGTGGCCAGTTACTTGTATGCAGCATTGCATTTGGTTAAGCGAGTCGTGTCTAGTCGGAAAGTGAAAGTACGTGGTTATGGTTTTTATCAAAAATGTGGAATCTCTTAATTATCTGAGGGTTGAACTGGCTGCAAATGTGCAAACTGCAACTGTGAATCATTCAAGCGTGCAGACTGATACTAAAAATATGTACTTAGGATTAGTTCTTATACATATGTTGTACATGGCTGCAGTGAAGTGGAATTAATTAATCCAAGGTTTTGGCAATTAATCAAGCCTCGGTTTTCCAAAAGCATTTACAAAATTGCGTTGTCTCAACACATACAAAATAAATAATTTGATTGACCAGTGAATTTATCGATTCATTTGAATTTGTATCATATTTACATACATATTTTAGTCGACTTTCCAAATATGCAAGTATGCATGTGGGTAAAAATTTTGTAGACATGACATTACACAAAATCTTAACTGCCCTCAAAATTAGGAATGATTGCTTCCAATTACGATTGAAAGATCAAGTGGAGATTTTTTTCTCTGCAGGCACAAGTGATGATACATATCTTTCATATTGAAACATTAAATCTATGCTGCTTACAAGACATTCGTGTCTCGCTTTTTGGTCAGCTCTTTAAATTGAGGCAACACCTACTTAGATACATGCATGAATATTGTCATGAGGTATTACATAGCACAACACATACCTTGTTTGTCTTTAGAGTCATTGATCACTGCGGATTCCAATTGTTTGCCATAAATTCCTTCAACATGCCCATTGTTTACGTTTGATTGAATTTTATCCACTTTCGATGAATTGTGAGGATTTGCAGTAACAGGGAAGCGTCCATCATATTCATTACTCTTCTCTGTTTCAAATTTGGTCTCCGCATTAGTATTCTTAGAGGTTAATTCCTCGTCCAATGATAATAACGACCCCAAGTAAAAGAATTTCTTAACAGCGTCATCGTCATAATTGTTCCCAAACGTGTAGGTTGCATTATTGTTTGTTTCTTTGATAATGAGCGTGTTATTATTGCTTTGTTCTAAAGAAGAAGCAGCATATTTGCTCTCCAAATTGTTCACCACTTTTGTCGTTGGCTCCCAACTGTTCCTACTAATTCTTGTAGTAGGCGGCTCTACCGTTGTTAATGATTCCGTACCACTGCTGCAGTTATAAATTACCGTGCCACCGCTATTTAAATTGTTGTGCGCGATTGCCATTATAGTTGAGCAATCGCAATACTCAACTTCATCATCTTTGTCGTGTTGCACAAAAGAAGTAACGGACGAAGGTGGAATAAAGCCGAAATCTCCGCAACAATCCGGAGGGAGGCAATAGTCATAAAGATCCTCGTAAAATGGGTCCTTTTCATTGTCTTGACTATTATCGCCAGCAGTCTCTGCACTAATTGCTGGCTGTGTCTTACTCTTGTCGTCATCATCGCATCGAGGTGATGAGGCGTCATCCAAGATCACCGACCCTTGCGTCGTCTGTGTTGTTCCTTGGTCGTAATTGGCTTCTGTGTTCTTCATGACATCGTAATTACAACTGCTTCCGTCAAGCATGTTACACAAGCCAGTAGAATTATTTCCCAAATTCGGCTTGACTGGTAAAGCTGGTAAAGGTGAGGAACTGGTGGAAACAAAAGTTGATGGTTTCGATTTGGGTGGTCGTGGGGGAGGAACTAGGTTAAAATTTTCGTAAATGTGTTCTAATACTGCGGAATCGGAGTTTTGATTATAGTTTCCACAACTGGAACAAAAATAACTGCAAGAATTCGAGCTGGACATTGTGCTATTGCTGCTGTTGTTGTTTTCAGTGGGGTTAAAGCAATACAAATTATTGCCAATTTTACTCGATTTGTCCAATTTTGAAATGAGCTTAATTTTATCAATGCAACTTGGCGTGATTATAGGTTGCATGGGTTCGTAATCATCGTAAGCGTAAGAGGCAGGGGAAGGAGAACGACTTTGTTTTTCAACCCGAATCTCAATGTCGATATCAATGATATTAACACGAGTCGGAATAAATGTTTCTTCCAAAGATGAAGTTCTGCATAATATTTTCTTGTCCTTTATGTTGATGAATGGACGAAGAGATGATGAGAGTGGTGTCTGGGGCTTCAATTGACAGTTGTCCTGATTTCTGCTGTTGTAAATCAGATCGAGCAAGGCACTGCACGATGCGGATAGAGAATTTGCGACTTGGGATGAATTCCGAAACAGGATGGGAGTGCTATCCAGGTTTTCCTCCTCAGAATCAGCAGATACCAGATTAGGCTCTGATGTTAAACGCCTGTCTCTGCTGTACCGTTTCCGTCGGATTGCATGTTTTCTTTTAAGGCGACAACCATTTTCTGAAGATCGTTTTTGGTGTTCAAAGAGGGCAATTTTCTTTGCCACGAGACCGGATGCCATATCGCGATTTTTTTTAGCAAACTCTTCAAGAATTCACATTAGTAACTCTTTTTTTGCACAAACACAGGTTTAAACGTTATGAAAAATCCTGCTGAATTATTGACATTAGTGTTTAAAAATTTTTACGTTTAATACGAAATTGCATTCACAAGGAGGACACAATTTATCACTACGGGTCCGAGGGTGGAACACATGTGAAACTATTCCAGGCTGAGTGTCTATTTAGAGTCTGATAAAGTCTCATTTTTGATCTGCAGATACTTAATAATTGCGTAATCTTGATTCAAGTTCCGACTTCCTCTCTTCTCTGTTGACACTTTATCACTTGAGTGCATTAACAAGTAGTTGGCACTTGATTTGATATTATTTTCACGACAGCATTGTTACCTTTTAAAGTCATGTAACAACCACATATAAATGATACGTTAATTGTCATTTGCGAACTGCACGACCGCTGTAACTACAATCTACATGATCACTTCCAATGCTCACAATGCCACAGTCAGAACTATCGAATAAAGTATTAGGTGGGGTAACCACTATATTGCATTCAAAGAGTCTTTGTAAGAATTTTTTCCACAACTTATCGCTCAATAACGAGGGGGAGGTTCGCAATGTTCACAATCCAATTCGTTCGAGTATTTTAGTCGTGTAGTCGCCACATGTTGATTCAACATGCTCCACAACAAGACAGGGGAGCAAAGAATATGTAACACCTCATTCATAATCCCATTATTACCTCACCCATTATCGTATCACTAATTCACACAACTGCTTCTCGATTAATACTCTTATAAATTAAGTGGAGTAGTCAGTCGTAAAATTTATTTATGTATATTAAGTTGCTTATTTATCACGGTTGGTATCATGCGATACTTGTATTTTCTTGATTTCGTCTGCCTATCTGAACAACGGTCAGAGTTTGGGACGAGAATGTGAATTCTGTCTTCTGTATTATGGTATGGTTTGGTTTAAACAATTGAATTGCAATCCATATCGTGTAGTAAACCCAGGATCATTGTTATTATTAATACGATCTTTAATAATAACTACGCTACGTAATTAATTATATGTAACAAGTATGTATCCAATGAGCGGTTCTACGCACACTTAAATATTGGATGGAATTCACTTCACACTTGGATGAATTAACTATGTATGTACATTGATGTAGAGAGTCAATGGATGGATGGATGAGATTTCTCTGATTGTTGATAATTGTTTGATTCTGCAAGAAGGGGTGTTGTTCAGGCAGTCAGTAAATTATTTCAAATTTTGAAAAGCTTGATGTAAGCAAGATCGTTTACTTACTATTCAAAAAAGTAATATGTCTTCAATGGATCCGGTGACATAGCTTGATGTCACATAATAGCAAATAACAATCGAACTATTACATCACCAGATGAACATGGTGCACTTTGACTTTATTGACAGGATTTACATGAGCCTTAAGCGTCATGTTTCATATCCGTGAGAAAACGCCAAGCAAATGACCATCCCATCATTACCGCGATCTGAAAATAGTTATAAATGCAAATTTAATTAACAAAGAATAAAATTAACCCATGCATTTAATAGACAATCGGAAATAAAACTTTATACACATCCTGGGATACTGGCAAATGCTTAACCTGTGTAATTATCTCAATGCTATAAAAACAATTTGTACATTGTTGTGGAAGAATATGAACCTTGTTTCATAGTTATGGCACTTAAAATTGTCAATGATAACCTAAAATGTTCTCAGAGCTCCTGTTGGAACATTTCTTAAATTATTTATTTTATTAATTTACACAGAAAATTTTCTCTGACAAACACAAGTGACTCAACTTGGAATCTTCAAACACAAGTGATCTTGTAGTTTCCTCACTTTGCACTATCGAATAAAAATGCAATCACACAAAAATGTTATATGAAAATGAGGTTTCGGCTTAAATTGATTGACTTGTCCCCTTTTGCCAATCAGTGAGCTCTACCTGCGAATGCATACTAGTGCACTCATGAAATTACATTCAGGATATAATTCCATCCACTTCCGTTCACTTCTTCAACCTGACATGCTCTGTTCGATAAGAGTCAGTCAATATATGTGCAAGTAAAGTAATGATGTTGTGAGAGATGTGTTGCTTGATTTTGCCTTCTCTTTCTTCCATTAAACAATCACGACAGACAACAACGACGACGACGATAGAAGACTCATTTTCAAACCACAACCACTTTTGTTCTTTACACATGTATGCAAGTACTTACGAGGTTGAATAGAGTGATCCGTTTTGGAGGTATTCAAATTCAAAACAATTCACGTCTGAATTTACTTAGTCAAATGAATTTATGTGCTTCCTTCTTTTTTACGTGATTGAAACGCTACTCGAGTCTTCAATTGTCTCGACTTGGAAATCACATGTCGTGTTAATACAACATGTGTATTTTGACTGACTCCAATCGTATTGGATGAGTCGGGGGGAATCGTTTATAGAATCCGATAACTGTACTTGTTCTAATTGTACTTTATATTTTACTTGGCCAGCTTGCATGGGTTCTTGATTGTTGAAGAGGGTGCATTTGTGTACATACGTATGTGTGCACTATTTATGAGAAATTCAAGTAATTCACACCTGCAACTATCACGTTTTCCACAATTACATTATCACCTTGCTGAATATGCTTTTGTTTAAATGTTGCATCTAGAATTATGTATACAGCTGGCTTAAAAACTAGTGCTTAGATTTCGGAGAAATTCAAAAGAACACGACATTTACACGATCTACGATTCTGGTGCAAGAAATCTATTTCAAATTTTTCAACTGAATACATATAATGAAATTGGTGCAAGTATATGAAGTCCTAGTTTTACATGTCTGCAATGAACCCAACGTTTATTTCTTTTCCTATGGCATGGAACTTGGAAAATGGGAAACACCTTTGAACTGCGTCCATGCAAATATTGTAATTTATTTGGCTTGTCTGCAAAACAAACCGGTCCGCGTACCCATGAAAATAAATTATTAGGTTTGGACAAAGGTTCGAAATTCAGTCAAAAGTTTAAAGACTTTTCGTGTTTCTTTGTGGGTAATATTCTTAAAAATATGTAATATATTCGACCCGAAAACGAGTAAGAAGTTCTGAAGTCTTTCCAATTAATTTTTGGTAAACAATGCCCTAAATAATACAACTTAATCTATCAAACACTTTTAAATACTTAGGACAAAGTGAGGCACTTGCACATATCAAGTTATGTGGTAGTGTGGATATGTACAAACAAGATAGATTTTTAATAGTTGAAGCGAGTTTCGAGACGCAAAAATCACTTTTAATTCTTTTTACTTACTTGAATTGTAATACTCTAATCGTATGTAAATAACTTTTGGAGCAGTAACTAAATTTTTCAGCAAGCCTAGGAATTCCGCAAATAATCTTTAATAGATTTTCACAGCCAGACTTGCATTTCTAATCAGAAATTGAAATGAAAAGTGTTTTACTAAAAAATTACAAACCTGAAACTTGAATTATACAGCGAAGTCAATAACACCGCATGCAGATTCTCTGCGCAAGATGTTTGAGGGATTGGTCTTTTGTTGCTTCGATCTCGAAAGGGCGATGACTAATCAACCCCAGAAAATAATTAGGTAGACATGCAAAATATTATCTTAGTTGTAACATGTGTTTGCTGTATATCGTGAAAAATTAGCTTGCTCTCGTGCATGCAAGAAATTCATATTGAATGTGTAATTTGAGCACAGGGCTTATACAGTAGTGACGGCGGTGAGAAAATGAGAATGCATATGAATTTGAGCCATTCTTCCTTGGGTATAACTTACTAAATAATTACAACAAATTAAGTCAAGTGTCAAGTCACAATTATGCGTACGTTTATAATTACATTCGCAATGTACTGTTAATCTTGTATAAAATTATCATTCTGGGTACAAAAATATTTTTTAAATCCGTACCTGTGGAAAATGATATCCAAATTCCAAATTGGCGAGATATAATCACTTTAACTGAATATAATATTGACAACATTTGAATTTTTTAATTATTAGACGACGAACACTCAAAGCAAGGCTACTTCACAGCCCAATGCAATCTCGCCAAGTGGAAAAAGATTTTTAAAATATGCATGTTCCGTTACATGGAATGGCAATTGGCAAATAGTTCAAAGCTGACATTTTAAACGCATAGTGCTGCATTTTTATGAGCTCATTGGACAAAGTACTTCTGTGCAAAAAGAGGGTACTGTGCTGACTATAAAGATCAGCCACACAAAAACATGCCTACATATATAAAAACAACACGGCTTTTAATTTGAATAATGAAAGTCTCTTGTTCCGGGTTGGTTCTTCTTGCCGACAATATAAACGCTTTATAATAAAGCACAAACATTCAAGTCATGACATTCTTTAGTCGTATTACGTGTAACATCTGATGAATCCATCTGCTGACTTTGTTCTTGTCGTGCCATAAAGATTCGATTATGATAATAGGACTTAATAAATAGACTTGAAGAATGAGTGCAGCCACGAATACATAAGAAGGCATATTTTTGAAAAATTGGTAATTTCTCTCATGATTGACGATATACTATTGCTCCTCGTGTTTTTACTCAATTTCGACAAAGAGGAAAGCAAGAAAAATCAAAGCTGCTCGATAACTCATCAGCACAATGTATATTTTCATTATTTGCATTCATTGATGTTTTATGAATTGGATTATTGGATTGTAATCCTATCGTAAGACTTAATGACATGATTTTTAGCGACTAAAAAAATAAGCCAATCTAAATCTACAATCAGATGTGGAATCATAAATGCAAGCGATTACAAAAAGATGCTATCCAATTAAATCAGCATTGAAAGATTTATAATTTATTAACTTGAATTTATTTGACCAGATGAAATTTTGACAAAATATATCCTCTCAAGTTACTGAACATGATTTCAAAGTCTAACAATAAACAATTTGTTGGCTAGATGGAGATGTAAAGATAGGTAATTTGAATGGGAATAACTATTTATTACAATCCATACTTGCCGACGAGGGTTTTGACCAGGTCAACGTACTTGCTCTTTGCATCGTCCTGGGACATTCCCTTACGACTATTCCAGGCATCCCATTTGGCCTTCCCCTTCAGATCCAACATTCCTGGCCTGCCTATAAAATAATTTAAATATTAAGTTCACAACTTGACAACTTCACTGTCCAGACTAGGCACTATTTAATCGAAATCATCATCTAAACTTACTGGTGTTCACATCGCCAACAGTCGCTTGTTTGAATAGACCATACACGTCCAACAATTCTTCGTCGGTTGGTTTTCCTTTCAAGTTCTTCACCTGCTCAGCAGCCGTGTCGAAGTCCTAGGAAAAAATTAAACGACAAAATTAGCACAAACGAAAATTTTGAAAAATATTTAAAAAGTTAACGGCTATATTGGTATTACAGACATGATGGATGATTAAGTTTTTGCTGAAGATCGGACGAGAAAATGTTGCTGGAAACTGCTGATGCTCCGAGAACCGGTAGACGAATGAATCTGGAAACGGCAAAAACGCGTGTTTAAACCATGTGAGACTGCATATCGTCCTTTCCACAATTCCACATCAGCATAGATTAATCATCTACAATACACGTAGATGTATCCCCATTTCAAAGAGTGCATTGATGGGCAATGCTATTTTACAACCTAATTACGTACGTAAGCTGTGCATCCGCCGACTTATAGCGTGATCATTGATCATGAATAGTATAGTATCATACACTTCAACGATTTACTTGCCAATTTACCATTAGTAATATTATCCCAATTAAAGGCAGATGTACGGAAACCTTGAGCGTACATATACATATTCACATAATGTAGTCCAGAATCTTGGGAAATTCCCCATCTTCTGTCTAGTACCTTGGAATTTGCAAACTTGGCAATTTGCAAATGATATGATTCAATGGCATACTATTTACCCATTTACCTGTCTATGATGCTGCTGGAGCTGTCTCGAACTCTCGAGATGTGAGAATGCTGGCCGAGAATTCTAAATTTGTAAAACTAAAGTGACTACTTTTCACCACAATAGTTTCTCACTAAAATGATTTTTTTGTTATAAATATAAATAAATAAATATAACTCACGGGCTGACTTGTTTATGTATATAGAGAGAGCTTGAATCGTTGGACTATGGACTTGATGAAATGGAATCCCGGCGAATTTCTTGCATGCGCATCTCAAGTTCTCAACCTCAAAAATCGCAATCGCAATTGAATGCCATAATAATATTTGCACATTTCCCTACGTTCAACGTACCAACATTTTCTGCATGAAATGAACCCGATTGCTCGAGTTTTCAATGAAGGTGTCATAAAAAACAATAAAAGTTTAAGACCTCAACTAATGATAACTTTAAAGTCACAAGCAATAAAGTGAAGCTAACTCTTCCGCATACGTTCCACGCTTTCTAGATAGACATATATTTACTTTGGTTTATCAATCACACATACGTATGTATGATAACCAGGTGAAATGTAGAATTTAATCATTTATTATATAAATATAATATTAGAAATCTAATAAATCTGTCATCATAACTTTATACTTGGTTTGTCAAGTCAAAGTGTGGAATTACTCTTTGACCTCTCCACGAATGTCCATTGACTATGAACTTGACGCAAGATGGTGAATGGATAATAATAATATTTTATGGATTTAACTTAAATTTGAAGAGGGGTCTGGTCTGGATGGGAAAATACTACAAAAATGTACAGCAATCTCGGTTGACGACGAGGGTACCTTATAAAAATGAAATACGTCAAATGATGGCACGATAGTGTAGTCTGTCATTTTGCAGTTTTTAGCACCTGAAGCATATTATCAATTGCCCAATTGATGATCACAATATTGCACCGATAGTGGATGAAATGAAGCTGTAGAAAATCAATATATTAAGATAAAAACCCACAGTTGACTTTATGCATCCTTATTTAGCCCGAGTTAGGTTGTCCATATCGCTACAATTTTTTTCCAATCAACGCGTTTATTCTTATCGTTTCAGATTTAAACTCGACCCCACCCAACGTTTATGTTCATGGCCCCACCCGGTCAACCAAGTGATTGATCTTCGACCCGAGTCTTCGACCTGATTCCTTATTATCCTAATACTACATGCGTAAAAAGTTTCAAATCAATCGAGAGTTATCCATAGACGGACATGACATGACGGGTACATAAGTTTTAGTTCGGGCTAAAAAATCATTGATTGCCAATCTCTCCCCACCTTCAATAATCACATGCGGCTGCATTTATAAATATGAAGTGGTGTCATACGATGTGGAAACAAAGTTTAATCATCGTCCATTTATCTTACAGGTGAAATGTCCGGATCAAAATAAAAAATAAAGAAATGGATAGTGGTATCACTCGTTAAATTAATTGAATGTTAATTAAATAGAGTTTTAAAGAATGCGAGTTTAAATGAATGAAATGTGGTTAATTTAATATGCAGATTAAATAAAATCTTACACTTTTAGTGTGTAGACATTTTTTGTTTTTGCTTTATTTCTTCATGTTGGGTTTAATTTGTAATGGAAAATGGAACACAAATTTCATTACGCATAATTAATTGCACAATTTGCATTTAAACGCTTTCCGATGGGAATGTGAGAAAGTGTTGCTGGTTGAAGGCGACTCGTGTGGAGCGAGCTGCCCTCTGTGGCTGGAGGCAGAGTGAGACTTTGTGCCTCGTGGATTCAACTGTTCAGCTCGCTCTCTCCACCAACCAACTTTACCAACACCGGATTTCAACAAAATTAGAAAAATCCACCAATTTTTATAAAATGGTAAGTTCCTTTGCCTTCAATTTTATAAAATATGCAATATGTTTGTCCCTGTGCTAGTGCTAGATATTTACAACATAAGAAATTTTCAGTGTCAAACTCTTTAACACTAAATATGTTTTGTGTACAAGTACAAGAAATGGAATTGAAGTTCAATTATTGAACTATTGAACATTAAAAATTGTATTCACTAGATTTATTTTAATTGAAGATCATCAATTTTAAATTGAAATTCGTATATGGATTTATTTTCTCTGAATGTTGTTCTTGATTGTGCTTTAAATGTTATTTAATTTTGATTTGTTGGTTAAAAATCTAGCATTGTTGAAAGTCGATTCAATTCAATTAAAAAAAGTTGTTTTTACTTTATTTGATAGTTCCTATAATATAATCCATAATTGCAAATATTATAATTAACTTATGATTTTTATTAATAGGCCAAGCGTACCAAGAAGGTCGGAATTACCGGCAAATACGGAACACGATATGGTGCGTCCCTCAGGAAGATGGTGAAAAAAATGGAGATCACCCAACATAGCAAGTACACCTGCACCTTTTGTGGAAAGGTTCGTAATTTTTCTTAATTAACCAACCTTACCAAACTCGGAATAATAATAGTAACATTAATGTTACGTTGTGATGTTTAGGACGCTATGAAACGATCTTGTGTAGGCATTTGGTCTTGCAAGAGATGCAGAAGAACCGTTGCCGGTGAGTGTATGAACAGTTTTTATGGATCAAATTAAGATAGTTTCACTGTAAACATTATTGAAATCTAAAATTTCTTGAAATTTTTAGGAGGGGCTTGGGTATACTCCACAACCGCTGCAGCATCCGTCAGATCCGCAGTTAGACGATTAAGGGAAATCAAGGAAGTTTAAATTGTGTTTGTCTTTAATTGGATACATGTTGTAATAAAAACTGATTTAAACTATTTGTACATGCGTGTGTATTGCATACCTTGACAAACATTTATGCATCATCATTAAACATCATTACACTTTTTTTTGTTGAAGTAATTTCATCGGCATCTGAGGACATTTTCTTGAATTATTTTATTGCAAGTTTTCTTTCACATACAGTGAACTTGTCAGGCAAAGTTTTTCATTACATTTATGATTAATATTTATTTATTTATTACATTTCATTACATTACAACCATTACACTTTTGTATTCATTGTCGCTTAATCAGATATGTGTAAGTGATGCAAAAAATTACGAGATTGTCGGCAGGCAAATATGCTTAGCATTCGAGTACTAATTGAGTAGAATTCAGTAAAGGCTATCTTTAGTTAGTTAGTTCAATCTAATCCTAAGTTCGATCATCCAATAAATTCGTGACTTGAAAATGCAAAACCGGTCCCCATATCTTCTGTTCCACCATTCAACGCAAATTACTATATGCAATTTATTTGGTAAATTCGTGCTCAGCCGAGATCACGGTGATATTGCATGTGCATATTCAGCTCTGTAAAATTCACAGTGTTTAAAAAAAGCACAGAGTTAGGTAGCTTATTAAGTTAAATAGTTAAGTCATGAATCATGATAGCCACAAATGGCAGAGCTGGGTTAATCCCACTTGCTCTACTTATACTTCAAATTTCACATCAATAATACAGGAAATTAGTTTTGCGTACACAAAATTCATACTATGGTCAATTTAATCCCAGGATTAATCAGCGAGTGGGATACAATACTGGGATGGGATTAATACCCATAGTTTTACATAATTGATTATCTTTCATTTGGATAGTCTCGGTTAAAAACTTTGAAAAATTATATTTATTCTTTGTCTACTACTTAAGCCGGAGCTTGCATTTGAACGTTAGATCAGAGAGTATACTATTTTATTTTTAATATGGCAGGCAATTTTTAAATTCCACTCGAAATTCTTGACAACCAACGGTCGATTTCAGCAATATTTTAACGGATAATCAATCATATTCCTAATGTGTTAGTGAAATTGGCAGTCCTCATAATTATTTGTTGTTTATAACCAGGCTCCCTAACTCAACTGATAATAATGCATTGTCCACCACCGCGACGAGTTTTTCCCACATGCGAATCAACGTCAACGAAATGTTAAAAATTAAAACACATTAAAAATATAAAAACAATTATCCTAAAATAAAGTTTTAAATTTTGAACCTGAAATTTTTCTGGTTTTTTCGAATTTAAGAAGTTTACCTGACATAATTTTGTTTATTTTTGGATGCCGTTGTGTGTGCACCAACTTGGTGGCCTTTTGCACACGCACCACGGCATCCAAAAATAAACAAAATTACGTCAGGTAAACTTCTTAAATTCGAAAAAACCAGAAAAATTTCAGGTTCAAAATTTAAAACTTTATTTTAGGATAATTGTTTCTTCTTAGTGAGGCAAATACCTAACAACGAAAAAAATTACTAAGTATGCATTTGACCCACCCCAAAAAAGTGACCATCTGCGATATCTCAGTCATTTCTCAACCGATTTTGATCAAATTTTGCACCGATTATTGTTACATAATATAGAAATGGGATCTGATCCGACTAAGCGATTACGTGATCTTGACCGGAATTATGGGCAAAAATGTAGCCTTAGAAACACATTTGTAATTATTGCTAGTTACTAGCAAACGTTATCAACAGTTTGATACCCACGAATTGTAAGGCAGTTTATCCCGAAAATTTTAAGTATGAATATATCAAAATCCGTTAAGAATTGGCTTAGTTATTCCAATTTGAAGTTCAGAAATTCCTGCTCGTGCTACAAATCATTGCCATTGACAACGACGCAAGACTAATAAATTGAAAACAAATTACATTCAAAACTGTAAACAGCACAACTAATCGCTTCTGTAACATGCTTGGTAAGTTGCGTGAAATTGTTGTTGTTGGTGTTGCACCTCCAGATCAGGTCTTTTGGTGTTTAGTAATCTAGGCCGGACATTTTGACCAAAATGATATAAATCGGTTAAGAAATAACGGATTTATTCAATTTTAAACACCCAGCATTTAATAAAATTATTCCGCATCAAACTACTGAAAAGGGGTAGTGCAATGCAGTCATCCAATGGACAATCTAATTACCCAATTAAAAGTTATAAATAAACAAGGTCCCTAAAAAGGGGAAATCTTAGTAAGGGAGTGCAATCACAACTAATAAATAAAATTAGATTGGAGAATTTTTGCATCACCGCTCTCGGTACCATTTTTACTGGAAGCATTAATCCTTTAAATAGAACACTTGCTCCCTCGAAAGGTTCGATGATTTTGCATAGAGTAGCCAAATTAATATATGAAATTGAAATTTGTATATTTTTTTAAACAAATACGTAGCTCATAATTATTTGGTCATTAAATCTTACATATCTACCTCAGTTAATTTAACCCACTTCTCGTTCACTACACAGTAAAAATGAATTCCTTCCTCAATTTATTCAATAAAACTAAGAATTCATGCGTATGCAAAGAAAAATTTATACTGCATCCAGTAAGAATGGAACCGAGAGCGGTGATGCAAAAATTCTCCAATCTAATTTTATTTATTAGTTGTGATTGCACTCCCTCACTAAGATTTCCCCTTTTTAGGGACCTTGTTTATATATTTTTAATGTGTTTTAATTTTTAACATTTCGTTGACGTTGATTCGCATGTGGGAAAAACTCGTCGCGGTGGTGGACAATGCATTATTATCAGTTGAGTTAGGGAGCCTGTTTATAACCTAATACCGGACGAAGCCGGTCATACTACTTGGCTAGCAGCGGATGTATACATACATGGCTATAGTCAATCATTATCATTTTAAAATAACGAGGTGCACAAATAATTTTACGGATACATAATTCTACTTAGATCCTCACCTTAGGATTATTATTTTTGTGTATTAATCTTGACTGACCATAGCACTAGTGAAGTGACTGCGCTCAATTTCTCGTTCACCTACTAGTTACTAGTCAGTCAGTCAGTCGTCCGTTCCCTATCCGTCCAGGCTAACGTTGTGCTCTTCTCCGAGAAAAACCCCCCTGATAAAATATAAGTCATCATGAGTGAAAAGTAAGTCACACTTTCTTTCTTTCAAGTGTCTCATAATCATTTTGTGATTCTGATTTTATGGTTGATTTTTTTCAGAGCTGACATCGCCCTCATCGGTTTGGCCGTGATGGGTCAAAATATCATCCTTAACATGAACGATCATGGCTACGTTGTTTGCGCCTATAACCGCACCACAGAGAAAGTGGACCAATTTTTAGCCAATGAGGCAAAAGGAACAAAAGTAATTGGTGCCCACTCTATTAAGGAAATGTGCGATAAGCTCAAGAAGCCCAGACGAGTCATGCTTCTTGTGAAAGGTATGAAAATATAAAAAAATGAAAAACAATAATAGCTTTTGATGGAAAGATCTATAACTCGCATCGTTACATACCGACAACATCAATTATTTATTACCCGACCTTGAAACTAAAAGTCATGCTATTCTTCTACCCAACTTTTTCCCTCTGAATCCATCCATTATGGTGTGATGTTTATGTGGTTTGCTTGTGGCATGATGCCACTATATTCTGTAAGCACGTTAAACTGGCGTGTGTACGCATGTTAAGCATGTAAGCAATGATATTAACGCTCTTTTCTTGTTCTGTGTCAGCCTGACAGGCTCAGACATGAAGCATGAGTCAAGATCATTTTAGTGATTGATTTATGATGACTCTCAGATTAAACCGGCTTAATGAAATGAGTTCATGCATTGACAAATTGATGTCATAATCCTTATTCTATTTCTCAAGCTGGCAAACCCGTGGACGACTTTGTTGATCAAATTTTACCATTCTTGGAGAAAGGGGATATAATTATCGATGGGGGAAACTCTGAATATCAAGATACCGATCGAAGATGCAAGTCTCTGAAGGAAAAGGGAATTCTCTTTGTTGGGTCTGGAGTTTCCGGTGGTGAAGAGGGGGCCAGATATGGTCCTTCCTTGATGCCCGGTGGTAATCCTGAAGCGTGGCCTCATATCAAAGACATTTTTCAAGTGAGTTTCAATTCTCCCGAATTATGCTTTAAATATACCATGACCATTGCTTGATTATAAAAGAGTGCTGTCTTTTTCAATAGTCCATTGCTGCCAAGGTTGGAAGTGAACCATGCTGCGACTGGGTAGGGGAGTCTGGGTCTGGACATTTTGTCAAAATGGTGCACAACGGTATCGAGTATGGAGATATGCAACTTATTTGCGAGGCTTACCACTTGATGAAAGATGTGGTTGGATTGGATAATCAACAAATGAGCGATGTAAAAAATTATTTACTTTTCTAATTTGGTAAATTAATTTGATAAATAAACATGAATGTCACAGGTTCTTGCGCAGTGGAACAAGGGAGAGTTGGACTCTTTTTTGATAGAAATTACCAGCAATATTTTGAAATATAAGGATGCAGATGGTAAAACATATAATTTGAACAATGCAGACTTAATTCTACCAGACTTTCACCGTGGGAAAATGAAGTAAAATGTGTACATGTTATTGTGATAGGATCGTACTTGGTTGAAAAAATTCGAGACTCTGCTGGACAAAAGGGCACCGGAAAGTGGACTGCAATTTCTGCCCTAGACTATGGCATTCCTGTTACTTTGATTGGAGAGTCTGTGTTTGCTCGGTGTCTTTCAGCCCTCAAGGATGAGCGTGTTTTTGCGAGTAAAGAATTGCCTGGACCTGGAAAAATTCAGTTTGACGGCGATGTGAAAGAATTTGTTCAGCATATTAGCAAGGTGAGTGTGTGCTTTGGCAATGACGGCGACAATTCATGCACTGATCGACATGATGCCCGTAGATTTTACATTGGTTTGTTTGTTGATGTCTTAGGCTTTATATGCTTCGAAGATCGTGTCTTATGCACAAGGATTCATGCTGTTGCGAGAAGCAGCCAAAGTTTATGGGTGGAATCTTAACTATGGTGGAATCGCCCTCATGTGGAGAGGAGGTTGTATAATTCGAAGCGTCTTTCTTGGAAACATTAAAGCTGCATTTGATAAAAATTCACAACTTTCTAATCTGCTCCTCGACGACTTTTTCAAATCTGCGATGAAAGAGTGTCAAACATCTTGGAGAAAGGTTGTGGCTAAAGCCGTCGAGGTTGGGATCCCTACTCCTTGTTTCAGCACGGCTTTAGCTTTTTACGATGGCTTCCGTTCTGAACGCCTTCCTGCAAACTTGATTCAAGCCCAACGAGACTACTTTGGTGCTCACACTTATGAACTTCTTGAAAATCCTGGTAAATATATCCACACCAATTGGACCGGCTGTGGAGGAAACGTCTCTTCGACCACTTATGAAGTTTGAATTTGATGAACCTGGTGATACATTATGGACCAATAAAACTGGTAGTTAATACTAAATATTTTTAGCGTATGTATTTTGGGAATGGAAAACTAGCTTGTATGCCCTTTTTTGTCACAAACTCTAAGAACAATAGAGAAGCAATAAAAAGTGATAATTATTCATAATCTATAATATACAAGCAAGTACTTATGTACAAAGATACAAAATGAACGGAATTTAATCGCATATGATGTAAAAGATATTTATATCTATTCTAACACACAACTTGTATGCTTTATAGATTGTAGGATGTGAATGTAAATACATACTGCATACTGGTTAAATTGAAAGTAGCGTCGATTTAGGTTTCGGCAAGTAATGAATGCTGCTGGGATTATATATTATTTATTATATCGTGGCAATATTGCTGCTGACGCATGCATGTTAACTTTCTCCATAACCTCGCAATATGATAAAATCTCTACTCATTTGTCCAGCCAGATGTCCTTGTATGAAATTACTAAAAACTTTCCCTACCATATGTTACGCTAATATCTATTGTAGGCTTTAAATACATGGGACAATATGCCTAGAAGATAATACTTACTATTAGAATTTCAGACTTACGTATTGGATGGACTACGTATCAGCCACCGCAATAAAGGAAAATTTACTTGGTTACATTTGGGACATAAAGTACGATGGACATAAAATGTCTGTAAGCAGCTTTCGAATTTCAGTTTGATAATGCGCTAAACTAGTGGGAACGGAAATCAATCGGAAGGTCTCATGGGAGATCACATTCGAATTGAATAAGTGGAATCTTTCTCTCAAACGTACACAACTCCATTGGCTAAGCTGCTTCACCAGGAGGCATAATTGCATTAAACGCTAGCTTTCACAGTGGTGAAAGTAGCCAGACGGATATTTCAGGGAAATGGAGAGAGGCTGAAAAGGGGTCGCGATGCTGATCCATCAATCCTTTGAAAAGATTTGAGCCGCTCTCTACGATCTCAATTACTTTTTCATGTGATACATTGCATAGCATTTACTACAAGTATTTATCCTTAAAAATACATATTAGTTTTGCAACGCGTCTTTCATCGACAAGATTATTTAATTAAACTCTCCAGTCCCCATTTCGTTTCGAAATTATGAAAGCAATAATCTTTGAAGTAATTAAAGAGACTGATTTTTAATTAAACTTGCCGAAAACTCATATGTAAATGTCTCCACTCCACTCCTCCATCCAACTTTTACCATTTTAACTCTAGTAAAATAAACTCTGGCTGAAGAAAATATATGCATGTAAACGGTTGAACCCCAGACAAGGTCCATATCGTATATTTTTTTACTACAGGGGCATAAATTTCAACAGTCAAAAACAAATTAAAGTGTCCATTTCATCTGGGATGCTTATTTAAGTAAGATTTTGGTATATGTACATGGACAAAGTTTATTTATACTACGGCCACAGACAAACGAGGGAGGGACGTACATAAAATTATGCAAGGACAACATACGAAGCTGCATTCTTACATATCTTATGCATTGTGAAACAGTCGTGTCGAAATCTAGTCACCGTCTCCTACATACGTTCACTTGACAGGATGACGAAATGTTTCTTATTTCGGTAGCAGACAGTGCTTTTCTTTGAAATTCTACTTTCCTCTAACTATCAACTATACACAAAGAAAATAAATCTTATTATTTTACGTGGCTAGAGCCGGATTTCGTGCAGAAGAGTGTGTGCATTGTGCATGCAAAATGTTTAAGGAGGATAATGTGGATGTCACAAAGCTACGGTGAAAGTTGGAATTGCGGATCCAGACAAAAAAAAAGTTTATTTTTCTCACTTTGGCTGGCATTGCACATATGGAATATGTATGCAGCATGCATGTGGTAAAGGGCAAAAATCTAGGATAAAGTTGGAAATTGGATTCATAAGTTAGCTACTGAATAAATAAATAGCTTATTTTATCCAATGTAAATTTTAATCATGATACATTATTCTCCACCATGATTTAATATCTACAGCTCCGTATTGAAAGTATGTGGTATGCTGAAATATTAACTAATGTTGTTGATATTTCTTACGTCAATCACTGACCAAGACTGCTAGACCAAGCAGTTAGTTTTATGAGATCACAGTGAAAATCTGTCAAAATTGCCTCAACGGTGAGTGGATTAGGGAAAAATCCACACACCCACGCACTTGTTTTCCTTTGTCCGTGTATTACATGAAATGGACATTTGGTGTGAAAACAAACAGAGCTTCTTGTATAAAGAGGAAGTGGCTTGCTAAAAGCAATCAATAAAGACATGACAGCTCTGCAATAACAATATTATCCTAGCCCAAGTTGTGGCAAGAAAAACAGACAGACAGAGATAATCAATCTCAAGGAGGTCAGTTTACGTATGATATGAAAACAAAATCTGCCTGATTTTTTCAAACTTTCATTTCCACAATATTTCTCATTTTTTCGTTTAGAGTTTTCATTTAAGAATCTGATGATATTAACATTATCGATCGTAATTAATCAAAAATCTTACTAAAAAGGACTGCCATCTAAAACATTTTGAAAATTGTAAAAAAGCGTTTCAGATATAAATACCGTATATCAAGAGATAGGGAATAGTCTCTATATTTTACATACCAGGAGAGATTTTGTTTATGAATAATCGACTAATCATCATATTGTGTAACATCAAAGTTAATTTGAATGCAGACTGAACTGCGATTGAATATCAATATTTGGTTAAAGATAACCTTATTTCTATTAGCTATGAAGGTTAAACGATAATAAGTTCATTTTCGTGTTCCCAAAATTCTCATACGTATTTCGCCTATGTTCGTACATTCAGTTTGGCTCTGCAACGTGAGAAATAATCTGAGCATCAGTCGTCCAGCCAGCTACCTGTGAAATCTGAGAATAAGTTACACTTGCAACTTGTCAACCTGCACAAGATATACTTATTACTTATTGCATAACTGTATTTAGTCACTGTAAGTTATTCACTACGGTTGGTCGGTGAAGCAGTATTTTACATGTGTCCTTGTCCTACCACAATCTAATTAGCGTAAATCAAACAATTTGACAAATTCTTTAAACACAAAGTTCCAAAATGTACACGAGGTTCTTAGTTATTGTTATCTTGGGATTTTGTTGTCCTTGGTCGGTTTCCTATGGACAAATCACAGTGGAAAGAAAAAATATTGTGGATAATGGAGGTTATGTAATCCGAAACGCTGTCACCTCCAATCTGAACTATACGGACTTGGTAATGATTCTATATATGCACATTTATTTTAACCCGTACACAACGAAGCATAGAACTAAGGATTATTTATTTTTGTTTTGCAAAGGTATTGCAAGCCAACCCTCCAGAGTTGGATGCAATTTTAGGCAACGTTACATTAGCTCCTAACGAATTTGCACGAAACCAGAAGTGGGGAGTACAGTATTATGGTATGAGTAGATTAGTAATGAATCAGTTGAGCATTGCATTAACCTGATTGATCAAAAACGTGATGAAAAATAATCCAGGTGGGACAACTGCGTCTTTGACCCCTGGTCTAAACCGCAACAATACAATGAGCGTCTACTTTCCCACTTCCGGATTCGTCACCCGTCTACACGACCGTCAATACACCTTTGAAAACTGTTACGGAAATGGGGAGTTCATAATAAGAAATGAAGAAAATAAAATGTGTCTCTGCATTGCAGAACGGTAATAATATTATCTAATATTTACCTACTTTAGCAATACTTTTACATATACTGACTGCTAAATATGTGTACGCATGCTGATGATTTTAATTATGTTCATCTTATTTTAATCTTGCAAAAGAAATACTGAATACATTGTTGACTTTGTCTCTTGCGACGACCGAAATTCAACAATTTACTGGACATTTGAACGGTACGGATAATATGTACAGGACTCAAACTCAATTTGTAAGTTTTTATTCGACAGAAATGATGAAATAATAATAAAACATTCGTATTTGTTCAAAAGACACGTTGTGTTCTGACAAATTCATGCATTCACCTTCTCGATCTCAAACCAAATAAATTGGACTTTATGATGCTAATCGTAATATTCTTCAATAACCACGAATGGCTTTGTACGGAATGAAGTTATTGATGGTTATATGCGGCTCTATGCATTTGGTCTCCACCGTGATCATTTTATGTTGCAATGTGAGTTGGGTTGGAAGAGTTGGAAAGTATCTCATCGCATCGTTTTCATAAAGTAGGCAGGACGTGAGAGCCGATAGAGAGGATCACTTCCGGAGTATTACATCCTTGTAAAATGTAACAAGATTTTATTCCCTGTTATCCTGCCATGTCTCAATCCATACCAACCAACCCTTCGTTACCCACCATGGACTGAGCACGGTTTTCTTCGCCTTGCTTTTCTACTCCAACTTTCCCTTCCGTTGTTGATTTCCATCAGCCTGAGTATGGGGCAATTTCCCCATTTTTTGTTTGACTTGTGTGTGTTGCTGATGCTGAGCACGTTCGTTGCGTATCACAAGTGTCATGAAGAAATAGTGTCCATGCCTTGTACGATATTGCAGCGAAAACATGAAAGAGATTCAAAATAAAAAGAAGACGGCATTTCCAAACGCACGCCTGCCTGCTGGTTCTCTTTACTTTATTATAGAGATTTGCCTCGAACAAGATACGGATGACTCACGGTCTATTCAACCGCCCCACAAACACTTCAAATGCTTATACATCGAAGAGGCTTCCTATACATACAACTCTGTGCTTCGTATTCTTGTAAACTTCCAGCCGCGCTGGTGACTGCGGGGTTCAACACAAAAACAGACGAGGTGGCTTAAAGTTATGTAATAATTCTTGTGTGCCGGAATTCCCCCTCTTCTCTCAATGGGGTCAGAAACTGGGGAAAGCGTGAGGAGAGGGGCGACTTTGCGATGTTTTACTCCTGGCATCAGTCAGCAATGTTCATGTTTTGCTTATTGGTTCACGGCCAGCTAGACATCCGTCCTTATATCCGATGGAGAAGAGGAGACGAGGAAAGGCTACTCCATCCCCGGAATACATTAACGCTGTGCTTTGCTTTCTACCTCTGGATGCAATGTGTAACTGCCTATTAGATCGTGAAAGTAGTTGGATTATATTGAATTGTTATACGAGAGAGAAAAGACTGGGATGAGATCTTTGCATTTGATCCAAACACCCTCCGTCTCCTTTCTCGTGAGAATATTCCCCCATCACTTCATTTCTCATGGCAGAATCGAGTCACAACTCACACTACGTTCCCTTCGTTGTGTTTTTATGATCATTACCGGCACAGGCAAATTTTCTCTACTCTCCAAGTTGGAAGCAATTGTGGTGACATAATATTACCCTTGATACCGCATATCGCGTACGTGTTCTCTTGCGATGTATTCAAATTCCATGCATATCCCATTAACTTAATTATTTGGACAAATCTGAATTATTTTATTGCCAATTGGTACAAGTATTATTATAAATAATGCACTATTCCCAAAATTTGCCAATGATAGGAAATCATGTCAAAGAAGTAATGTAATAATAATCTATATGGCATGCAATATAATTTATTTATGCACATTTTGGGGTAGTAGAGGGAAACGTAATATAATCTTCAATCAGGAATATCAGATGTGTCTCTTAATATCTCCGATATACATAATTGATGTTTCCGAATATCGGATCACTGTTCTACCAGGTGCACAGGAGAGAAAGCTCTTGCAGTCAGAGTCCACGTGACTGTGAATGGATGTGGCTGAGAAGGAGGAGATGTACGCCCAGACGAAATCTAGAAAGAAAGGAGGACACGAGAAGAATCTCTTCTGGCGTGATTACTCTATTCCGCCCTTTGAACTAAATACATACATTTTCCTCTCGAACCTTTCTCCAGAGATAACTATATGCCATTTTGAAGAGGCATCACCCAGTCACGACCGACTTTATGTAGTCAACCGTGCAAGAGTTGTTGCTACTATAAATACACACGTATTACACGAAGACTTGTATTTGCATGAACAGCGGTATACTAAAACAAAATAGTCTGAAATGGTTCATTTTATGTGTAAACATACAAATAAATATGTACACGGCTAAACTAAACTTTCTCCGCTTGGTTTACTTCCTTTTTTCCTGTACTTGACAATTTAAAGTTTTCCATAACATGTGCTTGACATTGTAAAACAAGGTGTGCATATTGAATGTACACATCATTCACTGTTTTTACCCTCTTATTACTGAGCACTCTATAATTTCCCATGAGAAGCAGAACTGCAATTTAAAGAGAGCTGCTCGCATCTCCTCCGCTGCTCGCACATCGTTGACATGATGTCCACTTCTTTCACCGTGCTCTCCAAATTTGGAGGATTACGTGAGAACGTGTGTGTGCATGGGAGGAGAGAGGAGCAAGTTTAGCATTAGCAGAGGACACACACTTCTGGTGCTGCAGGAAAAGAAAGTTTCTGGCTGGAGAGCAGCCAGCCCACGCGTGTCGCTGGTTCGGGTGAGATTTCATACGATTCATTCATGGACGGATCGATACTCGCTCGAGGAATCTCCTTCTTTCCCCGACGACGACGACGACACGATTTCTCTCCTCTCCGCTTCTCTCCTTCCTCCACTTTCCACCGTGTTCTGTTCATCCCAACGCCATTTTGAATACTCAAGGCAACCCATTGCACTCCCATCACGGCCGTACCCTTCTTCTTCTCTGGCTTCGTTCATTGGGTTGTATATGGACTCTTTCTCCCTCCGACGGTCGCCAACACGGGGCAGGAGCACTTTCTTTGCTTTCCTTGGAGCTTTCTAATAGGAGCTGTTGGCTGGATAAGTTGGTTCGCAGTGTTGTCAACCACCACCAAACCGACCTCCACCTTCTCTCAACATTGATGCGTACCTATGCAGATACTCGGGATTTCACCTCCATCCCCTCCATTTATAGAACTTTCTCTCTCCCGACCAACCAGTTTGCCATGTTGGTAGTGTCAATCTATTCTTTCTTCTGAGCAAATATAACTTTCTCCCCGCTGATAAAGACATGGAATGAATAATTTTTTTTGTGTCCTTCAATTTCATCGTAAGAACGGGTTTGGTAGCAGAGACATTGTCCAGCTCAACTCTACGTGCACATTTCTTGACGAACTTTCTCCTAGTCATCCTTGAGCACATTTGCTATCCGTGGACATTTAATTTTCGCCGTCCGTGTGAGTGAAAGTGACGCTGATGAACATTACAGTTAGGCTGCATTCGCTCCATCAACTCCCACACAACTTTGTTGTTGCCAGTGTTCAAAGTAATTTTGAATTGTCAATTTTAGTCAAAACTCGGCATCAAGCTGAATTCTTCCTACCCGTCAAACTTGACCTGTGACCACCTGTGTCTGTTGCTTCGCCTTTCTTCACTTCTTAATAATACGAATTGCTATCATCGGTCTTCTGGAGGACCAGTCTTGCACTCGTACCCACAGCTTTGTCAGCTTCAACGACCACATTCCGCATCTACTTATCAAATAGAACGTGCTAACTTCTACCCGTCTTATTCCAACTCTCCAATATATTGTCACCCTAACTTTCCTATCGTATTTCCCAGAGAAAATCCACCAAATTGCCGTCGTTTCAGCCATAATTTCTCTAAATCAGAGGAACAGCTTCCATCCTACTTTCCATCATCATCTTCATCGCTTTCACTCTTGCATCAAGTACAAGTAGCGTCCGTTTCCTCTAATTCTAATAAGTACAAGAAACAACCTTATCTCCAAAACTTATCTGCGCAACAGTGGAGGAGAGGCGTAGAATCAAATTGCCACCCAAATGGTGAATGTTTAGTCCGTGATAATCATCCTCATAACACCTCATCGTCGCAACAATCATTTTTTGACAATTTTTCGGGCAGTAATAACTACCTCGCAAATAATAAATCACCAAAATTGAGAGGACTTATTCTCAGAAAAGAATCCGGCCCCATTTATGCAAAGTGTCGACAGACTGCTGACGACTACTGGTCTGAAGACGAGACAGAATTTGAGTTCCCAGAAGAATCCCTCACTTTAATTGCTGAAGAAGAACAGCCCGTTAACCCAAATTCGTCGCAACCGCCGCCAATGGGGACTGTTTTAAGTTTTTCCCCACGGGGATCCACAGCCTCCGAGCCCAGCATGACCCTTTCTAACCACCCCCCACCCGACATAATTCTGACTCAGACCCAACTTCACCAACACCTAAATAACCACCACCACTCGGCAATTACTCAACCCTTCAAAAAACATTCCTTGTTTCTAAATGCACTTTCATGGAAGAAAGTGACCAACAAGAAATCTGGGAGTCAGCCGACCGAGTCGCAAATGAAATTAGCTCAGCAATTACAGCATAATGCCAACCAGAATCAAACAACAATTCTTCACAATAATATAAATAATAGCGCGAATAATATTGTCCAGAACAACGTCAGCCACAACAATAACCACCACCACCACCATCACGGTCCCCACCCAAACAACAATCATAATCATGTCCATCACCACGTCCACGGGAGGATGCCACTGGATACCATTCAACCCTTCATGAATAACCAGCATAACATAAATATCAATAACAATCTTAACCATGGAACAAGCGTTAAAAATATCAACAGCACAAACAAACTTCCTCCCGTACTTTCCCATCGTGGTAAGTTGCCATTTCCTAATTCTTCGTAAAGTATAGCGTTGAAGTAGCGTTCATGATAATGCATATTGATCCAATCATCGGAGAAAGTTTTTCTCCTTTTTGCAAATAGAGCAACAAATGGTGTGGGTAGAACTGTCAATTTATGGCAATTTATGTACACGAGTTTCATTAATTGAGCAGGGAAAATTCAGAAAATTCAGCTCCAACCACTCACTTTCCATAAAGTAGGATCAAGGCTCTCGTAGCAAAGTTTGATGCTAATTCTTTGCGATGATTAGAGGGCCTTTCACTAATAATTAAAAAGCATTAGTACTCCCACATCCTGAGACGATATTATAAAGTACATTATGAAACTATGTATGTAGGAAGTTGGCCATGATGCTTGTTGATCACAACCTGGAATTAAATTCTCTCAGGGTCACACCATTTGGCTTTCTTTTGTAAAGGGCATGAGAACTAATGTGCATATGTGTAATGTCCACACTTGAAGGAAAATTCTAGCTACATTCTACTGGATACGTACAAGTACGTGTGTATATTCATCTAGAAATACATAAGTTTGAATGAATATTGACATAAAGTCCGATAGTATTTACTTTGCTATCAAATTGTACGATTGCGTGCACATTGCTGCTGATAATAATTTTTACTGAAAGGCAGTGCCATAGTGGATTAGCAACCATAAATCATTGTAATTTTTTATTAAACGATTAGACCGAACATTTAGCAGAAAATTGGGTCCAGGATGTAAACTAGAAGTATTTTTATAGTCCGAAATGGTTGATTTTACTTGTGCAATTTTCATATATTTAGCGATTGTGCTACAATCATTTACGTGTCTTACATGAATGTTTATTAATTTAACTAATGCCATTAGGTCTGGATCTGGTTCGATGCCCACCTCAGACGCAAACCTCAAAAATCGACACCAAACTCGCCCCGAAAGCAATTTTGACATCTGGCCCGTTTGTAGGAAGACGGACGGTGATTCAGGCGTAAGTTGAACAAATTATGAAATGCTTTAAATATATTAACGACTTATCCAATTATCGATTGAATTTCAGGTCTACATCCGAATTATTGGTAAGAAATTTGTATGCATACGTACATAAAAGTAGTATATAAATCCTTGAACAAAATATAATGTATAAATTGATGAATAGAAATGTCTCGGTGTATTTCTCCGTCGTAAATGCAAGAAACTGAAAGATTTCCAACCCTCAGACGCCATCCTTTGGCTCCGAACGGTATGCATATGTTACGCTCATTTAAGTATATCAAGTAATTTTGTCATTTGGGAGGACAAATATAATACACTTAATACTCTCATGAAACGCTAAAAGGCCATTACAAATAGTAAAAATGCAATTAATCATTAGGTGGACCGAAGCCTACTACTCCAAGGTTGGCAGGTGAGTGTTCTCGGTTTTTATTGGATTTCTGCACCCTCCAGTTGAACTTTTGCCTTTCTCTTTAATCTCATTACGATCTGAACAAATTTCAGTCATGTATGGTCTTTTATATCCTTTGACTAAACATATTTACATATGTAAATATAACAAAGTGTAGTGAAAGTCTACTTTTTTGAAAATATGCAGTCCAAATGCTAATGGTTGACACACTACCACTAACACATTAGTATGTACGTCTTATGCAGTTGCTTTCTCCTCCATGGAATTTAATATACGTATTTATTACACAAGGTCTCATCTCTCTAACCAATAATATTCTGAGGCTAATAATCTAGGCTAATAATAGGCTGATAATCAGAGGTTACATATTGCTGAACTTAAAAGTTATCTTTTGCCTCATATGTACACTACACATCCGAAGTTCAAAGTCTCAAAAGCAAAGCAATAGTCATGATTACTTTCATGATGGACGGATCGATTTATAGCATTGCATGTCTTGGCCCATTCCAACGACTTTCTCCAACTGCACTGCACAAGGAAGATTATTGCCAAGACCTGGAGAAGATTGAGTTAGAATCAAATTAAATAGTGAATGCTTTACCACAACAAATTCTAGGAAATTGATCATTAAATGACTTTTTGGGTCTCTCTATCGCTCCTTCTCTAACCATCTTTTACTTTTTTACGACATTGGTCCAAAAGTCGCTCAGAAAACGAACATGTTCATAAAAGTTAACTTTATTTCGTTAATCAGGCTAATCGAATTTCATTTGAGGAAAACGTCTTGAATTTTTACAGGAGTTGGGCTTTGTAAATAAATACTCGTCATACATAATGCACGTACTGAGGAGGGGAGGTTGTGTACTATCAACTCACGGATCTCGATGCCCTTTGGATATGTTATAGTGTCCCATGAATGCACAACAACCGTGAAGTGGTTTGATTCCATGGCCAAATTTGCGCCCGCCACACCCACTCAAAAGTGCCTAAAAATCGCTTTCACTCACTCAAATCCACGCCAAAAATCCAATTTTACTCGGATTTTGAAATTTCTTTCACCATTATACTCCCAGGTAGTTGTGGTCTTATATCCAACATAAAGCAACTATCTGGGAGTATAATGGTGAAAGAAATTTCAAAATCCGAGTAAAATTGGATTTTTGGCGTGGATTTGAGTGAGTGAAAGCTGGAGTGAAAGCGATTTTTAGGCACCTTTGAGTGGGTGTGGCGGGCGCAAATGTGGCCATGGAATCAAACCACTTCACGGTTATTGTGCATTCATGGGACACTACAACATATCCAAAGGGCATCGAGATCCGTGAGTTGATAGTACACAACCTCTCCTCCTGAGTTTTGTCCATTCTTAATACAAGATTATAATCAATTTTCTGTACCGTATTAAAAGGATATCGGTTTCACTAATCCGGCAAATATCGTGTTCGTCTACCTCCTGATCCGCGAAGGCGTGTGGTTAAGACCCAGCAGCAGCAGCAGCATCAAGTCCAACGGTCAAAATGGAACTGGGTCGAACGAGGAGTACACCCCACTCAACAACAACTACGACGTTTCCCCCAACGAGAAGAGGAAGTCGACCTTTTTCGACGCCATTGAAAGTGAGAGAGAGCTGCACTCCTACGTCCTCACCTGTCTCTACCTCTCATATTCCTACATGGGCAATGAAATCTCATACCCTCTGAAACCCTTCCTCGTCGACGACAACAGGGAACGGTTTTGGGACAGGTAAATAGTTTTCAATGAATTTCCACTATTTCTACCCCCATTGCGCGAAATTCACATATTACCCATATTTTTATTGACTTGCTTATGATACACATACTTACATAGATCATGCAAAGCAGTGAGATTAGTAACTGTGAACCCTGGTTGTTTAAAATTAGTAATGTGTGCATACTTTGATGTACGTGCGAATGCAAAACTTCTATTTCTCTGTTAGAAGTAGAATAGGTAATCAACGGATAAGCATGATTTTATACATGGGAACATACTTGCAAACCAAGTGGCACTCCAGAATTAAAGTCATTAAGGATAAGCATTATAGATGAGCATTTACGGCTTGCGTCGATTAGAATAAAGTGTTCCGTAACGATTCGATAAAGTATTTCTGAGGTAGAGGAAATAATATTGTGTGGATGCGGAGCATTCGAGTGGGTTGGATTGGGAACGTACTTAAGAGGAGTTTATCGATCTTGATGAAAATATATAACCTTCAATTCCGCCCATGCCCATCATGAAACATAATTGATTTATGTATGACGAGTCACTTAATCAAGACAAATTAAAATTATGAGCTTCATGAACGTAAATGACAAGCGTAAACCATAAGACACGCCACATTTTTGTCATGTTTATATGAATGGAACTCTTGAGGCTGTTTCATGATGTACATACATTATGTAAAATCTCGTGGGTTCGGTCCCATTGCGGAAACCAACTTTTCAACCAATCAGTGGCTCTGTATTTAATTTTAAAAAAACTAATAACCGAAACTTTAAAAATTTCGGAATCATGAGATTTTAAAATTAACAAGAATTTTTTTTGTATTACAGATGTCTCCTCATTGTCAATCACATGTCCAGGGATATGCTCCGGATCAACTCGGAACCCAGCTTTTTCACTGAAATTTTCTCAGAACTTAAGGCAGTGGGCGTGACGGTGTAATAACCGATTGAGATGTATAAGTATAACGTTTTAAAATTAGTTTAGTACTTAAGACTAAGATTAGGACAGAGTCTACCTGTCAGTTCCTTGAAATATTGTCCTTCCTAAATTAGACAGGGATATGTAAGGTTATGTACTGTATACAAGAGCGGCCCTTTCGTGGTCATTCTACGATAAGCATTCCAGCCAATGAACCACTGTGTGGACATTTATGGGATTTACTAGGAGGAGACATGTTAACAAGACTTTCAATATTTTTATGGTCTCTATTTAAAATCTCCATGTACATTTAGATAAGTAGGCGGGATGCGTGTATGCGCATGAGCAACAATCACCGCATTACTCAGTACATTTCCGTGATTTTAATTATTAATTTAAATATTTCTCATTACGAGTTACATTCCAATTATGTTATAAATTACCATTACGGATCTGGAGATACGCTACAAACGATATTAAAACTGTTGCAATGCAGTCCGTTAGCGAGTACTAAAGTTAACAGAGCGTAGAGTGGGAGTACATTGTAAGGGTTTGAAAATAAGATGTAAGGTGCTCTTTGCTGGCAATCTGCTCATCCCACTGATGATGGCTGGGCATTGACAGCCAGGGAATTATGTAAATGAGGTTCTTTCTGGAGTTTAATTTTGATTGGTCGTTTCGCCGAGCAGATATTTTGAGGCGTTTTGGTGACGAAAGTACGGATTCATTCACATATTTAAATAGCATGATGATGATAGATTTAGATATGTCGTTCCTTTGATGGTATTGATTGATACGTGTAATGTTTACCTGTTAATTATTAATGTTTGTATTTCAGTTTTTAGAAATTTGTACTGTTGTAAGTAATAGAAACCCATCATCACTTTATAGATTTTGTATGATACACTGCCCAGTTATGGATAGATACATAGATGTGATGTGTATGTATGCTCTACAACAACCGACCCTCAAATTAGTTTTTCCTACTACTTATTATCTCGTTGACCAATCAGCACTACTTGCAATTTTAATCAAGTAGGTGAATCAGCTTTAAAAAGTAACGAAATCGGAACTCAACAAGTTAAACAATAACCTAAACCAAAAGGAACGAATGATATTTGAAATCTTACTCATCGTCATTACTGTTATTACCAGAAACAAATAAATAGTCTTATGTATTCAATTTGTGTTGTCAACATCATAGGTCATACATGAATAGTCCCCTCTAAACTTAATCTGAAATTCGCATATCCTATCATTTTCAAATTATTCGTACCCATTAATAAATTAACATAGTAGAGTACTGAATATTACTGTAAACGATGTGCTAGTATTTTATGTACGATGATGATGATGATTCGCCATACATGTTTCAACCAAATTTAACCAATCGAAATAAATATTGTTTTGAGCGTCTTTCGGAAATATGCAATGTTATTGTTATGCTTATTATTCCACGACAAGCGGATTATGTATGTATATCTCAAAGAAGAATTATGACAAGAGCTTCTCCCGATTTTTAGAAAGTTTAAAAACTTGACAAAGCTGATTTCCCACGATCTCTTCTGCGGGTCTGACACTCTCGGACTTAGAATTTTATACCAAAACACCGACTACATAAGCTGCGTAAGACACCATCTGTATTAACAATAGCAACTTGTCCATGTGAAACCCGAACATCGTTCAACAGAAACGAGAAAACTGGATCTCTTCAAGATTTTGGGTAGGGCAAAAACTCATTCAGAGCTCTCCTTTCTAATAAGCAAGAAGAACGAGTCATGGGAAAATACAGCAGCTGCAAAGCAGCTCAAGAGATTTTTAAGATTCTGGTGCTTCGTCTTCTCATTACTTCTTGCGTCCAGATTACAGGGCTGTAGGGAGGGATATGTACATGGACATATTCAAGCAAGATGTGGGGACGATGAGAATTTGTGCCACTGAGGAGACGAGTCCCTCCTTGGGAGATCGAAATGCCCTTGTCCAGGCATTTCTACTTGCTGCTCCCAAGGGCTACCAACCGAATATTTATTCTTTGTTGGAAGGGTCGCTTGGCCTTGAACATCTGAAGCACGTAGTCAATCTTATCATTGTTTTGTACTAGTCCCAGTCCCTCGCTCCTTCTTACGGCACAATTAGTGGTAGCCTCAGGTGGAGAAAATAACACTATTATTGAGCAACAGATTCAATGTCGATGGCTGGTACATGATTGTACAATTGCTCCTGCCGTTGGTCATTCGCTGTTTCATCATCGTAAACTATAGCCAAATACTTAACAACATGTTAAATATAGCCTTAGTTGAATGCCAAAGTATATTTTTTATTGATTTTCAAGGATAGAATGTCTTTATGGAGATTCCTCTGAAATTCATGATGGTTCTGTGGTGATTTTTATGTACATATGTATAAATATTTGTGGACAAGGATAGTACAAAGGCAGCCAATTTTCATAATGCACCTTTACATATATGAAAATTAAATATTAATCGCACATCCTTTATCAAACCCTCCCATCCGTTTGTTTAGATTATATGAAAAGCCGGAAAAGCTAAAAAAGTAAATACTGCGTTCTTCCTTCCTTCTTCCCATTTAGCCACCTAAAGGGTTTTCCGTCTAGTTTGTGGAAACGGATCTCCGAAGTGTTTTACCGTCTCCAAAACAGAACACAAACAAATGTGCAAGCGTGACAATTGGAAAAGTAATAAATCTTCATTTGTCGCCATTTGCACGACTCCAAACATGATTCAGCCCACACGGCCAGGCTGGAAAGCATTTCCATCAGTTGCACTAGAACTGAAAATAAAGTCCCTGGATCACCAATCTCATAAAAAATTGATTCGTCAATTTGAGCTTTAACATCGTGAAAATGTCAAATAACTCTTTGCACGCGATATTTCTGGAAAGAATCATTGTCTAACTAACGAAACTAGATAGATCGACGTAGATAAATGGTGCAGAAGTCAAAGCGTCCAGTAAAGCTTTACTCAATCATAGTGACACTATTTTAAACCTGGTGATGCTCACCTATCTACATTTTATTTTGGTAGGGTAATGGTAAATAATGATAATAAATCAGTGCAGACTGCATATTTTTTGTAATCCATTGTTCAGATTTTATTCTTTTGTAAAAAAGTATGTCAAGTTGAAGGGCACAGACTCCGCTTTTATTTAATTGCACATTTATTCTGTGGTACACGTACATAAAGTTCACCTTGTTGGCAGGTATTTAAGAGATTTTAAGTATGTGGCTTGTTATATTCACATATGTGGCGGAGGTGATGTATCAAAATTGACGTTCATTAAATAACGTTGACTATGTTGGGATATTGAATTAATTATTATTGTCAGACAGCAGGAGGCGTCAACAAGAGCTTTGACGCTATTATGTTCATGGTTGAATTCGATAGAATTAAAACGTACTGATGCTTGATCGTAAAATAGAAGCTACGGAGCTCGTACAATTTTGGAGTTTGATTTGGGTACTATCAAGGTTTCAATTTATGTATCCAGAACGCATGAAATAAGTGTTACAATAGTACATACCTCCAAATACGATACAAAGCTACTATTTGCAGTTGTAGTATATTTTTCCACATATGCATATAATCCTCGAACGCAAGTTTAATAAATTGCTTTTTGCATACATTTTGCCATGCTAATATCTGACCCATCTCATAATCTCAAGTTCCCAAGTTTCTAGCATGCAAAGCGAGGAGTGAAGGAATAAGATACATATTATACACCTCTGGCTAAGAAAAGAACTAAATGAAGAGAAAGTTTATATTCTTTTGTTGGTATATTTAATCACTGTCAAGCAATCGAATTCAAGAACAAACGCAAAGAAACAGTCTGATGCATGACATTTTGGTATACGTTCTTTGCATTGTGGCGAATCGATTAAAGATCCCCTTCAAACAATTAGAAATGTGCAATCACTAAGCGAAATTTCTCCAAGTACAACGATGCCTAACAACTTAAATGTCGTTGCAAGTGAGATTTTCAATGAGGTTTGGGTGTGCCTTTAAATGCTTCATTTAGTTATAAATAGAGGAGTTTGAGTCTCAAAGTTGTATTTATATAACTCCTTAGTGTTATATGAACAAGAAACACCATACAACAATCTACCACCCATCATGTTCTGTTAAATTTAAGTCATACGCCGGAACAAACTATCAATCTTTTTATTGCTAACTTTGATTTACTTCTGTCAACTTGTATTTTTTGCAAGTTGATTAAAAGTTTACTGAATAATAAAAGTGATCCCATTATACATTCAAAGGTTACCGTATTAAAAATGTTCTACACGAACTTTCTGGGTTTCTGTTGCAATGCGTAACTGAGAATTTACCGAGAGGTATCGTTTGATCAATAATAGCGTAAAGAAAACGACTAAAAAATGGGCAAAAGACTTGTTCATAAAAATGATCAGTATGATTTAGTATGATTGATACACGCTTTCAAATCTTATAATGTCATCCTTTCATTTGTGTAAAATAAGATATAAACTGCATAAAGTTATTCTTCCTAAACTTGCGTCGTGTCAATAAGAACTTGGGTACATTGAGCATTTTTGGTTAATCACAGTTGACAGCATGCAGACAGCAACGATAACTTTTCATATTCGCCAGGTTTGGGTATGTTTTCGTAAAAAAATGAAAGTTCATGACTTGATAACGATGAGTGATTTTTTTACACTTTGATTAATCTTTTGTTATCTATAGTAAAAACCACAGTTAAGTCACATGAAGTTGGGAGAAAATATGTGATTTTACCTTGTTTTTGTTTTATTACTTTTCATTTAATGGAAGAAAATTATAGCGAACGATAAATACTCAAGGATTGTCGTATAAATTGCAATGCATTTTGTGGTTTTGACTTGACATTTTATGCTCATGAAGGAATTTTAATCATCATCCCAGATTTCATGAGATCAAAAGTAGATCTATCACGAAGCTGACAGATGGACAAAAGAGAATCGCTGTAATATTTAGAAAGCCCACTGACTGTTTAATTCGATTAGTTCCATATGACAAAGTGAATATAAATGTGCATACATAAAAATCATACGTGATTCATGGCACAGGTGCGTGTTATGTGAGTGAATGTAATAAGTACTTGCATTCTATAGATTGAAATACAGGTAGATTGCACAAGAGCAAAATTATACCGACATGACCATGAGTGCTGAAAAATTACAGTAAATCCTAATTCTATGCACTTGCATGAGTCTGCTACTGTTGGCACAAATGATTGAAATTCAAATAGGTTAAAATTTAATGACTATGATTGTTAGTTCGTCGACAATAATTTTTATAAAGAAGCAGAAATTCGATGTTACTTGAACTATTTTCTTTCGCTGATTTTTTTCTAAAAATGTTGATATTTATATCGGTGTTAATTAACTTTAGGATCAAGAGAAGCGAGGCAAAATGATACATACTTATTTACATGCCTGTCTTTCTGTTACCTATTTTTAGATATGTATCCCAGCATGAGTGACACATAGAAAAGAGGAGGCATGGTTTGTAACTGATTACTCTTTTAAAAAAGACGCCATAAGGTGTTGAGAGATTCAGACAATAAATTAAGAGATGATTTTGCGGTCTTTGTACAATTTACGATTTTCTGCGTATGTAAACCGAGCCGACATTTGTTTCATTTTTAAAACGAAATGCCACCTCCAACTGCTCTAACCTCACGATGAGATTTCATTCTTTAGAATTTGCTCGACATGGTTTGATGAGTTGTCAGACATGGACGGCGAGGTGAAGCAATTATAATTTTACATTGCATGAAATTGAAATGGAAACTGGAGCGTTATTGTGGTTTTCCCCTCATTGTTCGCTTCCTTTTACTTTCTTCAGTTTTGCCACAAGGCAGCTTAAAACTTGAATGCTAAAATTTGAGACGAGTCGTAATCACCGTGTTACGATAAGTCATATTAATTTTTATAAAATAAAGAGCATATATTCACACATTTTATGCATAACTATTTATTTGTTTGTGCTTCCTAATATTTACTTTCGTTTTCTGTTTGTCGTGAGAAAAGTGTCAACTGGAAAAACCGACAAGCATCAAAATGTTAGACCTCGCAGATATGACAGCTGCTAAGTATGTTATATGTCCGACAACAGGTGATACTTTGTCTGTTAATTATATTTACCGACTTTTAACGAACCAAAGCAATGTTAGAAACATATAAAAATAAAGATACAAGTTTTTATAACACGGATAAAATAAAATTCAGTCTGTTTGCTGAGAACATTGTCAGTTGCAAATTATTATTTTGCCACCGCTTGATAAACAAGACGACGGTTGGAAATTAAATCATTGAATCGTTAAAGTATTACATATTTGCATGCAGCGCAGTGCACAGTAGTTGTGTCTTCAACCTACTTTTGCAAAAGTGCAACTTTTTATAAGTTCTTTCAGCATGTCTGCGTCAAATATTGCATTTCGTAATCAACACAGTCTTGATCCTTGTTTTCAAACGTTGGTTCTTTGCCAAATCGTCTAATCCATTGTTAAAGTTGCTTAGTGTAGAGAATTAATATTAAATCTCGTCAGCTCACCAAATTATAAGAAGGCATAGTTATTTTGTAGTTATAATTGTATGACGAAACTTGCTCTTGCATTCGAATCCTGTCTTCGCCGTACCCTTTAATAATATCGCTTATGGTTTGCGTCGTGGTAAAAATTCATATCTGTTACCAAATGTTGAGAAGGATGAATTACGTTGAATTATTGTCTACTATTTAAATAAGTCGCTCGCTCCCAAGCGTACTAAATGTAACTTTGAGTCACTTGTCAAGTTTTGCATAATGGAATGACTATGATCAGTGGTTTGACAAGAAAATATATTATTGAATTTAATACCGAGATTCAGAATTATGTAGGTGGAAAAGAAGTGATTAGTGAGATGTATGTAGCTCAAAGGGCAGACTGCTCCTCGGCACCATGATTAGCAAGTACGTAACCCTGCATCACCTTTGTTCCTTCGTGTACATAAATAGGCTCCTTAATATACGAGTAGCACGAAAAAGTCCAATCTTGACAAATGTAAGCTATATGTGCACACATATTGCTTCTACCCCAGCAAAGTCAGTGTACCGTGTCCTACTATTGTTTTGTTGTGCGTATCATTCCTGCTGACTGTATTTACCTGTGGGGGAACAGTGCCTTCGCCTTCTGATATTGTCTCTCATTATGCAAGTTGGTGTTTGCCTGGGTTTCCTTCGGGTTGATGTTATGTGGGGTGTTGTAGAGAACTAAAAGCGAACTCTGGTAGTTCATGGTAAACACATAGTTCGGCCCTGGATGGAAAGTAGAGATCTACGAACAACAAACAAAACAAAGGATTCTGAAGAGAACCCATGTTGGGCTAAAAATGTAAACCGATGCCATTGCAATGCGAGGGAGGAAAACCAGCCAGGTGAGTTCTGGCTACCTGTTCCACTTGTGTTTGCGTGTTAAAATATCGGCAATCGAGCTCCAATACTACACCTGTGTCATTCCCATCACTCCTCACGCTGGCATTTTCATTTCACTTGAAAGTAGAAAAATCTATTTTCAGTTAACTTGTGCTCGTGAAATTCGCCCTTCCAAAACATAATATTCCGTATTCATGTCCATTATGTCTCCGTAATACTCCGTATGCAGAATTGTTTAAGTTACACTGAGTTTTCATGAAAGCTATAAAATGACATTTGCTTTAGACTTATTTTAAAATGCGGTTTATACTGAATCAAATCGAAATCACTGTATTGGACGATGTTAAATATGCTATACTTTCAGAACTGAAGTAGTAAAAAACATAAGAACAAATGCTTCTTACGATTTTCTTAATGCCGCATTGTGTCTCAAGCTAGATCAATATAAATGCTACTGTCGTCTTCGGGTACCAATAATAATTTATAACTTTCTCCCTAATTTATTTTGGCACTTGTGTACAAAGGATAGTACTTCTTATTAGTTATTTATATCTACTTATATCATGATGGCAAGTTACATGCTAAAAGTCTCTGAGTAATTGTCCAACCTAAAACATTTTCAATTTGCTCTGCATTTCTCTTTATAAGGCAGAAGAGAGAAATGTGATCTCCACAGTAAAAACAAGGGATAAATTTAAATTTAAGATTTTTTTGGCCCTTGGTTGATGAGATAGATAGATGCAGAAGTGTAAAAATAGGGATTTTCGAATGTGGGACCAGGGAGCAGTCTCACAGCAACAAGCCATAACATTATTCTAGGCAGTCCCTAACGCGTCTTTGGTGTTTTAGGATGATCCACGCCATAGGAAGTGAAGATTGTGCAGAGTTTGAGCAGGATCTCGCCTCCGACACATTGCATGATTGCATTAAAGGAACTGGTCCATCTTCATCTTCTTCCTCACTCCAACAACATCTTTGGTTCTTCTTCTTCTAGTGGAGTGAGACCAAGTCTAACTAGTAAAATCTAATACATTTCTCACAAAAAAACAAGAATTCCACTTGCCACAGGACTTCTTGAACGAAAGAGCTCTCCCCTACATTGCAGCCAGAGGAGTGAACATACGAAGAATTCGAATGTGTGTTCGTAGTATGGCGATGATGATGGCGTCAATCTGATCTTGGCTTCTTCCAACCATTGTTAAACACCAGGACCAACAAATCCTCCTTGTAAAGTTGATCATAGGAATTCATTCGTTTTATAACTTGCTAAGGTTGCTTTGTGTTTGCCACGAGTAATGTAATGATAAAACATGTACATATAGTGTGAGAGATAGCATTGCTGCTTCCATTCCAACATCTCTCTTATAAACCACACTTGTTCCACCTCTACCAAAAATCTCTGTGATTCTCTCTCTCTCTTTACACGAATATATGCACGATGCGATGCGATCCCTCTCTTACAAACTCACAAAAACTGTTTGGTTTTGGTTGTTGGGCCGATAGCATTGGTTGTAACGTTGCTGCCTAAACCCAACCCTGCCAGTCGTCGTCGTCGTCGTCCCCCATTCAAATTATTATACATCAAAGGTATTTCTTTTTGTCCGTGGTGTGGTGAATGCTATTCAACAAAAAAGAGGGATAGTTTGGGCAGGTAGCTGAGCTATGTAGTCATACACTGAGGACTGACGGAGGTGAAAGAAGCTGCTAAAGGGATGGAGTCAGTTAAATTTCACCAATTTAACTGACAGGAAAGAATACTTGAACTGATTTTGGAACTCTGGTTGATGGTGACGGATAAGCAAATAGTAAAGTGATCTGTGTGTGTACATTCATCATGTAAAAGGATACATTAGGAAAGTCAACACCAGTTTAAGTGGTGGTGAATGAGTGAGAAATTGCAGTAAAATTGTGTTCATCAACCTTTTCCCCGTTCCTCGTCCCACTACTCGACAGTAATATCAATAACAGTCAAATTGATGTGGCAATAGGGGAAACAAATTATTATAAAACCATCGCAAATATTGTTGATCGATGTACTAACTGATGTCTGAATTCTGATGTGTAACGGAGGATGATGGTCAACAAAAATCAGTCCATCTTTTGAATCCCAAAACACTGCAATTGAGACCAGATATTAAAAACCAATTAAAAAAGACAATAATTGTGTGGTCCGTTTACATAATTCGTTACGCACAGGCATAATTTTACCCTGCTGGATCTCACTGTGATTACTATACTACAATATATATAAATTTTTTGTGCAATTTTCCAATATTGTGTGGTCTCACATAGCGAAAAATAACTGATTGTACCTATAACACAGGAGATTTTTATAATAACCAAGCTTCAAAATAGAGAGATTCAACTACGAGTCAAATTATAATTGCCAATAAATTGTGTAAATTGATTATGATCATTTCATGTCTAGAGTGAAAGTGTGTACTGAAAATCTGCCATAAATGACATTCGTGAATGCCTACACACACCTTCTTAATTTGGAATTAAGGAAATGACCATCTTTAATGTCGTAAATTTCAATACAATAATCTCCAAATTGACGTAGTTTTTTTTCACTCCAATGCAATTAACTACTAGATCTCAAATTTTGACTAAGCATTATTTTCGTACATTATTGAAATAACTCGACTACTACAACACAGCGTCTACTAAAAATTGCTAAAAGTATTCGCACGTTACAGCATTTTTTTTAAATCAGTGGGTGACGGAAGACGGAGGACTCGTTAGTAATCGCGATGTGATGTGAGCAGTTATAAAAATAAATAAGCAACCAACGTCTCCATTTATTTGGAGTGGCCTGAAGAATCATAATTGTTCAAAATTGCCATTGATGCTATTTCCCTTCCCTCAAACGAAACAGGAAAGGGAAACGGTTCAGGGGTTCGCTTGTGCGTTTTTGCGAGTAGTGTCTGTAGTACTATTACCATCAGTTCAACAGTGTGAATTCATATTTATGAAGAATGGAAAACTTGTTTGCAGAAAAGCTCATCAAATAAATCATAAATGTGTGGACGCGTAAATGTATAAAAAGAAGTTAAATAAATTGTGACGAGACTATCGCTTTTTTCTAAATAATGGGAGCCAACTTGGCAAAAGGGGGAAATGCATTTTTGGATGCTTTACCTGGCACTCAAGTAAGCTTTTTTAAAAAGACTTTATTAAATCTCATTTTCGTATGTTGTTGCAACTTGAACAATAGGTGTCTGTTTCAAAAATTACAAACATTTAGCCTTGTTAACAGCCGACGTGTACTCTTAGGCATTGTGTCCTCTGATATTGCTTCATGCAATGTACCTACCTACATACTAGTACGTATTATAAATAAATTGACGTGTCAATAAAAATTTTGATTATCACGATGGTTTAGTGGGCCTTGTTATAATCTTAAGATGGATCAGTATGACCTAGCAATCAGTAATAGGCATTAGCAGTTAGTAGTTTATGCCATATAGCATGCGTAGTCTGGTCATGTGGTGATTAGTCTAAAGGTCAATTTCTTTAATCACCACTGAACTAACTAAACCTTTGTTCTGTCCATACTCCTCCACCCTCGTAACTTGATAACCCAGCATCTCTTGCCTCTCTTGTAGATGTTTGAGCAAGAATGCCCATGGCTTCCCAACATTTATGTCACTTGCATATATGTAATGTAACTAACAAATATCATGCACTCGCAAGGGCACAATATTACTAATATTATTAGATATGATGCACCCCATAAATAATAATAGGCAACTTGCTAAATTTTTAGCTCTAGTAATAGCCCTGACATGTTTACAGTTAAGTAAAAAAAAAAAAAAGTTTATTGATTTGCTCTCTCTCCATTAAATTATAGAATTATTTATAGAATTGGTCGCCTCCTGATATGAGAAGAGTTGATATTATTAGAAGGAGCGGTCATTGCTACCATTATTATCATCGTGGAACAGACAAAGCATCACGTCCACGTTGAATGGCTCATTAGGTGAGATCGTTCGTTCTCCTAGGAGGGCTGCTGAATCTTCTTCTTCAGAGAACTATGTAGTAGTACCATGTCGGAGATTGCTTCTTTGGCGTCTCCTGAATACGCACAGGTGCCTTTTTGCTGTGCTAGGAGGTTGTTTGATGGTGGTGATGACCCACTTCTGCTGAACTTTGGGTTTACGCCTTCGCCTTATTCTTGCTCCCGTACTGCTCTACGTAGTCCAATAAGTGCCAAACAGAATTCCACCAGTTCCGGGATTTCTCCTATCTCCATCCTAAAGCATTTCCCGTCTTTTTTTCATAAACTCCAAAGCTAGCCATGCGACACTATATTTTGCTCTCTCTTTAGAAATCGGCAAACAAAATTATGTATATGCCCAGCTAAATAAAGACACTTTGCTTTATTTATTTTACTTCAATCGGATGAAATCAAATACACAAAATTATTCGAATATAAACAAGTCGGATTTTTTTGGAGTTGCAATGGGGCTCAATAACTATACGTTAGATGCATACCAGTAATTAATGTGTATAATAATGATCGGTGTCAAATGAATGCAATTGTTATTTTCTAAGAATCTGATTTTGTTGGAGTTGAATGGCTTTGCAATTCAGGGTGGGATTTGCCTGGTTTATTTATTTATGTATGTACAACTTCTTGGCTGGCTACTAATCTCAAGTATTCCTATGATTCGAAAACCAAATAAATAGGCACACATCATGCGCGGATAGTGGACACTTCCTTACGCACGAACGGGTTTTGTAAAGAAAATTCCCCGTTAGAAGGAAAGGTGTGATTGTTTTGGTTGCATAAATTAAGGTTATTGTGGTAGTTTATCGACTGACGCTCCGCCTTTTAGAGTCGCGCATCTTATCAAGTCGTCAAAAAGTGTACATGGTTCCTCTGGTTGTCATAAATTTTAATGTAATTAACATACATTCTCTAAAATCAGCACAAGCGACTTGTTTACTAGTAATTTGTAATTGAGGAAAGAGGCGCATAGAATAAAATTGTAAAACTCTCTACATACTTCTATACACTGGGGACTATATGTATGGTCGTTATGTTTTGTCGCTTCTGGCTCTGACATGTCTCCTTTTCTTCCTAATTTCTAAATAATAGTTGCAGAATGCGTACAATTTCAAATAATTTATATACAATGCAATCTGTGACTTTAAACATTAATTTTTGTGTCTGTTCTTACAGAGTCCCCACCACGTCGTAATGGTTGGACTTGATTCCGCAGGAAAAACCACTGCTTTATACCGTCTCAAATTGGACTCGTATTTAAATACCGTAAGTTTTTTTTGCACGCTGAAAAATGTGTCTAGAGCATTTGGTTCTAATACATATTTATCTTTTCATTTCCTCAGGTACCGACGATAGGTTTCAATTGTGAACGTGTCAAAGGGACACGAGGAAAGTCGAAAAACGTAAACTTTGTGGTGTGGGATGTGGGGGGCCAGGTAAATCATTTTAATACATCACAAAAAATACCATAATGCAAAACTAGAAAAGTAATAAGCATATGTATGTAGGCGACGGGAAAATAAACAATTAAAATAATGCTTAGTCAACGTTTTATCTGTGCACAGATACGTAATCACATAATCTCGTAGCAAAGAATGCACCAGCAAAACAATAATATTCGTCACTATGAATCATGTTTTTGATTAGTCACGTCTACAATTGGCAAAGATCAATACGTGGTTATCATCGAAAGCCATGCATTCAACATTTTCTAGACTCCTATAAAAGTAACTTGTGATGGTAACAATAAGGGATTCAAGATGTGCTAGCAACGTGTCTCGGCCTCATTTTTGCTGTTGCAAATTCCGTTCCCTCTTGATTCGATAGAGCATTTTGATTGTGTTCGTACTTACCATAATGCTCATGTGTCGATAATAACATGCTAATACATATATATGGATCACAATGTTGAAAGTTGCAAGAGTTGTTGATTGATTATTCACGTACTAATAAAAGTTGCAACTATCTAAATATTCCTGTACGGATTGTTTTAGTGAATGTATACATACATGCTAACTGTTTGGATCATTCTTATCATCATAATCTCTTCTCTGTGCAATAATATATTGTGCATGCAATTTCGTTCGTGCTCAGCTTGAGACTGAAAACAAAAGGCAGTAACATTCTGGGCGATGATGATATTTAAGCAAAACGACATAAAGCAACAGACACAACATTCATTACAATTTTATGAAATGATGAATGAATCTCTATTTATATTTTCACTTGGTCGGGCATTTATGTTTTGAATTTTTCCTAATGGCATAATCCCGACCCAAGTGTGACAGCTTGTATGGAAGACAAATCTCTCTCGCTCTCTTTGTAGAGCACATTACTACATTCAGAATGGAACAAAATTTCTCCAGTTCAGACATAGCATAGGCTTAGCAAGTCATAAGTAAATGAGAGTTGTCAAGATAAAACTGGCAGTGTCAGACAGAGGATCAATTACAACGATTATAAAAAATGCCCAGCTAGAGACTAGAGTTTGTACAGCAGAACAACGGATGCAAATAATATGCACGTTCTAAATTAGCAAAAGCAACATCTGGCAGCAAGCATAATTTATTTTGCAATCGTGTAGATGAGTCTTCTCTCTGTCCATTACATGAGTCATCATCGTACATAAATATGGAGCGAGGTTTTGTCTGTGCACAAAATATTTTGTATGAAGCCGAACTGCGACGGATTAAACACAACAACAACAAATCTACCTTATCCAATTTTTCGATATTAATATCGTCTGAATTCTAAACCTCTCTTTGCTATTTACTTTGGGTAGTTAACTACAGTTGGGTAGCCAAGTCCCAATACATTGGGACTTGAAGATAAGGCCATACATACAAATATGCATGTACATATGTATATCTGACTGAATTGCCTTTTCATCAAGAATACCTCAACGACGCATGTAGTATGTAGATGTACATATTTGATCTCATTTTGAGAGGCTAATTTTAAAATGCAGTTCTATCGGTATGCGGTTTGTTCAATTTAGTGGGACAAACATTCTTGCATGTCAATGAATTACATATCCCACATCATTGAATGCATGCAAATAAATTACTTGACCGATACAATCGTCTGTGGGCTCTATTTATTGCTAGCAGTTTGTAAACGGGTTTCATATGAATCGTTATGGTCTACGTATTTATAAGATTTATGTATAGGAATTTTTATATAACAGTATGGCAAACCTGTAAAGGAAACAAGCAATAATTTTATTAATTGCTCGCGGTGTAATGCATAATAAAATAAATGATAAGCAACATACCACATACTTGACAAATCATTTGTAATCAAATCATGGTGTAGATGAATGAGGACTAGAGTAAAGTTTAGTGGTCCATCCATCGTATCACATATATTTATGTATCTTCATATATGTATCGACGGCAGGGACAAAATATGAACGCATCAAAGTTTTTTAGTTACAGAGTTTGAAATCGGATTTTATCTTTCAGGAGAAATTGCGACCCTTGTGGAGATCCTACACGCGACACACGGACGCAATAATTTTTGTACTAGACTCGTTAGACTTGGAGAGATTCGAGGAGGCCAAGGTCGAGTTGGTCAGAACGGTCCGCTCTCACGACAATCTCGGAGTCCCACTCCTTCTGCTCGCCAATAAACAGGATTTGCCCGGGTAATTAGTTAATTAGTGGATTATTCTGATGTCAAATTGAGGAAATTTTATGCATTTTCATTATAATGGTATTTAATATAAATAATGTCTTATTGTCTATTTCAGAGCCAAAGAACCTCATGAAATTGAAAGCCTACTACAGCTTAGGGAAACTCTGCCACACAACAGTCTGTATCATGTACAACCAGCCTGCGCCATAACTGGTAACGATCAAATAAGCATGCGTACATGCGTAATTATTATTATTATTTCTTGGCAAATTGTTCCCTTCAGGGATCAGAAATGAGTTCACAATAATCTAACTTTGTGCAATTTTGTTGCATTATTATGACAGGCGAAGGGCTGGATGAAGGAGTCGAAGTTTTATACGAGATGATTTTGAAGAGAAGAAAGTTGAGGAAAAAGAAGAAATAATTTAGTTCTAGCCCTTAATAAATATAAATCAATTACATATTAGTGTTTTCTAATCATTCGAAAAAGTTGGGTTAATAGGCAAGCGAGCAATCGACTTGCAAAATCTTTACAAACTAAATTAAGCTAAATATTAAGTTACTACTAACTTTTTCCTTACTTACTACGAAGGAAGATTGACAAGCTCTTCTTTTCTGTCAGACCTTTAAGCAGGAAGGAAATACATGAAATTATTATTATCTCCCAATACTTATATAATGGCTAGTGGCAGCTACTACGTACATTTATACTGCAAAATATGTACAACCATTTTTCGATTGATATTTAACTTTCCGGTTCAGTAGCATCTCATTTTTTGTACTTTTTCTCTAGCACTCCCGAAACAAGTTTATCTCAAAGGGCAATGCAGATGTACATAAATAAACTGATATTACATTCAAAGTAATTTATGCGTTCTTTTGTTGACGATCACTCGATTTAGAGTGTACATATTTAATCATTATCAGAAATGTGAACTAACTGGTCATTGCTAACTGGGAGAATAATTTTAATGTTATACACATGTATTTTACACATTATGCAAAAAATAATTGACAGACTGCTTATAAATAAGTTATCTATTGTTAAGTAATATTGTTACACTACGCGGCCGAATTTATGTTAGATGCTGCCTTATTTCAATTATTAATCAATTGATCAAGTTTGGTAGATATTTAAAGACAATCACCTATATATTTTGTGGTATTGGTCGAAACGTATCGACCGTTGAACCGGAATGATTAGTTAATTAATTTATTCTTCGCTACATATAACTGTTAAGAAGAATGAAGGTATGATGATGAAACTGTACGGACAATCCCACTGACGAGTCATCTATAATCCTAATAAACCAAAGGATGAGTGAGAGAGCTAGATATCATCATCCCACTTATGGAACATCTCAAAAGAACAAATGGTGAATGTGCTGGAGAGAAGAAACCTTACCAAGTATGTATCATGTATTTAACTAATGATAGTTAATAATAAATTAAAATGTTAATTTTCTAGACTGTGTTCTTAGGAGTAATAGATACATGCATACAAAGATACTTTTGTTACAAGTACGTACTTAATAAGTATAAGATGAGAGGGACTCATGATTTATATGCTTTTGGATAAAATGGACGGAAACTACTTGTATTTAGGGAGTGATGATACTACTAGGAATTTGATGAGCTCGACAATTGATTGATAATGATACCTCTCATAGATTTATGTGAAATATAAAAAGTAAATGAACTATAGAATACCGAGAGATTTTTTGGATATTAATCCCAACCAAAAAGTTGGATTATTGTTTCTATTTAAATATGTGTCTTCAAATTAGTCGACCTCAACGTGAGAGAAACCGTGTTACGCTAATAAATCAGCGAATGATAAAATATAATAAATATTTATCGTATTTCGAGAATAATCGTTTTACACTTTATTTTTATTTTTGATGGAATCACATAATAATATTGGTATTTTACTATCATGTGAAATTATACATCCTTAAAGAACTATTTTTTGGAATGTTTACGGCATAATATTTGTCATTTTGATATCAGTTTTTTTTTGGTTGAGCACAAGTTCAAGTCTTAATTATGAATACATTTTTCATAAGTAATAACAATAGTCTATAGGGTTGAGATGAGAACACGGTTTGAGCAAACGAGACGACTTTCAGAAACAGCGAGTTTGTAAATGTATATATGTAAATACGTACATATACAAAACTAATACTATGTACATATATATCAGGTATCTGTACACAAAAACAAGGAAATTTGTGTCATCCGTATGAAAACGATAAGTAGTTTTAGAAAGGATACGTTGCAGTTTTAGAAACGTATAAAAATAACAAACAAAACTTTAAATTACATAATAGTAAATTCCAAAACTTGCTGTAATATGTATAAATTACAGCTAGGAATGAATTTACAATTCGAAATTGCGAATGCGTAACTGACTATGTTTTAGTTATATTGCGGCAGTCAGTCTTTAACTAAAAAATGCACATATGAAATTGGTCCATCAAAGACTCGAGATCATTTTTTCTTGATGTAGACAACGCAGGCTGCCACAATAGCCACGAAAGCACAACAGGCAGATAACTGATAAACGACATCCAAGCCAGATCGAAGCACCACACCCTGTATGAAAAATAAACATATTATCAGTACCAGTCTTGCATAAATATGGCACAAAGCGTATAGAAATGCCTACAAAATTTAATTTTACCCAGCCACCACAAGAATACACCCATGCTGCTACTTGTGTTGCTATATAGCGCAAACTCCACTCCACGAGACGGTGAAAAGTGCTATGCAAGCCTTGTCGCAAGGCTTGCATGGCGACGTCGGCACAGAAAAAGAACAGCACAACAATTCGTTCTCTTGTAATTGCTCCCCCCTTTAAGAGAATTGCACCAGTTATTACTATTTAGAAACTTGTATTTTAATTTTAATTGTTGCTTATTAATATCAGCTACCTGAAACAATTCTTGGAGCAGTTGCATGAAGTGATCTATGTCCAGGGTCTCAACGGGAATTTTGGAAGCTTTCTGGCGTACCGCATCTCGCTCTTTCGATCTTGAAAATGCATCTGCCAACTGTCGAAGTTCCTTCCCTGCACGAACCCATTCCAACATTCTACTTGAGTACAAAAAATACTACAATTGTAATTGTAATTAAATACGAGTAGATTAGACATACATGTTTACTGGAGAAAGCTAATAGTTAAATCAGTATTACTTGTCAGGGGGTCCTACTAATGTCTCCTCAACGGTAATGCAGGTATCAGTTAAGCCATTGCGACTAATTTCAGTACGAATAAAATCCAAATATAGATGTCTTCCCTCTTCTGCAACCTCCTCAATCACTTCCAGCGGCGGCGGCTCAGGAGTGTCCGATGGCGACAAGTTTGCAGCAGCCCCTAGAGGATGAGAATAGTTTCCCTTGTCCCTGGACTTCTTGTCATCTCCATCACCGTCATCAAACGTGCGTGCCATGTTGAATCAATCTGCGGGTTTAATAATGTTTAAGTTTAAATAGGTATCAACACCGGATGCAACTTAGGCTGGCGACGATAATGAGTTATCCGCTTATGTTTTAGTAATATAAACATCTATGGTTTAATTATCGACTTATGTCTATCAATGATAGACTATCATATATGTAGAGTGAAAATATCTGCGCGTATAAAGTCTCATGCTCATGTACAAATGTGATGTTCTATTTAGTTAGTGTCATGTCCATGTGCCGTAGTTAAACTGGTAGTATATGGCTGACACAAGAGAAACCTTACATAAAGACTTTATGATAAAGTGGACCAAAAAAGTTTGGGAATTTCGTCCTCATTACCCCTCATAATCTCATTTTAACAAAATAGATAAAATTTGCGATACACAGATTTTTAAAATACCAAGGGTCTTATAATTGGTGGCTGCGCATGGAGAACGTTCATAAAATAAATACGTAGTGCAAAATTGGTTATCTTTTTACCCCTCCCTCCCCCTTGTAACGGGTTACACCCATTTTTAACATGTGGCGCAAGTTGGCCTGTAACGCAACAGCCCGAACCCTCCCTCCTCCTGCGTTAGGTATTTTACGAACGTTCCATATTTAAAAGTCCTGAAAACATTTGAGTAGTGCGAGTTTGTGCGTGGGTCGATGACCTTGTCTCAATTTATTAAACCAACTTTGTGATTGTATCAAAGTACGAACTGAATTGTTTTGTACAACTATTAAACTAAATTGTGTGCTATTTTTATTTTACTATAACACTAACCTTTGTGCTGGGTCCCTTGAGGCCTCCGTTGTTTTGACACGTTTTCCCACGAGTGGACACTAATAATAACAGTTCACTGAACTCTTATGAAGAGCTGCTGAGGACAACACCAACACCGAAGAAAGCCAAACGAATACAAAATAATAATACCACCTTTGCAGTCCAAATATTAAAGTCGTCTCGATCTGATGATGATGATGAACTCACGAGGACGGGACTGAAGGGAGACTTTGTAGAGATTTATTTTATACGGGGAAGGAACCAGCGTAAAAAATAACCATGCAATCCGTTGTTGTTTATTATTACTACGTGCAATCTCATAAGTACGTCCCACCAACACAACCCTCCAGACATTTGGTGGTGGTGGTTTAAAGTTGATCCCGTAACAACACCTCTCCATGATATTTTATGGTTTGGCCTGATTTTACATAAGGGATGCTGAAGAAATAGAAAACGTTCCGGGATAGTTGTTGCTGCATATGGGATAAAATTACGTTATTTTACTACGGATGATATGAACTGGGCATTGGTTAGATAAGTCTTTGACAACATAGCACACAGTATGAATGTTATACTTACACGATTAGGAAGCCAACCGCGTCTTCTTATCATTTTTGGAAGTGGTTGAATTGAACAGGGGTAGTTAATGTTGGAGCTAAATAGCAACGTTTAATGCATTCTATCCACTGCTACTTATTTGTGTTCATTGTCATGCAAAAGAGTTCCGAGCCACGAGGTTATAATAAGGTCATTGGTCGTGGTTGATGGAATTGAAAAGATACTGATAATAAAAAAATGAACTAATAATTGTAACGTCGCCATTTCCAGAGAATGTAATTATGGTGATCCCCGTCTCAAGTAGCTCTCAAAACCACACATTTATATGTTTAATCTCAATTCATTAAGTGGGTCACCAAATTGGAATTATTTTCAACGTGAATGAACTTGACTAATCCTAAGCTTGTGGTACGAGACGATGTTAAGCATGGGATGAGATTATGACGCTGCATATGTGGGGAGTTTCTCAAAATGTGTGGACATGCAAAATACCTCAACAGCAGAAGGTTCAACAAAAGAATGACATGCAGATCTGCATAGTACTTGTACTATTATAATTATTGATTTATGAGATTATAGTGGCATGTTCGTACATGAGTAAAGAAAAATTTGAGACGCAATTACCCAGTTACATGCCCAATTCAATAAATTGTGTAAAATTCCATGTATAGTGATTCTATTATTTAGTCTGGCTGGACCGTCTGGATGCAAATGTCTACTAAGAACTTGACCGTGGAAAGTAAGTTATCATTGATATGTTCTTGACCCTTTATCGTAAATTACGATTCGTAATGTAAATGGTCACGTATTTAACAGGATGATCCATCTACCAAAGTATTATTTTGCCTTAAAATTTTGGCAGAGTTTTAACAAATGGTTTGCTTCAAATTTACCAGTTCATCATAATAATTGGTAATATGATTATTGTACCCAGGTTGCACCATAATAACAATTTTCAGTATTCACCGAAAGGATCAGAAAGAGTTCATGCATGTGTGTGTAAATCGAATTTCACTGGATCAAATTTCATCAAGCTGACATTTTGTCCATGTACATATGTAGGAGTCCAACACTAAAATATCCGTAGACATATGTATGTAGGATAAAGGGAAGCAGATTCAGGATTTATTTAAAAACACCCACAATTCTTTTATTCTGCTCAATGGAATTCACATAGTTTGTAGTTGAATGTGGCTGTAATTGGGAGAAGATGCTTGAACTTTTGCCCACATTTTGCATATTTGTCATCTTTCTCGCAAACCAGGGTTGATTGCGCCATGAGTCGCATGAGCTCAAGGGACGCTTCCGCAGGCCTTCAGGGGACGACAGAGGTAGAGGTGCAACCACCGGCCGTGGACTGGCGTACAGACTCCTCGACGATCAAGGAAAAGCTGTACAATTCTCTGCTCACGGGCTGCTTCTCCGACATTCGGTTTATCGTGGGCCAGACTCAAAAGAAGGAAATTGCTGCTCATCGATACATTTTGTTCCTCAACTCCCCCGTGTTTGAAACACTGCTGGACGGGTCGCACAAAGCGGTCAATGTCACAATTGCAGATGTTGAGCCAGAAGCCTTCTTTTCTTTTCTAAAGGTATTGCATATTACGTAAAAAAGCTGGTTTTTTAGACCATGGGGAAGGTTGATTCAAAAATGTACTTTTTCACAGTTTTTGTACACGGATGAATTTGATGTGCACGTGAGAGATGCGACTGCAGTTTTATACTTGTCAAAGAAATATGACGTGCCTCGTCTTGCGGCATTAAGTGCGGAACACATAAAGAAGAACATCAGCACCAACAATGTCGTGAGCGTTTTATTGAGCGCAGAAAGTTTGGGAGAAAACAGCATTTCATTTCAAGCTCGATACTTCCTGAGAACGTAAGTGATACTGAGCCTGAGGCTGAGAGGAGAAATAATGATCCGATGATATGCTAAATAATGAACCAAATACGAACAAAACAACATAGGTTATAAATATTTCATTTAAACAAGGTATGAAACAAAGGCAACAAATAATACATGAACTGCATATTAGAAACTATTAATCCATAAGAACTAATATGCATACGATAATAATAGTATTTGTAAAAAAGGAGTATCCCAAAACTTGTATTTTACTTTGTTGAGGCTGCCTGAGTTAGTGGCAGCATTGCAGACAAAATTACCACAGACTTGCATGTAGAGAAACTCGCAATTTCTTTCCAAGAAAGTATATTTTTGCTATATAAATAAAATATTGGCAGCATATTAATGTAATGTTATTTAAAGGAATATTCGCTATGTGATTCACGAGCAAGACTTTCTCCGTTTAAACGAAGAAGAGCTTTGTCAAATTTTTGCCAGTGATGAACTTTCAGTATCTGAAATGGAGTTATTTAATGTACGAAAATTTAGAAATTTAATATTTTATTTCTTTATGAATGAATAACTATATTTATGTTAGTTTATTTTTCAGGCTGCCGTTCAGTAAGTTTTGACAATTTCTAAACTAATTAGACCAATGATAATACAATAATTGTGCTAATTATGTCAGTTGGGCGATCGAGGAATGCAAACGGCAAAAATTAGAAAGCACTCCTCAAAACTATAGATTCGTTTTGAAAAATGTTATTCAACTGATACGATTTCCACTCATGGATCGGAAGGAATTTACACTGCATGTGGCTACCAAAAATGTGCTCACAGACTCTGAATGCTTAAATGTCATGATGCACTGGGATGTGACCCCAAAAGAAAGGTAGCTAACTTGCGTAATTTTTTAGTGTACAGTATTGTCTCTGTTTATAACATTTATATATAAAAATAACGGGTCCAGAGCAACTCTGCCACCATTAATGTTCATAAATAAGCCACGAACGGAGACAAACATTTCATCCGACGCTGTATCATCCTATCTGCCACAAGAAACTTTGATGATGATGTCACCAAGAGAGATGATGGACCAGTCATACTATTATGACACAGGCCCAATGGTAATTAACGGCACCATAACGCATGGACCTCATTGACTAATATTTAATGGGCATTGCTACGCCTTTTTAGGCTGTCAGAGGATACCGATCCACCCAGTCGAAACCTCCACCCCCACCACGCAGAACTCATGCCATAACCCCCACTAAACGTCACCACAACAACGTGCTGCACGCCCACGCCCAGCAGCCAGGAAGCTTGCAACCCTTCAGCTATCTCCCAGACCCCTACACCGGCACTGTTTCGTACCCCCAAAGTTATGGCGAATTTTAAAAAATTCTCTAAAAAAACTTTCAAGCTGTCTCCAGAAAACTGGAGACTCCGGTTTTAGTGTAAGCGTAAGGTGTAGTAATTGTACATTCTTTACCATAATCACCCAACTATTTCCAAATTATAAACCGATTGTCATCCTCATGTTTTGGAGAAATGTAGTAAAATAATGTAACAAAATAAAATAAAATTTCACTATCAATAAAAATATCCGTGCATTTACATGATCTTTGACTTTATCTAACAATGCGATGACACCAGCGGTCTCGCTCCGATTTTGATGAAACTTGGATAATTATGTATTAAACAAAGTTATGATGATATAAGTGGCCGAAAATTCGCATTTTTCTCGGCAAGTTTTTCAATTTTTGTTTTTGAGGGAGAAAAACCCGAATTTTCGGCCACTTATACCATCATAACTTTGTTTAAACTGAGCATTATGAAAAATCCCGAAACATGTGCTCAATTATTTACCTAAGGCTACATTTATCCAAGTTTCATCAAAATCGGAGCGAGACCGCTGGCGTCATCGCATAGTAAGTGACTTTTGCTTCAATTGCATCCTCACTCACTCTGCCCCGATGTTTTTGGGGCCCGGTTGCTGCAAAATGCTGCGGCCGCAGCTTCGGCTTGCTCCTCCTCTCTGTTGTCACCTCTCGTCTGACACAACTCACTCACTGCTGCTCCACATTTCTCAACAATTTTCTTCAAGAATCTCCTAAATAAGAAATCCCCCCGTTTCATCAATTCGGTGACGCGCATGCTGAAGGGGCGAGGCTTCGGAAGGTGAGGACTAGCGAGGAGGTCATTTAATACTTGTGACAAGTGACTTCTTTGCGTCATAAACAATGAGCTAATACTTATTCGGTATTTTTTTATTTGTAGCTTTAATACGAGGCCCAAAAGAAAGTAGTTAACAACGTCTTGGGCGTTTCGGTGTTCCTTTTAATGGGAGTTGGCCGTGTAGAGCCATACGTTGCCGTCCACTTTATTTATATCGTCTTGTTCTTGAAAAGCTTTGGAAGAAGCTGACGTAATATAACAATGACAATATTATATTAGAATTGTAGAAAATAGTGAATAGTATTATTATCAAATAGGTGAAGAGGCGAAGGCTATAGTCGGGACTCTTTAAATGCAACAACCCCCAAATCCATCCCCAATGGGACCACCTCAGCAAGGAGGACATGGAGGAGGTCCACCAGCAATGCATCATCCACCTCAGCAACATTACCCTCCACCTCCTCCACATATGAATGCTTACGGCGGTGGTCCAGTTCAACCGATACATGGTCAAGGTCCGCCTGGACATCATTATCCGCAACAAATGCCTCCTGGACAGCAACAAGGGCATGGTCCTCCAATGCAACAGCCGATTCCGCCAAGTCAAGGGCCCCAAATGGGTGGACCAGGCATGATGTCTGGAAGTCCTCATCAGATGGGACCTCCTGGAGGAATGCCTATTGATCCTAATGCTCAGCAGCGAGGGGTGCGTATAGTAGCTTTAAGCTACTGTAGCTTATAATAACTAAAGAGATTGCGGTGTTTGTTTACCACATAGCTAACTAATCGTGGTAATTTAAAAATATGTCAAATCTGAATATAAATGTAATCAATAGCAGCAACCAGGAGGAGTATATGCCCCCGGACCCGGTCCAGGAATGCCTTCAGATGGAAAACCTCAAATATTTAATACGCCACAAATTCAGCAGGTAAAAAAAATTCAACAAATATGATTACCAAGTAGTTACTTTACTGATCGTGGATTGTATTTCATAATTTTGTTGTTGATTGATTTTCAGTTGAAAGCTCAGATTATGGCTTATAGATGTCTAGCAAGAACACAGTCGTTGCTCCCTGGTTTAGTGGCTGCTGTGCATGGTCGAAGACCAGACCCAGCTTCACAAACCCCTCCTTCTCCACAAATTCCATCACCTCGACCTGGAATGCCGCAACAAGTTCTTCGACCACCACATCCTCCTCAACAAACTTCACAGCAACCAGTTCCATCATCCATGCCACCCACTATGAATGGACCAACAATGCTCCCTCCCAGAGACGTTCCTGTTCCAGCGACTACTGTTGTATGTTGTGCTTCGCGCACATCTTACTATTTTTGCAATATACTTTCATATATTAGTGCTACTGCTTCGTTGCTGTTACTTACCTTTGTTTTTAACTAATATTTATTTAGCAAACCCCGTTACCGCCTGGCCCACAGCCACAAGTGTCTGGACCGGTTCATCATCAGCAGCAGGTTCAGCAATCTCAGACACAACCTCCTAATCAACCTCCTAATCAAAAACAAGCAAAAGTTACAACCATTGACAAGCCAGAGGGAATTGATCCTGTAGCGATGCTTGATGAGAGAGAAAATAAGCTTGCGAATCGAATAGTGTCGCGACTCCAGGAATTAAGTGAAAGAGCCTGTGCCATTCCTGATGATCTTCAAATAAAAGCTCAGATTGAGTTACGAGCACTGCGGCTATTTAACTTTCAACGACAACTTCGACAGGAGGTAATTTATTTATATTTATTTGTCTATTTATTTCGTACATATTTGTAAGCTTTTACTTTAATTAACTAATGGAATTTTCTTCCTGCGTTTCAGATTGTTGGAAATATGCGACGAGATTCTTCTTTAGAAACCTCGTTTCAGATCAATGCGTATAAACGAGTAAAACGCCAGGGGCTAAGGGAAGCAAGAATTACTGAAAAATTAGAAAAGCTTCAACGAATTGAAATTGAACGATCAAAGAAGAAGGAACATCAAGTAAGCGATCTGGTGTGGTCATGCACATATTTTTATAATTTTGACTTAAATCTCGTAATTTTCATAGGTATTCTTAGCCGCTGTAATTCAACATGGCAAGGACATGAAGGAGTATCACAAAAATAACATTGCTAAAATTCAACGAGTTAACAAAGCTGTCGGTTTATATCACGCCGGTGAGTGTTTTAATTAATTATTTATCAATTAAAATTGTAAAAATGCTCATATTTTATGGATTATATTTTACTCTTATAGACAAAGTTTCTAAACAAAAGAAGGAACAGGAGCGAATAGAGAAAGAACGTATGCGCCGTCTTATGGCTGAAGATGAAGAGGTAAATCACATTACTAAATAAACTTTGTGATACATAGTTTTTGGCTAATTATTAAGAAACTTGTACAAATTTAGGGATACCGGAAACTCATTGATCAAAAAAAAGATAAACGACTGGCATTCCTTCTTAGTCAAACTGATGAATACATTGCTAACCTCACAGAAATGGTGAAACAACACAAAGCCGAACAGCGGAGGAAGATGAGAGAACAGCGAAAAAAGAAGGTATTTGCCGAAAGAAATATATAATATTTTTGTTCAGCATATTGAATTTCAGAAAAAAACCCATAGACTATTTTTTTTCGGCTGGGACCCCCTTCTGGACTTTATTTTTTAATTTGAATGAAACCTCGAAAATCGTGTTCAGCATAATTGAATTAGTGGGTTTAGACCAATTTTGGGTCTCAAAAATTTTTCATTTGGCGCAAATAGACGATAGTTAATCCGTAAAGTGGGTTGACATCTCCCGGTTTTCTGAGATAACCACTGGACCGATTTTGTCCAACTGGGGCTTAAAATGATCACAAATACTTCCTCTTGGGTGGTCCGGGAGATGGTACTGATCCGTGACCTCGATGACCTAATTTTGACCTTTTTTGTATTTGTTGCAAATTTTCTCAAAATCGTATATAACTATGAGCTCCAGGTTCAAACAAATTGTTTTATTCAAAATGCATGCATATATCACCTGTTTAGTGCGAGCAGCAGCGTGTGTTGCATCCTTATGTGAATTTTTTATGAATTACACATTTGGTACCCAGCATCACAAATATATAGTTAAGGGAACTTTTGTGATTAAATGTTGCGCTGCTGTGCATTTCGCAAGAAAATAGACCAGTTTAAACTCCACATTGGAACCTGCCTCATTTATGCATTCCTCATATTCGACAATTAATTCAGTGATGTGCATTTAAAACCAAGTTTAAAATATTTTGAAACACTTACTAAATGCCACCCGCCAACGATAAGTGCGACCCCTTTTTGTCTTCACAAAAGTGTTGTAAAAACAGTGAAGAAAATTTCTTCTCCACTTCTCAGTGAAAATCGACAAAACTTTTTTCATATTGTTTGGGGAGAAAACACTCTTCTATGTACAACCTGTCGGACGATGAGCGTCTTAAAGCCGGGCAATGCATTCTTGGGGAAGATGAATTAGTAGCGTTTGTCCAACAACGAGGAGCAGGTACTAAAGGTGGAGTAACTGATCATTTGTGTTATGCTAATATCTATCTTTTCTGTCCTTAAATGAATTATTGAGCTATTGCTGAGAAATATAACTTCGTAGCTTAACACCTTTTTAACATTCAATAATTCTTGATTAAGTTAACTTTAATATATAGACAAAATATGTTTTGCTGAAATTTGAATTCTGAAAGGTTGAAATTTGGATATCACACGGGGTTTTTTACATTTGTGGCACACTGCCGAGCAGCAGGACCACATTCCAGAAGAAAAAGAGTGTTTTCGCCCAAACAATATGAAAAAAGTTTTGTCGAATTTCACTGAGAAGTTGAGAAAAAATTTTCTTCACTGTTTTTACAACACTTTTTGTGAAGACGAAAAGGGTCGTCGCACTTATCTTTGGCGGGTGGCATTTAGTAAGTGTTTCAAAATATTTTAAACTTGGTTATAAATGCACATCACTGAATTAATTGTCGAATATGAGGAATGCATAAATGAGGCAGGTTCCAATGTTGAGTTTAAACTGGTCTGTTTTCTTGCAAAATGCACAGCAGCGCAACATTTAATCACAAAAGTTCCCTTAACTATATATTTGTGATGCTGGGTACCAAATGTGTAATTCATAAAAAATTCACATAAGGATGCAACACACGCTGCTGCTCGCACTAAACAGGTGATATATGCATGCATTTTGAATAAAACAATTTGTTTGAACCTGGAGCTCATAGTTATATACGATTTTGAGAAAATTTGCAACAAATACAAAAAAGGTCAAAATTAGGTCATCGAGGTCACGGATCAGTACCATCTCCCGGACCACCCAAGAGGAAGTATTTGTGATCATTTTAAGCCCCAGTTGGACAAAATCGGTCCAGTGGTTATCTCAGAAAACCGGGAGATGTCAACCCACTTTACGGATTAACTATCGTCTATTTGCGCCAAATGAAAAATTTTTGAGACCCAAAATTGGTCTAAACCCACTAATTCAATTATGCTGAACACGATTTTCGAGGTTTCATTCAAATTAAAAAATAAAGTCCAAAAGGGGGTCCCAGCCGAAAAAAAATAGTCCATAATATAACAAATGCTCTTTTGTAGAAGGACAAAGTAATTGTACCAGTTGAAGGTGGAGCTGAAGACGAAAATTCGCAAATGTCTGCAACCGAAAAACGCGTCAGTGTTGTAGATAGAGGGACCGGAAAAGTATTATCTGGCGAAGATGCCCCGACGTCTGGAGAACTTCAAATATGGTTGCAGTCTCATCCAGGATGGGAAGTTCATGAAGAATCTGACGAATCTGGCGAGGGCGAATCGGACGATGAGAATGGTCCACCTCTTCCAGTGACAAGTATAATATTTTTTAATATTTAATATTTGTTTGGAAGAAATATTCATTAGCTTAAATATTTTTTTAGACGTGAAACCACCCGTTGTGATCCTTCCTGAGAAGGATCCGGAAGCAATTGGAGAGGAAGTTGCAAAGGAAGTTATCCAGCAAGCTAAAGCTAAAGTTGAAGATGATGAATACAAGCAACAAGGAGAACAAAATTATTACACGTAAGTTAACAATAACATTATCAATTATTAAAGAAAAAAAATTATACTTTGTTTTTCAATCCGTTTGGATTTTACAGAATTGCTCACACTATTCATGAGCCGGTTACCGAGCAAGCCAATATGTTGGTGAATGGAAACCTGAAAGAATACCAGATAAAAGTGAGTACCTATCACATTAATTAAACTCATATTCACAACCCACTCTAACTTATAAATAATTATTAATTTTAGGGTTTGGAATGGCTTGTTTCGCTGTACAACAATAACCTCAACGGTATTTTAGCCGACGAAATGTGAGTCAAATAAAAATATTTTGAATTATAGCTAACCTGGTTAAAGCGTATATGTAAAACATACACTCAATTTTTAATACTGAAATTTTCTTTAGGGGGCTGGGCAAAACGATTCAGACCATAGGCTTGTGCACGTATCTCATGGAACGCAAAAGGAATCTTGGACCATTTTTAATCATTGTTCCTCTCTCGTATGATTCAAATAATCAATTTCCAAAGGTTTATGAGCATGGTTGTTACCTCGTATTGTCTGTAAAATTTGCAGAACTCTCTCTAATTGGGTATTGGAGTTTGAGAAGTGGGCACCAACGGGTAACAAATATAACAAATATATCAACTTCTGAGTTAATTTGAAATTTATTCTAAAAGTCTACTAATCTGAACAGTTCAAGTGGTAGCTTACAAAGGGTCCCCTCTACTACGGCGACAAATTCAAACTCAGATGAAAGCTACGAGGTTTAACGTTCTCCTAACCACATACGAATATATCATTAAGGATAAAGGAATTTTGTCTAAAGTAAGATACTTTCTGGTTCGGTCATTGTTGCTTTTCACATACGAAGCGTATGTATATATATATAGGTTAACACTGATAATGATTATTTTATTTTTATTTTATAGATTCGTTGGAAATACATGATTATTGATGAAGGCCATCGAATGAAGAATCATCACTGTAAATTGACTCAAATTTTGAACACTTACTATATTTCTGCTCATCGTCTTCTTTTAACTGGGACACCACTGCAAAACAAATTGCCTGAATTATGGGCTTTATTGAATTTCTTACTACCCTCAATTTTCAAGTCATCTTCAACCGTACGAATAATTTAAGCTTAAAGATTACCATAGTTTGGATTGAGGAATATGAGGATGATGCATTTTTTAATACAGTTCGAGCAGTGGTTCAACGCTCCATTTGCAACAACGGGAGAGAAAGTTGAGCTAAACGAGGAAGAAACCATTCTCATTATTCGTCGTCTACATAAAGTTCTTCGACCCTTTTTGCTACGTCGACTCAAGAAGGAAGTAGAATCTCAATTGCCGAGCAAGGTTGAGTACATTATCAAGTGTGAAATGTCAGCTCTCCAGCGTGTTCTTTATCGGTATGTGTTAAGGTTTTCTGGTTTCATATTAATGATAATGTTTTTCTGTGTTAATATTAATACATTTATATATAACGTTATTATGTAGGCACATGCAGAGTAAAGGTGTGATGTTAACGGATGGGTCTGAAAAGGGGAAGAATGGGAAAGGCAGTGCTAAAGCTTTGATGAACACAATTGTCCAGCTAAGAAAGTTGTGCAATCATCCTTTCATGTTCAGTCATATTGAGGACAATTACATAGACCAACCAACATACGCGTGAGTACACCCCTCATTTTATGATCAACTTCCGAATTAGTTTAATTGATTTGATTCGATGATTTTTTGGGGGGAATATTTTAGGGAGGAACTCTTTAGAGGTAAGAAAGCATTAACTATGCCCGTTTGTATTTTAACTTGAATTAATATTTACCATTCATTTACAACAGCGTCAGGAAAATTTGAATTGTTGGATCGGCTCTTGCCAAAACTACAAGAGAGCGGCCATCGTGTCCTCCTTTTCTGTCAGATGACGCAGTTGATGAGCATTATGGAGGTAATATTTGGTTTTACATTATTACGAATATTATTGGTTTTACATAAAGTATGTATAATTAATGGTAATATTACAAACAGGACTACTTCAAATTTCGAGAGTGGAAATACCTTCGATTAGATGGTGGAACAAAGTCTGAAGATCGAGGGGACTTGCTAAAGAAATTCAATGCTCCTAATTCCGATATTTTCATATTCATTCTAAGCACACGGGCTGGTGGTTTAGGTCTTAATTTACAAACGGCCGACACTGTGTAAGTAAATATAGTTGTTGACTTGTGTACTATTTTATAAAATATTTATCCTACCACTGCATAAATATTTATTTTGACCCATATAGAATTATATTCGACTCGGATTGGAACCCTCATCAGGTTCATCATCTTCGTTGATTACCGCTGTCAAAAGCCGCATAACCTTTGCCCTCATCATTTGATCTTATTTTTACTACTTTGAATTACTAATATAACAAAAGTGATGTCATTTATTTTTTAGGACTTGCAAGCACAAGATCGAGCTCATCGAATTGGTCAAAGAAATGAAGTTCGAGTGTTGAGGCTCATGACAGTAAATTCTGTCGAAGAAAGAATTTTAGCTGCCGCTCGTTATAAATTAAACATGGATGAAAAGGTAATTTTTTCTAAAAGTCCGTCGTATTTTACCAATTCAAGTTTATTTTTATTACTTTTGTGATTAGGTTATCCAAGCCGGAATGTTTGACCAAAAGTCTACCGGCACAGAAAGAAAGCAATTTTTGCAAAGTATTCTTCAAAATGATGATGGTGACGATGAAGAAGAAAATGAAGCTCCTGACGATGAAACAATTAACTTTATGATTTCAAGAGCACCAGAAGAACTTGAATTATTTACTAAAATGGACGCTGAAAGAGAGAAAGAAGACCTCAAACGAGAAGAATCCCGAAAGGGAAGGCTTATGGATGAATCGGAATTGCCAGATTGGCTCCTACGAGATGATGACGATGTATGCAAATAAAAATTGTTTGAATTTATTTTCCACATGTCAGTTAGTCGTTCAGACATGCATAAATGTGAACTAACTAATGTAAACTATGTTGGAATGTATAGGGCATGTGGGAAGATGAAGAGGAAGATATTTCACAGAAAAAACGACGACGCAAAGAAGGTGAGAACGAATAAAACTCACAAGAAACAACCCATTATGGAAAAGTTGTATTGCCTAAATCACACTGTTCAGACTAATAATAATAATTTATGACCAATTTCACTCATAATTAATGAGTCATAAACTAATATTGTTTTTTATTTGCAATCTGTTACAGTGGACTATAGCGATTCTTTGAACGAGAAAGAATGGCTGAAAGTTATTGGTGCATCCTTAGAGGAAGAGAATGAAGACGACGCAGAAAGCATTGGGAATGGAAGTGGAAATGGTGGCAACGGTCGCAGTGGAAGGAGGAAGCGTGGAAAATACAAGAAACGGGGATACATTGAAGAGGACAGTGAGGATGAACCGCCCCGAAAGAGAGGAAGACCAAAGATGAACCCGGATCGAGATAGTGGAAGCAGTTCAAAAGCCAACATTTCTCCCAAAATTAAAAAGCTTATGAAGAAAATTATGAATATTGTTGTGGATCATGCCGATAAGTAAGATATTATTAACTAGGTAGATCTATAAACTCAATAACTGTTATAAAAAACTTTATATAGTGAGGGACGCGTGCTGAGTGATCCTTTTATAAAACTACCGTCACGAAGGGAGTACCCTGATTATTACGAATTAATTAAGAAGCCCATTGATATCAAAAAGATTTTAACCAAAATTGACAATGGAATTGTAAGTTTTATTGATACTCATTTAGGATTCGGTCCAGAAGTAAAGAAACATTTAAAAAAGTATATTTATTTGTATGAAAGAAAAATTGTCACTGAGTTGGAACGCGGTAGTTTTGTAGTCCATGCGATTGACTATCCAAATCAGAAAACCGGAAGTCGATATCTCGATTAGTTCAAAAATGAGAACAAAAAATTCAGAGGAACTCGCAAAAAAATTTTGCCACTACTACGAAAAAGTGTGCGAGCGCGTTCGGATAATGGTTAATAGCCACTTCGAAAAAGGAAAAATTCATAATGGGGCAATTTGCAGAGTTTTAGATATGTATGAGGGGAGGAGGAATGCTGAATTCAAAAAATTAAAAAATCGTCCTGCTCGTGTAGCGACCCCCAAAGTGATACGTAGAGTTCAGAAGGAAAACAAAAATAACCTTGGGATATCAGATAGTAATTTGGGCTACAAATTGAAAATATCAAAATTAAGTTTACATGACATTAAACCCACGAAGTTGGGGGTCAAATCCTATAAGGCGACACCTGCACCAAAGTACAACCAAGGTCAGCAAAAAAGAGCAAAGCCCAACTCTCGGCAGATTGTTGAAAAACGAGTCGAGCAAAACATGCCCGTGATTCTGGTCATGAATGATGAGACCAATTGCTCGAATGATCCAGATGAAGTCCCTGGGAGGAAGTACTACTCATATACTAATCAGAAAACGTTTAAAGATTCCTTCAAATACACGCCGAAGTCAAAATTCCCCATAAAGCACATAATCGGGCAATCATTGGACTCATTGGGGGACGTCTCAAAGCCGTTCGTGACCACAGCCACCATGACCTCGGAGAGATATCTGAGCGATTGTGTTAAGTAGATCTTGATCCCCTTGATCAATAATCGTCATGTACTTTTCTGACTGGACACAGCAACATGTCATTCTTCAAAAGTTGTTCTGGACTACCTGTGGTCGAAAAAAATCGATTTTGTTGCAAAAAAGGATATGCTCCCTACGTCCCTCGGGCCAGACCAATTGAACGATTTTGGGCATTATGCAAGAGAGAATATAGTCGTCGAACAAAACCACCCAAAAACTTGGTAAGATTCCGTCACATTTGGACACACACCTCAAAAGTGGTAGCGAGAAAGAGTGGCAAAGCACTTTTGGGGACCGCGAGGCAAATAATTCGCCAGATAGGAAGGATGGGGGTCTATGGACCATATGAAGCAAAAAATTGAACGATAAGGACCTTGTTCTTAACCCTTAAAAGTGTCATTGGAATTAATTAAGTTTTCCGGATTTTACAGGCATTTTTCAAATGTTTCTTTACTTTTGGACCGAACCCTACTCATTGACAGTATTTTAATCAATATTTTAATCGATAGTATTTTAATCAGCAAGTCTTGTGTTTTGTTACAGTATGCTGACCTAGATGATCTAGAAAAGGATTTTATGCAGTTGTGTAAAAACGCACAATTTTATAATGAAGACGCGAGTCTCATCCATCAAGACTCAATAGTTTTACAGTCCATATTTTCCGATACCCGACGAAAACTGGAGGCAAAAACTCTAGAAGATAAGGAAAGATCGGAGAAAGAACAAGATCCTGAGCCAGAGGAGGCAGAAGGACAAGGTAAAACAACTTAAAATTCACCAGTATTAAGATTATGATTATCTGTTATATGCATATACATACATCCTCTGTTATATACATAAATAAAATTATGTTGTATATGTACTATTTATGTTGATTATTTTCAGATGGTGAAGAAGATCAGGAAGAAGACAGTAGTCCTTAATTACTAAAAATTAGTAATGTCTTCCGGCTTGATTCATAAGGGGCAACTTTAATGTAGATTTTTACTTTTTTTGTCAACCAGCACTGTTGAGTAATCTAATGTAAGTACGTCCATGAAGCCAAGAATTTTTAATAGTAGAAATGTAGTTGGAGGGGGGGGGGTACATTTCGTTAATTATAATAGTTGGACTTTCACCATAAATTGGAACGCCTTAAAAGTTTAAATTAAATGTGATTTCATTTTAAAATCGGTGAAATGAAGTGATGATGTTACTGGCAAAAGATTGAGACTGTCTTAAAAAATTCACAACTTTTACTATTTATGAATGAGAGCTACACATTTCCTTTATTTGTTAATTCTATATAACTGAATAAAAATAAATGTATTTAGTTTTACTCTATTTCCTATTCTTACTTTATTTCTACGTCCATCCATCTTATATGTATATCTAACTTCACGTCGTTGACGGTAAAAAAAATTATGCAAATACAACAAAGACACGTTCAATACACAAAAACTTTAGTTCCAGCGAGATTTACGACGCTTGCCTTCTGGTTCTTCAGGCTGCGGCTGAGGTCTAAGAGGTTCCACCACCGCTGGAAGAATGGGGCGCTCGCACGTTTCCTCTGACGCTCGGAAGTTTGACATGTATTGCTGTTTGAAGGCAGCTTTCATTGCGTCCAATCGATTAGACGCAGGTCCAGCTCCCAGAGATGTACTAGCATTATTAAGTACAGCTCCTGACATGAGCCCAGGTTTAAAAGTTGGCATTGCATATTTAGTGGAGGGATTAGGCATCGTCGACGATGATGTTGTCAAGGATCCGTCTTCGCTAAATCCCAGACCTCTGCAAGCACCTACTAGAGCCGCATTTTTACCCTTGCCGTGTTTGAATCGAGATTTTCTAAACCACGAACTCTGCAAATTAAGAGATTTTATAGAATGTGCGTAGACAATCTATGTATAAATTGTGTATAATATCTCGACTTGAACCTTCATTGCAAGATCCAACAATTCTTGTGGTACATTTTGTCCTGCTCCTTCCAAATTCCTGACCAAATGCCCAGCAAATTCAAAATCTTTATCAGTCACTAATGTGTATGCCGTTCCCTTCTCTCCAGCACGACCGGTTCGACCAATTCGATGCGTATGAGTATCAATATCTCGAGCTACATCATAGTTTATCACCGTCTTTATATGAGGAATATCGAGCCCACGAGCTATTGCAAAAATATTAAGTTATTTATTTTAATTCCAATAATACTGTAAGTAATTTGTTATTTTATTTAATTGTTACCTGCAACGTCGGTTGCAACTAATATATTTACTTCCTTTTTCCTGAAGGCCCCAATAACTTGATTACGGTCAATTTGATCCATGTCTCCATGCAGGAGCAAGGCATCAATTTCTTTCAGCTTTAAGTTATTGTGGAGTTCTTCTGCATTTGTTTTTTTTGTTACAAATATCAGCACAGAACCTTCTGCTGTAAATTCGACCTTTTTCAAGACAATATAATAATTATTAATTATAAATCATAAATTGGATATATTTAAAATGTCAATACTGACCAAGCGTTGAATCATCCAAATCCATTTCGACCCACCCATTGCCATAATTAACACTTTCTGCTCAACATCTTCGCTGGCCTCACCAATTTCACCCTGTTGAAGAAAACAATTCAAGAAAATAATGAATATATTTTTTTTGAAAAATGAAATTGCTCAACAAGGTATACATTGTTCAATACAATATTAATTCTGTTCTACCTGCACGACGCGAATTGGGTCATTTAGAGCATATCTAGCAAGTTTTTCAACATTCTTTCGCATAGTGGCACTGAACAATAAAGTTTGTGTATCCGGCCTGCAGACCAAAAATATAAAAAACATAAGGCATAGTTGGTTAATGGGTAATAATATCTATATGTATGAACTTACCTAACATGTGCGCAAATGGATTTTACTTGCGGGGAAAATCCCATGTCGAACATTCTATCGCACTCATCAAGAACCAAATAGGTAACTCTTGACAAATTTGTTGCTTTCATCTTGATCAAATCAATGATCCTTCCAGGAGTTGCAACAACTACGAACGAGAAATTATAAAATATATAAGTAAAACCGATTGAGCCAACTTCTACATCCACATGTATTTTATATGCATACCAATCTCTGCTCCTGCTTCCAAGGCTTTAGACTGTTCCCATTTAGAGCCACCACCATAACAGCAGCAAACATTAAAATTGAAAACTTTGCCAAATTTTTTCGCTTCATTATAAATTTGTAACGCCAGTTCACGGGTCGGGCATAATATTAGGCCAATAGGACCATCGGTAGGTTTAAGCAGTCTTTGATCCGCGATGTGAATTACTATAAAAAATGAAATCATACTTAAGTAATCATTGAAGAATTTTGTCCCTCTATAATATATAATTATCTAATTAGGCTTAATACATACACATAGGCCACAAGAAGGCTGCCGTTTTTCCTGAGCTAAGGATTGAAATATAATTAGTTATTGCGGTACAGACCGATGGGAGTCTAAATAATACACACATACCCGGTTTTGGCGATTCCTATAATGTCCCTACCTGAGAAATGGAGAAAATAATGGGAATATAGGTGGTACATTAGATGCATTATTTTGTAAATTTTCATTCATTGTGGTTAAATTCATACTAGTCACTAGTCAAAAATGCTTACCTGACATTGCTATGGGCAAGCCTTGTGCTTGGATAGGGGTAGGCTGAGTAAATTCTGCCTTTCGAATCGCTCTCATCAACGATTCTGGAAGGCCTAGATTATTATGTGCACTATTACACTACTATTCGGAAAAATTGCCCCCACCATTTTAATTACTGAACAAATAATCATTCTTACCAAGGTGGCCGAATGAACTAACAGGTTTGGGTACGGTGGCGCCGCTAACCTATAATTTCAAAAATTAAGCATTCTTGATACAAATAAAATAAACAAATGAAAGCAGCACCTTAATTCCTAACGTTGTCCTCAAATTCTGGACATCCTCATCAGACAATTTCGTAATGTCAACATGTTCCTCATAAAAATTTTTTTCAAAGGGTTGATACTCAATACTAAAGTGGTCAATCGGCGGCAGTGGGTCGATATACTTTGATCTCTTTGGCGCAAGAGGATTGCCGTCTTCATCATATTCCATGTCGTTATCAGAGTCTTCATCCTTCCCAAAGTTAGGGTTTTCAGCCATAAATTTGTAATAGCCTGTTAAGCAGTAATATTAAAACTATTATTGATGCAATTTTTATTATAATGGACTGCACACTGACTGACTTGACCTTACTCTCTTCATCATCCAAGTCTTCAATATCATCTCGAACTCCTTTGACCAGGGTGGGTTTTGGAAGCTTTGGAGCCTCCTCTTGTCTTTTCACTTCTTTCTCAATGCCAGACATGAAAGCCTCGAGCGGATCGTCTTCGTCCGACTCTTCGCCCCCTTTTGCACCTGGAGAGTTTGGCCCCGGTTGGTACAGAGGTGTATCCTGCTCCTCGTCATCATCAAAGTACGCATCCTCCGTTTTGTGCCGTAATTTTAAAGATGAGATCGGGTCTACAACTGTCTTGTGAATTGTAGATAATGACGCAAATCCCTTGTTATTTGTCGTATTAATAGGATTTCGAGAGACTTGTAGAGATGGTGGGGGTGGGATTGCTGCACCCCCAGAAGATCCTGATGCAGACTGAAACCGGATGAAGCCTCTCCCAAATCCTCCACGACCACCCCTTCCACTCATTATTTCTAAAAATAAAATAAAATTGGAAAAAATTAAATTGACTTGTACCTAAGTAACGTTCGTTGAACCGTTTCGGTTGACACTACTGCTTCACAAAATTAAATATCTGAAAATGTTTGTGATTATTTTTAACTGCTCCTAAAAACCATTACCTCCAAAATAAATCTGCAATTTTCGTCGTCGGCCTCCAGTCGGAATGCAACCCAAAGACGGAAAAACCTTTCACAGTTCCCGGCAGCAGGCAGACATAAACAAGAAGACTGTAGCCAGCAACCTGACAGAATTAGTCGGCACGACTATTACATTGCTTTCTCTCTTCCAGCGCTTCGTCAATTTCACCGTGGGAATATTTTGCCCCCTTCTGCTCAAAACTGACCTGGACAACAATTACAAAGTTTACCACCCGACACTCTACTCCTCGGACGACGAAGACGAAGAGGATCGTTTGAACTCACTTCACCGCAAGAGTTTCGCCGACCGGGGCTCAGTAAGAAACTTTCACGACTTTCACTCCTCTTCGGCAGCCTTACAAATCCAGGATGGAGTTTTATCCCTGAAAAAGTTGGCGAGGTCGTGGGGACTGACACAGATCGACCTGAGAGCCTACGAACAAGGAGGTGACTTCTATGACGACGGAGACATCATGACGCTACCGGTGGGAGGAACAATTTCCGTGACTAGGATAGCACTCTTCTCACGCTTTCTCCTCTTGGGGATTGAGGTGGACTAACTTTTACATATGGGTATAATTTGCATGCACGTGTCAAAATAAATACTAATATGATGTTTGTTGTAGATATTGACCAACAATTTTTTGGGGAAGCATAATAATGATGGGTTTCGATTTGTACCTGAGAAAGGATATGGAGAAAAGTGGCTGGATCCAGTGGTGAATGCGACTCTTAGAGGTCTGTTTGCGATTTTAATATACTTTAAAAAAGTTTTCGTATGATTTGCATGATATGAAATTATTAGGATTTGCGAACTGGGATGGGCAATACTTTCTTCACATTGCAGTCAAAGGATATACAACAGAGAATATACTGGCATTCTTTCCATTATTTCCAATGATGATATCCTTTGCATCCCAATTGTTTCACGTTATTCTTGGAAGTTATATTTCTTTGAGTTCTCTAGTCTTAATCGTGTCCTGGATTTTTAACGCGACACTATTTACTAAATCGGCAAATCTACTGCACGATTTGGCCCAGGTTTCGGGTACCTTTCCGGATCCAACTCCAGTGATATTACTATTCTGCTTCAACCCTGCAAGTATTTTCTTTTCCAGCTTGTACACTGAGAGCTTGTTTATGTACTTGACTCTAAAAGAGCTCATGTCGTTATATTATGGGTAAAGGATTTACAATACCAATTTGAGTAAGGTTATAGATACATAAGGTTATTCTGATATCAGTTAATGTGCGAATTGTACGTCTTCAGGAAACCATATAAAGCATTAATGTGGGCATCGCTTAGTACACTATGTCGTTCGAACGGAATCTTAAACTTTGGATTTGTTGCGGCGTACTTCCTGCAAGAAGCGTGGACGACAACTAATAGAGAAAGGCGCAATCCGTTTTTCTGGTTGATTACCAAAGCTTTGATTTGTCTGATTTTTTTGGCACCATTTCTGGCCTTTCAGGTTCTCACGTTTCTAAAATTCTCATGATCTCTACAAATTAATTTCTTAATGTATGTAGCTTGATGAAAAATCAGTGTACAATTGGACGGATTATTATTAATTGCAGGTGTATGCCCTGCTAAAGTTTTGTAACGAATGGGACGGGGAAGTTCCTCTTTATTGTCGATATGAAATCCTGCCGTACTCTTATATTCAAAATAAGTATTGGAATGTGGGTCCATTTAAGTAAGTTTGTTATTTTTTACAAACATTTTCAGATGAATATCATATAGAATATTTTAATTGTTTCATAGGTACTTTGAATTTAAACAAATTCCAAACTTTATATTAGCTGCACCAGTGTTATATCTACAATTTAACACAAATTGGAAATCGTTCGTTCCACTGGTAAGCCAAATGGATAAATACCTATGTAATGGTATTTATATAATACTGTTACTCATAAATATAAAATGTTTTCAGATGGCCAAGCTATTTGTATATCCAACCAATGTAAATCTCTGTGGATTATACATTGCTGTTCATGGAGTTTTTCTAGCAGTCTTTTGTTTTGTCTTTATCCACGTTCAAGTAAGCCTATTCAAGAAAACTTTTAACTTTGATAGATATTTAAAACTTTTTTTTTTACTGGAATAGGTATCAACAAGATTGATTCTATCAGCATTCCCATATTTCTACTTAAATATCGCTAAAAGTTGTGGGAATGAAATTGTGGCATTTCGCAGGGGAATTATTTCATGGCCTATTAGATCTACTTTCACTCAACTCTGGTGCGTATTATACTTTGTGTTCGGCACGATCGCATTTTCTGCAGGATTACCCTGGACATGAAGGATGCATAATATTAAGTATCATGACTGATTTTTATTATTTTGCATGAATAGTAAAATTTATATTAAATCGACAATAAATTATTTTTGTATCACGTAGGCATTTATTAGTATTGTAATAATAAAAGTTAACAAAGTCCAAAATATCACTTACAATATTGTTAGTATTGCTATTCTGTTACACTTTCCCTGATTATGATACTTTTCTCCTGCACGATTGAAATATGGAATTAATCCAAGATAGGAAGCGTTGAAATATATTTTTAGGTGCCTCTAAATTATCCTTCTTTTGTGCCCAGGGCGAAACCCTTGGGAATAAAGAAGTTTTGCTCTATCAACACAACCAATAAATTAAAATTCTATTGCATTTAGCTAATGGAGTACTCACCTTTGATGCAAGGCTAAAAATTTGCTGTTTCGTTCAACAGAGTCCTGATTTACCAGAGCTACTGCACTCACTGATTTATGTGACGAATAAGGCATCAAGTTTTCGCAGGATTCCATTATTAATTGATCATTTTCATTGTTCAAGTCCTGCTTGTCTAGCTGCGCCCGAGACCCTATTTCATTTCGCCCATGAAATTCATTTCCATTCACAATGTTCGCACTATTTGCAAATTTTTCGGATGCCTTCATTATTGAACTGTCACTCTTGATTATTTGTTGGGTGTTGTGATTGTCGATAAGTTGTGCATGTTGCACGACATGCTCCATGTACCAGGACGGTGTCTCACGAGTGCCACCTCGTTCTTTCTCTTCGTGAGACTCATCGAGGGGGTCGGTGAGCTCGACGGGGATACTTTTGATGTAACCACGATTTAATAGTTTAGTAAGGACTTCGTCCCTGCTCCTTACTCCAGGAAAACGATACTCTCTCCGTTTTTGTGTCACATCGTCGTAAATGACGACTTGCGTGTGAACTCGTCTGGCTGGCTTAACGCCTGCACAGCTTGTTTCGTCTAGTTTTATTTCCGTTTTGGACGCCCTTATTGTCATCGATTTGGTTTCTGACTCTTGACTGACGGGATGGGAGGGTGCCGTGACGGCTAATAGTTCCTCACTGAACAGTTCCTCGTGATGCATAGTTTCTTCTTCATTTTCCTCTTGTTCTGCATCTGAAGAATCAGATTCAGAATTGTCGTCTTCTTCTTCCTCTTCCTCGTCGTCCGTGCAGGATGCGGAGTGGGACATGACAATTTTTTTCGTGCTTTCCCCGTCATCTCCTGATTCCGAAACAGAAACTTCTTGATATGCCGACCCAATCTTGCTGCTCCCGGACATCACTCGACGAAACTGCGAGTCATTCAAGTCCCCAACTTGATGCCAATTTGGGACATCATTATGGTTGGGTTCGGAACTGTCATTGTTACCTTCTTTTTTTAAAAAAAAAAAGATGTTAGCACGATAATATTTTTAGGTTGTGACCAGCGGTGTTTCATGATTTGACTACTAGGCATATTTTATATTCAATTTACCAAACTGGGGAGTGATAAACCACCATTTTGCTATCGCTGCTTCGTCCTGCATTACTGGTCCATCCGTCGTGAGCCTCATGAAAAAGTGAAGAACACGATCCGTCTCACCACCCCACCGGTCAACATGCACAAATCGGCAGGAATGGACGGGTTCAGCTTTTTCAGGTTTTATAAATATTTCGAATGAAAATCCAAACAGGTCCGCCGCTGCAATCAGTAAACATTGGCATTCAAATCATTTATGTGTAAACTAAATTAAACAAAAACAATTGTCCGTATGGCCAATTTGATTTGTGTCGAGGCTGGAGATTGCATGTATATTATGTTTGTCCATTTTTTGCCATTACTGTCACCCCTTTGTAACGCAACGCCATACTACTGTACATAGAGGATGTGTCTTATATGACGAATTATGTATGCGTACCAGCCAGTAGGTCTTGAACATTTCCTTTGCATGTCATCCCCACATACTTTAGACTTTGGATATCAAAACCGTGGGAATGGGGTTGAGTGATAATCTTGTAATTTAAGAAGGCATTATTTTTAACTCGATAGTTGACAATTTGATCCTCTAAGCGGTCCAACACTTTTGCATCTGTTTGAGTCATTTCTGGAAAAATTGTGCCCAGCAACACAGTGAAAAGATCCGTTCCGTTAAGCTTAGCGACATGAAATTGGAGCCCTTTCAAAACTACACAGTTATCAGAGTTGTAGCTAAATTCTTCCGATTCAAAAGGGTGCGAGGATTTTTTTGAACGGTATCGAGTAATGGAATGCTTCAGCTGAAATTCGTCATTTGTGTTGTGAGTATGAATCTTGAGCCTAGATATAAAAATGATAAGATCACACAAAACAAAACTTTTTTAAGTTATAAGAAACTCGTTTGGAAGAAGACCATTCGTCCACTGTTGTTCCCGTTCCATCGATAATGACTTTCACCACTCCCGGATATAAACCATCAGGAATTGTTTCCGTAGTCGAACATCCGTGTAGAGGCTCCAAATATTCCCTTAGAGTAAAATTAAACCAAAGTAAAGATATCTGTTGAATATTGGATGTACCAATTCTTGTACCAATGCCCATTGTCAAAGTCTCCTGTAAAATAAAAATAGTGGAATGGGACACTGGGGTCATCAAAGGGACAGCAATTCTCCACTCGATAAGTGTTCTTGTTCTGATCCGCATATTCTTGGATTGTGACAAAATTATAATGAAAGAGTTCTCCGGCCGCATGGAGCTCTGATGATGATCCCAAAGTGCCGCTTGTGTTCATGTAAACCTGGTACGTGTCTAAAGGGTCAGCGATCCAGCTCTTCTGCAGAACTTGGTTCCCATGAACATGTTGAACTTCGATAGATTCTTTAAACTTGTCCCATCGATGGTTCACCACGAAATTGACCACGTCCTCTCGGATTTTGTGGTGATCTACTTCGGTTCCTTCAATGGCTTGAGAAATGGCTTTGAAGCAACAGTCTCCAGTTCCACCATTGGGCGCCTGAACAATCATCAAGTTCAGTTATAAATCCTTATGCTTCCGTAACCTTCATGAGTAAATCTAAATATGGCATCCATTTACGATCAAAAAGTTCTTGTCTTCAATGAGAAGTTGTCGTTCTACAAATTTCCTGCAGGTACCACTCGCAGCTTTAGTGTGTCTAATGTCATCTGAGCTGCCTTGTTGGCTGCTCACACAAAGTTGATTGTCCATCTCAAATTATTCGATTTTCAAACACCGTAAGAGAATATGCGCGACTGCTGAATGCTCTCGAATTTATATAGTTCACATGCACGATTGCTTGACTTTAAGTATCTAGGTAACGCGTCTCCCTTAACGGTTGCGACAAATGGTCGAGTTACAAATAAAATAATTATTTTTAAAATCATTGGTGTCTGAAGTCCATCGCACAGACACCAACTACTTTGACCTTTAATAACTTTTGAATGGACAGACATAGAGACTTAATTCTGAAAGATGAAATCATCGTAATTTTTAGATTGATTTTTTAAGCTAAAAATCTCGAGGGTATTAAGTATGTCTAATTGTAAACTTGAAATTTCCAATGTGCAGCGTTTATTTAGCCCGAGTCAGGCGTTGCGGTGGTCGGTCAAAACAAGTATTGACTGGTGGAGTGGCATATTTTTGAAAAATCTGTATGGATTAGGCCCTACGGTCTCACTCGTTGTCAAAATTTCAACTTCCTACGACAAATTTGGGACTTTTCTATGACATTTAATATTTTTTCAGTCAACCCGTAACCACTTATAAGACCCCCACCGACCTAACCGACCATCTTTGAACTCATCCTTACTTTTGAACTTCGCAAAATTTCAAGGGTGCTAGCTTGTGTTTAAAGAGAGTTATCGTTCGCACAGACAGGCATCTTGAAAAACCTATAAGCACATCTGAAAAGGCCTAAAAATTAGATTTCCTATTGTAATATAACCCATATATTACAGATATTTTTAGTAACTTTTATTTTTCGAAATCTACAGTGCAGACTCCATTTGGTCCGAGTCAGGGATTCTGTCCTTGACTCGGTGAGTACGAGCTCACTTCTATTTTTTTCGAAACCGACATAATAATATTACCAACCTCCATGGTGTGGATGCTGAAATGTTTATTAGGTATTTTCTATTATTTGGCATTCTAACTCCATATTCTTTAATGAGAAGCCATAAAGCATCGCCGTGCCGGATTTCATGTTTAAAACATGATGTTTTTAAAGCAATTTCTAATCGGCGTGGGTCACCCCAAGGCCCCTCAAGATAAAATTCTACCAATGTCATTTCATATTCTTCTGTTAGGACCAATAAGCAACCTGTTTACCAAATTTCAGTCCGATATGACCATTTTGAAAAACCAGTATGGGTCACTTCATAGGGTCCCTCAAGATGAAAATTTTTCCAACTTAAATTCATTTTTTTCTAGTAGAAGTCATTAGCTACCTCTGTACCAAATTTCGGTTTTCTACGACAATTTTGAAATTTCGAAATTTTATCCTACCTACTCACATGACCCCCGCCGGTCGACCACTTTACCGATTCCGTTTCCTAACTCGTTTCCTAACTTGTCCAATATGTACATGGTAAAAATTTCAAGTCGTTTTACTATCGTGTTTACGGACGGACGGACGAACATGACGGTTCCATAAGCCCTGACTCGGGCTAATAAAAATGAAAATTTATTTTATAACTCGGCCATTTGTCGTAACCTTATAGACTGATAAAGTGTCAAATAATTTTGGTTCACATGGAGGCATATTTTTCATTACTAATTGGAAACCATTGTCTATAGAAACCCTTTGATACTTCAAATACTGTTAGAAGACCATACCGGGTGGTTTGGATGGTCGAATAATTCCTAATTTGACCAATACTACATTAGTGCAAAACTGCAAAAAAGCCGTTAATATGAGCTACATATATAAGAGTTATCGCAAATCAGAAAAACGGATAAATACGAGTGGTGCATAAGACCGGACTCAGAAATTCGAGAAAACTCGGTATCATTGTTTCACATCAGAGAGCCCAAAGTCAAGTATTTACGTATTTCACTGGAAAATGTTACAATTAACGACAATGTTGAGAGATTTTTGTACACAACCGCAAAGCGGACATTATAATATGCTTAAATATATAAATATGAATAAATCCTTATTACACTAAATTTTACTAATAATAATTGAGTCATTCTGTCCGTATACCACACAAAAATACGCTTGCCATGTAACTTTTACCCTTTAGATATTTATCTAGCGGATGTGGTATTGGTATGTTATGTTATGTTATTTTACAACACAACAATTCTTAATCATCTCTAATGAACGTACTAGTTGTTCAAGTTAGTATGCTACGATTGCAGACATCATATTCTGTGTGCAATAATTAGCTTAAAATGTTTAGACGTGTGAAACTAAATCTGTATTTCAAACTAGTTTTCTTCTACATAACACAGACAATTGCTATCGCAGACAATAGGGAAAAGCTGCTTAATGTTACTAACCCACAAGTACAACTAATCAATGTAGAGTCCCAAACTGGAGAAATTTTGCAGCTAACCTCTTATCATTCTGATGTTCGAAATCGCAGTGTGACGAGGGTGTACAACGAAGCATTAAAAAATCAAAAATTGACATTTACATGCAATTCAACTTCTCCAGTGGAATGGGTTTTCGAGGTACATACATATTTACATATGCAGATGCATAATATTTTAATTTTCAAATAATTTCGGAGACTCTAATGATGAAACTAATTCGCTGTAATTACTAATTTATTACGTCGTAAATTATATTTAATCTCGCAGTGTGCTGAAACTATATCGAATGATGTTTCAATGACCAAACAAGTTCGACTCAGCTCCAATGGTGGCCAGGATTACGAATATCGTTCGAATTTAACGCTAATCCTAGCCTTAAATCTGAATTCAGAGTATAACCTTGATTTTACCACTGATACGCCAAATTTTCCGAATGTGACATGTCGAGTTGTTGAATATCCTATTTCGAACACCTCAATTATTTTCATGGAGCGATTGGAAATCAACGACAATGTTACAGTAGACCTACACCAAAATCTTGGTTTGTCACAGCATTATGTTTTTACAAGCTATAAGAATTAGTCTATCGACAACTCTAATTGTTCAGCTTCATGATTTTCAAAATTTCAAAATATTAATAATAGCATTCAACCGGACCTTGAATTGTTTTCGACCATCAAAATCAAACAATCATTTGCCAGAGTTGATCAGGAATGAAGAATGTCCTCTGAGAATGATAGTGGATTTATTTACTGCTACTTATGAAAGCAAATTACGCAATCTGTCAACAAAATTCCAGTGTGGTCTAGGTATTGCAAAATGCAATGGGAAGATGGACTTGTGCAAATCACTGGCAACATTGGTTCGATATTATATTTCTACAAAATGGCGTTTTCAAGTTTATTTTTGATTTCATTCGTACATTTAGGCAAGCAACAGAATCTGCATTAACTTTACAAAAGGGGAAAATCTTTCAACTCCGATAATTCCAACAAATTTTTCGGGAGTTCTTAAGTGTGCGAGTTCAGATGGACATTTAGTATTTTCTCAATATTATATGGTGGATGGAATAACAATAAAACAACGTGTTCGTAGGTTCCCAATACATAATATCCTTATTTATGCAACACGGAAAATAAATCCCTTATTTCTGTCTGTAGTGAACAGAAGAATGGATGTGCTAAAACTTCCAGGCGTTTTAGTTGTACACCCAGCAAATAAATCTCAAAAATATTATGATGGGCAAAACGTGACGTTCATATGCTCGGCCTGGTCATCGGTCTTTGCTATGGTTCATATTTTTAATACTGCATTCAATAATGTTTCCAATATTTTGATATTGATAAATAGTTGCTTATTTTAATAATTTAATAGGGTTCGATAATATCATACACAACTACAAACAAATCACTTGTGCTAGTCGACCCCCCAGGAAATGGTAATTCATATCTGAAAATGGTATAATAATTCCTTATCTAGTCTAAATCAACTTGTCTGTGTTACTTTTTTTATCAGAAACGTCTCAAGAGTCGATAGGAAAATACTCAAAGACAGTGGTTATCAAATTAAGCAAAAATATTACTGCTGTCATTTGTAACACTTCGGTTGCAGATTCCAAGGAATGGCGACACAGTTCTTTCAATATTTCCGTTCAATGTAACGCTCTTACATTTTTGCGCTATAAAAAATATGTGTCTAATATGGCAAATATTCCAATGCTTTCATATAGATTCTGAAAAACCGACAATCACAAATAATGAGACATTTTATAACGCATCGACTAACATAACTTATTATAAATGCGATGCAAAAGGGACACCACTCCCCCAAATTCAGTGGTTTCGAAGCAAAACTATTTTGGTAAGGAGGACCTTTTAGTCTGAGGAGACCGTATGTATACCAAAATATCACCAGTGAAACAAGGACACTGAATCAATTTCGAAACTTTAGATTCCATTCGACAGTGAAAAGGACTTTAGGGTTTATAAGATGCCCTCAAAGTTTGTGAGCAGTGATACGTTGCTCGTTTATAATGATTCGTCGAATCAAATGGTGATTACCTGTAAAGCAGTCAGCGTAGTTGGGAAAGCCGAATATACGTTTCCATCAGGTGAACTATTTCTCCGAATAGAGAACATTTCTTACTAATAATAAGTGAAATGATAATGGGATTAAATTACTTAAATGTGGTATATTTAAATAGGGATGCATTCAAGTACCCAGAGCGGTACCCAGAATGGTACCCTAATTTTCGTTTTCGTCGCTATTGCCCTCGCCATGAGCACGGGTTTCGTGATAGCAGTCGTACTGCTTTACCGGAGGTGGAAGCGTCAAGGAGCAGTACGACTGACGGAAGAAGATTACGAAGAATTTTACAAAGGGGGCAAAACTCTGGACCTTGCCGACCCATTAAGCGGAGCACTCTTCTTGGCTTATGACATTAGTTTCGAAGTTCCTCGGAGTGAGATCGTAATGGAAGGAACCGTGTTAGGATCAGGTCAATTTGGAATTGTTGTTCAAGGTCGATACAAAGGAAACACTGTTGCGGTCAAGACCATAAGACACACGATGGACATTAAATATTTTAAAGCGTTACTAGCTGAGCTAAAAATTCTCCAGTATCTCGGTATAAAAATGGAAGTAAATATAGAAATACAATATTTAAATGATAACACTTGTGCTAATATAGGTTATCATCCAAACATTGGTGAGTTAAATAGATCAGGTCACATGTACCTAAATTTCAATCCTAATTGTTGTTTTAATTTTGATTTCTTCTTCTTGCCTGGTTAAAGTCAATCTTCTTGGAGCCTCTACGACCAATATGAGAAAAAGTAAGACTAATTACGTCATTGACGCTGTGAAAGTATGTGTACATACGTAGGCATATAAGTAATCTACATATATCATCATCAATGTTTGTGTCAATTTTATCCAGTGGAAGTTTTACTACTACTGGACTACTGTGAAAACGGAAATTTAGGTTAGTGAAATGAAATTGATTAATAAGTTCTATTGTTTAACACGAATTCTTTGTTGTGTGGTGGCAATTCATCAATGAACGAAATTTAGTGAAATTTCTTCGAGCATGTAGACCATGCTTTCGTGACTTGTATCATGATTCCGATGAAGACGCTGCTAACAAGTGGGGTTTAAAAATTTCAATTACATTAGTTTATGCAAGTTAATTAGTAAATGAAGCTGAAAAATGGCCATGTTTATCATTTAAATTTTAGAATGCCGTTATATGAAAACAACAATATGAGAACGTTGACTACAAAAGATCTTGTTAGAATTTCTCTGCAAGTAGCAGATGCAATGGCTTTTATAGCTGATAAAAAGGTGAAAATAACTGTACAGAAATTCAGAAAAAATATTTGTTTCAAATGAATGCTATTATCACTGCTCAGATCCTGCATGGCGATCTTGCAGCACGAAATATTTTGGTTACAGCGGATAAAACAATCAAAATTTGTGACTTTGGTTTGGCGAAGCAGCTTTTTGAATATTCAGTTTACGTTCAGAAGCAGGAGGTAAAATATATGCTAATTAGTCAATGCATAATTGTCAATACGTACCGATATAACAGTCTCATGTGGGTTTATATTTTATTCTAGTGCCCCTTGCCACTAAGGTGGATGCAAGAAGACGAGAGAATTTTCACAATTCTAACATAAGAAATGCTGATTGATAACCGTCTATCTTTGATTTTTATAGGTGGATGTCTTTGGAATCGCTACGTGGTAAAACATAAATTCATAGACTCAGCCTTATTCAGAGACAAATTCATACTACTGTTAACGTACTTTAGACATGGAGTTCTCAATTAAGTCGGATGTATGGAGTACAGGGTATAATTAGCTTCATGAATTACCACCTAATAACCTTTTATGGGTCACTAATTGTTCAATCATTGCATTAATAGTGTAACTCTTTGGGAAATTTTTACCTTGGCAGAACTTCCATATCCAGGTGAGTTGAAGGGTGAATATTACGAGTGACCTATGTATTTATTATGTGTGATTTGATTATGAGTGATGATTTATTGACACGTATGTATAACACTTAGGAATGAACTGGAGTTTCGAAAGCTGGAGGATGCTGAAAGACGGATATCGCATGGAAAAACCGCAATATGCTAACCTTTCCATGTTAGATACACATAATTCATTCCTATTTTAAATTGTATAGCTTTACAATAACATTTTTTAATTGGAATAGATACCAAATAATGAAAAAATGTTGGGAAAATGAGCCAAATGATAGACCCGAATTCAAATACCTGGTCAGCGCTTTTAGAAAGGAATTGGATATACTTAGAGAATTGGAATAAAATCTTTGAACTTTGTGAGTGCATTACATATTTAGTTCAGTATTGTACGTAAGTACCAATTCTTTATGAGATAGGTACTTATTTTTAAAGTTCTTAGTTTTTTATGCATACAAATTTATAGTTATCAATTACCCGATGAAACTGAGAATTAAATACCTGAGATAATTAGTTACTTGAGAAATGTAGTTCTCAGGTTTCACGAGACTTTGTTCAGTCTGATACTCGAATGAATGGTCAAATATTAAACGAGGCTGGCCACCATAATCGTCAATATTGTATACGATATGTTTATTGTACGACTAGATAAGATATAAATAATGGGCATGTGATGCCTCCCATAATTAAACACTTCCTCAGCATTGTGATGTCTGTGTAAATGAAAGGACTTACTAAATAAATTCGTTGTATTTTTTGGTGATGAACTAATAAGTTCAGAAAATGAATATTTCTGTTTTGACACTATTATTCGCTGGTTTGGCTATAATTGGAAGTGTAGAGGCACAAGTGAATTTGGACACATTGCAATTGGTGCAAGTACTATTTCGGCATGGGGTAAGACCTCAAAATAAACTTATGTAGCAGTTGAATGGAGTCAATTTTAGCATATTTTTTACCACCGTAGGAGCGAGTTCCTGAATATGCATATCCGACTGATCCTTACAATTCGGAATCCCAATGGAAGGAAGGGTGGGGGCAGTTAACAGAAGTAAAATATTTGGTTATCTTATTATTTCATGCATTATTATTTCCTCTGAATAAAAGTTAAGCACGGGTTTTCATGAAAATAAAGGTGGGCAAAAAGCAAGAGTTCGAGTTGGGACGGTATCTCAGAAGCAGATATCAAACTTACATTTCTGATAACTTTGTGCCAAATGAAATATACACGCTCAGTTCCGACACGGACAGAACAATAATGTCTGCAGGTTGGGTTTCACTTTTAAATAAGACAATGAGAACATTTGATGTATAAATTCATTTGTCCCATTAGAACTGTGCCTGGCTGGCATATTTCCCACTGAAAATGGCACTGAATGGAATCCTGACTTAAAATGGCAGCCTATTCCTTTGCATGTGATTCCAGAAGGTGAGTTAAATAGATCATGTCACATGTACCTAAGTTTTAATCTTAATTGCTGTTTTAATTTTGATTTCTTCTTCTTGCCTGGTTAAAGTTTATGATAATGTAAGTTGCAAGTTGTGCCCCGTTCGCTTATAAAATTTACATAATATGTACATACTTTGTGACATAATCACGAATGCTTCATTCATGCCGCAGATCCTTCGCTGCAAGAAAAAATGTCCAAAATTCGAAGAGGAATTAAGACACGAGTTGTACAATTCTCCAGAAATGAAGCAGCTTAATTCTGACAACCAGCAACTTTTTGAATATCTCAGTAACAACAGTGGCGTTGCCATTTCAAATATTGACGACATTGATAGATTCTGGGCGACCATGATGGTTGAAGTAATTATTCATATGACATTTTCATGAATCGTATAATTTTAATGTCACTTTTATTGTCTTTCAAACAGGAACTCCTTGGCCTTCCACTTCCCTCTTGGGCTGTTCCCGTCGTGCATACGGACAATTTCCAGTGTATTTGATTTCTTTCAGTATATTCTATATAATTATGTATCACATGCTTTAATGGCATCTTTCATGACAGATATGTACAATCTCAGCATGGCGATAAAATCATCTACTTTAGAACTCAAACGACTCAGAACCGGTCCGCTGCTGGACAGCATCAACTCACATTTTCATGAGCGGATGTCAAATGCTTCCAGCAAAACCAAACTTTATATTTATTCAGCGCACGACACCACCATCGTAAATCTTCTCAATTCACTGGACATTTTTGACCTGCAAATCCCTCGATATTCGTCAATAGTCATGATGGAGTTGCATAAAACCCTCGATACGAATAACTATTTTATCAGCTTTTCATTTCGTAATGACACGCAGAGGGAACCCTACAAGCTAAAACTTCCAATTTGCGAGCTTGACTGTCCATATGAGGAGTTCACAAAATTTGTCGAGCCGATGATTCCGCAAGACTGGGATGCAGAATGCCAACTGGAACCAGCACCATCCAATACCGAGGTTAATCCCATCGGTATGTGCCTAGACCCGTTTCTAATAAGATTGACCACATATTATCCACTGGTTATAAATATATTACACGTCTTTGTTTATCATAGTTCATTATTTCATTGCGGGAGGCGTGGGTCTGCTACTTTTAGGATTTGCATATTTTCTATTATCCAAAGTTCTCTGCAAGAAGAAAAGTCAAGACCAAGAAGGATACGAAAAGTTTTAACGACAGCTAAAAAATCCAGGAAAGTCCGTGTTGATTAATAATACAAGACAGAAATATAAATAAACACTTATTTCCAGTTACGCAATATAAATACAACGGCTTCCAAGTTTATGTAACTCATTATCTCCTTGCATGAGGAAAAAGGATTATATTATTAATGTTTTACCAACTCAAAATACTTGATATGACTTCTGAACTGCATTATCCATCTATTACATCATCACTTCATGATTAACCTTTTCCTTCGTAAGAGAATTCTCAAAAATATCCCGTTGCTGCGGAATAGCAACGCCTCACAACCACAGCTTGGCGTAGCAATTTTTAGCCCGAGTCAGGGCTTATGGAACCGTCATGTCCGTCCGTCCGTCTGTCCGGCACGATAGAGCCAAAACGGCTGAACCGATTGACTTGAAATTTTTATCATATGCATATTGGACAAAGTTAGGAAACGAGTTCGAAGATGGGCGAAATCGGTCAAGTGGTTGAGCAGTGGGGGTCATCTAGGTAGGTGGGGTATTATGCACCAAAGTTTCAAAATTGTCGTAGAAGGCTGAAATTGGGTACAGAGGTTGCTAATGGCTCCTAATAGATAAAAATGACTTCAAGTTGGAAAAATTTTCATCTTGAGGAACCCTAGGGGGTGACCCACACTGATTTTTCAAAATCGTCATAACAAGCTGAAATTTGGTAGATAGGTTGCTAATGGGTCTTAATAGAAGAATATGACATGAACATGACATGACTCGGGCTATATGGAGTCTGCACTGTAGGTTTTTAATTATCAAAGCTATATCACGGAGCAAATGTAAATTTCAGTGATATGTTCTATGGATATATTTCCAAAATTATCTCAAATTTCTGTGGAGGCATTTCATTTCAAAAATGACGTAATCATGGAGACATTTTAGCCCGACCCAGGACTTATGTTCCCGTGTTGTCCATCCGTCCGTCTTGCGTCTTGACCTTCGTGAAACTTATTCTATCAACTTGAAATTTTGGAAAATTAAAAATGACAAAGTATAGTACAAAATTTAAAGTTGATAGGATAGATTTACGAGAGTTATTGATAACCAGACAGGCAGAGACACACCGGACAAAGCAGGTACATGCATACATACACAACCCCTGACTCGGGCTAAAAATCGGATTTTTTTCAAGATGCGTAAATCCATGGAAAAAATATTTTTTCAATGAGAGGAAATATCCTTCACTACGCACTAAAGTCAATGACCAGAGGAAAGGATATTTCCTTCTTTCCGTATCTATGCCGAATTTTGAGACAACGGATTTATCCGTTGCTCCGTCGCAACGCCTAAAAAATTAGGATGGAAATATCCTCTATTCCTTCACAACGCCAAGTTTATGACGACGGATATTTCCATTGTTCCGCAGCAACGTTCGAAATTCGGCGACGGATATATCCATCGTTACGAAGGAAAGGGTTAAGTTGCACACTTAAAAATATGTGCATAGCGAGTTTAAATGCCTGAATCGCGTGTACGTATGCCGCATGGCATGTGTATGAGATTAGTTGTTAAAATTAAATGATGAATATTTGATGAAGTCACAGGAGCAGCAAAGCAACAGCCCATCAATCTGCCCAAGTATATACCAGAGATTAAATATTGTTTATCAATTAAATGGTCAGGTGACGATTGGCTCTATCATCGGAGACATTTTCAAACTTTGATATAATTTGGCTTTGTAGAAATAGATTTTATTTTGGAAACAAAATGTGAGAAAAATATCAAAAAAGAAAATAATCCAATCTTATTTTTCTGTGAAAAATTGGTATAGTAAAAGTTGAGTTGTATCATGATGGTTCGACTCAACCCATATTGCGATAGTGACTTTCGAAGCAGTTTACAGTTTCTGGCCGGAGTTTTTGTAGTAAGTCAAAGAGTTTGTTGAGTTTGTTTCAAACGCGTAATGCTGGTGATTTACAGATGCTGTGCAGTATCTCCATTTTGGTCAATTTACTTGTTATAGCAGAGATGTCACATTTTTACACTTACTGGTCTCATGAATCAGTAAGATTATCTCGTAAGTTTCAAGCGATTTTGTTGAAGAATTTTCCACAATCATCTTATTTAGTAAAACATGAATTACATTTAACAGCTGCCACCGCCGATCTTATACTAATTTTGGATATAATTATAACTGGCATCCAAATATTTTATGGGCTTCAGTTATTTAATGCTGTAGCTGAGGTAATAATCATTATTCCTGATATTTCGTCTGTGATTACTTAAAATGACTCTTTACAGAATGCATACTCAAAAATCCAACGGTGGAGAATACCCTCCATTGTTCTGATGGGAACAAGATTGGCGATCATAATTTTTTATATGTATTCAATGCCCGTCTCACCGTATTACACGTATTTTACAATTATCCTAGTTTGCTATGCAATATTTTTATTTTGGCCAGTAAATCAGTTTCTGAGGGACTTTGTTACAATTCCTACTACAGAAGGCAGTAGGTTGCTAATGTGTGTAAACTAACCAACATCTTTACTTAACAACTGCATATGTTACGCAGATTTGAACATAACTTGTGTATGTAAATACATATTATCTAAGATGCGATTCTCCCTGAAAGTACAAATGTTTTAATACTTTTTATCGGTAACAATGCTGAAGTAATACATTATGTGATTAGATTCTCAAAACAAATAAAATCAACACATCAAATATTAATTTAATTTACTTTGAATGATAATCAAATAAATCATCAAGAAAAGTATTGTTCTTCAGTCTCTTCCCTCATACATAAATATATTTGTTTTATTGCTGGCAAGTTATTTATAAATACGTGTTGGTAATTAGTAGGTTACAAATTAAATACTTTTGGAATAAATTTCACTACTAGTAATTTTATATACCATGGTCGCAAACCTAGCTTCTTGTGCTATTTTAGCCTTCATTGGACTCGATATGGTATTAAATTAACTCAGCGACAGTTAATTTATAGTAATCATTTTAGAAAATTTGGTTCTTCTTTCGGAGCAGATTCTGTCAGCGTTTGCAATCGCTCTTGATCGCTTTGTATCTATCCACACATTTAACTGAAATTGGAGGATTGCTAAATGAAGTAAGTAGAATTATTCCAGCTTTTGCATAATAGTGCAAAGTCCACAGAAAAACAACGTTACCATATTTTTAATTTAGTCCTTTTGTATAGAACCGACTTCAAAATCGTTGGTTCATCTTATGTCTGCATAAATTACACTTGCAATCGATACGTAGAAATTAAATGCATAATTTGAGGAGGCTTTATCGAAATACATGGGTGTGGTATGTAAAAGCAATGTATTTGAGCTTTCGATGCTAAACTTGCATCATCATCAGGAAATGAAGATTTTAACAATTTAATGCATATATTTTAAGGAGTGTGTTATGTACGTATGTATGTAGTATATGTATGAAAAACAAACGATAGACAGAAATTTGTTAAATATATGAACATTAATTTGCGATTTAAGAACGTGACACGTTTTTTTATTTCTGGTGAATACTTTTGAATTTATTTAGTGTTAAACCTTCATGGTAAAGGTCGCAGGAAATGGTTGTTGCGGTTGGTTAGAAATGATGTACGGTTGCTTTTCATTAGCAACAGGAGTGTTTTGAATAGGAATACTGTTCCCAAAGGCAGAAGTAAGAATACAACGATTTCTAATCAAAATTATAAGTTTGTGCATTTGCGAAATCCGATATGCTTTGTAACAGTAAAGCACAATTAGCGCCAAAATTAGTCGTAGATAAGTGTTCCCATGATAGTAATACGTCCACACCATGTAAAATCCAAGTACTGTCAACAAAATCAGGTTGGCCACTTGCAGAAACACCCAGATGAGACAGGATTTTGGCTTCAGCTAATAATACGGCAAATACATTGGCAAAATGTATAAGATTTTCTAATAAACTCTTGATTAGATAATTGAAATGCGTACCTCATTTCTTAGAGCAAAGTGTAAAAACATTGCTAAGCATAAATCCAGTGAAAAATAGATGAGTGGAGGCCCAACAAACCAGAATGGATGTGCTACGGGAAATTGTTTTAACGTACATATGTAATAAATAAATACTTCAAAGGGATGTATCATCGTTTCCAAAAATATTACCATCGACGGCATAATAGTTGTCACTCCAAGGTCTTAGTATCAAAAATATTGCACCAAACACTGCCACTGCAACTCCAGCATGTACCTATTTATTAGGCGAGGAATAACACAATAATGAATTAAAGTCGTGTTTCTTATTTAGTAATTTATATTTAAAGGAGATTTACCAGTTCGAAGCGAATAAATTTGTAAGTTAACCGAACCAACTCAAAAATTGAGATTTGCTGAAGTTCTCTCAGTCTTACGACAGGCATTTTGTTTATAATCCAATGTCGAAAAAATAGCTTGTTATGTATCACTCGGGTTCACTTTATTTAGCGAGAAATGCAATATAGCTGACACGAACGGTAAGAGAAATTAGCAAAATGGCCGTTGACAATGATGAGTCGTATAGGTGACCAGAAATTACAAGATTAGATAACATCTAAATCATCACCATAAACAGATTCCGAGTATATCACTCTGTATATGTGTGCATGACGTATGTATGTATTTATTTACAGATGGATCAACTTGGCACTTTTATGATTGTTATGCGTGAATGGTTATCACGAGTTTATGAACGGCTTATGCTTTTGTTGGGTGATTTTTTTGACGTTAAATTTGTAAGTACCTGTGGAATATTAACCTGTTAATCCTTCCACCCCTGCCGTTTTTAAAGGTCACTGAAAAAATGATTCGGATTGAAGATATCTTACAATTAGTCGAAGATTGCCAATTAATGGTGATTTATCATGGTAACGTCGAAACTTTACCTCTGAGTTTTGATAAAATTGAAGCTATCCCTAAATAGAAGCTACTGATGTATTTATTTTTATAGAACCAATTATTATTTGTAATTTCTGATTATTTATAAGAAAAAAAGTCTGGCGTCATGCTCAAGGGACAGACAATGACTAAAATGTCAACTAATCATAAGAAGAAAACTACAACTTCCACAAAAGCCACGCAGTCCATAGTAGTGGCCAGTCCAGGCTACATTTCACCAACTGCCTCCTGCGTGCCTGAAGAAGACCAGCCTAAAACAGTGTACATTGGGTACGGGAGCCAATTTTGGACGGTCGTCTCACCCTCCCACACAGTTATGTGGCAGCCTCCAGCAAAATTTCCTAATTTGGAAGCTGCGACCATTTGCTACGTCAGTGAAGTAAGAGATCCAGAGATTTCCATATTTAGGCATCCCAAACAAACGGAGGAAGTTCATTTTGATGGTTACATCTCTCATCACAACTTTGATATTTTCATCCTTCCGCTAACAAACCTGAAAGTGTTTGAAATTCACATCTCCACGCTGGAAAACTTGAATTTTCCACGAAGAATTGGATTTCCAAACTTCCTCAACCTCCCAAAACTGGAGTCTCTTCAAATATCGTCCTTCAATTTTACGAGAAATCATATATCAAAATTCAAAATGGAAAAAGTTATGATTAACATTTGTTGCTTGCTGAGCAAAACTTTTCCCAGCTTGAATTATCTTGCTGTCTCACTTCCCCTGTTAAAAGACAAAGACCAAGAACTTAGCCAAGCTGTACTCAAATGCATCAAAACCCATCACAGGACGCTCAAAAGTCTAAATATCGAGTTAACATTTGATGCATCATTCTCTTTGCTGGATGACAGTAAAACCACAAACAAGTCAACGTCATTTACGGCAGAGGCATTATTATTGAGCTTGTCCGATTCTCGCATGATTCAACTTCACAGTTTCCATTACTTCTCGACCTACAGGATGGATAGCACTTTGTTTTGGAGAAATTTTATGATGACTCAAGAAAAGCTAGGATATGTTCAGTTTTGGTGTGGAGAAAAGTATTTTCCTCTCCCAACTCAACTCATTCTGCAGAATTCGTCCAATTTACACACAATTGCTTTGAATATTAATCAACTACTTGCAACAAAAACTGGAGTTAAACGATCGCATGTTGATTGCGGAGTATTTTCAAAATGCTATTTGTTGAAAACATTGGTACTGAAAGGCAAAAAAGTTGAAAATAGAGTGCCTTCCTCGTCATCAAATTGCAAAAAGTTGGCTGACATCAAAAATTGTCGTTTACTGCCTCAGGGATTGGAGCAAATTCGAATAATACATCTCAAAATGTGTTCAACTGATACTACTGCCCTAGCACGAAACATGAGCAAACTCAAGTCCTTGTATCTAGAAGACATTGGTTCGGATGGGGAATTGGGACTGGCTCTGGTTGATTTGGTACACCTTCTTGGGAAGCCAGACCGAACTTTGGTACATCTCGATATTCACAATGGATTAAACAAGACAAGTTTCAAAGACGTGCATGCAGACGACGGTTTCGCAACGGTGGCGAGAATACTCTTCAAAATTCAGAAACCAGATTCTTTCTGTGTGAGGTTGCAGCCCGATGGAGAGTACGACATTGCAGAATCTCTAGAAGAAGAGGATACCATTCTGCAGGAGAAAGAGGTTTTCCATGAAAATTTCCAAGCTATGGTCACGGACGATGATCTAATGAAGCGAGAGACAGATTCTGATGTTGTGCTTCTACCTGATGTTAATTCAAATCGGCATTCATATAGATATGAGTCCAGTAAAAAGTACAACACAGAGATGATGAAAAAGGCCAATGCAACTAACGTAGGCGTTGGTACACATGGATTTAATGACAAAAAGGGAAAATTTGGAAAGGAACACTAAGGTCGGGTCAATGAACATGTGCAAAGCATTTTGTAAAACAGAACAACGTAGCAAAAGTATATCAAAATTGTAAGTGAAATATAAATACAAAAACTCACCGAAAAAATTAGGAGGAAATAACTTTTATTGATTTTCACTTTATTACAAACCACAACGTACGACAACGGAAATCCATATCTGCCCCTTCGCTGTCCAATAATAATACATACATGCGTTTAGTAAATTCCATTTTCTAAGTAAAAGCAAATAGTAGTAAACCATATGTCAAGTTTTGTTGTTCAGTTCTGCATGACAAAATTTGTGGTAAAGATCAATTTACTAGAGCTAATTTAATTACTTTAGGATCGATTTTTTCCTTTTTGAGAGAGATTCCACCTCATTCAGTTCAGTGCATGTAAAGGAAATGGTGTCCTGTTCCAACGTCTGCTGTGAATAGTTTTAAAACTAAAAAGCTTTCTTGAACAACAACAATGAAGAGGTGGGTCCATGTATAAAAATTCACTGATTCATGGTATGATTGATTCATATTAACAAAAAATTATACTTATAAAACCCATATAACGTCACCCAGTTGGTTGCGTCGGTGCAAAATACTAAATATTCTTACAAATTATACAACAAAAAATAGGATATTGCAACGATAATTGACCTTGTTGTTGAAATGTTATAGATTTTTGGTAGGATCTAATAATGCTCCTGACCCAACAACCACATGCATATAATAAATATTAAATAACTATCCTTGTTGGTTGCCTTGAACTGATCAAGTGTGGTCATGCAAATCTGCCTTACCACCTTTTGGCACATTTTGTTTCAAGTTTAGGGTGACAAATAAACCTACTCAAGAAAGATCAGCAAGACGTTTGTTTTCTAAACTCAAACCCAATGTTGGTTATATTTTACGCTTATAATTATTTTATACTTTAGGCTATTTTGCGCTGATGTATTTTTTATTTTACTTTATTACGCTCAAAAATTTTTAGCTGATAAAATTATCATGTGCACATTTTGTGGAATTTTATATGTAGTAACCTAAATTTTGTGTGATGAGGATCAGTTTGATTCATAGGCATATTTGGTAGAGCGTCCATTCATTTTTGCATCGCATCACCTTTACCTACATTTATACAAACAATGAAATGAGTTAACATCGTAGCCTCATCAGATGATGAGATGAGGGGTGCAACGATTGAGCTGTCTCTTGATGCAGTGATACCCCACCATGCAAAAGTATGTACGTATGCAATAAAGCTTGTCTTTCCACTCCTTAGCTTGCCCACTGCAAATTATGCATTATTATTATATTATCTACCTTGATATTGTAAGACGACGACTTTACCATTGGCTAGTCATTACATTTTCGCAAATGTTTTATCAAAGTACATTGTCTTGATCAGAGACAGGAAAAACACCTGCTGACGCACTGTGTGAATTGAAATACAAATTCAGTAACATTTCGAAAATGAAAGCGACTACTTCGTAGTGTGGATAATGTCATACATTTTTCTAAAGCCTGCCCTTATTAGCAGAAACGAGGATCTGAATAATATAAACCTTAAAAAAGTTAAGTTTTGTGTAAAATAAGACGAGTTGTTGTGTAAGACCTTTCAAACATGCAACTCGCATTATTTTAAATTTTAAATCGGATACCACCAAAGCGTTACCGAAATCCGTGTAGCCGTTCCACTAATTTAAGATTTGGAGTGATTGAAACGTTGGACTTTATGGACGAGACACGAAAATTGCAATTGTTGATCATCATAATGTACAAATTACGAAGTCGAAGAAACTTTTGGCGTTAAACAAGATATGAAAAAGTTGTATAGTGTGATAATTTGCAGTGATAATAATTATATTGTGCACGTCAGGTCTTCACAGCATTTTGAAAATCAAGGTGAATGCAAGAAGTTCGTACATCACAACTAACTTTAGGATCCTCTTGTACCCAACATGCGTACTTTTATTGCAAATAATATTACCGATATTGCAAATAAAGGGTTCGTGTCATTGAAGAAAAATATACAATGACGAAACTTGTGCGTTATAAATAATAAATGTTTCATATTTAAATCTAATTCAAATAGTGACGTGTAAATAGTGATCAGGGTCATGGGAATTAGAACCAATAATTCAAGAAGTTGGACTATCCGTCACAGGTAGAGCCAAGATAATTTGTATCCACATTTGTACATAAATGATGCATTTGACCCAATGAAAACCACAGTATGCATTATGAATTTACTAAATATGTAGGTAAAACACAGCGCATAAACTTTTGTGAATGTTTAATAAGATGTGTTGTTTGTCAAATGTGCGAGATGAAATAATTGCTACAGATCAAGTACATTAGTAATTTCACTTTATCTTGCTGCCAAAACATGCCGGTATACAATGTGAGCAACAATACATTGTTGCTCGTATAAAGGATCATCAACCATGTACTTATTGGAATAAAAGCCGCACTTATGTAAATTGGAATCTATTGTTCCTCACATTTTGCAATATGTATATTTAGTTATGAAAATTTAGGTATGCTATTATTTGCTCCAGTCGCACATATATCTTACAAGTCAATCCTAAGTTATGTGCACATATTTATTGAGTTACAATTCACAATGCTTAGTAGTAATATGATTTTCAGTCATGCCCCACCGGAAAATGTACCACCATCGAGGACATCCAGCTGGGAGAAATTTCGATTACTGTTATGGAAAAACTATAAAATTCAAATACGACACAACGTGCAAACAGTGACAGAGATTCTACTGCCCTTACTTTTTACAGCAGTCTTGCTTATCGTCCGCAATGTTGTGCCGTCCACGTTTGTCAAAGAACCCACAATTTACAAACCTATTACGATAGAAGGGCATCCTCCTGATATAGTGCAGACTAGTTGGTATGACTCAACGTTATGTTTAAATATGCTGTCCCTTTCAGAGTTAAATTTGAACCTTGTTGAATAATTACTAAATTTCGTCCAACAGTGATCAAATTTACTACACTCCCCGGCATCCTGTGGTGGATGCATTAATGCAAAAAGTTAACAATCAGTATTTTCTCTCCCAGAGACTTGCTTATAATTGTGAGATCATCATATTTTAATGCATTCATATTTCCATAATGTCGATGACACACTGATATGCTAACAATATTAATTAATTTGTTCATCAAGTCACTGGATTTGCAACAGAGGAAGAATTAGTCCACGCGTACATTCAATCTGCAAACAATTCACTCGTAAATTCAACTTCAGACTTTGAACCCACAGCTCCAGTACTTGCAGGAGTAATTTTTACAAATAAATTTAACGATGGCTCATTTCCCAACGACATTAAGGTAATCGATGCTTCTTGCATGAAATTGTGGACCAACTTTAAAGTACGTTTTTCCTTATTGCAGTACACGCTACGATTTCCAGCGACTCAAAGAAGTGAATTTGACTTGATAAGCGAGAGATTTGGTGCTCAACCTGTGTGGTACACGGAATTACTTTATCCACTCTTCCAATTCCTTGGGCCACGAGCGAAAAACCAAATCGGTGGTGGACTGCCGGGTACTTTTCCATGTCGAATGTTTTCCAAAATTGGTAATAATGAATGATAGCAATAAACTTATCATGATTTGTGTAGGATATCATGAAGAAGGGTTTCTGTATCTTCAATATGCAATCGACAGAACGCTTACTAGGGAGTTCCTAAATTCTTCAGAGCTAGAAAATTATAATAAATACGACATAAGACTGCAACGGTATCCATACCCATCGTTCATTGATGACAAGTACATTTTGGTAAGCGCAATTAAAATAAATTAACTTTTAATTTGCGCCGAACTTTACATTTTTTCAATTTTTATCGAATTATCTTTAGGCATTGCAAGGATGGCTACCACTCATAATAATGATGAGCTTTATCTATCCAGCTATTAATATAGCGAAATCTATTGTATATGAGAAAGAGACAAGACTTAAGGTAATTAAATTAAATTGAGTGATTAAGGTTTCGTGCATAATTTTACCAATTTGAATGGAATTATATAGGAATACATGAAAATTATGGGTATTCCAAATATTTACCATGTGGGAGCTTGGTATGTAAAATCTCAATCGTTTCTTGTAATAGCTGCTGGACTCATGACGCTCTTGCTGAAAGTAAGTTTAATTTTTTCCCCTTAATTAAGACGGTTTACTTAAAATTCAATTTTTACGGCAGGTTGAATTTTTCTCAACACAAAATTTGGCAATATTTCCGAAAGCGGATGGATACGTTGTGTTTCTCATATTCCTCGTATTTACCTTTTCATTGATATGCTTTTCGTTTTTCATCGCTTCGTTGTTCTCACACTGTAATTATTAAATACGATTAATTATTTAAATTATTCCAATTGTTGTTTAAAATATCGTGATACTTTTTATAGCAAATGCCGCAGCTACTGCGGCAGGCGTGTTGTGGTTTGTATTATATGTGCCATACGGATTTTTGCGACCACGGTATAATTTGCTCCCGAGGAAGACCAAGTTATTCAGGTTAGTAATCAATTAGCAATATTTTTCCTGGTTTCAATTTCAATTTGCATTTCAGTTGCTTCCTCACAAACATGGGAATTTCCTTTGCGTGCCAAATAATATGCATGTTAGAAGGTACTGGTGTTGGAGCTCAATGGAGCAACATCTTTCAAGGTAAATATTTGTAATTACAAAAATAATTCAACTAATTATTTCCTACCGCCATAAAAAAATATTTATAATTAATGGAATTTAAAATGTATTTTATTTATTAAGGATCCGGACCAGACGATGATTTTTCCATGGGTTAGAAATCTTAATTGCTCTCGAATCCAATAGTTTGCATGCGATTTATTATGTGCATATTTATATTTGCAGGCGATTGTCTTATAATGATGATAGCCAACGGTGTTGTCTATCTGATATCAGCTCTTTACATTGAAGCAGTTCGCCCCGGAGAATTTGGAGTCCCTTTGCCCTTTTATTTCCCATTTACGGTAATTAGAAATTTAGAAATGACATAATTTGCAAATGAAATTATTCACGTAGATTAACAATCCATTGAAACCATTTATGCATTTTGCTACGAATAGAGCTGCACACATTTTTGAAGAACACACACATTCTCATGGTTGTTCAACGAGAATGTGTGTGTATTGACCTTGTATAAGTATGTGTAATGAAAAAGCTTTTTAATTTATATTGATTAAAAGTGCATTGGTTTTGGCTTATTAACACTGCAGTTGATTACAATTAATGTAATGCTGACTACGCTCTGCTGCACTTTCAAGTATATCAAGGAAATGTGGATGTAAACAAACAATACAAATTGCATCTTGAGTTTAGCAAAAATTGGGTCAAAACCATGTGTGTCTTATATAGTTTTATCAAACCCTTAGTGTTCTTTTTCCCATGATGGAATGATATGCATCTACCAAGTATGCACTTACATATGTACCCACATGTATTTATATGCAGAGGAAGAGTTTAGCTCATCAACCAGTGCAAAAATTGAGTCATTAGTGCATTGATACTGATTTTTGTTTCAAAACATTTATTTTCAAACCACGTTATAATTCGTGTTCTTTTCTAAGCTAAGTATGCTTAGTAAGCATTGCTTACAGGTAATTTAATTGATTATTGGCCTTAACAGAAGTCCTTTTGGACCAGCAAATCGTGGACCTATGAATCGAACCATGAAATTGAAACGTCATCCGATGTACCTGCAGACTTCTTCGAGGCTGAACCCAAAGATAAATTCCCAGGCATTCAAATCAAGGGACTCACAAAAATTTATGACAATGGCAAAGTTGCGTTGAGAAACCTGAGTCTGAATTTCTATCAAGGCGAGATCACGGCGTTTTTAGGTATTTCATATCCATAAGAAAGTTTTTGTTGATTTTGAATCCATCCGAGTCTCACTCTCATTTTATAATGTCGCTATTACCAATCATTTATGTGACATCTTAAGGACACAATGGAGCCGGTATGAAAAATAAGTTAAGCTTTAATTCCATGATCTTGAAAAGTAATAGTGCTATCAAATTTTCAGGAAAAACAACAACTATGTCCATTTTATCTGGTAATTTTGGACATAAAATAAACTTTAAGATGGAACTCTATAGAATTAAATTATGAATACCTATATTCGTGTTATGTATAGGATTGTTCCCACCGACTTCTGGAACGGCTTTGATTAACAATTGTGATATTCGAAATGATATCAATTCTGCTCGTTCTAGTTTGGGTATATTTTTATGTCATTGTATTATATAAGTACATGTTTTAGACCGAACCATGTCTTATCTGTCCATTCTGTGTTTCGTTAAGTCAAGTTCTAGCTGGAGTAGATTGGCAGATTTGAATTAAATTTAGCTGGTATACTCGAACTGCTTGACAAAGTTAGACGATGATCAAGCGAATGACCGGTGTGGGGGTCACTTATAGATTCGCATATTATTTAATTTAGCATCATAAATTAATAAATTTGTTGGCACATGTATAAGTAACATGTACGTGTATAAGTCCTGGTTCGGGCTATAAAAACTGTACTGAGAGTTTTTAACAAAAGGTGAATTTAGTAAATTTGTTGCATAGGTATCTGCCCACAGTACGATATTTTATTCAACGAGTAAGTTGCCTTATTTAATTTGAAACAATTTATGCGATTTTCAGCCTAATTTATAAGATGAACCATTGTACTATGCAGACTTACAGTAGAAGAACACCTTCGATTCTATTGTCTGATGAAGGGATGTAAGGATTCCAATGTTGCAATAGAAATTAATCGAATGATCAAGGCGCTTGGACTGGTAAGCAAGATAAATGAGAGAAATTTACACATTTCATAGATGTATTTGAAAACAATACAAATAACAAGTTAATTGAACAGCTAATTTAGTAAATACAAAACAGCTTTACTAGATAATAATAGAATAATAGCGCAGCAATATATAAATATAACTACATATATTTTCCAACTTGTATTTAAATTGATTTAATAATTTGTAATGTTAGTCTCACTCGTACTTTTTACAGGAAGATAAACGTAATGCACAGAGTTACACATTATCCGGTGGCATGAAGCGCAAACTTAGCGTTGGCATTTCATTCTGTGGTGGATCAAAGATTGTGGTATGATATACAACAACAATTAATATTTAAACTGATGATTTCTCCATAGTCAGGTTTCTTCAGCTAATTGAAGTAACTGATAACTAAGTATATAGTTCGTCCATGTTTAAAATATTACGTGTCCTTAGATTTTGGACGAACCGAGCTCGGGCCAAGATGTCGGTAAGTCAAACTCAAATCAATTAAAATACTGTACTTATGATCCGGACGAGTCTGAAATGTAAATATTTCATGTATAATGTTGCTTGATTTGAAGGGGCGAGACGTTCGACATGGGATTTGATCAAGAGTGAGAAAATAAACAGGACCATAGTTTTAACGACACACTACATGGAAGAAGGTATGCGATTTTAATTATGTAAGAAAATGTGATGTCTCACACAAATTATTTTCTTATTGATAATAGCTGACGTACTTGGGGACCGGATAGCAGGTGGGGAACAAAAAGCCACACTATTAGCTTGTAATAAGTAAAATATTAAATATGGACTATTTCATTGAATAGTTATGTGCAATGGAGAAATTCAGTGTTGCGGAACGTCCTTGTTCCTAAAGAAAAAATACGGTAAGAAATTCCTGCGCAATATATGTTCTCCAATTTTATAAAAACTAGACTGAAGATTAGTAACATTTCATAGGATATCGTTTAATTATCATTTAATTTAGGCGGAGGATACCACTTAATAATTGTAAAAGACGAAAACTGTGATGTGGATAAAATCACGCAAGTAATAAGGAAGACAATTGCAGACGTTGAAGTAGACCAAGATGTGGGGGCTGAACTTAGCTACACATTGCCGGACGGAAAATCGCATTTGTTTCCAGAAATGTTTGAAGAGCTGGAGGACAGAAAACGTGAATTAAGAATTTCTAGCTTAGGAGCCAGCAATACGACAATGGAAGAAGTTTTTATCAGGTCATAAGAGTACACGCTCTTTACAAATAATTTCTAACAAAAAAGCTATTTTTTAAGGATTAAATTGACACACAGGGTTGGGCGAAAAGTAGAAGCTAAAATTCTTGAACAATATCCTCAAGAAGAAAATGAACGAAAGTTGTCTGTGAGTCTCACTATCGACAACAATGAACTCGCTACTGCTTCAAAAACACATCTTTACAACGATGAACCACTTCGAAATGTTGGAATGGCCTTGAAGATGCAGCAGCTACGAGCAATGGTTATAAAGAAACTAATTTACGGGTTTAGAAATCGCATGCTGTTGATGACTCAGGTGCATATATTAACTAACTTGTGTACATATTTGTACACAAGTACACAATATGCAGTCATTTTGTACTATTTGATTGTTTCTATTACTGATCACTGTTTCAAATTTTAGATGGGAATACCTCTGTTGTACCTTATTTTGATTTTGATTGTTGTTAAAAATTTACCTGGAATATCTAATTCTGCCCCACACAAATTTACCCTGCAAGTAAGTTCACACATTTAGCTTGACCAAACTAGGCACAAGTTATGTATTACCTTAATATTCAGGTATCTAAAGAGAAATTCTGTATAACTTGTGACTTTACAGAGATACGAAAAATTAGGATCCACAATAACAACTGTCAAATGTCCAGTGGATGAATTTATATGCAAATCATACAAGGCTTATGTGTTGAAAAATCACTTAATTGAACTGGTCGGACAAAATCAAAGTTTTATTGACTACATGCTTGAGAAGGTGTGAACATTATTCAATATAATTTTTAAAGGATTCGGAATTAACGTTATAATGAATTACAGGAAAATGAAGACCTTGTGTCAGTGAATTTACGATACATTGTCGGGTTTGAACAAAGACAAGTAAAAGAAACTGAAAAATCAGAATATCGTCAACTCGTAGGATTTTTTAATAATCAGCCATTTCATGCCCCACCACTATCTCTCAACTTTATTTCCAATGCCTTACTTTCTCCAACAAATCATACCATCACAATTACCAACCACCCATTTCCTGTAGGCAGTATTGATTCTTTGAAAAAAGCTGGGACTTTCTACACTCTTGGATTTCAAATAGGAAACAACATAGCTTTAGGAATGTCATTCCTAGCAGCAAGTTTTTCTGTTTTTATTATAACAGAAAAGGAAACCCGATCCAAACACATCCAATTTGTGTCCGGCTTAGAATATCCACTGTATTGGACAGCAAATTTCATCGTGGACTTTATTCAGTTCATAATCCCGTGCTTCGGAACCATGGTCATCCTCTTTTTGTTCCAAATTGAAGAATTTATGAGTCTTTACATGCAGTTAAATCTACTGCTTTTGTTCGTATGCTATGGATTAGCAGTTATTCCATTGATGTACTTGGCGTCCTTTGCTTTCACCGTGCCATCCTCCGGTTTTACTCGACTTGTGCTCCTCAACATATTTACAGGTCAATACATATTTATAACAATAATAGTGAAGTAGTTTCACTGTTTTATCAACACTAAATCTTTTAGCTCTATCCGTATGCATAAATATTTAACTTGTTTGTGTAGGAATGGCGTCAATACTGACAGTGGTCATGATACAAACTCGTGAGTTCCAGCTAGAAAGCCTTGCGGATACCTTAAACAGCATATTTTTAATATTTCCCAATTATGCATGTAAGTAAACTAAATCTGATGTAATCCGAAAATGCGAATCTCTCAACATTCATGAATTTATTTTAGTGGGGATGGGAATTGTCCAACTATCCACAAACTTTCAATTTGCACGAGATTGTGTAAGATTTAATCTGGAATTTGTATGCCCAGCGTTTCCTAGTTCTGTTTGCTGTTCGAAATGTGAGTAGTTTTCTGAATTTTATTTGTAAAATATTTAAACACTAAAGTAATCCTGAATAATTTCAGTAAAACCAAACTTTCTTGATTGGTAAGTAGTTTATATTTAATTTACATTATCATAAAAAAAACATCCAATGATGAGAATGATTTTTTTAATTTTATTTCAGGGAGCGAACGGTAAGTGTTGGGATGCGGGTGTTTCTAGCGAGAGCTCAGTAAGTGTGTAATTAATGTTTCAGGTTAAAATTTGTGATCCGTTTTTCAGGGAATTGGGAAAAATATAGCTTGTCTTACTGCTGCATGTTGTGTTTACTTTGTTATCCTGTTCATTTGGGAGAGTCGAGTATGGACCAAGTTTCTACAGTGGAATTCGAAAATCGGAAATTCTTCCGTCACAGCGGATGGTACATAATTGTTTATTTATATTGTTTCATTATCCACAAAAAAAGAGCTAAAATGGACGAATTGACTGTAATAGAAGGGCTAGAAGATGCTGACGTGGTTAAAGAGAAGAAGAAAATGGAAGAGACAAATTTAACTCAATTATTCAAGGAAAACACTTTGGTGGTTAGGTACATACATAATTCAACTGAATTATTGGTTAAGTTTTGAAATTTGTCGCCTCTCTAACTCTATGTTTACACAATAAATTTTTCAGAAACTTGACGAAGTATTATGACAAGTTTTTAGCCGTGGATCACATTAACTTGGGAGTACAACGAGGAGAATGCTTTGGTATAATACATACATCAAGTATATACATCAAGTAGTTTCATTATACAGTCGGGTGTTGGTCGCTTATGATTAATGATTATGAACGTTCAATAATTGAGACATATTTTTGGGTTCTAGTTTATTAGTTATCAATTAATTTTTGCAGGTTTACTTGGAGTGAATGGCGCTGGAAAAGTAAGCCACCTTTTAATTTCTATGCAATATAATAAAATGTGCACGTTATAAAATACTTCAATTCATTTATGTAGACGTCCACCTTTAAAATGCTCACCGGAGACTTGTCAATTTCTGAAGGGGAAGCCTATATTTGCTCTAAAAGCGTGCGCCGAGAGTTAAAGCAAGTGCATGAAGTCGTGGGTATGTATGCACAATAGACATATATTGACTATAAGCTACCGATAGTACCGACATTTAATTAATCAAAATGAAAAATGTGATCTCAGGATATTGCCCTCAGTTTGACGCCCTCATTGATTCGATGACAGGAAGAGAAACAATTGCACTCTATGCACGCTTGCGAGGAATACAGGAATCTTACATCGATCATCTAACAAATTGTTTGGGAGAAATGCTTTTGTTTTCTCAGTACATGGACAAGCGAGTAGGAAGTTACAGGTGATAATTACTACATTGCACACAGATTCTTAACAATTAATAATTAATTAATTACTTTCCTAATGTGCTTAAACAGTGGTGGCAATAAGCGGAAGGTATTCGCCAACAAAATAGTGAATTTTCTTCTAATTATTTGAGGATTTTAACCTCTGTGGATTATTTTCAGCTCTCTACCGCAATTGCGTTAATTGGAAGTCCACCCGTTATATTCTTGGACGAGATGACGACTGGTAATTTTGTCCTTGAGCATTTTATACTCGAAATATACGTATGTAATACATTTTCTATCTATAAAAAGGAATGGACCCCGTAGCCCGGCGTCACATGTGGACTGCCATAAGCAGAATTAGAGATAGTGGAACATCCATCATTCTTACATCTCATTCAATGAATGAGTGTGAAGCACTATGTACAAGGTAAAGAAAAACATATATGTATGTACACTTGCAATTTGTAATGCCGATAATTATTATCGTTAAGCGTTGTGTAAAATAAACATAACCTTCTCCTCAGGATTGCAATTATGGTCAACGGTACGTTTAGATGTCTCAACTCGATCCAAGAATTAAAGAACAAATTTGGAGAAGGTTACACCTTAATAGCACAAACAAGTCCGAAGGGGATTAGTGAATCCGAACCGTTCACAAGAGAAACCCAGGTACATATTTACATCTAAAATTGAACCTTTACTAATGTGCACTTATTTAGGAATTTGGACGAAGACGAAGCAGTCACATGTCAATGAAAAAATTAAGATCTTCTCAAGGATGGGAATCGGAGCTGGAAGGACTGAGAACTTTTATTGAAGAGTCATATCCAGGTATTGGTGGCTTGGCTATCGGAGATAATACGTAGAAACATTCATCACTATTGTTTGTACAGGGAGTCAATTAAAGGACATCCATCCCGGATTTGTGCATTATCACATACCAAGTCAAGGCGTTACATGGGGTTCACTATTCCGCAAGATGGAAATGGCCAAGCAGAAATTTGGATTGGATGCGTACTCTTTAGGGCAGTCCACGTTAGAACAGATCTTTTTAGCATTCACTAAAGCGCAAAATTAATTCAGAGCTGTAATGAAGAAATATGCAGCAGCTACGTACTTGATATCAGCGTTGGACTTCCGCTTTAGAGTATTTCATTAGCTAATATGAGTGTACATAGTCTAAGCTGTTCGACCACAAGCAAAACCATGTAAAATGTACTCATCAATATTCAGGAAAGGAAATTGTCATGTATTTGGTTCCTAACTTCAGTATCTGTGATTTATTTACTACTTAAAATAACAAGTTTTATAGTCTGATAGCAAAATTCAATCATGGCCGTGTGTGCCAAAAGTCCTAATACGCATAAATAATAGAGCAATTTATTTATGTATCGGTACTCACTCGTATTAATTAAACCCATTGAATAGTATTATTTACGTACCATGTTTGTTATTGTATCACTTCTGCAACAATAAATTATAGCGCTTGTTGAATAATATTTAAATAACATGTATTTCAAAGTGCCAACAAAAATAACTAAGAATAAATTGGAAACAGAGAAATTGAGTTACATTTTCTTATCAAATAATTCTCAAACGTCTGGCATTATGAAGGATATTTCGGTATACGACCCCTTGTGGGATCTAAGTATAATCATGAAGATTGTGGTAATAATTCTTATTGTAAGTTCAACCTATGTACATATGTTCATGTAGGGCTTAAAATTCAAAGCCGACAAATCAGCATGAATAATGTGCAGGCAATCTCTGGCTTCAATCTATGCATTGATGTTGCGGCATGCATTGATTTGCAGAAACAAGTTGACAACTATGATGCGAATGGACTCACAATTTCAGGTTACTTGAGTGCCGAATAAAATATTTTTTAAATTGACTTATAAATAATATGTTTCGTCATTTTCAGCAATCTGTGGCATTATTTTAGTATTAAATCACATGGTAATATGTTCTGTGCACTTGTACTATGCCTCCAAGCTGCTCAACGTGATAGATGAGGTATACATTTACATAAATTCATATTTATACATGCCGACATGTGTACGTATACATATATACAAACAATGCAATTTTAAGTTATCCTTATAATTATTTTGTATTTGCAGAAAAGCTTTTTAAAAGTGCATCAGTGGTTTCTCAAATTACTTCAGTTTATGTGCGTAGAATGTGTGGTTGTATTCTTATTTTTGTTTTTTTCAAACAATGTTTTGTACTTTATAATTTTTGGGAATATGAGCGTGACTTTCAAGTTGTACATGTTGTGGCCAATCAAACGTTTTATGAAACACCTTCGAGACAAATCTTACATACCTCCAGGCACGTTGTGGAACAATGGATTTTAATATTGAAATAAATTTTTATTGCCGTTTTCCAGTCTCGTTATATTCCGTTTTTAATTTTTTTGATATCTCGTCACTCCCTCTGTCCTTTAGTTTTAGTTCTTCATTCCTTTTTCTCCAGTATTCAATATTTCTATCTTGAACAATTTTGGCGACTTTCTTGGGCTGTACTTCTCTAGTTCGAGGACACTCCATTTTTGTCCATCCGATAGGAACCATGAAAAATCCTTAAATACAGAATTTAAAAAGTTTGTAGCAAAAAGTCATCAAATAAGTCCCATCATATTCTTGCAACATACTAAATACATAGAACAAATACCTGCTTTGCTAACAGACTGAGCAACACCAAGGTTATCTTCACCAGTTGACATAATAAAATCTCCATCGCCGATTCCAACCTAAAAATAGTATAGACATAGGTGACCAAACAATTTACACACTACTCTTACAAGAGATACCTTTTGCATGAAATACTTATGAGGTCTAATTTAACTTTTGTAATTTAACTTCATATACGTCATGATGTCTTTTAAAAGCAAAGTACGAAAAATTGTCTCATATTTCAGCGATCATGCAAAAAGGATACTAGTTAGACATGAATATCTAATTTTTGCTTACTATTCGTGCTAAAACAGTGTCTCCTATTCCAAAACTCGTTTCAATTTCCGACAAATCTCCTGAAAACAAAATCATGAAATTTTTAATATAGCAAGTTGACGAAAAAAAATATTGCACGGAAAACATGTTCGGAAGAGTGTTTAATAGAACTTAATGGTGCAGGTGAGTTGATTCGTTTGGTTGATCAGAGGTGTGAGATTATTTATCATAAAGAAAATAAAACCACTTACGATGTTTCTCGGAAATATATTCTCTTCGGATAATGCCTTTGACCATGTCAGAAAGCTTGACTTTGCCGACGTGTGTTATCAAGCATCTGGCCAATTTTGGTGTTCTTGAGAGGACCTGTAATATGTAGAGGACAGATAATATTAGTTAAATCTTAGGTGGAACGTTAACGGTAATCTTGCCAAACTCTTACAATACAGGTTACAACAGCGCCCACGAATGGCGCAGTGAAACTAGGTTTATCATCTTTCCTTTCAACAGAAAGTATAGTCAACTGCAATTTAAAACGTTTTTACCTTTAAATTCTAAAGTACAAGCTTAAAATTTGAAATCTTATTTCACCTCTTCTTCAGGAGACTCTTTAACATGTAAGTAGCCCAGCACTGATGAGAAAATTGAATTTCCAAATTCGTAAGCCCCCTCCCCAGCTTCAAAATACTCATTGGCCTTACAAATCCTTTGTCCTTCACAAAAATTAATCAGTTCAAAACAATATATTTCATGTTGTTGGCCATACATAATTAACAACTTAAAGTTATATTAAATTCGTACCTGGTAAGCAGGGAGTACCTTCTTTAATCTTGATTTTACTTCTTTGGTTCTGGCTATCCTCAAATTGCTGATCTTCGTCAACCTCCATGATCAGTTTGTCACTCAAATAAACAATTTTTTCAACTAAAAAAATGTATACTTGTCAATCTCAATTGATTTCACAAGCACGTTTCTCGGCTAAAAACAACGACTCGTATTGTCACACATTCCCAGACAACTGCGAGGATGCGAAACGAGTTCAAATTGAGACAACTGTGTTTCTGTATGTAAATATGTGCTATGTACCGTATGTAAATTGCATACACGATTGTTGACAGAGGATTACTCACAAAATTTTAACTTGGTTAATAAAATTATTTATTATAGCACAATGGTTTTCTCATTCAGCATTTTGCGGACAACAAATAATGAATTGAGAGACTGGTTAATTGTTTTTGACACAAAGATTGCAAATTTAGGAATCATCAAGAGTATTTTCGTCGTCACATTCGTAATACTCAAACTCATCATCATCAATCCTTAAGGAGTCAGGGTTTGGGTACAATTTGAGACCGTTTTTAAACTCTTGAATGTCACTCACAAATCGAGATATGGGTGGTTTATTGTTTGAATTGACGTCTTCTTTCTCTTTATTAGTACTCATATCCGCGGATGGAAGAGGTTTGGCCAATTTTTTGGATTTCTGCTTCTTGCGTTTGCTATAAGATTTGATACCAAGAGTTGACTCTGAACCGGCGAGTAGATCTGTATCAGACTCGAGGAACTTCTGTTTCGACTTTTTACTTTTGCCTTTTGACTTTCCAAATTGTGACATCTTGCTGATGCTGATACCCTGGTAGGAACGTCCATGCTGTGAAGCAGGGTCAGGGAGGTAAATGTTGGGGGCTTGGACAACCTGCATTTTTTGGGCCAACATAAATGCGTCCACTAACAATGGAGAGAAACCACAAATCTCCCGACCTTCTCTCCATGTGGTCTACAAAACATGTTGATTCTCATCTCACTTGTTTACCACAAACATGGCCAAGGTCCACTCATGACATTCAAAATACTCATTCATCTCCAGCCCCGTGTCACCAAAATGTGATCCCATTTTTCAGGCTGCCCATAATTCTTTACAGATTCTTGGGTCAGACGTACATACGTGTGATGGTCTGAGAGCAACAATCTTTTTCAAGTCAAGTGCACAGCTCCAAGGACTTTATTTGACGTGAAAAAAGAACCCGTTTTCTCTCCCTGCAGAATTCAGCTGGTAACAGACCAAAAGATTTCAAACAGAAAAAATCTTGAACGACTTGAACGGACAATTTCCTATAAAATTCTTCGTTGGGAAGGAGAAATCGCTGGTAAAGTTCTTGAACCCGGAAGAAGTCAAAAGATACTTGTGGCTTTCCTATCATGAATTCAGTAAATTTTGATTCGTCGGTGAGATAACAGTTGTAAAATTCTTGAATGAATTTATCCATTCTTTTGTTGCAGTAATCAGTGCTAAAGTTTTTTGGCTGGGTTACAACTTCGATGAACAAAGAAGTTACGTCAAAAATGTCATCGTGGTACACCAGCACGATGTAGCCTAGCTGTTCTAGCGTCCTTAATTGATGATACGAAGCGTCACTCATGCACTTTGCTAGGAAATTGATAATTTTGTCATCACTCTCGTTCAAGGGTCCGAATTGATAGCCATTAATGACGACGGAAGTATGCGTTCTCACGTTTTTGCTTTTAATTTTTACAATGTTTTCCCCGATTGGAAGTTGGGGACACCTGATGGAACGAATCTCGCGAGGACTCACTGGTTTAGGATACATTTTCATAAAATGGGAAACCGTTTGAACTACGTAAAAGGCTTGCTCAATTGTGATAAATCCATGAAGAAATCCAGCAATGTACATTTTTCGTTTAAAAGCTTTGATAAAGTCCAATAATGCAAAATAGTCAATTTCTGTGAAAAAATCATTTCATGCCAATTAATTTTACGATTTTCTACACAACTACTTAATTCACGTTAATTTTCATGTTAATTTTCATATGAATAAAATAAGTATGTTTAAATACTCACTTTCTGCGTGTTTAATATGTTCCTTGCTGGTGGTGTAGCGATTCGCCCACAAAAAGTTCATCACCTTAATAATAATTAAGTAGTTTGTAAATACATAAATTATCAATAATAACAAAATTAACGAAAAATGATACTCACCTCCCAAGCATGTATGCGATTATCGAGCAAAATGTTGTCCATCCGCTCAATGTAAATTTGCTTCCCAACGTGAAAGGTCTTCATGTCTAGCAGTTTCTCAAATAAAATAAGAATTTTGAAAACGTCTTTTGTCACTCTGCAAAGTTATTTTAATTTATCAAATTTTCGAGGTACGTAAAAAAACTACATATGTATTTATTTATTACTTAAAATTAGCTTAATTGACTAGCCTTACTGCGGTAGTTGATGTGAAGGTCCGGTCAAGCTTAGCTCGATTTTTCCTGGCGTAACTTTAGCATGCAAGTGAAAATGGGCCACCAGCGCAGACGAGAATTTTGATTCAATCATTTCGTTTATAAAGTGACAGATAAAATCCATCAAAGTTTCTGACTTTTGTCCAGAATTCATCACTGGGGAATGGAGCCAAAAAACATACTTTGCTTGGGGAAATTGTCCTTTCAAGTTCTTGAACTTTTCATCCTTGTAAAAAATTGAACATTTGCCTTGCACAATCATTAGAGGTCCATTTCTTATCAAATTTTTCTGCTGTGTTCCACAGCAAGTGATCTCGTAAAGATATGGATTTGGACTAGGAAGGTGAAAAATTTTACTGAGCGGAGATTTCAGTTTTTCTATTTTATCAATGAGTTCCTTTGAGAATTCTTGCGATGAATATGGAGTTTGGTAAAAGCTTTCCATGCTACTCTGCTCCCGGTACTTTTAGGAAAAAATACTGTTTTTCAGTACTGTTTTTCATTAACAAGATATTGCTGCTAGATATACATATTTAGTAATTTGTAAACCTTTTTTGAAAACACCATAATATTGCAAGTCTCCAGTTTCAATTGCTGTGTAGTGCTATAAATGAAGTCCTTGTCGAATTTTGTGATTAGTTGAGGTGCAACTAGGACATATTTTGCAGGGACATTTTGTAACCAAAGGCAAGCGTCTTCACAATATGTCGTGCTTGAACGGGTGGACTGATGATGGAAATAATCTGCGTGCTGCTTCTGCAACTCTTGGAAAAAGTGCAGCGATGGTTCATTTTTTCCTAACATGTCCAGATATGCAAAAACTGCTCCAATTATGCCATCCTGCTTGCTGAAGCCTTCCTCTGTCAAATCCAAGTAAATGGTGAAAATCGATGTGTATTGATTTGAAAACGTGTTGGAGTCCCAACAACCGGCGGTGACGTTGGTACACAATCCAAAATAACTGAGAAATTGATAAAGCCCTCCCTGTCCTTTACTGGAAATTAATGAGCCCAAGTATTCTAGCGCTTTGACTGATAAGTTCTTCCATGTCATTGGTTCCAGTGCCCAATGAATAGCTATAAATTCACTGTGATAGATGGAGGGGACGCGATATATTCGATGAAAAATTTTGCTTTGAAATGGACTGCCAGAGATTTTGATTCGACTCCTTGGATGAGGAAGAATCGAACTTGGGATAGATGAAAAGTACGTGGTCACCAACTCTTCCATTTCAACGAGGTCCAAGGGAGCTTCTAAACCAAGAGTCATGTAATTACTGCAATAATTGGAACTTCTCCATTCCACCATTCTCTTGTAAAAGTGAGGAATCCGAAGTGTTTCTTTGTTTCCAGTGTCCATATTTCTCAGAGGATGTCCCTCCTTTGCTAAGGACGCCAAGAGTTGGTTGTACTTTTGAAGTAAAGAATAGTGGTCATTGTTTTTTAAGAATAAGATATTTATTACAAATATAATTTGAAAAACCTTTGGCATGTCGTCTTGTCTCAATGAGAACTCAGAATCCAGAGCATCCATTTCCTTTGCCACAAGGTCACGAGGTAAAAGAGGGTAACCCACTCCGTCACTTAGCATTTCTAATGCTAGGGAAAATATTTCTAATGACGTCGAAACTGTGTATACCGTTGTGTCACCGGAAGTGTAAGCACTATAAAAACGATAAGTGTAATAATTGCGTCTTAATTACATATAGATGCAATATGCACAAATTTAAATTACAGAATTACTTTGTATATCCATCGTGAGGTAAGGTAAGACGGAATAATTGATTTGGGTAAGGAAATTTCTTTGATCCTAAGAAAAAGCAATGTTCAATGAAATGAGCCATGCCCGGCATTTCTGGCGGGTCGTTAAACCATCCTGCTCCGACCGTTAGAAACGCTGTACAAGATTGAGCGTCATCTTCCGGGTCTGGTGATTCAACATCCGTTGTCGACTTGGACATTGTCGAAGTTGCGTCGTCGCCTTTTTCTATCTCTCCAAGAATTAATGCTTTGATTGCATTCATCACTTCCACAAAACTTACTGATTCTTCCGAATTTTCCGCACCGGGTATTTTTACATCCTCGACGGTGGAACTTGCTTTATCCACGAAAGTTGGTCGGCCAGACGTTTCACATTCGCACCTGATTTTAAAGGAGGTGCTGTCAAGACCCATGCACGTTTTGTTAAACTGCAGAATCTTCTGTAAGTGGCATGTTTTGTTTTTATTTGAGGAAGGAACGTCTAAAGTTGAAATCAAAATGGCTTTCAATCCATTTGGGAGCTCAATTGCTTTGTATTTCCTGGGATCCAGGGGGGACTTGAATATGTGCCCTAATCCAGAACAGTCGTCTGAACCTGGACTCAAATTGACAGATTCATTCATTTCCTGTGGTGCTAATACTTCTTCATCATCGCTGCCAAACTGGGCAAAGTTTGATGAAGCATTTGTTGGGGTGATTGTAGGATCCATTTTTAAAATAGGTAGTAAAAAAATAGTACAAAAAGAAGCAGTTGCTTATTTGAAGTGGAATATAAATTATGTTGAACATTTGATGACATTTAATTAGAGCACGGCCTTTTGTCATTATGGTAGTCATTAGCAAACACAACATTTACATTTAGGAAGCAGGAAAGACCCACGATTGCTTGACTTTTAGTGCCTAGTTACCCTTAACGGTTGCGACAAATGGTCGAGTTACAAATAAAATAATTATTTTTAAAATAGTTGGTGTAAAAGTCCCTTACAAATACACCAACTACTTTGACCTTTAATAACTTTTGAACGGGCAGACATAGAGACTTAATTCTTAAAGATGAAATCATCGTAATTTTTAGCTTGATTTTTTAAGCTAAAAATTTCGAGGGTACTATTTCGAAGATTGAACTTGAAATCTCCAGTGTGCAGCCCGAGTCAAGCTCGCTGTTATCGGTCAAACCGACCATTTTGCATAGAATTTTATTGTACCAAATACATTTTACTAATGCACTTTACGCCTGTTTTTTGTCAAATAAACAATGCGTATTATGCATTGGTGAAAATTTTAACTAAATATAGGTTTTTAGCCTGAATCAGGGCTTATGTACCCGTCTGTCCGTCTTGCGATAACTGTCGTAAAACTAATCGTAGCAATATAAATTAAAATAGGAAAAATTTTCCGAGTTTATTAAGTTCGTGTTTTGTAATGGTTTATATACCAAAAATAAATCACAAAATTATATGCACATCGTTCATTACGAGTCCTGCTCTCAGAATAATGCCATCTTACAAGGCTCTGCAAAATTGTTGCCTTTTTAGCCTAAGTCAGTTCTTATGGAACCATCATGTCCTTCCGGAACACGATAGCCAAAATGGCTGAACCGATTTAGCTGAAATTTTCAGAACGGGTGAGACCGTAGGGCTTGATCCATACAGATTTTTCAAAAATATGTCACTCCACAAGTTTAAATGCATTTGGTACATTACAATTTCATGGAAAATGGTTGGTTTGACCGACAACCACAGAGTCTGACTCGGGCTCACTGGAGATTTCAAGTTTAATTTTCGAAATAGTACTCTCGAGATTTTTAGCTTAAAAAATCAATCAAAAAATTACGATGATTTCATCCTCAAGAATTAAGTCTCTATGTCTGCCGATTCAAAAGTTATTAAGGGTCAAAGTAGTTGGAGACTCAAACGCCCTTTTTGAACCAACGATTTTAAAATGAATTTTTAATTTGTAACTCGACCATTTGTCGCAACCCACGATTGCTTGACCTTAAGTATCTAGGTAACGCTTCTCCCTTAACGGTTGCGACAAATGGTCGAGTTGCAAAAAAAATATTCATTTTTAAAATTATTTTAAAATTGGTTTTTCTCCCATGGACGAAAAACCAATTCTCCAGCCAAAATATTTAAAAAATAAATTGTAACCCACGACGATTTTAAAATGAAAATTCATTTTGTAACTCGGGCATTTGTCGTAACCTTATACAGTGATAAAGTGCCAAATAATCTTGGTCGCAACCGTTAAGGGAGACTAACGTTACCTAGATACTTAAAGTCAAGCAATCGTGGGAAAGACCAGTTGCCAATAATACCTAAATATGTTGTGTATGATGTGGCACTAGAAATTATACGCCTGCATAAATGTGTCATCAGACTTGAACAAGGGATTGTATTTTTTGTTTCGTTTTCAAATCAGCTTTGATTTTGTTAATTTTTGTTTACTTCCTTATCAATGATAAGCATTCATCATGCAAATGACTCAAAATGTGATATGAGACACATTCTGGTAATGCAATTAAAATGGAAAGTTGACTCGTTAAAATCATCCACACACAACAATTTGGCATATTTGAAGCATATAATCGCAATGCAACCAAAGGTGACAAAGGGTCAGTCGCAGCCCACAGGATATAAAATTTGTCGTACATATTGGTGGCAGGTTGAGCCACAAACAAACGATGAAAGGAAGCACTTTGTCGAGTGATCGTCCTACTTGCATCCTCCAAGTTCCTCTAAAACGTGATGAGATTTTATAAATTGACACAATTTTGTCTCTTTCAGTTTTTCACATAGTCTACAAATTTCACAGATATAGCAATATAGCGACATTAATACAAAAATATCAGTCATATATTAGTTTTACTCATATTTTGGTCTAGAGTTTAATAAGGGTGGTGACTTTACGCCTTGAATATAAATTGCGTGCACCTTACTAGCAAAACATAAGATGATAATCGTAAGGAAATCACTCCTCTATGTTTCGCATTGTGCCGTTACTTTTTGTCTAATAAATTAATAAATTATGATTTCCTATTTAGGGAAGCCGCTTAATATTATTAAGGGGTGAAAGCCGTTTATAAGATCGTTATGTCCGTCTGTCCGTCCGTCCGTCCGTCCGTCCGTCCGTCCATCCGTCCGTCTGTCTGTCCGTAGCTCCGATAACTTTTGAACGAAAAGACATAGACACTTGAAATTTTGAACGTAAACTCCTAACGTCAATAGAGAGGACGAGTTCGAAGATGGGCACTATAGGTCACACCCATCAAGGTCAAAAGGTCATGAAATGTCATTTAAAGGTCAAATTGCATACATGCATCAATTTGAATTGAAATACGGATAACACACTTCTTTCACCCCTTGGTTACATTCGTTGTGACGGTTTATTATTGAATAAGTACATACTAGGTGAGCGTAAGTTATGCAAAATTAACTAAATGCATTACGTGGTATCTCTTGAAGAATTCAAATATTTATAATACAGAATAATCAGCTTTGACGATATTACGATTTTATTCTCAGAGGATTTGTTAGTTGTACCATAAACGGCTACCACAGTGAAATGTCTGGTTGTAATTTTTTGTTAAATGCAATCACAAAAAAAATCTCATTGGTTTTGATGTGTGTACATGCGTACATTTGCTCAAAGGATGTATGTGTATGTTTCCACAATTTTTTCAACAAATTCAATCTTAATCTACTAATGCTTGTCTCGCTTCATTGACTAACAATAAGTTGACTTACTTTTCGGGAAATAAATGGGACATCAACCAAGAGTCAAGTAATAGTAGCAAAATATTAGTTCGTTGTGCCAAAATCCACTCGCATTTCTATCTTACAGATTATAGGTGTATATTGCATTGTTATGTCATCTAAGTATTTTGCCAATTTTGGGTTATTCTTTATAGCAGAGAAACAGGATGGAAATTATTGTTTCACGAGCCAATAATATGCACATACTTACAGCCCAGCATACTTATAACACATACTTTACGATGATATTCCACTGCCAATTCCTTGAAGGAATGGGCAAACCGGTTCATCGTGATATACTGAAATATTGAGCGAGCAGGCGCATTTACTAAATATATGGGACTTGTGCTGAATTGCATTTTTGCATCCCCACGGGGGAAGAAAGAACACAGGACAATGTTCGATCAAATCATGCGCTTTATGCCGTCATGTAAGCCTTAGGGATGCTGCCATTGTTGTCTTTGCTAAATATCTTCTATGCACTATGTACTATGCTAACTGAGGATGAGTGTAAAGTGCATAAGTGAGTGTAGAGCGAGACCTGATGCTAGAAAATTAATCTTGTCGTAGTAAACATGCATATTGCAATGGAATGAATGATCAGGACGAGCTTTACTTGAAGCAAGATTTGTTACTTACCTGACAAAATTAAATACAACGGTTTTGTATTATGACCCATCCAGTGTGGTAGTTTGCTTTTAGGCTCAAAGTCACGATTTGACACAGAGTCAGCCGCAGTGGAGCGAGCGTCTATTTCTCTGTTTGTGCATTTCGGTTTTATTCGGTTTTATTTAACGCAAATTCTCTAGTTTATCAAGTTGAAGCCCTTTAAAGTGCCGTGGTGCTAATTTGTGCATAAAATAAAACATAGAATAAAATGAAGCTGTGTACGGGAGCGTCATGGGAAGGGGGACTGACGTTGATTGCGTTCATAGATATTGTAAGTCATAAGTTTGTCATGATCTTTTAAAATTCTGGTCAGAAATATTGAAACGATCGACGCCATGACTTTTTGTCCATAGACTTTAGCCACAATTTCTGTAATTGCCTCAGCCGCATTATTCACCGTTCCAGGATTATATAATACGGTGCAAGAGATTTTCTATGAATTTGGCGATTATCAAAGCCCAGATGAGCTTCAATTCACTGGTACATATAAAGTTAAGATTTTATTTCTAGTTTTTTCAAACTTTACTTTACTTTCAAATTTCAGTATGGGCCATTTTCATTACATTATTGATCGTGTCCAGCTTAATTTACTTGGCCATAGAAGTCGTCTTATTCCTCACACTACGCGAAGCAACATCAAATGTATGCCATGAATTCACTACATATGTGACTAAATTATCCATGCATTTCCATTTATTTTGTCCATATTTCAGAGAAGCTACAGCTTGTGTCACAAATGGTTTTACATTCGGATTTCGCTACTAATTTTCTCCATTGCCTTTTCCATTTACCGAATATCAGTCCTTGAATACTCTCCCTATGATGCTGTTTTTGAACCCCTCAAGTTTTACAGGGCCATTGAACTCGTTTTTGTAAGTAATTTTATGAGTGAAATTAAACGCGAGCAAAAAGGACTGAGTCGCCAAATCATCGAACAAATTATTCGTTCATCTGTTTAAATCTCTACTAAATTTATACTTTTGTTATGTTTTTTAATCGTTTTCAATTTGGTAAAAGCATAATTTAGCAGACTTACAATTAGTCGGAATAGGCAAGAGAATAAAGCTCTTATTTTTAGAAATACTTACTAAAGTTAAAGTTTGTGACTTGTGATATATTTTTTTATTAAGGTAACTCTTCATCTCGTAAAGAATAGTTTACCAATTTTCTTGTCCCATGATGCTCATTGCACATCGTGATAAACTTGGACGATGTAATGCATAATCATGTAATTACGCTAGAAAGAGGCCAATTAGTTTATGATTTTGCTTAATGAAGGATGATGTAGAAAAACTGTTGAAAGATGAGGCTATTCGCCGTCGTAGTCCATCATACTTTAAATTCATTCTTAATTTTGATCGGCCGATAGTGTGAGGCATCCTGCGGTGATCGTGTGGATGTTGGTTTGGTAAATTTATGTTTTTTTAGTGTCATGTTTTATCTTATAAATATACTCACGCATTTTTTACTAGTGTGGTGATGATTTCGGTTATAATAGTGAAAGCGGCTTCAATAATGAAAAAGTGACTTGAATAAGAACAACGGATGAATAGATGAAACAACTTTCTTTTCTTGGTTTATTGGATGAACGCAATAAAAGTCAACCTCATTTACAATCGATATATAAATATAGCGTTCCATAATAAAATGTACATTTAAAATTAATTTTCAACTAGGAGAATAATTTTATATGCCTCATAAAAATATGTTACCGTGTTTTAAAAATTATCGACAATAAAGGTATGTTGAAATCAATTCTGAATCATGCAATTTATTTACGATGGTCATTTTGGTTGTCATTTAGCAAATGAAGAAGAACAATGCTAAGTGTGCATAAGGATTAATTTTGCAATTACGGTTTAGCTGACCACAACTAATTGACAGTTGAATCGAGTAAATTATATTCTTTAAATCAATGAAATTGGCCGTGGCACAGTGCCTGCAAATTTTTATGCATAATTATGTGCATTGCGTAAGATGGGTTTTATATTCTATGAATAATTGACAAATTATTTTACGCTAGTTCATGCGAACCCTTTGTTTTCCATTGTGCAAACTAATGAATCAAATTGCATAGATTATTATTATAGACTCGCATGTGTGCGTGTGGCAAGTATTGATTGACGGTCATTTTCATTAAGCACATAAGTAATGCCCAAGTTCTCAGATCCTTGTTTAGTGTTAAACTTAAAATGCATATGTATTTATGCTGAAGATGAATGCGCAAATGATTGACAACAAATTTCCTCAGTCTGTATTAAGTAAAGGTGATTTCCAACTAGAACAATGCACCATCGACTATGTACAAACTAAGAGCGTGTATTTTTAAACAAAAAGAGGAAAATAATACGTGATGGGTGAGTGCGATTGAATTGAGCCGAAATTCAGACACAAATTTTTAAGAGATAACAAAGTGGATCTCTCCGCTTTTATGAACACCATTAAAATAAAACGCAACACAATAACGCAAACAAGCATAAGCAGCAAAGTGTGTATGTAATGCATACATGTGAGAAATAATGTACGCAGGGTGGGTCATTCATCTAATTCTATTACACAAACTAGTCTTACAGAGCTAATAAAATGCTGCACATTACAAAGATTCAGAAGCATGGATGGCTGTTTACTATACTCTTTAAACCATGCACTAAAAGCTTTGCTTTCGCACAACAACAACCAACTTTCTTATTAGACAAACTTGAACCCGACCAAAGTATATGTACCAATGTTGCCGATACCATAGTCCACATTACATATTGGATTCGATTTGTTGGCAGCCGTTTTTAACACGAAATGAAATCAAAGCTTTATCGGAAAGCTTCATCATATATTCACAATATTCTTGAAAATTCATAGCTTCACTGTGTCACTATTGTCGTAATAAACAAATACGCAAAATGATTAACATTTGTTGCGGGAGATCATTAACGGATGTTCTCAAGTCCTTTGCTATTATGGATTTGGTAAGTCTTAAAAATTATGGATTTCAATAATTAGGAAAATTGCTATGCTATTTTTGCCCTACAGTTCTTTGACAACATCCAAGTTGCAGTGGTTTTCACATCTTACGCTTTCCCAAATTGGCTACCCGAGTCGTATTACACAACGACGAAAGTGTACAGTCTGCAGCATACATTTGAGAATTCGACCGTTCCCCTGATCCACAAACCCCAGGAAGATCCTAGTGACCCTCCGGAAGGTATAAATGCATACATATGTACACACATGTATGCCTCTACATGCATAAATATGGCATTGGAAAATGAGATTTTATAAGGTTAAATATGTTATTTATTTATGTAGGCGAATCTCATTTCATATTGTTCTTGACCGCAATCGGACTATTCTTATGTCTAACCATCACGATCTCCTTGTTTTACTGGCTTTGGACTGGAGCAAGAGAAGTAAGCTAAATTTTTATCAGGTGAATTTATGTGCATTTTTACTCAACTTGACCCCAATGATCTAGCTGAATTTACCAAAATGTCAGAGATGGCTGTGTGTGAGGATTGTGTTTCTGTCCTTTTTGGTCCTCGTTTCAATCTACAAGCTATCCAGCCAAAATTATTACGGATTTGACGGAATGTTAGACGTGCTGAAGATATACAGCGTGTACGAAATCTTAATGGTAAAGAAATTTATTGACAACCATACTCCGGACATTCCAATTCTGCCGAAATAAATGTTTAATAGGCTCACCTATGTTTTCAAAATGATTTTCTCGTCCGGTTCAGTTTCAGAGCTTTATATTTGTTATTTATAGGCATAAATGCTAGTTTAAATTAAAGGTCCAATTTTACTCGAGAATAATATTCAGTTTCTCTGATATATATTTTTACTTCAAAAGGCAACTAAATCTAAAAGACTGGTAAACTATATTGTGAATTTTAATCCAATGTACTCTGAACTTAGATATTTATTATTAGTATCATATATACATTTATATATTTATTAAACCATCATATTTACAGCAATAAATTCAATTGTTTTATAAACCTACTTGTACAAAATTGTAGAAATTCAAGTTATTCATGCGAACATGTAAACACATACCAATGTTCATACATATAATTGTATTCAGCGAAGTGTCCGAGTGTGTGAAATATGTACATATTAGTGGTCTTAGTCTTAACAATAATTGTGCATAACTATGGAAGTTCTGGCATGATTAAAAGTTCGACCAGTCCAACCACTTTTTACCCACTTTTGCACATCTTCAGCCTGAGGCAACAATTAACAGTCAGCCCACGCTGGATAAATGCTAAAAACGTATTAAAGCCTGGATTTGTATCAAGGAAAGTTTGCTAGTTTTGCATGCGAAAAAATGCTTTTGCAATTGCTGAAGGACACTGAATCACCACATATGTACCTCATATACAGGTAGCTTTTTTCTTCAACTCCTGTTCTTCGTCCAATAAAACATGACATTGTGTATCTAATGTGCACAACTGCAAAAATGATGATGCTTATTATGCATCAATCCTGGAATGGAAAACAGAGCGGTATGGTGGTGTATGTATTCGTTAATCGGTTGAATTTTAAATCATTAAACACGAACAAAATATTCCACAAGAAAGAATAGAAATAATAAAACATATATTATAAATTATAAGTTTTTACGATAAAACGATAAAATTTAACCCAACGGAATAAAATGGCTCAACAGAAACCCAGTTATGATGCCAGTAATATTGCCGAAATCGTTCCAAATTCACGGGTATCATCTCGTCCCACTTCATCTGCACAAATTTCTTTCCAGGTGATATTCATTGGGATTGCAAACATTGACATTGTAAGTAAATTAGCTATGCAAGCTATCAAACAATATCAAGAATATTTGTCCTCATCTCATTTCTTTGAAAATTTAGATAATTGCCATTCTCATTGCAATCACTGAACTAATTTTTGTTGCCAATCCAGACTCTTACATATACATTTACAACATTTATAACATGAAAAGCGAGGTGGTCCTGCGAGACTTTCCCCATCAATGTATGCAATTATGCTAATATAAATATGTCTTACTAAAATCTGAGTGACCGGTTTAATTTTTCGTTATTTTATTTAATAGCCTGGTTTTTCACCACCGTTTTCATCATTACAACATTTTGGCTCTTCTTGGAATATTGGATGTACCAAATCCTGTACAAAGGTGCATTAGAGGTAGGTACCATTTTACATACTTCATGCTACTCGTACGACAACAAATGTTGATTTATTTGAAGTAATTAATTAATACATTTTTTATTGGATAGTTGGACACTCAACAATTGAAGCGGTGGTTAAATATCCGGCTTATTTTTCTAATATTTAACATCTTTCAAACTCTGTATCGAATTGTAGAGTTGCAGTTTTGTTTCTACGATATTTTATACATTCCTATCTTAATGTATCGAATTTTGGAAATTATCTTTGTGAAGGGGTTAACCGTGGAAATTTTGAAAGCCAATATTGAAGTGATTGCATAAATGTGTGATATATCTGGATACATCTAGTCAACCAAGAGCTTTTGCATAGTTTGCACAAGTTTTTCAATGAAAAACTCGTTTTATGTTGTGTTTCTGTGTTTTCATACTGATTACTACTTTAAAATAAAATGTTACAATAATAAATATTGTCAGTAGTTAAAAGACCTTTATTCATGCACGGATTTATACTTCCATTAAGAAGCTGTCATAATATTAAAACTTGTGAGATAGTTATATTTGTACTGTCACTCAGGGTTAAAAGAAAGTCAAGTCCCGATCCGATTCGATTTTAGTTGGTAGCAGCCTTTTTCAAAAGCTTTGACCTCCGAGTCCCATCGCCCGTCAGTGGGAATAAGAGTTCGAAGTTGAGCCCAGTTAAACAATTTTGTCCACCCTTTTTCAGAAATCTGTTTTTTTAATTAAAAAAATATATGTATTTACTACGAATTTAGAGGTACATAAATTGTTATAGCTGGGAAATGTGGATTTCAATCAAGACTTACGTGCTTGGTACAGAGCTCCAAGTAATTTAAATGAGGCATTTTCATGAATCCTTCGTTAACGCACACATCATCAATGGTCGTGGAGATTTTGTAGTTCACCATGATAAACTTCCTCAAGTCTAAATAATAATTAAGTCAAAAATAAATATTTTGTAAAAAAATCTGTTATAGCAGGAGAATCGAATATCTCATGTGTATTGGTTAATTGTCATACATTTCAACTCTTTGATGTTGATGGGGTTGCATTTCTTGACGGGAGTTTCCCCACTTCTCGTCTCCTGGATCCCTGTGATGCCTTCGGTGTCAAGTCGCTCTCCTAAAACTTCCAGCTCTTCCAACTTTCTCCACTCCCCGCAAACCCTGAAATTACACGATGCACGTAGGAATTAATACTTCACCCATAGAATTACAATCTAGTCGGTACTTGGGCAGTTGGTACGTACGTTCGAAAGGCGTCGTTGTCGAGGTACAGCCTGGCCTTCACAACGGCAGGGAACCAGAAAACCAGCTTCCGCACGTCCGCACTCGATATGTCGTATTCAACTATGAGCGTGCTAAGTTTTGTTTGCAAAGGCATCTTGGTAAAGTTCATGTCAGTTTTAGCGATCGTATCGATGGGAAGGAATGGAGGTTCGACTTCTGGGGGTTCTAAAAAAATCGTAATAAAATCATAATTTTAATGGCTTATCTAATTGGTGAAAGTTGCGAATGTTGAGCAGTGTGATAAGAAAACACGAGTGGCAGATACAGAGTAAACGTAATGAAATAAGTTGTACTACTGAAATTAGAGTTAGCAATTGCCCATGTGGCGTATATGTGTCATACCTTTCAATGCGAGGGTGCTGAGATTGGGCATAAACTGAAGAAATTCCATACAATCCGCGACTGTCTCAGTCATCTCAAGATATTGTAAGTTTGGAAAGATTATGTCAAATGGGAATTTTTTCATCGGAGTTCCAAGAGGCCCACGATAAAGAATCATCTTCCTCGCATTGCGTTGCTGTTTTAAAAATATAAATTCGAAGTCAAGGACACATGTAAGAACGCAACTATATTATTATGAATATAATATTAATTTACCTGTTGGAGGAGTAGTGAAGTCCGATGGAAATTTACTGTGGCTCCAAGATCAATGGACAGTTCTCGCAGGAATAACTTGAGTGAAATTAAATTATCCATGATGGGAACGACAATTTCACCAGTAGCATAGTCACCGTTGAAGATGTTTAACTTTTCGAGCTGCATAATTCTAGGATTTTTGGTTCGCAGAGACTTGGCAATTTGCATAATGCCATCAGTATCAGCAGCAGAGATATTATAGAAGGATAAATCCTAAATGAGAAATCATGACCGTTATCAAATCAATATTATCAATCTTAAAAATAGTCGTAGTGATTTAATGAGGCATATGTAAGTTCTGCTGCTTAAACAAAACATCTCTTACCCTAATGTTAGGAAACCCTCGAAAGATTTCCTCCCAACTAATTGGAAGAGTTGTGTGCTTTTCTCCTCCACAAAAGTGCATGGAAATTAAATTCGGGTTGACTGGAACATTTTCATCGACATCAGCAACCTGCTTGTAAATCCTTAAACCAGGTCGTTCTCCTCCGTAATTTTCGTAGAAACTGCAGTCCTTAATGCTGAGGTGTTTCAAGTTTGGTGTAAGATTGAAAAAAATGTCTCGAACAATGTCTACCCCAACAAAGCGGACCCATTCTATCTGCAGAGATTCCATCGATGGACCAAATTTCTCCCAGAAAGCATCCATTGCATCACAATTGAAGTCAAAGTTGAACAAGGAAATTTTGTAATTTCTAAACAGTACTCGAGTGCTAGGAATGGTGGCAAATTTCTCTAGAAAGTTGTCCATAACGGAACCTTCAAGGTGGACATTTTCGTTCAGCTTTACAATTGACTTTCTTTGAAATATTGGGCAGCAAACGTCCTTCCACAAGTGACTCGTTAACCGAACATTCTTCAAGTCTCGGATGGGGAGAAAGTCAAATATATTTCGCAGAATCTGTCAGGACGAAAAAGTTACTATAAATTTTAATCTGTAAATTACCCTTTATCAGACTCATTATTATAATTCCTGCTACTACACATTTCTCATTATTCTTGTAATAATACGTAAGTGTCTTAAAGCAAATTTCTCACCAGCTCATTTGTGACCACCATATCGCAGCTCGTTATCTTGCGCTTGTCCATTATATCGTGATTTCTTTGAAAGTATAACGTACTAATATTTCGATTTTTCACTAAAACACTAGAGAATCTCTTAATTTGCTAAATGAGACTGAGATAATTGCGGCGATTATTTTATAAGACGTGTGCTTTTCTTAACAGTTATTGGACAACTAAACTGTTGCCATGCTTGTTGCGACTTTATTAAAGGGTACAAATGCAGGAATTTGTATGGTTTTATCGTCCAAAAAAGGGTTAGAAATGAAAATGTATGACATGGACATGAGCATAATTTTATCTGTATATGAGCAAGGAGAGTGTTAAAAGTGGAGCATTTTTGTTAAGAATGCCAATGGTTGGGTATCTCAATCCCTAGTTCATATGTACATATGGGGAGAGAGCGATATTATGCTTTGTCTTTTTGATCATTACATATTTTCCATATCTACACAGTAACGGCTACCCTTTCTCGTGGGTATATATTCTTTAACAGGGTTCCTTGATGAATGAAAGGTCTTGAGATTGGGTAACATTATTGTCATGCTTTTTAAGAAAAGCTAAAAATGGCCAGCGTAATTCGTCTCAAGAATCTCGGAAAATAGGTGTATTTTTACAATATTTATAGTTATCCTTAGGTCAACATCGAACTTTCTATTTATGTCTAAGTTGGCAATACTGACAAGAATATATGCAGTTTTTTGTATTACGCACATACGTTTAGATGAACCTTTATGCCCTTATAACCCTTTGCACCAAGACTGCTGTATTTCATACTATTTTGAAATAGTGATTTGCATGAAGGCATGCTTTCAATTATTTTTAATAATCCATGCATCTCAAAATATGCATGCAACAAAAAATAAATATAACCTAACATTAAAATAAATTTGTTATGTAAATCTCTAATAATGGATAAAAGTATGCTACATCATTTAGATTTAAGACTTCATATTTTCTCTAAAAACTTGTGCCCCTGTAGTTGGGAGTGGTCATTCACAATCTCCACTGTAAACAAATATTGAATGCGGATATGAATAGCCACTCCCACTTTAGGCCGCTGTTACAGTTTTTTTTAAATTTTGTACGTAGAATAAGTAATGTCAATCTCCTCTCTCGTCATACAAACGTTGTTCATAACAACTTGCTAAGACCAAAAATTGGGAAAATATTCTTCAATTGAATTTGAATTCATGTTTTCGAAACAACCGAGGACAACTGGTATTCTTTGCACCAAAGTTATTGTAACCGTGATAAGTATACTGGTAAGTGTTTCACTTATGGTCGAGCTTGTAAAATGGAATAACTAATATTAAATTAATTTTAAATTATGTCATAAGTTGCTTATGATATAATTAGACAATGACCAAAGTGACATCAAACTTGGATTCTCCGACCCCCTGCCAAAAAGGAGGCTCTGATTCGTCCCCACCGGATTCAGGTAGTTCGGAGGATGAGTCTGAAAATGAAGTCATGATGAAGTACATGAAAGAAATGGAGTACGAGATGAACATTCGGAAAAATCGGGGCAAGAACGGTACCATCATGAGCATTGCAACCGGCATCATCGGGATTATCGTGGGAATGCTGATAACTCGCTTCATATTCTACGGAAAGTGGAAACCACTCAATGAATGCACGATCAAAAACCCTCCAAACTTCTGTCACAATTGCTACGGACCTTTCTCTGGGAAGTGGCTTTGGTGTGTCGACGAATAAGAAGAAATCTCGTGCGGCTGAATTTTATTTCACTTTTAATGCTCAATAAGAGCTTCACGTCTTTCAAATCTTGTCAGGAATGTAACTTATTTACCTGTGATATTTTAATTACTTATTGTATAAAAGCTTATATGTATGCATAATAATTTTGCTTGAATGAATTGTCATAAGCTGCATCCTTTTCTTATGGATTTTGGGAGTATATCACCAATATCTAAAGTGTTACGGTAAAAACGAGGCAGTTGACCGGCTCTGGGAAAGACACATTTTCGTCGACCTACAAAACTATCGTTGCTGTACAAAGTCCATGGCGAGGTGCCAGAGACAATAATGGAAGTGGTTCCCGGAAGTCTGAGTGACGAGAGGTTAGATACAGCCATGCTCGTGCTCAAATGAACTCCAGTGAAAAATATTCCACTAAAAAGGTCGATAAAATCCTGTTTATAATCCTTTCCGGATCCGGCAAATCTGAACGACGATACATTTTCCGTCAGATTTTGGAAAGTGAAACACCCGTTGGACTTTGAAGAGTATGCTGCAACACCGTTGGAGAAATTTGCATAGTTTTTACTCCCATAAAATATCCACCTATTTATAAGTAGTTGTAGAATTAGTTGGATATAGATCAATCTTATTTTGACCAGAGTAATTAGTTATTTATAGAATTTCATAAACTCACGTTCCTATTATGCAACAGGATCTGGCTACATTGTCAAAGTTGACAAGAGTTAAGTCTGGATAATTCTGTGCGACTGCTGAAAATGTTCTTCCACCTGAGCTGCCAGTGTATAACACTACTTTTGGGACATTATTCTGCGATTTACAAGATAATGTAGTCAATACTAAAATAATCCCAGTTGTAAAGAAAAGTTTCCTGTTCATTTTCATTTTTAATTATTTCAACGAGTGGGAAGATCGGAAATAAGGATTAATCTGAACTTGGCGGAGTGATTGATTTATTTATAAACCTCTGCAATTATTATGCAAATATGTCAAAACTAGTCCTGCAAAGGAGACCAAGGTCTTGAACATGGTTTTAAAAATTATTCAAATTATTTCTGGAGCAGAATACTTAATTAAACAATGCGGACTATGAAAAATTTCACAAAGTTTGGTCTACTCGTTCACTACATTCATATCGAGTAAGCACAGTTTATTGGCATAAATAACTTTTAAAACATTCCGTGTATTTCATGTATTTTGTACATCGCCTCATAATTTTTACTCACAAGCTTCAAGGTTTCTGAGTGTCACATTTTCTCCAAATATATACCTAAATAAGCAGTCACTTCCATTCCACACATGGAAATTATTGTAACACATATACATAAATTCTCCAAAACGAGCATATTTGTAAATTCATAATCACATTAAATCCTTTAATCCACCTGACACACGTGTAGGATATGACAAAGAGTTTAAAAAATATTTCAAATTCACAAAATATCTGCAAATAATCACGTAAATCACGAAATCAACTTTAACTTTACTAAGCATTTTTTGATGGCTGAACAATAAATGTTATCACGTCACCTTTAACAATTATGTTACACCTTTACAATGAAACACGATGACAAACTCAATACATTTTAGAATCATGATCAAATTCATAGAACGAGGATTCATTTGTTGATTTCGCCAACAAAATACATCTGCTCAAAGTTCGTTCTATAAAAGTTTGTTTCATAATTTTGTAAATTTTGCTGTCAGCTCTACATAATCACGTACATACATAATAGTCGTATATAAACCTTTCCGCTACGATGTGTTATTCACAATTTGAATCCAAATTTAATTGTGTGTAGAGATCAAGTCTCTCATTGAAAAGTGTACAGAATTGCATCAGGAGACAACTTCGTATCAACATATCAATCACAAAAATGAATTCAACCTCCATTAATTCAACCAACAACCAAAAGGTACACAGGTCTCATTCTGACTTTCCAACTTCCGAATTTACCAAACTGTGCTTATTTTTTATTTTACTAAAAAGTCGAAGGAAAAATTGTCCCGGAGCACCAGTTCATCATTACCCGTGGCAAAAGCAACCAAAGTGGAAGAAGAAGATTGCAAACAAAAGTTTTCAGAACAATTCCAGGAAAATGCGGAAGTGGATGGAGTTTCCGTAAAACGCAGATTTTCACTAGATTTTCTCGGACTCCGGCGAGGAAGTAAAGCCAAGTTTGACCTTTTAAAGGGAAAGCGTGACAGCACGGCGAGCATTTCTTCACAGGATTCTCAGGGGTCGAAGGATTCTACATTGGCGAATAATCAACGTCGAAGGAGTTCCACAAGAATGGAGGGCACTTCGGACCTTGCTGCCTGGTGCGTTGGATAGTCATACAAAAATGCATGCAAATTTATAAAACCACAAACTATGTAAATAGGGACGACCTCAAATAATACCTCAAGAAAATATATGCATAATATTTGTAACGTACAATTTAATGTTGTCAGTTTATTCTTACATTAAATGCATTAGTAAATGGGTAAATTAGTGATTTGTTACATTGGTATTTAAATGCAGATAAGGCATAGATGTATGTAAATACGTGTGTATGTACATATTGTCCTAATTGGTACAAATATCATCAACCTCAACTTTTATTAACTACGCAGGTAATTAAAGATTACTTATTAGCTCTATTGATGCATGGACAAATGATACGTCAACATGTACATAATACATATATCTCTATGCTAAAGTGGGGTTAAAAATAATAATTTATAACTTGACTACTATGTTTATTTGCACAGCCTATTTACATACGCAGCAAATAGAACTGCGGTACTACGTATGCAATTACACGCTCTTATGACCAAATTGGTTTCCGGACAATTCTGAATTTTCTATCGAGGATTTTCATATGCATACACTCAGAATGGTTTTCTACTCTTTTCTCAAAGCAATGATGAATTTTCAATGAGTGCTGAAAATGATTAATTAAAGATACACTATGCTCACTATGCACAAAGAGAATAGTCTAAAACACTTACATTTATTCTTACCTTATGAGACCCGCAAAAATATAGTGTTTGCAAAAACATTCATCTCATTCACAAGCGTATGTATGTACGTGAATGATTGAGCATATTCGCAATTAATAGGCTGAACTGCGTCGTACTCATTTTCCAGCAGCAACTATGCACAAGCAGAAGCGGATTTGAGCGGATAGAACACAACACGGAGATGAAAACAATTTATTTTTCTCCCACATTATTGTTTAATCACGTTATAATATTAGGAAATACAAACATCTTTTCAAGTGCAATATCAAGGAGTGTCCACAATGTCATTGTCAAAGAGAGGTGACAGAAAGAACGCTCATGTTTAAGTTACAACGTGAAACTTATGTACAAGTCACAAAGCATATTATACTTTTATACATCAAATGCATGCTGGTTCTTACAGTACTCGAAACACATAATATTGAAATTATTGTTAGATAAATTCGTGAAATGCATAGAATTGGCATCATACTAGTAACTGACCACATGCAGCAGACGTATCAAGTTAGTTGCTCTTATATGCAGAATCACTGAATCAGTAAAGGCATGGGCAGAACAAGAGATAGCAAAAAAACAGCATACCCCTCTCTTGTCATGCTCAATGTTTTGGTCTGTTCGGAAGTAAACAAATGTGGAACAAGTATGTAATAACACGGCAAGGTTATAAGAAGTGCGTCGCAGTTTCGGGACGAAAGACATTCGAGTCGAGGAGTTTTCACCTACAGTTTCATGAAACGAACTTGTTAAATAACACGTTCTTCCAACTCTGTAATTCAGTTGACTTTCTCACTGCAACTGGAAAAGAACAATAAAATAAATCTTCCAATTAGTGCAAAGCGTGAAAATATAGTTTCACAGAAATAAAAAGCCTAAAAAGTGTCAAATTGCAATAAATTGCACACTCGACAGTATCAATTTAACCGGGTTTGGTTTGATATACTTTGTTGAGATAAAAATAAACGAAATGGGTTCTGCCCTGGCAATGTGGGCTTATCACAGGCGACTCAGCATGGACCTGAATCAGATCAAAAATCCCACTGTAAGAAAACATACATGCACGCATATAAATATAACTGACAAAGTGGCATCAGTATAGAAATTTTCTTATGAAATGGTCACAACAGGAATCGGATCCTCAGATTTTGATTGAGAAGAAGGGGCGTCGAAAGGGGTCGACTCGAACGGAGAGCGAGTCGTCTTCCGTTCCTCCTGACGACCGCAGGGTGTCCATCGAGCCTGAGGACTGTTCTGACGAGGAGTCGCCCAAACCACCAGCCGCCACCCATCACAAAGGTCACCGCAGATTTTCGCTGGACTTTCTCTTCCCCAAGAAAGGGAAGAATAAGAAGGACAAAAAGAAACAAAGGTCCCAGAGCATTGCTGCTCAAAATGAAGAATATGACGAGGCCGAAGCTCGCGTGAGGGAAATGCGCTATCCTGGCTTAGCTGCGAATGATTTCTCCATGTTCTACTTTATTTAGATTCAAAAACAGGGGACACTTTTCTTATTTATATATTTTTAAATTTTCAAACACTACTAAATATACACTTTAGCATAAGTGAATATGGGGTAACCCCATTTGTAATGTGTATGTGCACTGTTGCGTCACTGAGGCCATGAAATGATTAAAAATAATTTTGTAAATTTAAATAAGATAGTAAATGCTCTTCTGGTTGGTGCATCTGAATTGGATTATCTTACGATTAGTTATCTTTACTGACAACTTCGAACCAAACCAAGTAGCGCAAAAATACAGCAAAGCCATAACGCTATGCATAGTTTATGAATAAAACCATATTCATTATTTTGAAATTGTTTGGAGTTCGTCAAATAAATTCACATCCCGCAATTGATGCTTGATAAGTATTTATTTTTCAATGTTAATAAAAGAATTGTTACAAGTATAGTTTGAAACCACGATTGCTGGACTTTTGGTATCTTAGAAACTGGTATTGTAATACGGTTACGCAGAATGAGCGAGTCAAAAATAAAATATTTATTTTTAAAATCCTTGATGTTAAAGTCCCTTGAAAATACACCAACTACTTTGACGTTTAATAACTTTTGAATGGGCAAACACAAAAATTTAATTCTTAAAGATGAAATCATCGTAATTTTTTGCTTGATTTTTTAAGCTAAAAATCTCGAGGGTCAGTGGCCGCGGAAGAAGATTTGAACGCGGAAGATAATAATCCATATTGATGCTACTATTATTTAAAAACCTACTCTCCAAGCAACTTTTCGGGGCCTTTTAAGATGGCATTAATGTCATCTTGGTAGTTAAGGGCAACACATTTGGATAGAAATGACCCCCACCGGCCAACCACTTGACCGATCATGCCCATCTCCGAACTCATCCTTACTTTTTACCCAAAGAGGAAGCATGCAAAATTTCAATTCGATAGCTTTGGTTTAAAGAAAGTTATCATGCGCACAGACGGACGCACAGACGGACGGACAGACAGACATCTTGACAAATCTATAAGGCCATCTTAAAAGGCCTAAAACCTACTCCAAGCAACTTTGCGGGGCCTTTTAAGAAGGCAATATTCACGGAAATCCAAACTCGTAATGAACGATTTGCATATACATAGTACTGCCAGTGCCAATTGTTATGTTCAGTGGACGCGGAAGTTGTGGGGACATCTGGGGACTTTAACATTGTATGATAGGGAAGGGAGGGGTTGGTATAACGTGGAGAGATGATGGAAATATCGAATAAGTTCCCATCATCTCTCCACGTTATACAAAGAACATAGACTGTGAGGACATTTTCCCTCTGTACCCTGGTTATGTCAAATGCATAAATTAATGCATCACCGTGCCGGATTTCATGTTTTTAAAGCAAGTTCTAAAAATCGGTATGGGTCTCCCCATAGGGTCGCTCCAGATAAAAATTTTACCAAGGCCATTTCATATTGTTCCACGAAGACCCATAAGCAACCTCTCTACCAAATTTCAGCTCTATATGACGATTTCGAAAAATCAGTATGGGTCACCCCATGAGGTCCCCAAATTTTTTGTCGGGTCGGTGTGTTTGAATTTTTTAAACCCTACTTCAATTTAGTGATTTGAACTCATTAACAATTTTCATGCCAAATTTTAGCCCCCTACGACAAATTTGGAAAATCGGTGTGGGTTGCCCTATCGCCGATAGGGCAACCCGATAGGCTATCGGGTCATTCAGGTTGAAAATTTTGAAACTCTACTTCAATTGAAATGCTTTGTGATCATTGGTAATTTATATGCCGAATTTCAACTTTCTACGGCAAATTTTGAACGTTTCCATGACTTTTGATAAAATTTTTCAGTACTTAAATGACCCCCACCGACCAACCACTTGACCGATCATGCCCATCTTCGAACTCATCCTTACTTTTGACCGGAAGATGAATCTTGCAAAATTTCAGGTCACTAGCTTGTGTTTCAAGAGAGTTATCGTGCGCACAGACGGACGCACAGACGGACGGACAGACAGACATCTGGGTAAATCTCTAAGGCCATCTTAAAAGGCCTAAAACTATTTAAACAACTTGCTTCACTTGCTGAAGTAACTGAGTATTTAAATACCTAGCCAAAATGGGTATTTAATATTTAAATATTTAACACAAATTCAGTTATTTAAGCATTTACTATTTAAATACCATTCAAAGCATTCAGTATTTAAATATGAAGTATTTAGATACTGTAGAGGTATTTATACTAAAATTGAACAGGATATGTACTGTGCGGGTGGAGCTTAGCTCGTGAAAAACCCAGTGTTGCGCCTCACTTAACAGAGAGCTGAGGCGCAATACTGGGTTTTCACGAGTTAAGCTCCACCCGCAGAGTACATATCCTGTTCAATTTTAGTATAAAATAATTGCTATTATTAAGCTAAAGCTACAATTTTATGCTCTTAATCTTTTGTAGCGTTTACACTTACATACAATTAAATTATCTAACGTACCAAACATAAAATGTTTTTACTACTTATATAATTCAGTGTTGTTGTATTATATAGTTTGTAATTGTAGTACAATTATTGTACTCAAAATTCATCGCTTAGGTCCTTATGCTAAATATACTACCAATTTTGGTACATAAAATCATATTCCCGTAGTGATACTTAAACACGAGTTAAGTACATAACCTATCAGGTGCCCACTACTATAACTATTTTTACCATACAGAGTACTACTTGTTTCATAAAAATTATAACTTGTGTTAATACATTGTTTTTCAGGTACTCCTGCTAAATAACCTTATCCATTAAATAATCTACTGATGGGCCAAGGAAAAGGTGATGCCGTGATTTAATATGTTTTTCGTAGTTTATGCGTTCGGGAGTTGTAAAGTTGCAAGGTACGCAAGTGTACAATTTCCTCACTTGTCTTCTGAAATTTCGGTTAACAGTTGACAATTTGTGAGTTCCTAAACCGTGCTTAAAAGCGTAGTATTTGTTGCATTTTGAACAATACTATGGGGTTTTTCTCGTAAACTCTTACACCTACCCCGAGCCTGATGACTTTTCAAACTGGCTTTTCTTTGCGTTTCATATGCGCATAACGAGCACTTGAAGATGCTGTCCACTTTGTATTTCTTCGCTTTTCTTACTTCTGTTGTATTTTCTTTATCATGTTGCTTCTTAATATGCTTGCTCACACTAGTTTTTTGGGAGAATTCCCATTCGCATCCTTCAATAGGGCAACGAAATGGCTTTTCTAACGTATGGATTCTTATGTTTCTCAAGGTCTTTGTACCTGGTTGCATTGAACGCACAGAAATAGCACTTATTCCTTATCATTTCGAAGTCCACTAACTCTGGCAACTGGCATTGGATGGTGTTTACCAGTAGCGCGGGGGGGGGGGTAATTTCTGGATACAGGTCTATGGATAACTTTGATGTTAAAATGGTCGGAGAGTCTGGGTGTGACGTTGGCCATCTCATAAACAGGCCTAGCGTCCACATTCATCAGCTGCATGTTTGCTGACAGCACAATGTAGTCTAACCTAGACGTGTACACTTTACCTCCTCGTCGGCAATACCTTGTGAAGATATCCTTGTGCCAGAGTTTTTCGGTTATATTCGAAAATCCTTGTTGGTTGAAAATTTGTTCCATTTTCCCAAACATCACTGCTCGTGGATCGGAAGGGTTGCCACATTTTCTCTGAGCGTTGTCCAACTACCACGACGTACTTATCCCTTAGTGCTGTGCAAAGATCATTAATGGTTTTAATCCATGCATTTCTTTCCATATTTAACGTCATCCGATGTCTTAATGGCAGCTCATCTAATTTTGTGGTAACCACCATCTAAGTTGATGGCTAAAAAGGCTAAAGTTGGAAAAATTTCATCCAGTGCAAATTCGGCTAAAAGTAGGGGCAAGTTTCAGCTATGTAATTCGGTGGTGCATTAAATTTAGCCCAAATAAATCCACCTCCCGCAATTGATGCTTGATAAGTTTTATTTGCCAATGTTAATAAAAGAGTAGTCATGAGTATAGTTTGAAACCGAGGGTTGAAGCTCAAGGTCGTACGCCATCCTGACACGAGACTAAAAAAAGCCGGATTAATTAATGCCGACCTTCATTTGCCCCATCATTTACCCGGTCTGGGTTGCCTCGGCATTCACACATAAAAGCAGAGACTCAGACCTCAATTTAGCAATATCTTGGATAAACCATCTATTAATCTTAGAATTACTAACGACGCAATCAGTGTGTGAGACCAAGGACGTCAAAAATGAAAACATTCTTTGCACCTCTTTCTTTTTTCGCACAGGTGTAGAGAATCGTTGCTAAGATTGTCAATTAATGGGGATCTGCATTTCACCTGGTCTCTCCACTTGAGACGAATATCTAATTTGGTATCTTCCTATGACTCAGAATATTAATTGACTCGAATATTTCGAAGCCCCCCTTTTTATGTGTGAATGTCGGGAAATGATATAGCAAATGATGGAGTAAATGAGAGGCGGCATTAATCCCATACCCAGTTGCATAAAGTTGCAGTTATTGATGGAGGGGTCGAAGTAAAGGCCAGGAGCACACTAAAATAAATTTAAAAAATATGCGAAATTTAATTTTAGTCTTTTAGACTTTAATTTGTTAATTGCAACTTAAGTTAAAAGACCTGAAGAAGGACATTTGCTCCGCAAGCGCACATGGTATAAAAAGTGCAATCCGTCGGGAAAGGTCGGAACGTGACCTCGTTAGGTTGACATTGAGATGGATCCCTGGTTGTCGTTGGGCCGGGCTCTGTGGTCGTCGTTGTTGGAAGCGTAGGATCTGGATTGTTGAAACAATCAGCGTTCCCATCACTGTGTGAAATTTTTGTTTGTTTTAAATATCTTGCTTTAAAATTATTTACAGTTGTACATATAAGTAATCATTTTATTACAATGATTGAACTATTATGAAAATGCCAAAATGTTACCAGAAAGCCGCTCTTTGTACCATCGAATGAATCGCACGCATCTGTGCACCATTCTTGTTTACTATAAAATAAATAAATGCACACAACATCTTGCAGTACATACATATGTGGTATTTTTTAAAAAATAAGTTATCCAATAATCTCACTGAAGTTCCCGTTAAGATATCCCCTGAAAATGATACTCATGTAAAGTGGTATGTAATAAATCTAATAAATGGAGGAGGCACCCTGCTTACGTGAAATGCCTGGCCGTGATATTCATCCCAATTTTTGATATGTTGTACATCTCAACGTGCTGAACAAAAAATGTGTTGCCCTAAGTCACCTGGTTCGCCCTGAAATCGAGGTCAAAGGTCGTGCACTTTTTCGCTCGAAACCCCACAAACCGTATATTTTTGGAAAGCTGCGGACCTCATCAGTCCAAATATACACCATATTTGGATCAAAGATCAACCCTTGACCTTTCGAGGTCAAGCAAAAAAGTTGCAAATGTGTGTTGCTGTTGCAACAAAGTTCTAATGACCTTTTCCAGCAAGGGTGCAGTCATCCTATCAGAAATGTACTTTGGTCACTTCTCCCCAAAAACCTCACCTTGCCCCAAAAACATACTTGACCTCGAAAGGTTAAGGGTTAACCTCTGACCCAAATATGGTGTATATTCGGACTGATGAGGTCCGCAGCTTTCCAAAAATATACGGTTTGTGAGGTTTCGAGCGAAAAAGTGCACTGACCTTTGACCTCGATTTCCGGTCGAACCAGGTCACTTAGGGCATTGGGACAAACACATTTTTTATTCCGCACGTCGAGATGTACAACATATCAAATATTGGGGCGAATACTACGGCGGGGCATTGCACGTAGGATGGGTGCCTCCTCCTTATATACATACCACCAGTCCCAACATCCATTCGGATTTCCTGAAAGAAGTAAAAACATTAAATGATATATTGTCATCCTTGTATAAGTATCATATAGAGGGTTGAGCAATAAAGGATGTCAAAGCTTTTCAAATGCAAATATAAATACATTGATACATATAAATGCGTGAAAACGGAAAATCTCATTCATTAGTAGTAACATGATTTTCTGACAATATAATTGTCTACAATCCGAAAACCAGAAGTCTGTGGGCAGAATGTGCTCTAAATGAATCCGATAAATTTGTTTTGGTTCAGTAGGAAAAAAGTTACCAGTATTTTTTTGATTAAAAAACACATTTTCGGGACAGTAATTTTGTGTGTTGCTCCGAATTTTTGACCTCATTGTTGGACCATTTTAAGTGTAGAAATCTAGTTTTCGGATCTTTTCAATTAGACAATTGCATTTGCCACGAAACCATATCACTTTTACTGGTCAGACTTTTCTTTGTCACGTAATCTGCATTTGAAAAGCCTTGGCACTCTTTATTGCTCACCCTCTATATTGTTTGCTATATTATATTACCTTGCATTATATTGGCACTAACGTCAAATTATATTATATGTCAGTCTTCCAAGTTATGATTATTATAATTAAATTGTCCTACATTCGGATTACCTTGCTTGTGGGAAAATTACAATGATGTCATTCTTCTCTGCTACTTGCAAATATCCAGTCTTTGTTGCGTAAATGTCTCCAATTGTACCTCTATCAGAGAAAGAAACAAGCATGTCACGTTTCATGTAATGACAACTGATTCAAAGATTATTTACCTGTGCTGGGAACAACCATGAAGGGAAATGTGGAATTTGCATTGTTTGGTGTTTGATGCACATCCAAGAGGTACATAAATGAAACCCGTGCTGTCCATGCTTGATGTTTGAGAACCCCCAAACTCCCCTTGTTCGAATTGAAGCAATTGGGTCAAGGTTTCGGATCCAGTTGGCATCGTTAAAGTCCCATTGTATATGGCGTTCAGAGTGTGGAAAGCACCATGATAATTACAATTGTTGATGTATTGGGTAGTAGCAGAGCTAGACCCGCAGGCCGCCCCATAGAAATCAGTTGGCTACACGCGTAAAATGTTATACATAATTTCTTTTGTATACATATACCAAATTATCAAATTACGTAGCTCTTACAAAGCCGTGTACAGCAGCTATTGAAAATTCGGTTGTGACTTGAACGCCAAATTGCTCATAGATTTGCTCAACTTGTCGACCATTGGCTAGTAGATACAAGAGTAGATATTTTACAATTAACCACACAATATTGGGATTACTATATGAAATTGCATACTAGGATTGACCGTTGTGTCCCTTGTCCCATGGAAGACATAAACTTTCTGCCCGTTCAAGTTAGTAGGGCTGTCGATATTCCCTGCAGCTGACTGATCATTGATGAGCCTGATCAAATTTGCGACGATTGTGCCAGACGGGCTATACATGCAAAGATTAGCGCCTGTAAGACCAGCCCTTGCACACCCGTACGGAACTACAATCATACAAAGTTTAACTTTGGTATGCAAACTAACTGTATACACAAATGCTAGATGCCCATATTTTAACCTACTTCCAGCGATGACCCCACTTCCTTTAACCTCGCTTGAGAAGGCCACGTGATATTGCATAGCCATCGCACCCCCCGAACTTAAGCCAGAAACTGTTATGCTGTCCGGATCCACATTGTACATTCCTATATATTTGGTATAAATATTTTAGAATGAGCAACCCAGAGGTATTAATCGTACTGCAAGAGTTACCTAATTTGACTGCATCCGTTGTAGATGCGCCAAAAAGGCAAGCAATCAAGGCAACTGAAACATTTAAAACCAACATTTCTAACAAATGTAAAAAATTAAAAATTATATTGATTTATATTCACCTCCTAAAATCATTGCAACGAATCTGTAATGACCTGAAGAATGCTGTTCAGCGTGTTGTGAAAGCAAAAATGATTATTGCGGAACGCTTTTATTCCTTTGATAACTTATCAAATTACGTATGCATTATTTTATCAAACATCACTTGAGAAATTGAAACTTGTTTAATTTAGTTTACGATGGGGCTCTGGAAGTTGTCAAACTTATCGATATCGATGCATGATTGGGTTAAGTGTTGGGCAAATTAGGGAGTCAAATTAAATTGGACCATCCATAGTTTTGGGTGTGGATCAAACACGGCAACATGCGTGACTTTATTATCCAATCTCAATCTTGTTAAAACATAATTTGAACAGATAAGGAAAATTCCTCTTCGTGTATTTGTCATTCCATCAGTACAAACCCACGTGCAAGCATTTGATGGGTAGTGCTACTAAAAATTAAAGACTATTTATAAATTTGATCATCGTATGAACTTATTGTGACAATATGACTATGGTTATCATATGCACATTACGTAAACTATTCCACATAAGCCACCATCACCGAAATACTTGTCCATGAATCCCCAATAATTTCATGACAGATTTAATCTAACAACTAGTATCTTGATGTATTTAAAAATATGTCGTACGTAATAATTACACGACTAACATTATGTAATTTTGTGGAACGGGCTCCTTAAAGTGTGGAGTTTGAGCCCGGTGCAGGCAAAGAGCAGAAAAACGGAGATGAGGGTGAACATGACAAATATTGCAGCTAATGGTGCCAGGACATTGTTGCTAATTTGTTCAACCATTGGTCTTGCTCCGGCCTCGAACGAGACGGCCACCCACCAAATAATGAAGCAAATTGCATTCTCCAAATAGAACCAAATTTGAATCGCAATGTTTTTGGACTGAAAGCCCAAGTCCAAAATTGTGGCTCGCCAACCGTAGCTGATTGACTCGTAACACCCACTGGGAATCCCATCGTCGATGATCATGTACTTGACCAGTCGAACTACACATATGTTGGAAATAATTTCGAATTTTAGAAAATTTATTTCAAACTGCTAAGCCCATTTGATTGGTTGGGTGGACCCGATCATGGTGGACTCACTAATGTAGTAAATCATCATTCGAAATCCAATCTCCACGAGGAAAAACACGGCCAAGTAGTATCCCAAGTTGTTGGATTCTTGTGCAGTCATTCGAGAGAGTCCAAGAGTACGAGACGGCAGAACAAAATACTTAACGGCGGCTTTCAGACAGGCCATCGCAGCCAATCTCGACCCTGCGATTTATAAATATATACATATGTATTACACGCAATTTATATAGGTACAAACGTCGTTATTAATTATTAAACACAATGCCAAAATTTTGAGACTGTACTTCGCAATAAATTACTGAATCTCACCGATGGAGAAAAATGCATGGAAAAATAGGATGCACTTTTGCCAAAATGCCAAGTGGGGCAGTTTCCAATCGTCTGGGCCATAAGTGTGAAAAAGCCGAAAGTAATTTGACGAAAGTGCGTACATATTCGCCTCGCTGAGTGTAATGACGGACAAAATGACGATGGTGATTTCTAAATATTCTAGAAACAACAAAACAGGAAAATTTATTAGAGAGACAATGAAATCGATTTGTATTATTGAACTTTTTTGTGCTGGGAGCAAAATTCTCACGATTCAAAGTGAGTTCTTGTTCTTCGGCGACTAACAGCACTGTTAGTTGAATTAAAGCTTCGGGTGCGGCCCCAAAAAAGGACTCGGCTTGTCGCATTTTTATGGCGAGTGCTTCAAACCTAGCATAATCTCGAGACGATGAAAGTCCAGACGAAATCAGGAACACTTGTATTGCTCTGTGTACACGTAAAACCATTCAAACTTATTTGTTATATAGGCTCTGTTTGTACATACCACATTACCCCTCCGGTCAAAAACTGATTAAATAATTAGTTGGACTTACGTGAATACGGGACCAAATAATGGGACTTGGAAAATATCTTTTGCGCATCGTGACGACCCTTTCTCTTCTAAAATTTGCCTCTCTACGTTGCTGTTAATGTTAATTTAACATACATTAATTAAAATGAAAGCCACGTGGGTGAGTTACATTCGTGCAGAAGAATGACATGAGATGTTGCATACAAATTTACTTTGAGAGGAAATATGTGACTCCAACAAAATTTAAGAAAATTGGTCCAAGCATCGCAATGGCAATTACTCCCTGCGAGTGGCTGAAGTGATTGATTGAAAGAAATAGAACGAGGCTTATCTCGGCGACAGCCAGCAATATGCTCGTGAAGTCCAGGATGACATTAGCCCACCGATTCCCATGATGGCCACTATTCTCACTAATTTCTGGATGGTTTGTGCTGCTTGATTTCGGAGATGTTGTCGGATTGTGAGATGGCATTTTTCAAAAATGCCCAAAAAATACAAATTTTGCTCAATTCAAGTGTATAACTATTTTCAAGAAAAGTTTTGCGTGATACGCATTATGTGATTGCGATGTGTCATATTTAATGATGTGGTGCATTGTGGGTTTAAGGAGAGATGCCGTCATCGTGGTTTCTCAGTTTCCGGTGTTGTTGTCAACATTAAGAAGAATTGGAAATACTATTTTCTTATATAGACTTACCCATGGCCATTCTAAATTTATAAAGTCACTAATGTTCGCACGATATGATTAGCTTATTATTTTACTTGCTTAAACACGAACTATTTATTTATTGGATTATGGACACATGTTAAATTGCTATTCAGACTCAACTACCTTTATGACTAAATTTTATTTTCCCCAGCCCCCATACCCCCCACGGTGACCACCATAACCCCCTCGATACCCTCCATGATGACCTCCTCGATAACCTCCATAACCCCGATGACCTCCATATCCTCCTCGATAACCACCATGTGCTTCTACAATGGTCATAATCACAAGAAGCAAGCAAATGCCGATCAGAATCTGAAAACGCGTGACAAAAATCAGTAATTTAAACTAATGCACATAATAAACAAACAAATAGGTTCAAAGATTTACCAATTTTGCAGATGGATTCATAGTTCTAAGATCTCTTGTTGTTTCACTTCTTGTAAATATTCACACTCATACCAACAATCAGTGTCGAACGACTGGAAATGCATCAGTTGCAGGTTGCACTATAAATATGGCAATTCCCTGGCTTTATACTTTTCCTCATACACTTTGTGGTAAATATTCTTGGCTTTGCCTAAAATGTAAAATTATATATTGGTCTCGTGAATTGGGGAATATGTATATTTTTCACCCAGCACTGGGTCAATGCTAACTTACACTTTTTTTTAGATAAATAAACAAAAATAGGACGCTACGCTTTCCTCGTCTCACACCCACATCCTCTTGGAAAACAATTTTACCACAGGTTGAAGAACGAAATATTTTTATCTCATTTTCCAAAATAAATCGTTTTCCAGAAAACTAAAGGAGAATGCTGTTTGTGGTAATTGTAGTAATGCCCGTGTGAGTAGTGCGGATGGTGGTAATGCCCGAATTTTGGCTTGTAATAATTCCTCCACCCCCAACCCGATGTCCAACCTCCGCCCCAACCTCCGTAATGGTAATGCCCGTAGGCTTCCACTTCAGATGATTTCCAAAACAGTAAGCCAACAATCATACACGTCCAGAAATTAACGAAAGTGAGATTCATGTCAAGAAAATGTGGTGGAACTTCTCCTTTTTTCGAGTCGTTTCACCACATGATAATTGGCAGGAACTTAAGAACTACAAATATTCAATAATAAGTGGCTCACTATTTTTATATGCACAAGTCTCAGGTCATGTTAACACAGTAGTCATCTGATAAGACAAGTATGCCGATTTCGCTACCAGAGTAAGAGTCTGAAAAAGTGAAGAGTCACAGGATGGAGGATGTTTGCAATACTAATGATTCTTTGTTCAAGGGTTACATATTTATTGACAGATCACATTGCATAACTCAAGATGAGACTGCTTAAGTATTATAATCAAATTATTATTTTCCAACTGCCACAGCCGACGAAGAACTAGACGCGCTCGCACTACCTGCCCCATTCACGTTCGCATTCGCTGCGCTTGCTGAATTTGCAAATGCACTTCCACCCTGACCACCATTGCTAGTAGCAGACGAGGAGGACGAAGCTGACGATACGCCTCCAGATCCTGGTCTTCTGCCAAAATTTATGAATCCTGCGCCACCGACGGGCTGCAGCTGAGGTGGAGGCATGCCTGGTGCTGGGGAAATGATTTCTGGTTGAGCGTGTACGACGGTTATTTGGGGGTTTGGCGCTCCAGGTGGAGAAACAACTTGAATTTGTGGCGCACCGTCGGCAACCTGGGGTGCAGGAGGAGGATTGGACCCTGTAACCTCGGCCGCAGCTGCGGAGTCAGCTTGTGCTGAAGAAGGACTTCCGCCACTATTTGAAGGAGGGCGACATTCCGCAATTTGAGAAGCAGTTGCAAATAAAATACAAATCAACTGTAGAATTAAAGAAAGAGAAAAATTGGTTAAAAATTGTATTCGAAAACTTTATGTAAGCACAAGTTACAGATATTTTCATACCACAAAATACTGCATCGTAGATTTCTCAAGGTAAAAGTGCTGACCGATATTTTCAGAAGTTACAATAGTGCAGAATGAACACAAGGCTGATACTGGCTGTATGAAATATTTTTCATTGATTTATACCTGTGGAGAAACACTGGTGCACAAAGGATGAGGGAAGATGATCTCATTTTCCAGCAATATGTAATTAGCAAATGCTAATCAGTACAACTCACAGAACTATTATAACAAGAATCTTAGTTCACTAATGTTCTTCCCGAAATCCCCATGGCTTAAAAGTACACTCTTGCTTCGTTGGAATCAAGCAATTAAATACCAATGCTACTACTTGGACATGGACAACAAATGCATGCACAAGTTATAAATATTAATGAATCGCTAATTGAGCCAATGGATTTGAATCAGTTTAACCTTAACTCGAGCTGAATCATCGTCGCCACCGCCTCTGCATTTCTAGCACTTATCCTTAGACGTCAAAGTTTTAATAAATTAAAAGACTCATATGCAATGTAATAATAAAATCTTATATATTTTTCACTTATTGCAATTAAATGTTGACAATTTGCGCTTAAAACACTTAATTTATACGAAGAATTTAAAATTATATAGGTGATGTTTTTACAAACGGTTAAAATAATGTAGAAGTATGTAAGATTAAAAAGTATTCAGTACTTAAAATTTAAACCAAAGTTTACCTTGGCGAAATAAATGTTGAATTGTCCATTCACTTTACAGTACAATTGCGACGAGTGATGAAATTAATAATGAAGACAAGCATATCATAACCATCGCATTTGTATTTGTTGATGATCCGGAATCCTTGGAGTCGGCCTATAATTGTAGTCAAATTTACATCTCATTAAGGTTGCAAACTTATTCAGGTATTGTGTTTCACAATTTGTATCATACTGGGTCTAAAGTAACAGTTTTCGAGCCCAGGTCTTCTGGCGTCATAAGTCCCTGAAATCGTCTATCGTGCTTCTTGACGTCTGCGAGATCATAAAATAAAGCTTAAAAATAAATGACAGAAATTGTAAAGATGTATGTTCATCCTGTGTATTAATACCTCGTTTCTCGCCGTATTTTCCAGTGGCAACGAATACGTTGACAGATTCTTTGGCTAGGTTGAACGTAAGTCCATTTCCAACATCAATAATCACTGGAAGAATGAAGGAGCAGTCTACTCGACCACTTTTGAACAAAACGTTCCCACTCGGCGTGTTTCCTAGCCGGAAGTTCTAAAAAAATCATTCATGTGAAACCTAATTGTCGCATAATTTATTTATAATAGATGAATTTCTAATAGATTTTTTATGAGTACCATTGGTATAGGTCCTGCATGACTGTTGGGAGGATTGAACATTGTGACCACTGCACTGTTATTATTTTCTCTTGGCATACACATGTAAACAGCATCATTGCCCTATAACCATTTGTAAAAGAGGTAGGAATTTTATCATAATTTATAAATCAAACTTAATCGATTTATGAAACAAACCATCGTTTCATCCTTTGAAAACCCAATGGCCACATAACTGTGGACATCGCCTGTTGCGCCGGCATGAACGTTAACCGTGGGGTCACCGGCGTTGAGCATTTCGAATCGTACTCCAAGCTGGCAATTAATGGAATTGCAGTCTGAGGGGACAGATTTGCAAAACTCTCCACCACAATGGAAAAAGTTGCCAGGCTAAACAAAGTAGTAAATAACAATACCAAGCATTTCTTAAAGTAGCAAATAGTACATATATAACTTTTGCATGAAAAGTTACCTCTTCTGCCGATGATACGAATGTAAGGGTGATAACAATCAGTAAGGAAAATCCCACAAAAATATTAGTATTCGCCATTTCAAATTTTATTCGACAGAATCCGAAATATAATTCAAGGTGAAAAATGAACTTTCAATAAATAAATAATCCAAGCTAGCACTGGGGATCTTCTTCGAACAAGTGGACTTGTCTTAGTGAGCGAGGATAACTAATGCGTAGAGTGTTATATACTTGCAAGGTCGATTTCGGTAATTTGCATAGTTTGACAGTTTTGAGCAATGCCAAAACTTTGTGCTTATTAAAAGTTCTTCAAAATTCTTTGAGCTCATTGGACTGTCAACACGTATGCACATACCTTATACGATAGGCTATGCTTATGCATAATCTCCTAATATTATGAAAAACCTAATGCATATTCAAATGAGGTTCTATTTAATGCTAGATATGGTTGCATACACGTTGACGAGCAGAATTTAAAGTTAGGCGATATTCATGATTACTAATTGGTTAGCATTTATGGCAAGGTTATGACGACTGAAAAATGAACTTTATTATTCTTTTAACTTGTCCATGCTGTACATACATACACAACCAATGAAACAATCAATCCTCCTTCATTCAATGTATGATCCTGGCAATCATAAGTGAAAGTGTTGCAGTGACAAGCAACATCGGAGAAGAGAAACTTCCACTTGACGACGACAGTCGCATTGGTCCAAATCTTTTCTTATTTTCATCATGATAACCAGGACTGATTCCATCGGCTAGAAAAACACCAGGACCATCATGTAAATTAGAACTGTCAGGCGTAAAATATTAATATTTTTTAATAGCTTGCGTTTTAGGGGACCCCTGGCCAAAAGCACAGCATAATTTTTCTTTTGGAGGTCGAATTTCACTCCATGTTCGTCAAATGAAGAATCCAAGTCAAACACGCAGTAAATTTTTCCATTGGAAGCAGAATGTTCTTTGTTTTGGAAATATGGCTTATTTGTAACCTTTCATGAGTTATTATGCAAAATAAAGAATAAATACATCAGCAAGATTACATATTATTAGCATAAAGTATATACTCCACCTTTGACGGAGATGTTGCCCCAACAGCCCAAAAAACATCCATATTGGAAGAAGAACAGGCCACAAGACTGGTATCTTTCTGCGGTTAAAGAAGTTCATGCAAAACGTAATAATTATTCAGTAATGTAATCTCACCATATTTTTTCCATCTTCCGAAATTCCAACTGCAACGTAATATCCTTGAGTAGCTGCTGTATCCACCATCTTGAAAGTGTGCTTATTATCTGTGCTTTGTTCAATCGACGCCATGTAGACGCACGAGTTGGTGGATATGCAATTTTGCGGCATCCCCACGCAGACTGCCTTCTTATCCTTGCAAATTGTATAAATGTCCTGAATTTGCTTAGCCAGGTTTGACCCTTGCAATCCACCGCTTTTTCGTTCCTCATTTGCCTTTTAGGAAAATTATTACTCTGACTTACTTATCATCAATCTCAAAAATCAATGCAATAGAAAACTTTGGGTACATACAATATTTATGAAATATTAAAATACCTGACAAGTAACCACACAAATTGCAGCCACTGCCAAAATTTGCATGTAAACCATCGTTACTACCGTATGTGGTATCGGAGAGCAGTTCCCTTAAATTTATAACTCGTATATTTGTCTATCTATGTACAACTGGAGAACCATACGTTTGAGGCTATAATAGGTTTGAAGCACCAAACTCGACTGACAGTCTTTTCTTGAGGTCACACCCAAAACTCCCATTTTCCTCATCAAAGACGGAAATATCGATGTTTCATTCTGTCAATTATTAGACAGCCATTAGTCATTGAATCTGATTAGGGAGGTCATACTAGCCGCAGCGGATATGAGGAGAACCCACGTAATGATATATGCATGATAAATAGCCAAGCTACTCCAGAAGTCGCAAGAAAGAAAACAAGACCCAAAAGAAGAAGGTGCTGTTTGCACGAATGTCGTCACCTGCCAGAAAATTGAATATCGATCACATACATCACCCATGTAATGCATACATAAAAGCTTCAAATTACACGAAGAGGAAGGAAACATTGTCGTCGTCGTCTTTTCTTTCGTACAAGAAAACCCTAATTCAAGAATTGGCTGGTAAAATGCGATTACTCTTTGTGCTCGTTGACGAAGTCATGTCATGTCAAGAAAGTATTTTGACCTTCAACGAAAAACGCACGTACACACATACACACACACACACACACCTCAGTAAAATTCATTGTCGGTTTAAATTGTCGGATCCTGCGTTTTATGTACTTTGAAAGAAGAAAAAACATGTCATACTTCTACCAAAATCAAGTGTATGAAATGAAAGTATGAAAGTATGAAATGAATGTATCAGTAGACATAACAAAAGGTTTGATGAAATTCAATAGTGAAAGTTGGGGAATGTGAGACCACCTTTGGGACTGTTCGTCTCATTCGACCCCCTTTTCTTGTTTGGCTGTTTTGCATCGTGGGAAAGAAACGCAGATCCCCATAAAATAAATTGTATACTGTTCGGATTATTTTCAAAACTTATTCTTTTTTGAAGTACGGGAAATTTGGTCCTCATAATTTGCAAAAACTCAATTGGTTTTAAGAATGGCAGAAGACAATTCGTTTAGTCCTGTCCAAAAGACGAAACGGTCTGCAGCTACATTGTTATCATCGTCAACGTCGTCGTCCTCCGTCCCCACGTTAGTCCTGGACAATGGAGCGTACACCATAAAAGTAGGGATGTCAACAGCAAGTAAAGCAAGGTAATAAGCGAGTTAAAAGAACTGTGAAATTATTACTTGCGGACTTAGGGGAAATTTCTTCCGAATTATTACAGAATCATTCCCAACTGCATTACAAAAGCAAGAAGCGAGCGGCGTCGACCATTTATAGGAGATCAACTGGACGAATGCAGGGATACATCAGGACTGTTTTTTATTCTCCCATTCCAGAAGGTTGACATAAATTATGAGTTAGTAATACATTTTGCATTAGGTACACATATGTCTTATTTCATTTTTAGGGGTACATGGTAAATGCCGACTTGGAGAAGACGGTGTGGGATTATGTCTTTGGCAAGGAGTGTCTCAATATTGAGCCTTCGGAAACTAATCTTCTCATTACTGAACCCCAATTCAATTTCAAATTTTTGCAAGAAGTTGGGTGTGAACTGCTGTTTGAAGAATACGAATTTCACGGGTTGGCTAGAGTAAATGGTACGATGGACATAATATAAATGTACATATATATATATATTGTAAGTTAGTAGGTACACGATGGAAAGCAATCTCACTTATATATGTATTGTATATTACAGCATCTCATTTGTCGGACTATCTACATGCGTTACAACATTCGGACTCTGTTTGCAGCCTAATTATCGACTGTGGTTATAGTTTCACTCACGTTGTACCATTTGTAAATGGTCAAAAGGTAGCGGAAGGGATATGTCGAATTGATATCGGGGGCAAAGCTCTGACAAATTATCTGAAAGAAATTATATCATACAGGTACATTCAAACTAAACTTGATGTGTTTAAAATCACTACTAAATAATAAGTTGATGAAAATTAACTAGGCAGCTGCATGTCTTAGACGAGACTTATTTAGTAAACCAAGTCAAAGAAGACTTGTGCTTTGTATCTACTGACTTGAAAAAGGATCTGCAAATAGCCAAACAAAAATTTCCTGAAAACACAATAGTTCGAGATTATGTACTCCCAGATTACTCGACTATTAAGCGGGGTTATACTAAGCCAGTCGAAAAAACCGGATCGAAACCAGTAGAAAATGAACAGGTAATTGTAAACATAATTAATAGTGAAAAAATAATTAATATCGTTGATGTTTCACAAACAAACAAATTGTAACAAGAACTACTTAATTTCTTTTAGGTTCTGAGAATGAACAACGAGAGATTTACAGTTCCAGAAATGTTATTCCATCCAGCAGACGTCGGTATACAACAAATGGGAATTGGTGAAGCAATTATGTATGTTGTGGATGGATTCCCGGAAACAATGAAGCCACATTTTTTAAAAAACATCATCCTCACTGGTGGAAGTTCTTCCTTGCCTGGACTGAAAGTACGTGTCCATGATGAAGTTAGAAGTTTAGCATCTACGGAATATTCTGTAAATGTTACAGTTCCTGCAAAGTAAGTTGCTGAATGGATTATAAACTTTAAATTCTATACTATATTCGCCATAATCGATATTTTAAATGATTTCAGTCCGACAACATATGCATGGGAGGGAGGTTGCAAGTTTTCTGAAGATCCAGAATTTAACAAGTTTGTCGTTTCCAAAAGTCTGTATAATGAAGTTGGATTTTCAGCCTTTTCTAAAGTTTGTGATATCTAATTAATTATTTGTAGGTTTATATAAGTATATATTGCCACTCTTGTTAAACTTTATATTTGCTTCCTACTTTTTGATACCATATCTTATGTTTAGTTATGACGCTATGCATATTTGATTCTAAAGCAGAAGACGAATTAAAAAGATAAGCATATACATAAAGTACAATTAGTATATTAACAATCTTAGAATAATTTATTGAAATGTAAAATGCATACCGTCTAATAACCCGATACATGTTACATACACTGGCTATAAAAATCATGGCAATCAACATGTATCTATTAGCATTTAGCATCACCGTTGTTAAGCTCGAATCACATTGCGAAAAAGACTGGCCATCAGGATCGAATGCATAAAATGAAATGAGCTTGTGGCAAAATTGTCTTATTTTTAACATAAAAGTATGTTATGTTAAAATTATGTTAAGTATTCTTCCTTGTGTAATTTTAGACAAATAAACAACGTTCAATTAAGAGATATGTGATATTTAAGAGTTGACTATATTTTATGTTAAACCAATCCTCATAAATCACATAGTGGCGAAACTGATGAACTCGGTGGGGTAAAAAGTTCACAAGTTTCGGTGGGAATTTTGAATTTTTTGCAAAAAACTGCAAATATCATCTGGCATTGTTTATGTTTTTAGTGGTTTCCATTGGGAAGAGTATGTGTGGTGGTGGCTTCCCACCACGCATACTCTATGACAAGTTGAGACGAATCATGAAAAAATGCAAAATCTTGAGCTGGTCATTCTAATTCCGAGATTAAATATGCACTCAAAAATGTGGAATTTGTTGAATTACAACTAGTGATAGTTGCGCAACAAGAAAATAAGGCCCTTTGAGGAATTGGTATGCTACTTTTATTTATATTAAATGCCGAAAATCAATTTCCATCAAAATTTTGTTTTTCTCGAGATTAATTGATTAATATAAATAAAAGTAGCATATCAATTCCTTAAAGGGCCTTATTTTCTTGTTGCGCAACTATCACTAGTTGTAATTCAACAAATTCCACATTTAATCTCGGTATAAGAATGACAAGGTAAAAAAGCTGTGCAAAAAATTATGCATGTTGTCAACATACGGAGAAATATTGAGCGAGAGACTGTATTGGCTGATAGAGCGGCCAGAGCAAACTATAATGCCCCGTTAACCAAAACACCAAAATATGAATTTTCTGTTTTTTGTCAACATATTTATATTACAAAACCCCTGATGCCCGCTGTAAGTATTTGATCAATCCATGTATTTAAATCTAAATTATAAGGGACAGTCACTGTCCGACAGTGTATGTTACATAAACTATAAACCCTATACATACAGCATGTACCTGGTCAACAGCAGGCTTATAGTCTAGTTGCTAAATCAGCTGGCCAAAGCAACAACAAATCGTTTACAGCAGCGTCGCACTCGTTGTTTCCAAGCTACTCATCCATCCACCACCATCACTTTACTCCGTCGATTCCTTCCACTTCCTTCAACTTCCACCAGACAAAGAAATTGGCACTCTCTTAACCAGTACACACAAAGAGCCCCTTTTATAGGATCAAATTTATTGTAATTGGTCTAGTTTTAATCCACCAGTTTTGATTTTTGCTTGGTCGTAATTTTTGGGTGACCAGCAGCATTAGGTAGGACAAGGCCTTATCGTGGTCTGTATTAGAATCTATGTTGAAAGGATAGCGCAATTTTCATTCGTGTTTTAACTCGTCGTTAATTATTTGTTATTCTTACTACAACTGCGTTGTTTTGTCTTGCAAATCTCAGTTACCCAGTGTGTGGAGCATTATCATTGTGTATCACATCAGGGATATAAAAGAAAGCAAAGGATAATATACAGTATAGTTGGGTTGATTGTTCCGATTGCATTTTACAAAAACTGAACGTTTGTGTATTGATATTATGCAAGCGTTCTCCCTAAACAATGTAATCATGGCGTTGCTTTGAGATAAATTGTGGGGGTAGAGGGGAGGTAGACAGAGTTGCTCTCTGGAAGGTTCAAGGTCAGTTGGAGATTTCGATTTCGACTTTAAATGAGATTCGTTTTCTTTGTTAGTTTTATAACTAATGATTTACATTTACTGCAGTAGTAGAACAGACAGCTAAGTTAAATAAGGAGAAAGAGAAATACAAGAACGAATCCTGAAAAAGTAAGGAAACCCAACAATTGATGCAAATATAGGTACACATAATGCTAGAAATTATCAGATACATATAAATATTGTGCAAAAGGCAGTGAACATAAAATACTTACGTAATCGCTGGTCGAAATTTCAATAAATAATTAAGCTAGTTGCATGTCGTGTCTGTAAAGTGATTTTTTAAATTAGCACAGCGTAGATTTACTAAGAACAATTTGCTTAGTGAAAATTAAAAGGAGCTCTGTACTTGTGGTGCAGGACAAAGGACACAGGAAACCGCGATAAGGTAATATATTATTATGCTATTAACTTTGATTTATCATTTAATGTGGTGATGCTTTGGTTTCTTATTTTTTGATCCGTTCAGTGTACGTTGATGATAATGATAATTGACACAATTTGGCAATATATCAATACGGAATGATATGATAATGATGGCTTTTATTAGTTTTATTGCCTGAGTTTTCGTTAATTTTCGGTCTATGTGACATATAGGGACATAGACTATGTCCCGATATTTTAGTCGTAACTTTATCACATGATTAAAATCCAGTGTAAAAATGTCTAAATCCATAAGTAGAATGTGTTGCAATTGCATACAATTATTTGTTAGCTTATCATCCTCGACTTATATTAGTCAGCACTACTGGGTTGTAATCGCGGCTGAATAATTGCGGATAACTTGTTGTGACGTTGTTTGTTTTAATTGTTATTGCGATGTTGGATTGTTCATAATAATACGTTTTGTTCCAAATCAAACAAGTAAAATCAGAGTATCTCTCTACTCCAGTATTTTATGGTTCATATATGTGTATAAGTACCATTTAGTTTATTTGTATTGCATATTATTGACAGTATTTTTGTTCAATTACTCTGCTAAAATAGTGGAGAAATAGTGCTCATTGTCACTTATTAACGTTTAGTGACCTTAACCTTTGTTTCACCTCAATCTAATCCTGTGTTCGTTAGGAGGTCAAATTGACCTGGTCAATACAAATACATTTGGGAGATAAATACTAAATAGTACAAAATCTGTACAAATTAGTTTTTAAGTATAATTTTGTTGTGTACAATTTTAGATGGAGCGAGCAGGTTATCAGTCACTGGTTACTTTTGCTAATGGAAATGACATAAATAATGGGGACGACAATGTTCCTCCAAATGACCACAATGTTATGGCTCATGTTCCAGAGCATAATAAAAGTAAGCTCCTACACAGTTATACTCTTGGATATTAAAATTTAAAAAATGTTCATTTTTTAAATGTTGTGCTTGTTTTCATACAGCTCGCTGGAATCATATTGAAGATCTCGACTCCTTTTTCAACAGGTTAGTGCAGATTTTGTGTATATTTTTCCATTACTCTTATCAATGCACACGTAAAATGTACATATCTCTTTCTTCACAAGGGTGTATTACTATCATCAAAAACATGGATTCGTATGCATCATCTTGCAAGAAGTTTTTGAGTTACTGCAGTTTATTTTCGTAGTTTGTTTTGCGACATTTTTGTTTGAATGTGTGGATTATCCAATACTGTTCGGGTATGTAATTAAATTTGCGTTTTGAAATGAATGGTCAGAAAGTAAGTGATATGTTTATTGCAGGCAGAAACTGCTGAATACAACAAGCCCTACAACAAAAATTACTTTGGACCAAGCAGTAATTCCTATGGGGGAATGCGTAGCGGGATTCAATTTTTGGATGTGGACTATTTTAATTGTTGCTGCTGTGTTTTGGTTGCTTCGATTAGTTTTCGTCATATACAACACTTCATTGAACTGGGAGATTCGTGCCTTCTACAGAACCGCATTAGGAATTGCAGATGTAAGATTACATGCAGGTTTAATTAAAATTCGTAAATTATGTAAGTATGCATATGTACATATATGCAGATCGATATTGATAACCTAACGTGGAATGACGTCCAGACTAAGTTGATTGATGTACAACGAGAACAGCAAATGTGCATTATGCACAAGGTATGTAGTAGTATTTTTATTACAATCTCCAAAATTATACCATGAAAATAATTTAAATGGATTTGAACAACACGTTTCCACTATTATCTTTCACTAATTTCGGGATCTCGACTTCTATTCCACTGTCAAAAATGTATCAAGTATAAAAATTCAATGACCTTTAATTTTTTCACAAACAGGATTTAACTGCCTTAGACATTTATCATCGAATTTTGAGGTATTGTTAATTTTGTTTTTATTACTGATGGCTATTCTATCAAATCTTACCTAATCATAGAATAATATCTAGAGTAATAACATTAAATACAAATGTAAAATTAGGTTTGCTTGGTTTTTCTAGGTTCAAAAATTACATGGTAGCAATGGTGAACAAAAAAATGCTGCCTCTTACAATATCTATCCCATTCATTGGAGATACTATTGTCTTAACTCACGGGCTAAAATATAACTTGGAAATGATACTATTTTGTAAGTGTGTGAAATTTTGCGAAAACGTTTAGAATTTTCTATGCTATTTTGGATTTATTATCGTTTCAGGGGGACCTTGGGCTCCGTTTGAAAATAGTTGGCATCTGCGAGAGGATTATAAGAAAGTATCGAAAAGAAAAGAATTGGCGAATGCGTTGAGGAAGAGAATATTATGGATTGGGTAATTTAAAATCAACAATAACTTAGATTCCTCATCTCAATTAAAATAACAATGTCGTTGTGTGATAACCCTAACCCAATACACAAATTAACTCTATGTATGTTAATTTTTCCAGAATTGCAAACTTTCTACTTCTTCCACTTATATTCTTGTGGCAAATCTTGTATTCCTTCTTTAATTATGCAGAGGTATGACAATTGTAGTACAAATATCTGACGATTGATAATATCAACTTGATATACATAGTACATATTTTTAATTCACTAATATATTCCGTGATTTATTTTAGATTGTAAAACGAGAGCCTGGCACACTAGGAACTCGAAAATGGTCTCTGTATGGTCGTCTGTTTTTTAGACATTTTAATGAGTTGGAACATCAAATAAATGCACGATTATCACGAGCCTACCGTCCTGCATCAAAATATATGAGCATATTCAACGCCCCCATTATGACGATCCTTGCTCAGTAATTCCACAATTTAATCTATCTATTCCGTTGGGAATACTGTTTTCATTAATAATTGGTATAACTTTCAATATATTTTTTAGAAATATTGCATTCGTTTGTGGAGCAGTATTTGCAGTTCTATCTCTACTTGCAATTTGGGATGAAGATGTACTGACCGTAGAACATGTACTACTCTTAATAACCGTTTTAGGTACAATAATTGCAGTTTGCAGGTAGATTAATTAAACCCATTTTACTATTTCTTACTATTTATCAGTGGATGTGGTATTAATATAAATGATGTTTTCCTTATTTTAGAGCATTTATTCCAAACGAGCAACTTATACTATGCCCAGAGACATTGCTAACTGCCGTTATAGCTCATGTCCATTACTTTCCGGATGAATGGCAAGGGCAATGTCACGGTTGGAAGGGGAAAGCACACACAACGCCTACTCGAGATTTACTTTCTGATCTTTTTTCTTACAAAGCGGTATATAGTTAATTTTATTATAATTCTATTTTAAGTTATATGGGCGAAATTTGTATTTTCAGACTTACTTAGCATTGGAACTTCTTTCGCCTATAATTACCCCTTATATACTGTGCTTTAAACTTCGATCGGAGGCGTTGGCGTTGGTGGACTTTTTTAGAAACTTTACGGTGGAGGTTGTTGGAGTTGGTGATGTTTGCTCCTTTGCCCAAATGGATGTTAGAAAGCATGGAAATCCTACTTGGCAAGCTTCAACCTATGACATGGATTCATCCGACTTGCCACCAAAGAATTCATTTGTTCAGGTCTGTAATTATTAATCACCAAATTTAAATCACATATTTTAATTTCGCTAGATTGTTTTACAGGCTGCAAATGGTAAAACCGAATTATCATTGGTTCACTTCACTCATACAAACCCAGAGTGGAAGGTAATAACATTATTTATCTCACGGATGGCAACATGCAACTCTTAAGAATAAAATGATAATACGAGATTTGTATATATATCCAAAGCTTCCCAAAGATGCCGGTACATATATAACCAACCTTAAAGAAAGAGCTGCCAAAGAACTAGGAATGCCAGTTATTCAAGAGAATGCATTGTTTGCATCTTTAAATTCAATCTCCTCTTTAGGAGATGAGGTAACTGATTACGATGAAATTTTGTATAATATGATTTATTTCGTGATTTTTACACACGTTTTTTACACACCTAGTACTCCAATGTAGTTACAAGTCTTCTTTTTGAGAATCAATTGCTTCGATCGGTCGCCCCCGGCCAAATAGACCCTTTGTTTGATGGACAGCAACCAACTCCCCCATTAAATCCAAGGGCGTTCTCTCAGTTTCGTAGTCACAATAACCCAATGCAAATGTCATATCGTGGTAATGTTAACCAACTTGAAGGTCCTCCCAATTTTGGTAGACGTGGAATTCTTGCTGGGTACGTATATAATATTAACCCAACGACGTTTAACAATTCTGCATATTGGAGAATATCGATTGTTTTATTTTAATTTAATTTAGACTAAATCAAAGCCAGCATTACGGCAGCAACGTGCAAGAACAGTCAAACATTAATATGATGAGTTTCGCAAATAGTTTTGCACAATATCCTAATCCAATGCTATCCCAACGACCTAATGACACCAATATTGAGCTTCATGCAGTAGATATGAGTTTGGATGCTTTGTATCTTCATGAATTACATAATATGGAGGTAAGGAACTTTTGAAACATTGGGACAGATTGAGAGAGGCTTCATTCATATAGTTTTGTATTCACCATTAGGTAAGACGAAGAACCTCCCAGCCTGGCTATTCACTAGCTACATCGATGCAACAAAACAATAATCAAAACTCAGCATTTTACGAAAGCCAACCGCAGCTTCACTCCAGTAATTCAAGCCCTATTCAAGAACAACAAACAGTGTTCCAATCTGAGAGAACGCCGCTCTTATCAACTACAAACACTGTTAAGTCTTGATGCCAATTTTTAAATGTTTTTAAAAACATGCTCGCTCGAGAGCCTTGATTTCAATATAATTTTAATATCGCCATCGCATCTGCACAAATGAGGCATCATTAGTATGCAATGACGCAATATTTGACTCCTTGTTTTTTTTAAATATCGGACAATTATCCAAGTTAACAAGTTTTGTGATATATACTATTATTTAATTACTAATTAATTAGAAAATGATTATGACGTGTATAGTTGTTGACTTGTAAATATATTGTTGATGTGGCATTTATTTACATAGATAGGGTTTTAACTGACTGAGTCAACTGACAGTCAGTTCTTTCGTTGACATGATGGTAAAACAATTTGTTCACTTGCAATGTAGTTACCTTATGAATTATCATTAACAAATGGTGTCCATTATCATTTGCATTTTAATAGCTAGTTTGTGAGCTATTTTTTGCAGATCTATACATGTATGTATGTACATACACACCACGACGAGAGCAAGTTTAATAATTAAATACCTGATTATTCACTGTGAATTCGTAATTATCGTAAGTACAATCTAGTCGTTAGTGTAAAGAATATTCTGATGGTACCTTCCCTTGTTAACTACTAATATATTACGTTATATATTACTTCCCGAATTTTAGAAAATAGTCTCAAAATGTACTCTCGTCAGTCTCACGCAGTACATAAATCAAAATAATACGCTGTGGTTATTATGTATTGGCGAATGAACACTATATAGCAAACAGGATGAATGACGATCCAACAGGTAGGCTAATAGTGCTGTATCATCATCATTTATGTGCAATTAACAATAAACTCGTCTCGTCTAAAAGTTCAAAGTTTCATCGCCTTTCTTTCGAACCTTTAGCAGGATTCACGGTAGATTATTAGCTCCTCTCCATTTCTACTCATGCATGCATATTTACATTGCACTAAACTACGTTGCTGTTGTTGGCTGTAATGCAGAAAAATAAATGCAACCTTCAGATTTTAGTTTGGGAATTCATTATCGTAGGATTCCAAGTAATATTAGAATCAAGCGTGGCATGAAAAATTCATTATGTTAGAATCAGCAAAAAAATGCAGCTTCCGTATAAGCTTTAGGCTGTATATGTAAGGAGTGTCTGCATACTTTGAACGTCTTCCCACATGACATGAGGTCGAGCGTCTAGGGCAATCAGTCAGTTTTTCACTAAGGCTGTCACAATGGTTTCAAAAAGGGCAAATTTTTGCATCGTATCAGCAATTGTTCTCTGTATTTTGACTCCATCTACCTTTGCGTGGCCGGCTGTGGGTGACGACGACGAACCAATTTTCTTGGAACCACAGTTTGACCGAGTAAATATTACAACGTACTTATTAAACGACAGACTATTAAAATTTCAGCTAAAATGTGTCATTTTCGACGGACCGTGCGATGCTGTGGGTCATTGGATTAAACGTGAGCCATTTTTATTATGTTATTAACATTAGTATTAAGTAAATGCTGCAATTTCTTAACCAATATTAGATGCATTAAAGCCAGTACGTTATAGTGATAGTTCATAGCGTACAATTTTGTAGGAATCTCTTTAAAATGCATGATCATTAATTCCTGATTTAGTAATAATAAAGACATTTTTGTAGCAAGGGTGAAAGCAGCTCTTCTCGGGGAGTGCTTGAAATGCACCCAAACTCAAGCAACCTATATGCAAACCTTGATGACAATTTTGACCGATTATTTCCCTGAGATTCACAGGGCTGCAGTCGCCAAATACATTAATGGACAAGGCATCAAAATCTCAGAGGAAGATCAGAAACTTATTCAGAAAATTAATTCTAATTCGGGGTGGGCCGAATTAAAAGGTCGATTGAAACTAGTTTTGGAAGATGTTAAAAATGGAAAAATTTCTACTCCGTCCATTTGAACCACAATTTACAGATTTTCTTTGTTCTTAAGAATACCGTAACATAACACATTTTCACTAGTCCTTTGGTAGTCGCATGATGTATTAATTGGATTTAGATATCAATAAACTGTCGCGAAAATATATACATAGGAATATCTTTCAGAAATACTTGGAACGGTGGATGACAACAAAAATACGGGTCTAAGCCTGAAAACGCATAATAATAATATCCGACAACGACGAGAGACGAAAGGTTCTGATCCGACTAACAGACCCATCGTGCCCCAATTCATCCCCCCGGACACCGTGGTAAGCTTTGATGGTCAGCTACTGTCCACACGAGGTTTTTTTATGGTTATCCCAAATCAGCCACGTCGGACCCCCTCAATTCAGAATCACCTCCCACAGTTTGGAAAATACCGAGGAGAATTTCCTCCCACAATTCCAGAAAATGTACCCAAGGACCTCCCACAATTTCTCCGCAACTGATATTGTTTTGTGATAACAAACATTGAGAAATTTACTTTCGGTTGAATGAATCTTTTTATCCAAAATCATTGCGTCTTCGCCGGCTGTGGCAATTGGAAAATAATAAGTTGATTATGTCATCTTTTGAGTTATGCAATGTGATCTGTCAATAAATATGTAACCCTTGAACAAAGAATCATTAGTATTGCAAACATCCTCCATCCTGTGACTCTTCACTTTTTCAGACTCTTACTCTGGTAGCGAAATCGGCATACTTGTCTTATCAGATGACTACTGTGTTAACATGACCTGAGACTTGTGCATATAAAAATAGTGAGCCACTTATTATTGAATATTTGTAGTTCTTAAGTTCCTGCCAATTATCATGTGGTGAAACGACTCGAAAAAAGGAGAAGTTCCACCACATTTTCTTGACATGAATCTCACTTTCGTTAATTTCTGGACGTGTATGATTGTTGGCTTACTGTTTTGGAAATCATCTGAAGTGGAAGCCTACGGGCATTACCATTACGGAGGTTGGGGCGGAGGTTGGACATCGGGTTGGGGGTGGAGGAATTATTACAAGCCAAAATTCGGGCATTACCACCATCCGCACTACTCACACGGGCATTACTACAATTACCACAAACAGCATTCTCCTTTAGTTTTCTGGAAAACGATTTATTTTGGAAAATGAGATAAAAATATTTCGTTCTTCAACCTGTGGTAAAATTGTTTTCCAAGAGGATGTGGGTGTGAGACGAGGAAAGCGTAGCGTCCTATTTTTGTTTATTTATCTAAAAAAAAGTGTAAGTTAGCATTGACCCAGTGCTGGGTGAAAAATATACATATTCCCCAATTCACGAGACCAATATATAATTTTACATTTTAGGCAAAGCCAAGAATATTTACCACAAAGTGTATGAGGAAAAGTATAAAGCCAGGGAATTGCCATATTTATAGTGCAACCTGCAACTGATGCATTTCCAGTCGTTCGACACTGATTGTTGGTATGAGTGTGAATATTTACAAGAAGTGAAACAACAAGAGATCTTAGAACTATGAATCCATCTGCAAAATTGGTAAATCTTTGAACCTATTTGTTTGTTTATTATGTGCATTAGTTTAAATTACTGATTTTTGTCACGCGTTTTCAGATTCTGATCGGCATTTGCTTGCTTCTTGTGATTATGACCATTGTAGAAGCACATGGTGGTTATCGAGGAGGATATGGAGGTCATCGGGGTTATGGAGGTTATCGAGGAGGTCATCATGGAGGGTATCGAGGGGGTTATGGTGGTCACCGTGGGGGGTATGGGGGCTGGGGAAAATAAAATTTAGTCATAAAGGTAGTTGAGTCTGAATAGCAATTTAACATGTGTCCATAATCCAATAAATAAATAGTTCGTGTTTAAGCAAGTAAAATAATAAGCTAATCATATCGTGCGAACATTAGTGACTTTATAAATTTAGAATGGCCATGGGTAAGTCTATATAAGAAAATAGTATTTCCAATTCTTCTTAATGTTGACAACAACACCGGAAACTGAGAAACCACGATGACGGCATCTCTCCTTAAACCCACAATGCACCACATCATTAAATATGACACATCGCAATCACATAATGCGTATCACGCAAAACTTTTCTTGAAAATAGTTATACACTTGAATTGAGCAAAATTTGTATTTTTTGGGCATTTTTGAAAAATGCCATCTCACAATCCGACAACATCTCCGAAATCAAGCAGCACAAACCATCCAGAAATTAGTGAGAATAGTGGCCATCATGGGAATCGGTGGGCTAATGTCATCCTGGACTTCACGAGCATATTGCTGGCTGTCGCCGAGATAAGCCTCGTTCTATTTCTTTCAATCAATCACTTCAGCCACTCGCAGGGAGTAATTGCCATTGCGATGCTTGGACCAATTTTCTTAAATTTTGTTGGAGTCACATATTTCCTCTCAAAGTAAATTTGTATGCAACATCTCATGTCATTCTTCTGCACGAATGTAACTCACCCACGTGGCTTTCATTTTAATTAATGTATGTTAAATTAACATTAACAGCAACGTAGAGAGGCAAATTTTAGAAGAGAAAGGGTCGTCACGATGCGCAAAAGATATTTTCCAAGTCCCATTATTTGGTCCCGTATTCACGTAAGTCCAACTAATTATTTAATCAGTTTTTGACCGGAGGGGTAATGTGGTATGTACAAACAGAGCCTATATAACAAATAAGTTTGAATGGTTTTACGTGTACACAGAGCAATACAAGTGTTCCTGATTTCGTCTGGACTTTCATCGTCTCGAGATTATGCTAGGTTTGAAGCACTCGCCATAAAAATGCGACAAGCCGAGTCCTTTTTTGGGGCCGCACCCGAAGCTTTAATTCAACTAACAGTGCTGTTAGTCGCCGAAGAACAAGAACTCACTTTGAATCGTGAGAATTTTGCTCCCAGCACAAAAAAGTTCAATAATACAAATCGATTTCATTGTCTCTCTAATAAATTTTCCTGTTTTGTTGTTTCTAGAATATTTAGAAATCACCATCGTCATTTTGTCCGTCATTACACTCAGCGAGGCGAATATGTACGCACTTTCGTCAAATTACTTTCGGCTTTTTCACACTTATGGCCCAGACGATTGGAAACTGCCCCACTTGGCATTTTGGCAAAAGTGCATCCTATTTTTCCATGCATTTTTCTCCATCGGTGAGATTCAGTAATTTATTGCGAAGTACAGTCTCAAAATTTTGGCATTGTGTTTAATAATTAATAACGACGTTTGTACCTATATAAATTGCGTGTAATACATATGTATATATTTATAAATCGCAGGGTCGAGATTGGCTGCGATGGCCTGTCTGAAAGCCGCCGTTAAGTATTTTGTTCTGCCGTCTCGTACTCTTGGACTCTCTCGAATGACTGCACAAGAATCCAACAACTTGGGATACTACTTGGCCGTGTTTTTCCTCGTGGAGATTGGATTTCGAATGATGATTTACTACATTAGTGAGTCCACCATGATCGGGTCCACCCAACCAATCAAATGGGCTTAGCAGTTTGAAATAAATTTTCTAAAATTCGAAATTATTTCCAACATATGTGTAGTTCGACTGGTCAAGTACATGATCATCGACGATGGGATTCCCAGTGGGTGTTACGAGTCAATCAGCTACGGTTGGCGAGCCACAATTTTGGACTTGGGCTTTCAGTCCAAAAACATTGCGATTCAAATTTGGTTCTATTTGGAGAATGCAATTTGCTTCATTATTTGGTGGGTGGCCGTCTCGTTCGAGGCCGGAGCAAGACCAATGGTTGAACAAATTAGCAACAATGTCCTGGCACCATTAGCTGCAATATTTGTCATGTTCACCCTCATCTCCGTTTTTCTGCTCTTTGCCTGCACCGGGCTCAAACTCCACACTTTAAGGAGCCCGTTCCACAAAATTACATAATGTTAGTCGTGTAATTATTACGTACGACATATTTTTAAATACATCAAGATACTAGTTGTTTAATGAAATCTGCCATGCAATTTGGGATTCATGGACAAGTATTTCACTGTATATGTGCATCAAGATTATTTGACATTTTACGACTCCATAAGTGTTGTTGAGGTTAGTGTCACTGAAGGGACACTTGCGTTATCTATAAACTAAAAGTCAAGCAATTGCAATTTCAAACTATGTACATATACGAGGGGTGATCAAAATTACATTTAACTCCTACTTCCTGTTAAGCTTTTCGTACTTCATTGTGTCATCTATGTAAATTTGTACATATGTAAGTGCTTCGACGTTCTCGTGATTTCTTTATTCAATTCGGCATTCCCACAGTTTGGTTCCTGACAGGTAAACCTGTCAATTTGAACCTGTCATGAATAACAACTTGTCATTTGTTAATTATAATCTATTTATTTGCTAACCTTGGTTAAACCTGAAAATCAACGAAACACTACATAAACTGGGTGATTGTAGCCATGCATTTAATTTATAGGGCGTGCAGATTAATAATAAGATTTTAATCGGGCATACCGTAAAATGTATCGAGAAGATGGACAGAATACATGGATGAACGAAATGAAATGATATGCTTTGAACTTGGAGAAGTGTGTGACCAAAGCTCATCCATCGACACTTTTGATCTGTGCATGCTTATTTTTAGAAGGCAGTAACAATTCAATTAAAGCTTAATACATCAGATGGCATTTAGATAATTATCTTTGTTCTAGATAAATCATAAAAGCTGATAATGTACCACATGTGACGGTCTCATTCATATTATAATTGTCGAAAACATGTAATTTATTGAAGAAAAAACGGCTCTACTCTGTTAACCAACCATTTCTGTTGGTGACATTGTGTCGTGCAACAACCTCTCCCTCGCTACTTTATGACGAACTGCATATACGTAAATAGTATCTGCACTTTGTCTTCATGGTTGAGTTCAGTTACATGTTCACTAACATAAAAGTACATCTTTCATGTCCCTGAAGAAATCTTGCCTCGTATGAATGTTTTAAGCTAAAAACTTAAAATGCTTCAAGTTTGTTTTAATTCAGTAACATAACCAACAGAGCCCAACAAATGTATGTGGACCTACCGTTCAAATTCAAAATTGTAGCTCTGAAATTCTGAACATATTGAATACAACGTAACCTTGGGCAAAAATATTCGCGGACTTAAACTTTATTTTATAGATTGCGTGTTTTAATGAATTATCTTGGAAGCATTAAAGCCATTTATCATCGTTCGTTACGTACTTTCTCTGTGCTATAAAGCAATCATTATTCTTTAATTTAAAAAAATCGTGTCTACAAAAATGCGTAGCAAAGTGAGAATTAATAAATCTCATTATCAGTATTATTTGTACGTGCCCATGTTGCTACTTACTCCTTTTTTGTATTCAAAGCGACAGCCTCTTGTTTTCAAAGAAATGTGGTTTGGAATAAAAATGAGTGGCTACAGTCAATCAAGTTCTATTGTATTTAACTAATATTCAGCTCCCACTCTTGTCCCATTTACGAGACATTCTTCTTATGCAAATTTCACTACGCAGAAAAAAACAATATTATGTGTAAAATGGGTTACATAATAATCAGTCGTGGTCTGACCAGCATGACATTTTTTTAGCTAAACCCTCATACAAGATCCATTAATTGACAGGAAAGGATAATTCATTATTCACAGTCTTTTTCACTTTAATTTATCAATTGGAAATGACACAGCAAACCAGGTGAAGCAGTAACGGACGGGATCCGCATAAAATTAAATTAACTACGGTGTGGACAGGTGAAATTCGATATTAAAAGAGATGCAGAAGAGTAATGTTTTTTTGCAAAATTCTGGTCCCCAACAACCTTCTACATAAAATTAATGTACATGTGCTGAAAAGTCGTATGCACTACATAAAATTCCTACGAGTAAAGTGAGGGGGCTATTAATAACTTACATGCATTTAGAGATAGAAAAGCACATGGTCCCCTTAATATTGGTCATCATATATTCACAGACCCCCAAGATATGTAGCTTTGTTTATGTAAAAATGGTACCCAACAACATCACTGCGTTACATTAGAATAATGAATAAGCATTATTTGACTGCCTGTTATTCGACGCAGGCACGGGTTTGACAGTTTTTATATGTTCAGTACTGAAATTTACATTCGTTAACGTGGTTGTTGTGGCATCACACACGAGCGAAATTGAAAGTAGATGCCTTTTAACTTGTACCTACTTCAACCAATGCATTGTGATCTGTGTGGAAACATTAAGCAAAAAATCTTAGAGGATAGCATTGTTTGCACTTCTCATATCAGAAGAGTTTCGATCTGTTAGTGTGTTATCCATCTAGTAACAACTTTACGGAGAACAATAAACATCTTCATGTGAGTCTTATGATCGACTTATCACTATTTTTTGTTTATTTAATCAACAACATACATTTATTTGTTTAAATTTCAGTCGCAAGATCAACCTAATATCACCACGATTTCATAGCCATGCATATATAACTCAGACTTGACCCTGATGGAAGACGGATTAACACAAAATATTTACATAAATAAATAAACAGAATAACAATGGTCTCATCATGCCTCGTTCGAGTTTATTAGAGATTAATAATTCCACACAAAAGTATGATAAAATACAGAATAACACTCCAGATTATTGATGTATTTTTATTTGATAGAGTTTAATTTTTTTGTAATATTTATATTCTCCCATATCAGGTTAGATTAACAACTCTGTCAAAGCGTTATTACTTAATACGCAAATATTCTACGATAAGTCTTTGATCGGTAAAATATACACAATGGACAATCCGGCTCTTGAAATTGAGGTATGTACATACATATTTACATATGAAATCATGCTTGTTATGCAATAACAAATTACTTGAGAAAATACACACTTTTATAATCAATGAGTTACATGGGTTATTAAATACAACTAGGGGTTAAATTATTGATTAAACGCTCTTGTTTAAGCGACGCAACATTGTTATCTAACCATATCAGTTGTTGATTTAAATGGAATGAAAAGAAGAAAGGTCAGAGAATATTATTTGAAACAACAATCCACAGTTACACTTGTTTTGCCAGATGACAAAAATTTGCATACGCGTTAATATGAAATTTTCATGGACTACAAATGGTTACATATGTACATGAGAATTAGAATCCTGTTTAATGTTCTATTTTAATAAGTATATTAAAATACGTATAAAATATTAACGCATAAAATTTTATCTCCATGAATGGCTGCATAATTATACAGAACATAAACTATGCACTCCTCACTTTATTCCAACAGGGATATTTTAGTTTTGATTGTCATTCATTGAAAAACGGTCCATGTAAAAAATGATGTCTTGAATTATTGATCCTTTTTGATTAATTAAGGAGACGTCCATGTCATCAGAATCGACACAAAAAATGACATCTAGCACTTCCAGTGACAGGGACATAAGCCCAAAAAAAGAACAAAAGTCACCATCTTCAGATTTATACTACTCCATTAATGACCGGCCACCCTTGCACCTTTCTTTTGCTTTGGGATTTCAACATTATCTAACAGTGGCTGGATCTTCCGTATGAAAAACCCACATATTAAAGCAGTTTTGTACATAAGTATTTCATGTTACATTTTGAACTGTACTTAATTTAAATGTTTGTAGGTGTCCGTTCCATATATTTTGTGTCCAGCAATGTGCATGTTAGATGACGACGTGGGAAGGGCTCAACTAATTTCAACAATTATGCTGGTTTCGGGGATCGTCACAATTTTCCAAAGTACATTTGGGACAAGGTACCAGAATCCAATGACTTGCAGAAGGTTTCAAAAAGCTCAGAAACCTCTTCTCAGTCAACATTTCCATACATATGTATTGTGCTTGCTCATACTGTTGTCCTATTGTTTTCTAAAATGCGTTGTTCTTACACAGGCTCCCAATAGTCCAGGGAGGTAGCTTTTCATTCATTACTCCAGCGCTGGTAATAATTTCTTTCATTCTTAATAGTTAGACAATTCATAATTATTAATTAACTAATAGGCCATCCTCGCCTTGCCCGAATGGACATGTCCTTCTAGAAGCTATTTGGAAAGCATATCGCAGGAAGCAAGGACCGAGTTGTGGCAGCTACGGATGCGCGAATTATCGGGGGCAATAATTGTAGCGTCGATCACAGAAGTAATTCTTGGGTTTTTTGGTGAGAATGAGATATTTAATTATTACACTTTTTAGCTTAGAATACTTATACTTGCCGAACTTGCAGGAATTATTGGACTAATTTTGAAATATATAACGCCACTCACCGTCGCGCCTGCTATTGCGATGATCGGTTTATCACTTTTTAAAGTATCGGCTCAACATGCGGCTGCAAATTGGGGAATATCAATTTTGTACAAGCTATTTACATTACATTTTACTTTAAACATTTAAACAATTTCGAAATTTTAACCCTAACTCATTTACAGGACAATATTCTTAATTATCCTATTTACTCAGTACCTAAAATGGTACAAAATTCCTATTCCGTTCACGTCTAATCAATCTGGAAAACTCCGAAGATTTCCACTGTTTGAAATCTTTCCTGTAAGTAGTTCTCGTTGTATGCGTGTGTGAACGATGGTTATTCATAATGCTTGTTAATTCTTGTTAGTTCCTTTTGACCATTATAATTGTGTGGGGAATATGTGCCATCCTTACTGCCACTGATGCCTTGCCAGAAAACGATCTTGCCCGTACTGACGTCAAGCTGAATTTAATAAGACAAACTGATTGGTTTCTTTTTCCATATCCATGTGAGTAAAATAGCTGCCTAACTCATTTTCACTCTAACAAGTCGACTATACACCAAACTAGATAAAAATGTACCATATTTTAGTCCAATGGGGTTGGCCTACGGTTTCGGTTGGTGCCGTGTTAGGAATGGTTTCTGGTGTCATTACCGGCACAGTGGAGTCGATTGGCGACTATTATGCGTGTGCTAGGATATCTGGAGCAAGTCCTCCCCCAATTAGCGCCGTGAATAGAGGAATATTTGTGGAAGGCATTGGATGCATACTCGCAGGTATTTAAAAATGTAGACATATTTCGTTCCATACTGTAAAAATGTTTTCAAACGAAGGATGCTGGGGCACTGGAAACGGAACGACCAGTTTTAGCGAAAATATTGGTGCAATTAGTGTAACAAAAGTGGGATCCAGGAGTGTCATTCAAGCCGCCGGATTTTTGATGATTATATTTTCACTATTGGGAAAAGTGGGGGCAGTATTTGTGTCAATCCCTGAGCCGATCATCGGTGGCATCTTTTGCATAGTGTTTGCAACGGTATGTAAAGTGTACATAATTAAATATATGTAATTGTAGTATCTTATATGCACTGAAGAAAGGGATGACATACACATTGTACGAGCTGTAAAAAAAACAATGTGGGTATCGCATAGGTTGCGGCGGTTGGGCTTTCAAATTTGCAAGGCGTGGATCTCAATTCATCTAGAAACATATTTATTATCGGATTTTCCATTTTCTTTGCATTGGTAATGTCGCAATGGATGGGTGAGAGCTTTACTTGTTTAATTAATATTAAAATTAAAATTAATCATTAATTATTATTTAGGTGACCACAAAGATGCTATTGACGTAGGAGTTTCTAGCATCAACCAAGTGATCACGATACTTTTGACTACCGGGATGTTTGTTGGAGGAGTTTTAGGTTTTATCCTCGATAACACGATACCCGGTAAAGTGATATTTCGTCGGTCGGTCGGTAAAATGGAAAATGAAAAACAAAATGGTCACATTTTTTCAGGGACGCCCAAAGAGCGTGGCCTTTTGACATGGATGAAAACTTTGGATGATGACGATTCCACAAGTGCAGCTAATCCTGATTCTTCATACGACTTACCATTTATCGGGAATTTTATCCGCAGGTTGAAAGATCATAAATATAAATATCATAACCAATTGTACAGCTCTTTATGCGCATGTTTGTCGTTTAGAGTATCCGTATTTCGATTGTTTCCAATTTCTCCAACATTTCATGGATTCAAGGCGAAGCATCCGAAACTCCCGAAGGTCATTGGAAAGAACAAAGTTTCAATTACTGACATTGAGACTGCACCCAAAATACAAAATAATGCGCTATCGCGAGATCGTTTGAAAGAAATATACAGTGCAAATGAAAATTGATTACATATATTACTCAATATATATATTTTAACGCAAATTTTAAATCTCTTGAACTATTTGTAATCTTTGTAGATTTACAGATTGATGACATAAGTAATTACTTTTCATATGTATAATGCCGATGAGTTATAAAAATATATTCATGCAAGTTAAGTATATAAACAATCGCAAACCTGCTTTAATTTCAGTCAATTCTCAAAATTGAGATTATGTTTAAGGATGAAGCTTGTCTCATGAAATAGAAAAATACAACGTGCACGTGCAAAAAACAATACATACATAAATGCCAATACACTGCAAAAAGTGCACCCATGAAACAATACTAACAGCAGATTCATATTATTATAATACAATGAGCAATGATTCGTTAAAATTCAATTAGCGTCAAGATCTAGGTAGTACATTTAAGTACTGCATATTTACTTGAATAGTTGGGAAATAACATCTCGTAACCAGGCTTGTGTAATAGTGGAATGCATAAAGAATGTCAACAAAGGATAATGTTCATCAAGTTCTTTTTACTAGACTCAAACTAGTCTCAAGTAATAATGACATCACATGACAATCGGTCGTACTTTTAGTTAGTTATGCACTTCTTCTTACCTTTACTGCCGTCGTTCAGTCAGATTAGTGGAAGGTAGTGCATGGTTATAACAGCGATGCTGTAGCTAACGATTAATAAAAAAAACTTGAAGAGTAGCCAAAGCCAATTTCTTGGACGAAGGAAAGGGAAAGGATGGAACGAAGTAGTGTTCTTTTGGAGGTCGTCATATTATTCTTCAATCTTGCGTTTCATAATAATCACGCTACGCGATACAATAGTCGATGAACTTGTTGGTTGGACTCGTCAGTTAGCAAATACATATCTGCTCGTTTTCCTTTATAACTTGTAGTACAATTCATCCAGGTGTAGCCTCAACAATGTTGTCCGTTGTCCCACAAATGCATAGTGTCGTAATGGCTGTTTGCCTGGATAACATTAAAAATAAGTGAAAAAATCAAATATAGTTCGACAATGAAAAAGTGTGTGCATTATTGTGCTGAAATATCAGAAAGAACTAATAGCTAGGTGTCCAGGGCTAAGAATAATGAATCATCTTCCGAAAGTGGTATTATTTTTAAGTTTACAAATTGCTGCGAATGGAGTTGAATATGGACGTAAGTTTTCCAACTTGGCAAGATTACTTGATTCCCAAGCTCGATCTTATTTAGTACATCATTTATGATTCCTGTGATAGCTTCAATTTCATCGTTGACTGGAGTATTTGTAAACTGGAGGGGACCGGATCTACTCGCAATAGAAAGTGGTAGGAAAGTGCGACTCAGCAACTATCCTGGGCTCTCTGCCACACTTCCTCTCATTTCTGGGTATTCTTCAGCGACATCAGAGCAGATTTTTAAAGAACGTGGAATTTCCACTGTGGGGGAATTTGTGGTACAGGCCCCTAAGGGATATGGCATAATTGCGGTAATTCAGGAACTGAAGCTTAGAAAAACTACTCGAGAACGGGGTAACCCGAATGCTACTGTCTCATGCAGTGATTACATTCAGGTTGGTCGCAATATCAATAAGTAGATAAGTACTCAAGTAGATTATCAGACTTGATTATTGTTATTAATAATTTAGATTGGTGCCACGGGGGCTGGCGACGGTGGGAAAGTTGCAGCTCCCGAAAAAATATGCGGAACTGTGCTGAGGGATGACGTTAATCTCAAACCTTCAGGATTACTAGGTCCAAGAAGTTTTCAAACTCCAACAGGCCAAGTTACTGTCACATTTAATCACGCTTACGTCACGGAACTAGTGTACTCGCTTTTAGGATCTAAACAGAAACACATTCTGAAAGCCGAGTTAACATTTACTGCTTATAAAGGTACGTGTTTCGAAATAATTTAGTATTTATGCGCAATTTTGAAAAGTTTTAAATTCTTTGACGAATGGAAATATATTACGTGTGGAACAGATTGTTCGGAAGACGGTGGTGAAACGAATTCGACTTCGTCTTCAGATAATGCACAAGAAACATATCAAAGTTGTAGTGACTATAAACTCAGTTCAAACCTGACATGCATAAGCTCAAAGTTGACCTGTGATGATGTGTATAATTGTGGTGGGGATAGTGAGACATTGGGGTCTGACGATAATTCGGAGTCATGTCCTGATCGACCAGTGAGGACGACAACTGAAGCTGTGATTTCTCCCGAGGATAATATCGACGCTGAAGAAAAGCAGGGATTATCTGATTTGTCAACTTATTTAGGAATTCCTTCCCTCTCTTCATACACCCCAAGAAGTTATGAGAGGAAATTTCGTCCTTCGTATGTTTCCGGTTCATCCGGATCTGGCTTCCTTTCCGACTATGCAGCAAATAATAAGCGACAGTTTGAGAGGAGCTCGACCACAACGATACAACCTAGTCCCTTGGGGGGTTCCATCGAAATTAATGTGGTTGGGCCCACTCGAGAGACGAAAACATCAAACATTCTCATCAATGCTCAAGATACACCTAGTTCTGAGTTTGATAGTGAAATTTACAGTAGAAGAGAACTGGCTCATGCCATCAATTCTGTGATATATGGGGTCGCTGTTTTCATCATTTTCACAATTTTCATAACAGTGTTCGTTGTCTGCTTAACCAAGAAAATACAGACGACATGGACTGCACGACAGGTACGACGACATAGAGCATCCGTTGTCGAACAGGAGGAAGCGAACAGTCAACGACATTCTGTACAGAACGTCGGAATCCGTTCCAGCATTATTAATACCCTTTCACCCCCTGCGAGTGCGGATGGCAATGAGAGTCGAAGAGTATCTGCTGCTGCATGTGATCTCGGAGTGTATAATCCAGTTGATGTTATAATTGATGAACTGGACTCGTCGTCGCCATCGTGTGATCTTCCCCCAGCTTACGATTCACTTTTCCCAACTGACAGAACTTGACTCCGATGATGTCGTCATTTCATTAAAATGTGTATAATTCCAGTCCAGATTGTGGGATTTCCCACCAACCAAACGATGATGAGTGTGTGTCCAATGCAGCTAAAAAAAATCAGTTTTTAATTTATTCCAACCATAAGACAGTGAGTATAAGGAACTGTTGTGCACATAATGGACCGGTCTGACTAGGTTGTTGCAGGAATTACAAAAGGATGATGATGACGACGATGACATGAAACCATCAAATGATGGTCGAGTAAATTGCATTGAGAACATTGAGACCTGAATGAAATGGATAAATTGCAGTTCTCACTCAAGGTCTCTGCCAAGGGTGGAAAACTTGTCTGACGAAAGTACGCGTAGCAAATGCCATAATATCGCATTGGATTGGCAGGAACTCTGCATGAAAAATTCACAAGAAGATTTCGCGATCGTGTTCACAAGGATCACAGGAACGAAAAGTACTACTGTGTGTTATTAAACTGTATCAGTGCGGTATCCACGTTCTCCTTATCCATCCATATTCAGGATCACAACCACATCATTATTGACAAACCAAAATTTTGGTTGTTGTAAACTTACTCAGACTAACAAATGCTTCCTACCATTTTTTCTTCAATGAGGCAACCTGATTTCCTGTTTCTTCACAAGCAAGGCAACATCTCAAAATCTTTTGTTTTTGTGATTTGACCCGATTGATACGAGTCCAGCATCCTTTATTTTACTAATTGTGTATTAATTTTAATTTAGATGTTTAATTTATTTATTGTAGCCTAAAATAAATCCATATATTTGTTCATTAATATGAGAAGTATGAGAAGTTGTTGAACATAACCTTATTGTGATATAACCTACAGAGAAGGTCAATTATCGTTAGGCACTTATTATTTCATATCAATCAGGTTATGAAATAAATTATCAGCAGTAGCAAATGCTTGTAGTAGGATTACTTATTGTGAGGCTAGCATGAACTGATGTTCAAATATTTTTATCAAACCTTAGAAAACTGTAAGGTTAACAATAATTCGTGATGGAATGACAATACGCAAAATAAATAAAATGAAAGTCAAAGTTGATAAAAAATTGTATAAACAATTTTACTCAAATAAGTAGTTTTGTAGTAATAGTTGCATATCTACTTATTTATAATATAGGTTGTCCGTCCGATGCATTATTCTGGACATAAACATAATAGAATTAAATGTCAAGTTGTACTTCGTGAATATTACTGGGATAATTAAAATCACGATTATTTCTGGGCTTGTTAAATGTTGAAGCATCAAATATATAATTGCCAGTTGACGTTATAGATCAGAGAGAGTTAGAGATCAACGCCTCCGAATTCAAGATGAAGTTTTACGTTTCGATTATACCAGTTTATCTGACGATCATCTCTCATCTCACGAAATCCCAATTCGATCCACAGTTTGTGGAAGATCGAACAACCATGGTCCACTTATTTGAATGGAAGTGGAACGATATTGCCCTGGAATGTGAACGTTTTCTTGGTCCAAGAGGGTTTGGTGGGGTTCAGGTACTGGCAATAAATTGGTACAACATTCCCATTGGTAATTATATTGCATAATCTCTCATATAATAAGGTATCTCCTCCAAATGAAAATGTAATTTTTGACATGGGCCATGTTCATCGACCCTGGTTCGAGCGATACCAGCCAACCAGCTACAAATTAGAAACTCGTTCTGGAACAGAGGAAGAATTTAAGAATATGGTAATTGTGCCGTCTTCATAAAATGCAACGGGTGGCCGTTGATAATTAATACAAACATCAATGTGTTCAAGGTTAAACGATGTAATGATGTTGGGGTCCGGATTTATGTGGATGCAGTAATAAATCATATGACCAGCTTTTGGCCCAATGGAACTAAATCCACTGGGGGCTCATCATTCTCTGCAGGAGCTACTCAATACGACGCTGTGCCCTTCACTGCTGATGATTTTAATAATGAGAAAACATGCCCCTCAAAATCGGGCGATATTGAAAACTACGGTGACGAGCAACAAGTAGACAGAATTAATTGTTACCCTCTTATGGTAGTTCTATTCATAACTTATCCATCGACTGACTGATTAGGTTCGCAATTGTAAACTTCTTGGACTAAATGACTTGGACCATTCCAAACCTCATGTGCAAGATATGGTTGCCGGATTTTTAAATAAACTCGTCAAATTTGGCGTTGCTGGATTTCGGTATTAATTCTTAATGCCAATTATGGTTATGGATTTAACTTCATGATTTGTCTCTATTAATTCAAGCATCGACGCAAGCAAACACATGTGGCCAAAACAAATTCATGAGATACTGTCTAAAGTAGACAATCTAAACTCTAACTTTGGCTTCAAGGAAAACTCCCGACCTTTTATTTACCAGGAAGTAATTGATTTAGGAAATGAGCCCATCAAAGCCACTGATTACTTGGACAATGGAAGAGTAACAGAGTTCAAGTACGGAGCAAATTTGGGGAAAGTATTCCGCAAAGGAGATGAGGCGAAATTCCTACGAAATTTTGGTGAGATCACCTTCGGAGGAGCTTGGAAATTACCAGTGAAAATTAGAAAAAAATAATTTTAGGGGAGGAATGGAATATGCTCAATAGCCAAAAAGCACTTGTGTTTATTGATAATCATGATAACCAACGAGGTCATGGTGCTGGTGGAAGCAATATTCTTACATTCCGAAACCCAACCCTTTATAAGATTGCGACTGCTTTCATGCTGTCGTGGCCGTTCGGCGTCACAAAGGTCATGTCTTCGTACTCCTGGGAGCAGAAAATTGTTTATGGACATGACCAGAACGACTGGGTGCTAATTATATTTCTATTCTTCGTTATACTAAATTATATTTAAGTCCTTTGTTAAATTAGTGAATATTAATTATAATTTTTAGATCGGGCCACCACAAACTCCAGAGTATGAAATATTGAACGTTACAATCAACGAAGATTTAACATGTGGTAATGGTTGGGTTTGTGAACACCGTTGGACAGAGGTATACAAGATGGTAGAATTTAGAAATATTGTTGGAGGTGATTGTTATATATTAAATATACTTTTAGTTATGATTTGCTCAATTTACATTGAGAAAATTCTGTGTTAGATGCTCCTGTAGTCAATTGGTGGGATAATGGTCTAAATCAAATTGCATTTGGCAGACAAGGGAAAGGATTCGTCATCATTAATAATGATGATTTCCCAGTGATTGTGACCCTTAACGTATGCATGCGTACATTGTGCATACTCCCACATAAACGTTGGCTAAAAAACCTTTGAAAACTCATTTCCAGACCACGCTGGCATCAGGAACTTATTGTGACATTATTTCCGGCGGGATGCTGAATAAAAAATGCTTGGGGATTTCGATTACTGTAAATGAAGGGGGAAATGCCGAATTCGCGATTTCAAATTTACAGGAAAGTCCATTTATCGTTATTCATATGAAGGTAATTATTCCAAATAATTTTAATAGTGGTAAAAAATGTATGTATGCAGTTTTACAAAACACTTCATGATCAATGAATTATTTTTACAGGATAAAATTGCATAGGTATGCAAACTTCATACGCTGTCAACAAATTACTTGTTCATTAAAAAAAATATTTTAAGTGAATCAAAAGTTTGAAATGAATCTCCATGGACTTCATTGCGTCACCCAATTTATTTAAAACAAAAAAAGTTTACACAAGCATGAATTTATTTATTTATTTAGTCAATGCAGAAAATATTACACATTAAAATATCACTAAATTAGATTAGGTAATCGTAGATATGCATCAATAATATAGTCGAACGTCTATTTCTAAATGGATGGCTGGTTTCCGTCCGGTGAACGTCGACGTATGTAAATCGTTCATCCCGTCTCATGTTTATTTTTTAAAGAAACCTCATCTACATATACAAATTTCAGGTGTAACGTATAACCGGAATGGGCTTGTAAAATATGATGTAGCTCCTACAATGATCCTTCAGAATGGCAACATAAAAAAAGGCAAACATCATTATGAAACATATATATTGGCATAATTTACATAACTGACTACTTGTGAAAATAGATGTACTTGTCGACGGAGCAATTTTGATCAGTACTGACGCTGCCTCAAAAATTACGGAAAGAGCGATCGGCCGAGCGTTTGGTAAGTAATGTGCAAGTTGTCAACGATTCTACATTGATAACAATTTTAATCGTGTGCAGACAAATGGGCCGAGGATAGCTTGAAAGACTCTCCCGAAAAACGTCTCAACCATGAAAGCAAATCAAAAGCCACACAGCGTCAGAATGGAAAGAATGTTTCGAAACCTGTTCGGACCCCTCCTTCGGAAAAACGAACTAGTAAATCTCAAAACAAGCAATCGTAATCATTTAATTGCTTAACAAGCTATTAAATCTATAAGTATTTATCATGTCAGTCCAGCACGATCAATAAATATATAATGCTAAATATATTAATCTTGGATTTGCATGGACCTTCCGAAGATCATTATTCATGATTGGATACAATATTATACATTGCGCGTAGGTACGTCTTGATTACCTTGATATCACGACGGCAGCAATTATCTTCAAATATGGTTGTGCTGCTGTAGCGTATCCTCAACTACATCATTTTGCACACATACGTGTGTAATATTTCAATGCGCATTAAGAATATTGAGCTTGGGTTATTAGAAAGTATCATCATTTATTGCATCACAGTCGTTCTAAGACGCTTTAGCTCCAAGAGTACAACATCTTGAGAGGTCCGTGTAAACTTATACAAAAATGGATTCAAAATTGGTAAGTTGTTATATATATTATAAAATAACTGTGATGCAATGAAAGAGTCAGTACGGAAGTGATCTTCAAATTTATGCTGTGTAGATCATCCTCGTTGTTTTGGTGGGATCAGTTGCATCTCAACAACAAAATTATCGGCAGATTTCACAACGACAAGCTCGACCATTGCAACCTGTGGAAGAATTGGAACGACCGAAAGTGTATGAAGTCAGCCATCAGATTTCACCAAATGTCGGGGATGGAAATTTTCAGTACCGTTCCCGTGAGCCAAATTCTTAATTTCCATAAATAAAATAAAAATTAAATGATCATATAGCTCATGCATGTTAATATGTAACTAGAGTTTTCTAACGGATTGGAGGCAGAGTCACAAGGACATTTCGTAAACCCACTGCAGTCTCAGGTCCATCAGGGTTCGTATACGACAACAGATGAGCATGGCCAAGTCGTCCGAGTTGACTACATTGCAGACAAGAGTAAATAATATTACCAATGCGAATGCGACATATTTATTTATCGTGCAGCCCTAACAAGTTAGTAATTACTTATTGGGATTTGAACCCTAGACGGATTTCAAACAATCGGTGCCAACGGAGTTCCTGTGGTGCCAACATCTCCTCCAGAGCCAGAAGAACTCGTCCGAGCTCGTGAAGATATTTTACGACAACAGAAAACCATTCGAGATCAGCATTTGCGTCATTTAAGGGCTGGCTATGCTGCTCATGGGCTCTAATTTCCCAAAAATATCATATTCTGGAAATTTTGACCTACTTCCGGTTATCTAACTCATACATGCATGTATTTCCTGGCGAGCACAATAAACTGACCCAACACCATTTTGGCCATTTTTAACAGGCATTTTCCAGTATTTAACATAACATTAGTTACAAGTGACTTGTCAATGAGGTCATAATAAGATAAGAATGTATTGTGCATGAAATTGTATGATTTTCGTTCCACGGATTGATCTTTCACTTACATTTGCCACAATATCTAACCAAGTTTGTGTGCAATGTTGCCCAATGCAACTTTTGGTGCAAACCACAATAACAATGAAGCGTACTTGTAGATGTATACAGAATGCTTGCAATCTTTATTAAACAGGTTGGACGGAAGCTTGCATACACATACTTACGTACATGTACATATACACACAACAATGGAATCTACTCACTCCTCCACCTTAATTAATGCACTTTCTTCTTACCACCACCACTGCATATGAAAGGTACTGTAGTTGAATTGGGTCACATGTAAGATTCATGTCTATTTTTTAAGCTTGCAATCATCAGTTATTCATCTGTCTATTTGCTTGTCAATATTAATAGTGTTCAACGTAAAATATTAATAGATTTTCCAGCTAACAAAAAGCCAATAACTTTTCCCAATAATATAACGAAACCAACACGGAATAGCAGAACAACCCGAATATTTCTGCTGATACAATAATATAATTTGACAATAATATACTTAAAATAACTTGATAGAACTTAACCATTCCGTCACAGTACAATCATGTAAGATTACTTCATTTATCAACAAAAAACAGTACAAAATTGGCTAATTACCTTTATTTTCTACTCCAGGCTGTATTACATATTCCTCTTTCTACTGTCTGTAGTCGTATTTGTCCTCGCAGTTAAAATTCGGAAAGTTGTAAATGAATCTGTGGTAGGTTTTGTTTTCCTAATCTTTGTATTCTTATATAAATCTTGAATCGTATAAGAGAGTTTATTTCATGTTTCAGCCGGATTTTGGAAGATTTCTCACATCCGTGGCAGCTACATGCAGTAATCAACTACAGGAATAAGTTTTAATTTATAATTTTAATGAGCATGATACTAATTCAACCTTAAATCAGTCTTGTCTAATAGAAATAAACGAGGAAAGTTATATTTAGTGAATATGATAAATATTGTCTCACTTTCTCATGCGAAATAAAGAGGAAATAGGAAATATGATTACTACATATACATATTGTAGTATCAATTAAAGTAAAATTGTGACGACGGGCACTAGCTTCTGAAATTGGAGAAATTTACACTGACATAATCATTCCAAACTGGAAGGTTGCTGGAGAAAGTTGCAAATGAGATTTTTGGTGACTCAACTTTTGTCTTGCCTTAGTCGAGCACGTGCGGGAACCGTTCACCACCTCATTCATTCGGCAACACATATTTTTCATAAAACCTGTGATTCATTGACTATGCACAAAATCTAATAAAGTCAATTCTTTTAAAAATTAAATGTGTGCCTTACAGTATTCGTCTAACTATAATTCTTCTCGATGGTTGTTTTCTGCTAATTAAAATTAAGTTAACCTAACCTTGGTCGATCTGTAGACTACAGACTGTAGTACTCGTAATTTAGTTTGAGTGACGAATCACAATGACGCTGAAACAATGCTGTAATCCTCCTACTATTTATCAGATAATGCAAATACTTCAAATTAGGACGTTTCCCTATTCCCGTGGCAGGACCACAATGTTTTGCAAACCTCATCACAAAAGCATCTTTCGCAGTGTTCACGTTCATTCTGCTAGGAGAATAAATTGCTGGACAATATCACCACCACTATCTCCAGCCATAACAAATGGCAGAATTTTGTCCTCGTCAGCAGCCGTGCGGTCAAATATCACGAATTCTAATGCTAACTCTGTCCAGGTAAGAAAGAGTATATTATGCACACATCTGCATCTATAGATGTTGATGGTAACTGGTTTGCACAGTAAATATAAATATAATTCTTTTTATTTAAGGGAGACAATCTTCATCCTATGAAAACGGTCGCCCAACAATTCGTCGAAGCTTGTCCGTCTAAATTGCAACCGTACTTAAGGCTCTCGCGAGTAAATCAGCCCATCGGAACGTGGCTTCTGTTTTGGCCGTGCACGTGGGGCCTTGGTTTGGCGACGGGCGGGCTGCCTGACCTGGGACTGCTCGCACTTTTTGGGACGGGTGCCTTCATTATGCGTGGAGCAGGATGCACGGTCAATGACATGTGGGATCGACACATTGATAAAAAGGTGTCACAAGAAATGAATGAGGGAAAGCTCTTGAAATTGTTTTAACTAATTGTACAAAAATATAGGTACGGAGAACGTCGAATCGCCCATTGGCTTCTGGAGAGTTAAGAATGCGTCATGCTAGCGCATGGCTTGCGGTCCAACTAAGTCTTGCCTTTACAATTTTATTGCAATTGAATAACCCGTGTTTTATTATTGGAGTTGGCTCTCTGGGTAATAAAATGTGCAAATTTAAACATAAATATTTTAAATGCACTGTAAAACTGTTTTTGATATTATTATAGGACTCGTTACGTTTTATCCATTTGCAAAAAGAATTACTCATTGGCCACAAGCGGTCCTGGGAACAACTTTTAATATCGGTGTACTGATGGGCTATGCCGCATCAGCGAAATATGCACACTTAGGGTTAATTACTTTCCCATGGTTTAATATTAGTTGCTTATCCATGTATTTGGCTGGAATTTCATGGACTTTAATTTATGACACGATTTATGCTCATCAAGATCGAGAAGAAGATGCACAACTAGGTAACATGATACTAGTTAATTTAAAGAGAATCTCATCGTTGAATTTATCATGAATTAATTAGGTCTTGGCTCAACTGCTCGGAGATTTGGTGAAAACACCAAGCTCTGGCTAACCAGTTTCAGTGTCTTAACGGTTACATCGCTGACAATGTGTGGAGTTTTAGAAAATATGGAATGGCCATTTTATGTCGGTATAGGATCAACCGCGGCACATTTTGCTTGGCAGGTATTTATATCTGCTGAACAAATTATTCAATTTTAGTCAGTTAACTATCAAGAGTTACTTGTTTACAGATAACAACGCTGGACATTCATAACCATCAGAACTGCTCAGAACGATTTAAGTCTAACCGTAACATTGGATGGATTATATTTGCAGGAATTATTGGATCCGGGATGTATTCAAAATACAAGAATAGTAATAATAGTGACCACAATTTAGTGAACTCTATGTCATCGCAGATAGTCCGTGATAGTATAAATCCTAGTAAACTTTTAAACACGTCGCCTCCTGCTACTTCGCCCGTTACAGCATATGCTAGTCAAATAGAATTAAAAAACAGCTAAATTATAATCATTAACCTTTAGTACCCAAAACTGTATACTCAATATAGAATAGTGACTTTTGGACTGGACAATTTTCTGTATATCTACATTTTTTAAAACAAATGCGTAAATGAAATAATAAATGACGCACCATACATACGACACAAAATTTCTTGTATTATATTATTATTGATTTTACTACAAGGGCGTCAGACCCTAGGCGTTTAGGTCATTTGACATCGGTGATTGCACGCATGTGTTTTTCAAACCAGTCGGATAATCATTAAATTTGACATAGAATTAGAACATATCAAATAAACCTTAAATCGTTAAGTTATGTAAACTGATGCATAATTATCCACTGTAAATACGACATGAGTCGGCGTAAACGAGTTGATTGGGAAAGCATTGTAGTGTACAATACAACCTGTGAGAGTAACTCTGAGTAAATAGGCTGCAAAATTACACTTGTTTTTTTTACCATTCATTTATGAGAGTACTGGTTTTTAGACGAAGTTAGATCTGGGGAAACTTCGCTGGTGAAAGTCGGGTGAAAGTTAACTCACTTTCTCACTAGTGAGAAATCTCACTTTATTAAATGAGCTGATGTGCATTGAGAAATGTGTGCGGGGAAGTCGAATTGCCGGTGGCTTCTCTCTCTCGCAGAACGATCTACCCTCAACAAATACGCATTACAGATATTTGTCAATAATTAGTAGTGCAAAATTACTTACTACAATTAGTTGAGTTCTTGACGGATTAATAACATTACTGCTGTCGTTGGAAATAATAAGAAAAAAAGATGGACGGAGACTTGTACGACGAATTTGGAAACTACATCGGACCTGATCTGGACTCGGAGGAGGAAGAGGAAGAAGACCAACATGACGATGAGAGAGATTTTGATGTAAGAAAGATCAAACGAAGCGTTAAAATGTCTTCATATAAAAATTCTATATATATATTAGCATGCATTTCATACTCTCTTATCTGGTTTCCTCAAAATAGGATGATGACATGGACCAAGATGAAGTTCGCGAGGAGGAGCCATCAATGACTTCGACAGCCGTTGTGCTTCATGAGGATAAAAAGTATTACCCGTCAGCGTTGGAGATATACGGACCAGATGTGGAAACGATTGTTCAGGAGGAAGATGCCCAACCATTGACGGAACCAATTATAAAGCCCGTGAGGAAAATAAAGTTTGAGCACGTGGAGAAGGAGTTGCCACAAACGACATATGATATGGAGTAAGTGGAGAAAATAATTGATCTATTATTGGCTAGTTTAATGTACATTGGTTCTGGAAATGGTAATTAATTTGTATTTTAATTTCTAGATTCCTCGCTGATATGATGGATAACTCGTCTTTGATTAGGAATGTGGGTCTGGTAGGCCATTTGCATCATGGAAAAACCAGCTTCACAGACTGCTTGATGGAGGTAACAGTGTCTAAATTGTAGTAAACTAACTGGTGTCAGTTTTGGTGGAGCAAGGACGAAATGAGTATGTCTGCTTACAGATTTTCAAATTTGTGTAATTTGTTTTCAGCAAACTCATCCTGACCTTCAATTAAATCCCAATTTGGACAAAGCGTTGGTTCGCTACACTGACACTTTGTGCACCGAACAGGATCGCGGTGTGACCATCAAGTCGATGCCAATTACTTTCCTTATGCAGGATACCAAAGCAAAGTGCGTTGTGAGATTGATTTAACTTAACATAGTTATATAAGAAGATAACATTTAAATTTATTGTGGAATTTTGCAATGTTTTAGGTCTTATTTGTTAAACGTAATGGATACACCAGGACATGTCAATTTCTCAGATGAGGTGACGGCTGCAATGCGGCTTTGTGACGGAATTGTACTGTTTGTAGACGCTGCTGAAGGAGTGATGTTAAACACTGAAAGAATATTAAAGCATGCTGTTCAGGTAACAATAAACAGTAATATACCAACTAATGATTCTATGAAATAATTACAAGGTTTTTACATAAAATTTAATAGGAAAAATTGGCAGTAACACTGTGCATAAACAAAATCGACCGCCTGATTTTTGAACTAAAGCTTCCTCCCCAGGACGCGTACTATAAAATTAAGCACATCATTGAAGAAGTGAATGCGTTATTGTGTTTGTACACGGGTGACAGCAATGAGGATTTTCCAATACTTTCACCAAGCGCAGGGAATGTGTGCTTTGCCAGCTCTCTGTATTCAATTTGTTTCACCCTTAAGTCGTTCGCCTCCATGTATGCAGATGTTTATGGAGATATTAACATCAAAGCATTTGCAGAACGATTGTGGGGAGACGTTTATTTTAGTCCAAAAACGTGAGTAATGAATAGTTGTATCATTCATATTTTCGTTGTGGTTTTAAATTATTTTTGTAAACTTCACAGGAGAAAATTTACCAAGAAACCGCCAACAGCAGCTTCACAGCGAAGTTTTGTTGAATTTATTCTTGAGCCAGTCTACAAAATTTTCTCTCATGTAATTTTATGACTTATATGCAATTGCATTAATGATATATTTGTGTACAATATGTGTAACTTATGTTATGTGCAGGTGGTTGGCGATGTTGACCAGTGTCTAACATCTCTATGTGAGGAACTTGGAATTAGACTGACCAAGGAAGAATCAAAGCTAAACATTCGTCCATTGTTAAGATTAATTTTCCAGCGGTTTTTGGGTAGTTTTTCTGGATTTGTGGACATGGTCGCAGAGCATGTTCCCTCGCCAAGCGATAATGCACGGAACAAGATGGTTCATGCTTATACTGGGCCGTTGGACTCTGACATTGGAGATGATATATTGAATTGTGATCCCGAGGTATGAATGTTTTATATTAGAAATATAATGTTTTTATTTATTTCGGATTTAATCACACTGAATTTAATATATTTATACAGGGAACTTTAATCGTTCACAGTACCAAGATGTACCCAACAGAGGATTGCGTTTGTTTCCACGTATTTGGCCGAATCTTCAGTGGTACTCTACATGCGAACCAAAGTGTGAGAGTATTGGGTGAAAATTACTCGTTAGCAGATGAGGAAGACTCCCGTGTGTTAAATGTTGGTCGACTATGGATCTACGAAGCTAGGTACAATTTTCATTAGTGTCGAGTGAATCCAAACCGAAATAATAAAATTTGTTGCACATATTTCACTTTAAAATGACATTTTATTTGTTCTAGATACAAGATTGAGGTTAATCGTGTGCCAGCAGGGAACTGGGTCTTAATTGAAGGAATTGACCAGTCTGTTGTAAAAACTTGTACGATTACTAGTTCAAAGACCAAGGACGATTTGTATATTTTCCGCCCTTTGAGATTTAATACTCAAAGTATTATCAAGATTGCCGTTGAGCCTGTCAATCCATCTGAATTACCCAAAATGCTGGATGGCCTCAGAAAAGTTAACAAATCATACCCACTTGTTTCAACCAAGGTCGAAGAATCTGGAGAGCATGTTATACTTGGAACTGGGGAGTTGTATCTCGATTGTGTGATGCATGACTTGCGAAAAATGTATTCTGAAATTGGTAAGTCAAACTTACTTTTACTTTACGATATATTTATGGTGTGATTCTTTGTGAACCCTGGATGTGCGCATATTTTGTGTTGTAGACATAAAAGTCGCTGATCCCGTCGTGTCATTCTGTGAAACCGTCGTGGAAACATCATCACTCAAGTGTTTTGCAGAAACCCCCAACAAGAAAAACAAGCTTACGATGATTGCAGAACCATTAGAAAAAGGGTTGGCTGAGGACATTGAAAGTGAAGTTGTCAGCATTGGTTGGAACAAGTAAGGCTTTAACAATCTTTTACTCTGAATATTTGTCATACAAGGTGAGTTTGGTAATATTATGTATTATGTTTTAATATAGAAAACGATTGGGAGAATTCTTTCAAACCAAATATGATTGGGATCTTTTGGCTGCCCGTTCAATTTGGTCATTTGGTCCCGATACTAATGGGCCCAACATTTTAGTGGATGACACTCTTCCCTCAGAAGTCGATAAAACATTATTAAATAATGTAAAAGACTCAATTGTTCAAGTAAGTTCTTGTCATTAATCAATTAAGCTGCTTAGGAAAATTGAACAACAACTCACTGTTTCACTGTTATGTGATGTAGGGATTTCAATGGGGCACCAGAGAAGGACCACTGTGTGAAGAACCCATCAGAAATGTAAAGTTCAAAATCTTGGATGCTTTGATATCAAGCGAGCCTATTCACAGAGGAGGAGGTAACCTATATCACATTTCTAGCACCAATCATACGCTTATTTATCCATTGTCTCATAATAATGTTAAATTACAGGCCAAGTAATTCCCACTGCAAGGCGAGTCGCATATTCCGCATTTTTAATGGCTACACCACGACTCATGGAGCCCTATCTCTTTGTTGAAGTTGTGGCTCCTGCTGATTGCGTTTCAGCCGTTTATACTGTTTTGGCTAGACGTCGAGGTCATGTAAGCCTCGAATTTTATTTCATTTAAGATTAAAATTTATTATAAAATGGATATTACAAATCCCATAATTCTCAGGTTACCCAAGATTCTCCAGTTCCCGGCTCCCCCTTGTATACAATTAAAGCTTTTGTCCCTGCAATCGACTCGTTTGGTTTTGAAACCGACATGAGAACTCACACCCAAGGGCAAGCTTTTTGTCTATCTGTATTCCACCATTGGCAGGTAAGTTTACCCCCACAATTTCATTGAGATAATTGAATGTTGCAATTGGCAAATATCTTACAACGATTTTTGTTGCAAAGATGGTCCCCGGAGATCCTTTGGATAAGAGCATTATCATTAAGCCTCTGGAACCTCAGCCAGCAACTCATTTGGCACGTGAGTTTATGATTAAAACTCGTCGTCGTAAAGGTCTTAGTGAGGATGTTGCTATCAACAAATTTTTCGACGATCCCATGTTGTTGGAATTAGCAAAACAGGATGTCATGCTTAATTATCCAATGTAATACATAGAGTAGCTTTGCATTATTTTACGAACTTGATTTTTACATCTTTTGTTTATGTACTTAAAACAAGAGTAAAACACATTGAAATATAAAATTATTATTAAATCAAGCAAGAACTCCTCGCATTGGTTTCGCGTATGCATTGAAGTTTAGTAAATCTATTTTGACTACTAGTAGCATCTAAAATTAATAATTCATCAAATTAACAAAGTTCATACATGTGGGGAACTTGAGATTATTCCTTTTACATTACAAGTAATGGTGCAGAGTTGTTATTTGATATATATTTCACAAAATGAATGTTGCACCCTCTTTTCGCTACCTAGCATCAGTTCTCGGATGGCTGAAATCACAAACTTCAAGCTGAGAAAGGAATAATAAAACCGGACAGTTGCAATGCTAGAAGGCATATTTTTGGAAATGAAAGGGGAGCTCGATCTGGAAGTGGAAGGGAAATAATGAGAACAATCATGAAGAAAACCGAGAAACTGCGTTGCAAAGAGGGATCCGACACACTAACCAACCAACCAAAGTCAATAATAGTACATGACGCTTAAACGGATAGATAGGATATGGCACGTAAAGGAGAACATTTTTTATAGGCAGTCCTTCACATGCACACATACAGGAAGAGGGAGAAGGAATACGCATTTATAGGGAAGGAGGGGGATAGAAGGGAATCTTGCTCTCTATACCTACACAAACAACGGGGCTCGTGATGGAGGAGGTGGGGTGAAACGGTGGATGAAGGACAAAAAGACGCAAAGTTTGTTGGACTGCAGCAGCGACGTCAAGTTTGAAACTCGACGTCGTTCAGTCCTCGCAGAGTGTTTCAGATGGCAGCAAAAGGAAATGTGCGGGTGGCAGGAGGTGCCCCAACCAAGGGGTCACCAACCACTTGGGAAGAGGCAATGGGAAGAGGCATCGTTTCGAAGAAGAAGGGAAATCATCGTGCCTCGCCGGAGTTGGTCGATTCAAATTCTAACACTCGACGACATTCGAGTTCATTTGATTCATTCCTGGCTTGCTCTTGGAGATTCCCCCCTCCGGCTCAACATGTTCGTCTGCTCTTGCTGCTGCTGCAATGTTAGCGTTCCTACTTCTCGAGGAACAAATTCTTCTCGCCGATGATGGAATAAGTTTCTATTTTCTTTAGACAAGCTTTGGAATTCTTCCAATGTTCGACGTGGCCACATTTCCTAAAGAAATCATCTTTATGATAGTCTGTCGTTGGCTCTTGCCAACCATTGTACATGCATATGCTGACTACTTGATTTTAGTTTAAGCACTACAGTTCGATCGCCAAGTTATATTTAACATTTATGAATATGTATATTTGACCATTAATAAAACTACGTTCGACGTAGATATTTATATCGGGAATTCAGACCTCTTTGCATTTCATCACTTTTCAATGCGTATATCTAGTTCCACCAGAAGGAGAGAGAGAACAGTCATTAGGTGTGTGCTAGCTTCGTTCTTTCCTTTTGATGCAAAACACCCATCAACTTTTTATTGGCTGTAAAGGAGAATGATTTATGATGAAGAAGATCCGATATCGTTTATTAAAATCAAACAACTCATAAGAACGAAAGCAGCATGAAATTCCTTTTATCGATATACATCAATGGTCGCATTTGGTCTAAAGATTTTTTATCATCGGTTGATTGGTAATTATGTTTTAAGAGTTGTTGCAGTATGAGGCAAATTTCAGACAACAAACTTGATGGTATTTTTTGAAAAAATAACGTTGACTAGTATTCATGTGTAGTTCCAACAGTTTATTGAGTTGGACATACATAAACTTAAAAAATCCTTGAAACTCTCTTTAAAACGTAATTAGTATCATAAACATTGGCAAAGAAAGTTACTCAACTGGAAAGGAACTAACTATTCTATATGGTAATTAACCCCAGACAATCATGCTTTAAGCTTTAATGAAGTACAAACAAGATCAATCAAGGCGACGAAAATTGGTATGCAAGCAAAGAATTTATGTAGGTAATGGAAATTGAAATACCGTATTTCGGGTAATGAAAATATCCCAAGAAGGTATGACCGGTGTGAGATATTACGTATTAATTATTTGAAATTATTGCTATTTAACATATATGTAAAATGCCGGGTATTTAATAAATTGTGAGTACCAAATGTTGCAATCACCCTGAATACTTTTAGTATGAAGTTGTATTGATACAACGATAAATAAAAATATGAGATTTGGAGTGAATATGTGCATTCATAGTATGTATGTATAAATATAAAGTATAGCATAAAATATAAAGATCAAACATGTAGATTCTCAAAAAAATATCTATTTTTTTATTCACTGTCGGCCACCGATTGAAATTTAAACTTGTATTCATGACTAAGTATTCCCAATACAAAAAGTTAATCTGCAGTTTGTGCTCTGGACCAAATTCATGCACGATTTAATCATCAAAAGAAGACAAAGTCAATGCAAGATCACAATGTACTCTATTCAATTCTTTCTTTGACGTATGAATGATACACCGTGATTACTGAAGTCTCGTGAATTAACGTGTCATTTATAATGAGATCTTGCATGGTTTATGTATACGCACATAGCTATTTAAATCATTAACTTTTTATGATATAAATATATTTAATCAAAAGTAACAATTAGTGAATTCGTACCGAGGAATTTAGCTCTATTTATATATGATTATGATTACAAATTCCAGTCTCTTAATAAAATAACCAATATTATCCATCGAAATGAAAATAAATACGTAAGTCTTTGGTTGAAACCCTTGAACGTAACTGCATAATTATATGAAGCTGAAAGCAACCCTTCCTTCGAAACTCTCTCAAAACCATGTACGGCTGTGTTTGCGTCAATTTTCATCTTTGAATTTCTAATAAGTCACCTTCACCACTAGTCGGTGTCGGCAAATGATGAAATCCCTTTTGGATTCAAAACCCCGTTATGAATAATGAATTGGATGTAAGCATGCGACAAAGAAGGTTTCTTGGTGAGACTGAGAGTCGAGTCTCACAAGTCGAGAACAAAGTGAACTCACGATTTAATAAAAATGTTTAACTCGCAAGTTCTGCCCATGCCTCATGAACACCATTTAAATAAATATATCCCGTTCGTGGAGTAACCCCACTTCCCACCAGCACTTGACTTTTGACTGTTGTTGTGTTGTTATTATTCTTGGACGTGAATTAAAGTCGAGAAAACATTGGGGAGACAGGAAGGGTAGGACCCTTCAGTCAGTCAGAGCCTGATAAAAAATGCTTCTTATCAGACGAGAGTCATCTCCTTGCGTCAGAGAAAAACGAAATTATACACACATTGGTCTCGTGGTTATGCTCCAGTCCACACACGGAGACAGAGATCGACCTAGACGGCCTCGCCTTGTAAGGTAATCGCTACGTTACTACTGAAATTTTTCTAACGTGACCAATGTAATAATGGTGGCAAATAGGTATGTAGGTGCTGCTGTTGTGTAATGAAAGGAGGAAAAAACTTAAATTTCATGGACAGCTCTCGTCCTCATCTCCATTTACGACAACGGAGAATTTGTGTGGCATGACATTCTATTGTGCTCAATCCTTCGTTCGCCTGCATCAGTAAAGAAGAGAATAAGACAAAACAACAAAAGCAAGTGTTTCTTCAACCTGTTTGCCACGCCTTCTAACAGAATTTTGAAAACATGATCAGAATTTCTTTTGTGAAGCTTTCAAACAAAATTCATTAGCTTGTTTTTCATTTTTTGCCATACTTCGATGTGAAACAACATTTTATGTGGAGTACAAAAGTAAAAGAAGTAGAAGAATGTGCATTTTGTATATTTCATAGTTGGTTATACAAATAAATAAACCGTCGCAAACGCGCATACGGAAGTAGCTTCAGACTACTTCACTCCAAGCACTCCCACGACATCGCGGGAACACTTGATTTTACTGTATTTCATCTATACATTCAATTTTTCCAAAAATCTCATTTTGCCCCGACCACACCCCCTAGTGATAAGGGGGTGTGGCACAACTCGGGAGCACTTTATTCTACTGTATTGCATCTATGCATTCAATTTTTTCAAAAATCTCATTTTGCCCCGACCACACCCCCTGGCGCCCGGGGGGTGTGGCACAACGGGGGAACTCAAAATTTCACTCCATTTCATCCATAGATTCAATTGCACTAAAAATCTCATTTTGCCCCGACCACACCCCCTGGCGACCGTGGGTGTGGTCCGGTTGCACCCAAAAGTTGATAGGATCCTCCCCCTGGGGTATTATGTATGATGGCGAAAACCGATTTCGATTATCTTTATCCGTTCTCCCGTTATCCTGCTGACAGACAGACGGACAGACAGACAGACAGACAGACAGACAGACAAAGTCTTCACATAAAGTAGCTAAAGCTACTTAATAAAATATATAAAAGTGTGATTCAAATATTACGTAAAAGGAATCTCATGACGTCTCATGAAGTACATAATAACCATAATCCTCTCAAATATTCTTTCTTTTGCTGCGTATCATTAAATTCATTGCATCCATGAAACTTACTTTAAACGATGATGATTATCCCATAACTTTTCTTTCAAAAGCTTGTACTATAGAATATTCATGTTATACAATTCTAGTTACTTTGAAAGTTATGTATGTGCATTGTCGTAAATACGTCTTTTAATAAAATAACTTTATAAAACTTATTTCAAAATCATGAAAAATCGTGATTTGCATGATTTGTGAGACCTAATAATTATTACCATATAATAACTATGCATTATTACAATTTCTGGCATTCGTACAGTTCAAAATATGAGAACGCAGCTCCTCCACAACAATAACAAAATCCTGGTAACAAAAGTGAGACCACATCAAAAGGCGAGTCCCCATTGCACACACCGAGCGTGATAAAAGCGTGAAGACGGAAAAGACATCGATCCATGGACGGCAATCTTCCTTCAGCAGCATCAGCATCAGTGGTTGGTAAGAACTTATGGAAAAGTTGACGACTCAGTCAGGGTGGATTGGATCCGTTCTAATGGCTTCACTTACTCCCTTATCATCGTCATTCCGTAAAAGCAGAAAGCAACGGTAATGATAAATAACGGCTGTTACTTAAGTGTAAGTTGAG